ATATGAATCATAAATGGGTTCATAAAGCCATTTTGGAAAAAATATTGAGGTTGGCAAAAGAAGGAAATAGCACTACAGCAGACATCCTAAATGTTCTGATGAAAATAAAATAGTGCTATATATCCATATTTATAAATGGTGCTAAATAAAAGGCTATTACACTAGTAGATAGTGCCATTGAAGTAGATGAAATTATTGGCTTTTTATTCAAAGCAGTAGAAAACTCATTCTATTGGAAAAGCTGCTTTGTAAAATAATAATTGGTTACAGAGTTGCTCAATATTTAAAAGGAATAGTTAATGAATAATTCATCAAAAATGGAATAGAATTTTTAGTGGGTTAGACTCAAAACATAAGTACATTAAGTGATTGGGCATTTAATTACTTCAGAATATAATTGTATGAATGCATTTATCTTTTTTAAATCGTTTACCCTTTAGCCTTGAGATATTATCAGTAATGATTAGAATTTGATTTTGCTTAAAAAGAATGGACTTATAGATTTTGTGTTTTTGAATGGCTTATTATTATAAAAAGGAGATCAGCAACATTACAATATTGAAGTTACCAATGAGGATATAAACCTCATAATAGAATGAATAGATTACAATCAATTGATGTCTTCGTTTGAAAGTCAGACTCGTTAAATATAGCAATGATTGAAGCTAGAGCTAATTGACTGCTCCATTTATCACCAATTAAATTATGTTTCTATGACCTTCAAACCCTACAAACTAAAATCTGAAGCTAATTAAAATTGAAATCAAGCTCATCTATTTTGTGTAATCGTACCAAAAATACATCCCTTAAAATAAGAGATTGTCATTACAACAGTAATAAGCGATGCAGGATTTAGTGCAAGCACATTACAATCCTTCCCTGATAATGTGCTTGGTCTAAATTGATCAGTGTCCTTAGTATTTGTTGAATGTACCTTAGCATAGCAAAAAATTTTAGGTATATTAATTTATATCATATTGAGGATAATACTGCAATCTTGAAAGCTCATTCTCATCGTTTAATTTGAGTGGCATTCAATAAGCATCTGAAGTTCAATGTCGATAAAATATTAGAAAAGAGGAAGAACATTTATCATATCTAATATTGGTACATAGCTTTAAAAGTCCTCTTCATCAAAATGTAACTCTATGCAGCAATATGTGAACTTATTTAGAGCAACGAAAAGTGTAAAAATAAAGTAGGGCTAATCTGATAAACTCATTCAGAGGAAGGTTATTTAAATGATCTTTCGTAAAGAATTGATTATGAACTCCGACTGCTATTCTTCCTCCCCTAGTATGGTTTTCTTTCGTAATCTATTGAAATATGTGTAAGAAGGAGAGCATAGTATTTCTTTTCTGGTTTCTTGAAAAAAATATATGTACTCCTGTCTATTTGGTAGTTTTTAGAGTATTATATTTCGTTGAAGATACATTCCATGTGAGGACGATTAATTAATTTGGAGTTTATGATTTTATAGTTTACAAGCATATACATTTTGGATAATTATCTTACCTTGATAATCGTGCAATTAATTCAAATTGAGAATATTTTCTTCTGTTGATCCTCTTTTAAAGCATTAAATAATCAACGTATCTTTTAATATGAAATCACCAATATACCCCCATAAGTGAGTATTCTTAGAGTTGTGTTGATATCATGATATTTGCATTCTTTACAATTTTAATTGATGGTCCAAAGTTACTAATATAAGTTTTTGGGATTTTGAATAATCTCTATGCTTTTTAAAAATTCTACTCAAGTCTTGATTTCGAATTTCTTCTCTAAATTTGTTCTCTTTTGCTCGATATAAATTCAGATTTTGTAAGTTATTAATCACTATAGTTTTGATATTTCAATCATAATTAAATTTAATTCAAAATATAATGCATGAATTAACTTTAGCAATGAAGAGGAAGCCAATGCAAAGAATTTGAAAAAAGATATGGTTTTGATTGTCTAAAATTACTTTACTAGTGAAATGGTAGCTATGAAACAGTTTTATTTAAACTCATAGAAAACTGAAGCATAAGGTTTGACAGAGTTGAATAAAATTTTAAAGAAGGCTCAAAATAAAATGATTCATTACCTGCTATGTTTATAATTTCATAAATGGTGCCCAAATTGTAAATTAATTTGGCTAAAAGATTCTGGAGGATAGACAACATGTGGCAACCCTCCTGATTAAGATAATAATGAATTTAAGCCATCAGCAAAAAACATTCAAAATAAATATCGCTAAAACAACAGTAGAATGCATCAAACTAAAACAATATACTGAAATTAATTAAAAGTACTCTCTCTTAAAATTAATATAAATTAAAAGGCTATGAGCCCTAATTAATTTTGGATAATTTACAAATATAGTCTGCTGATATATTAAATGAGCTCCAAAACACTTGTGTTTTAGACATATAAGATTCAAAAAAAATGAATAAGATTTATTATGGAGTAAATCATTTCATGAAACATAGATATAATTGAATAATCTAGATAAAGCTAATCTTTAATCAAATAACCTTTAGATCAGAAACAAAAAATAGTACGGGTTGTTAATAATAGTAGTGAAAATAGTTTCAAACACATCAAAGATAAAAATTAAACGAATAAACAACTCTGTAAAATATCACAATTAGAAAGTAGAGGTAAAGTATCAACAATAAGTTAAAGCTGAAGAATAGCAAGATATATTAAACATAATAATAGAATTGAAAAACACTCTAAGGGTAGAAATAAACCAAAGTAACAGAGATCAATGACAAGAAAAAAAAAAATAAAAATGAGCTGCTCTGCTTGCAGAATTAGTTGAATTATAGCTTCTTCTATTTTCATTTTAAAAATAGTTAAGAAATAGAATAAAGATTTCTTCTAATAAAGGTTATAAACAGCAAATGAATATATTAATATTTATTAATTTTTATAGAAAGGGGGGTCTGTTGCATCAATCCTAATAAGAACTAAAAGGATTAGAGTGTTATTGTCTTGTTATTTCTTAGCGAAGAAAATTAAAAGGTTGTAAAAGAATGATCCAAAGAAATATTAAGCTTTTATTTGACAAATTGATGATACTTTGAAATTATAAATATAATTAATTGATATTATTTGTTATAAATGGCAGATGCTTATCCATCCATCAAAATATAATATATTTTCTACAATTATGCTAAAAATTTTTTCGAAATATTTAAAAGGAAAACACTTAATTCAAAAGGAAGACAGCTCTATCCCACTTTTTAATATCCTACCTCCATAATTCGAAAGTGATATTAACTATAGGATGAGAAAGAATCTATGTTTGAAGATAAAATGTTAACTCAAATGATTACTTAATATTAGGAAAATAGAATTGTGAAAATAGAATGTTTTAAATTTTTTGTTATTATTATTAATCCTTTCAGAAGATAGAAAGATTTTTTGATTTAATTAAAATTCTAAATACAATTTATTAATTTATTTTGAAAAAATTAAGTGTCAGCAAGATGGTTTGAAAATTGAAATATATAATAACTATCATTAATTGAGGAATAAATTCATGCAAAGATTCTTACTAAATTCATAATCAGGTAGAGGCATAATAAAATAATGATTAAGAAATTTGTTTTTCTAATAATAATTTCATAAACTTTAAAATTGGGGCAATTTCATAATTTACTTGGCGATTATGTTAATAATCTACTTAAAAATAATATTTAATTATTAAAAACATAAAGATAGTTCAGTTTGATAATACTTTTAATTTAGGTGTAAATGATTATCAGATTAGATTACATATGCTCCTTTGTCTTTCAAACTCACTCTTTCCTGCTTATCATTTTATGACATCTCTAGGGTCATTGCATCCGCTTTGAGTCACCTTTCCTATCGTTTTCACCCATAAATGGCCCTGGAGGTAAAACCTCATTTCATTTTTTTCAAACCATCATTACTAATTTGGATTTAATTTTTGTAATTATCCTATAAGACTTAAAATTTTACGATGATTTTTCTGATTAATTTATATCTTTTTTTTGATATTATTAATATTTTCTTCTCCTAACTAAAACAGATTACAATTTATCATCAATTTCTCACACCAATGTGAGAAAATTTTTTTGGTCATTTGGGTATTAAATCTTCATTTTAAAAAGTCTCTTTTCAAAAAGTTACAATATGTAGTCTTTCCAAATAATCAAAGGCCTTATTACGAATAATATATCATTATTAAAATTGATTATAATTTGACCTAATCTTGTCAATCGATTTCTTAAATACGAAATTAAATATTCAATAAGAAAATGAGCTGAATCATTTAATATTCAATTAAAAAGGCTATTATATACTTTTTATTCTCTATTTCTATTTCTGAATTACTTTAGATCTCCAGTATAATCCTTTTTTTGAATTTTCAATTGATGTCTAACCCAAGAAAGGAATTATTATATAAAGCGTTTCTTTAAATTTAAGCTACTTTTCCAAAAGTTCTCTTTTCAACATTTAAGCAATAGAATGCCATGACCTTGATGACTTTCAAATATAATCTCATTATTGGTTGTAATTAACTTATAATTTCTTTATTAATTACTATTTTGTTTTTCTTCAAAACAACTATAAAGATAATCAATTTTGAATTATTTTAGATTTTCAATTCTCTTAATTTACCTTTATATGTCATCATCTAATGTGAAAGTCAAATATTAATTTTTATCGAGATAAAATCATTAAATTAAATTTTTCTTCAAACCACTTCTACATTACATTTATCATAATTAAAACTTTCAATCAAAGAGTATATTTTTTAAATCAAAAAAACATTTCTAAATAATTGCTTTAATTAGATCAGAATTTAGACATTTCTATTAGTAATGTCTAATTCGAAAGTTTATTGTTGTAAGGATTGTAAAGCAATCTTGAAGGAACTTTATTTTATCATTCGTTTTTAAGTTTAAAGAGTTGAAAATTTAATCTTGTTTTATATCAATTATTCATTTTATTAGAATTTTATTAATAAATTTATTTAATAAATGAATGACGATTATTCGAGGACCTGTACTTTTGAAGAACTAAAATAAAGAGTTCCTGAAAAATAACCCTCATAGAGATAAATTTCTGTTCTAATTGATTAATTTGATTGGGATTCCAAATATGGTCCTTATTCTGGTATGACGAGAGAAGAAAGGTAATGTCAATTTCATGAATTATTAGATACAATAGAGCTGTTAATAATGGATTATATCCTCCTCCAGAAATCAAAAATTACTTGACCTCAAAGCCTCATCCTTATTCTTAATTTTATAAATTGTGTTGAAAACAAAGGATGAAAATGAAAATTAATTATTAATGCTTAATTTATAGAAATCTTGAAATTGTTTGTTTCTATAAACATACTTTGATCGCTTTTGCAATCTCTATCAGGTTTAACTTTAATCGTATGATAATTATTTCTATGATTAAGTTTATTCAGAAGTTTAAGATTAATGCTTATTTAACTGTCAATTTACCTACTTATTATTGTAATTTTTATTTTTCAGATATTAGTTTAAGAGAATTTATTTCATTTAATGATATATCTCTTTATACTAGCTTCAAACTAATTTATTATGTAAATTATGCTTTATCAATGCATAATATAACAATCTACTACTTTTATTATTAAGGCATTTTCTTTTCGTATGTTAACAATTTTTAAATATTCAAATCGTACAAATTATATTGTTAAATGATTGATTTTCAGTGCTTTTAGTTTTTCAAATAAAAAATCAAAGAAATTATTCAATAAATTGTAAATTATATAATTATTTGTCTGTAATAAATTCATGGAGATAATTATAAACAATTTATGGAATACTTTAGATTTTCGATTTCCCATTTCAAAGTTTATACTACCCAAAGGTATGAATTTTCTTCCTAAGTAATGAAAGTAACATTTTGATCATACATTTTAGTAAACACTAACTATTAATCCTTTGAAGTTAAATTTTAGTTTTTTTTTCTTTTTCACTAAATCGTCTAATCCTCTAATAAAATCTCTTCTTCCTAATATTTATGATTTCTTTTAATTTTAATTTATCAAACTACTTTTTAATTTTCCACTATCATTGTAGAGTTGTCGAATTTATCAAATTTTATACTTAAGAACATAATCAATAATCTCAATTAATTGATTAAGTCAATTACTTTGACCATTATGATTAATGTGCTTTTTCTGAATCAATTTGATGTTTATTTTCTGTAAAAGTTTGAGGTTATGCATTAATTCATATTCCTATGTGGAAAATTTCTAAAACAAAAATAAAATACATTTTGTTCATTTAAGAATCAGCTTAGAAAATCAGCAAAATTATAGAAATAGAGTGCGATATTAAAGAAAACCAAGAAACTAATGAATTATAATTAAACATCAATTATTATTATTATTTTGTTCACTTAATCCTTGACCGAAGAAGCTCATTTTAGTTACAACTTTGCAATTTCTTATACCATTAAATTTAGTTAATCATTTCATTATTCATCTCTAAGTTTAAAGTTTATTTTTGTGATTGTTATCAATTTTCATTTCTATTTTTAGGGCTAATAGATAGTATTAATGTTGAAATTCACGAATAATAAATTCAAACCTTAATGTCATTTTCACTCAGTGTTAGAAATCGGATTTTATTTTCAACCAATTAATTTAATCCATCATTTTCTTAGTTCGTTCCTTGATTCTAAAATATTAATTAATTTTATAATAATGAGAACCTCTGAAAGTGAAAAAATTACCTGCACAGCATTAAAACACTTAAAAAACTAAAAATTATATGAAATACTCTTGCTCAAAGAGAGAGTGGCTCTCTTATAAAAAGAATCAGAAACCATATAGTAAAGAGCGAATCCTCTTAAGTCTAAACTACTCAAAAATGTAGAGGAATCAAAAAGGCTCTATGAAGATATAAAATAGAAAGTATTTTTACTAATTATAAGGAATAAGAATATAAATAATTCATTTAAAGTTAAAAGGAAAAAGAATATAATGAAAAAAGATAGAAAAGGAACTTTATTCAGTTTGTTTCAAATGAAGCATTAAAGTTTGCTCGAGAGCATGCCTAATAGGAAAAAAAAGAATAAGCCTATCAAATAAAATTGCTTCATCAATAAGATAAACTAAAAATAAAAATGAATAAGGATTAGCTAATTCATGAAAAATAAATAAATAAGTAATTCAATGTTTATTATAAATAGATTATAAGTGATAAACTCGGAAAAGCAGGCTTAGTAGAGAATAAAAGAATTTTAGGATAATAGGTAATAAAAATTTTAGAATATAACTTCCATTGAAAAGTCTTTGATATAATAAGAATTAGATAGTAAAGATCAAGAATTAAAAGCCCTTGAAGAATTGGAAATGAGATATTTACAAAAATTGTAATAAAGCAAATCTTAATAGCTCTAATTTAAAAATTAAATCAAGGATGCAATGGAACTTAAGGTTGAGGATTATAAAAAGAAATACCCAAAAATAGGGAAATGAGGGTGAATCAAAATCTGTATAAATATAAATTAAGGATAACAATTTTCATATTTAATTAAAGTTCCAATTATTTCAAATTTTTAATGACAGAAACCATCGAAAATCTACGTGACTTTAACTATTACTAGCTGTCAAAGGATGTGAATACTAGTTATGTATTAGCTGAATACATTTGGATTGATGGAACAGGAGAATAATTAAGATCAAAGACAAAAGTAATTCACACGTGTAAAAATATTTTAGGTTTATTAAACTCAAATAAAAAGACTTGAAGATTTGGAGTGGTGGACATATGATGGGTCATCAACAGATTAAGCAGTGACTAGGTTTTCAGAAATATATTTAAAACCAGTTCGAGTAGTAAAGGATCCTTTTAGAGGAGATCCTCATATTCTTGTATTGTGTGAAACATACCTCCCAGATAAAAAGACACCAGCAAGATATAACTTTAGGTATTTTCAAGCTGAAATTAATTGTTTAGATGGATTGCAAATTAAATTATGGAGAAAGCCAGAGATCATAAACCATGGTTTGGAATTGAATAAGAATATTTCTTATTAAAAAGGACAGGAACAACACATTTATGGCCTTTAGGATGGCCAACAGGAGGATTTCCTTATCCATAAGGCAGATACTATTGCTCAATTGGTGAAAGGAATAATTTTGGAAGAGCTTTAGCCGAGGCTCATCTAAGAGCATGCTTGAATGCTGGATTAAAAATTGCTGGATTAAACGCTGAAGTTGCACCATCATAATGGGAATTTTAAATTGGAATTGCTGAAGGCATTGAAATAGGAGATCATATGTGGTTGGCAAGATATATTTTAGAAAGAATTGGGGAAGAATTTGGAATTGATATCAACTATGATCCTAAACCAATATTAGGTGATTGGAATGGAAGTGGGGCTCATTGCAATTATTCGACGGTTACAACTAGATCTGAAGGAGGATATAGATATATTGTAGATAAATTAATGCCTATTCTTAAAGAAAATCATCTTGAAATGATTAAGTTATACGGATAAAAGAACGAGCTTAGATTAACAGGTAGACATGAGACAGGAAAATATGATTAATTCACTTGGGGAGATGGAGCAAGAGGATGTTCTGTTAGAGTACCAATAATCACAAAAGAATAAGGATAAGGGTATTTTTAGTTTATAACCATGTTTAGATATTTTGAAGATAGAAGACCAGCAGCTAATATTGATCCATATTTAGTTTCTGCAGCTCTAGTTGATGTGACTTGTTTAAACAGTGAGCATCTTAAATAATTGAATTCAATTTTTGAAGACTCGCTAAAGCCATTAGGATAACAAATATTTTAATAATAGAAGGAAATATTCTAGCAATAAAAAGAATGAAAATATCGTTATTTTGTGTTCAATTTTAAAATATTTTAGTTGTATAAATTTATTTTCTTACATTTTATTACACTATTTTAAGAATCCATATGAAAAATACATCTTTGCAAAAAATACCAAAATATTAAATCAAAAAAAATAAATCAAAATTTACATCTTTTATTAATAGTCTATGAGTATAAGCTTAAAGTATTATAGATGGCACAATAATTGAGGACATTCTAGTAAAACTATTAAAACTAAAAACACTTGTGGTTGTATTTTTTTATAAAAATATTTTGTGAAAAAGAAAATTTTTGATGTATTATCTTAAATAATAAAATTTACTCCATAAAGTAGTAAATTATTAACGAAATATTCAGAATTTAATTTGAAATGATAATTAATTGATTCGTCCTTTGTAAAAATTATGAAAAAACTGTAAAATTTTGCTTAGCATTCTTTATAAGAAGTGAATTTGAAATTTATTATAGAAAGAGGCGAAGTTTAAAAAAGAATGCGAAGTCTAGAGTTTGGAATAATTTTAGTTGTTAAAATTGATCCCTATTGAGAGTGTGGAATTTTTTTTTAATTATTTTCGTATTTAAAATTATGAATATGTAATGTACATTAAACAACGAGATTCTCCGTTGCTAAACGCCTTCAACGGATGAAACAAATTATGATATAATAGAATAGCAATACTATTTGACTTAAATAATTGAATTAATATTTGTGGAGAACTACACATATAAAGAATTGTAAAAGTACTTTACTTACACATTCTAATATATAGAATAATATGATTTCTTTTATGATTAGATCTCCAAATCTGTTAGGATTTACATGGAAGTATAGAATAAGTTTTAAACTAGAAAATTGTTTACCATATAAAGTAATTTTCTTTTATTACAAAACCTATTGATATCAAGCATCTCAAAGATTATGTCTCTATAATCAAAGAGTTGGAAAAATCCTTTAAGGTTACGTAATTAAAGCATAAAGAATTGTAAGAACTAGTGAAATCATTTTCACACAAAGAAAAAAAATGTTAATCAATTCATTGTTTCAGACTTATGAAATTTTCTTTTACAAATATCGTTTTGAAGAATAAAGAAGTAAATGTAAGAATCTGATGTAAAATATAGGACTTTTTGACTTCATTGAAATAAGTTTTAGATAAAAGGTTTTATTCATAAACTTTAAAATATTCTAAAACAAAGGATCGATTATAGTTATTTATATAGCTCATAAATGAAAAATAATAGGATTGCTTAAGTTCTTTTGAAGATACTAAAAAATGGAGATCTTCTTTTAGAGTAAATAAAAACAACAATGAAGATGATTTTGTAATTGTTGAAAGTAGTTCTGGGACTCGAAAAAAAGTTTAATAAGAAAGTAATGTAAAACTTAATGAATATAAATAATTTGAATAAAACCTAGAAAAATATTTCTAGTCTAAAGCAGATATAGAAAAAATGGAAATAAATGTTTCTTAGGAGTGGGTAAATCGATTAAAACAAAAAACCAAAAAAAAATGAATGTGCTTTAGATAAACATATTGTATATTTTTATTAAGAAATCTTTTGGATTAACGATGATCTGGATTGTTTATAACTAATAATTCATATTACATATATAACAAAAGATTTCTTATGATCTATTTTTCTATGTGTTAGAGTTTTTTTCATAAAATTAAATCTTTTATTAAATAATCAAATGGCAAGAGGTACACCAGCAATAGGTAAAAGACATTAAAAGACTCACACTTTCTGCAAGAGATGTGGCAGATAAACATTCCACATTTAAAAAAATAGATGCGCATCATGTGGATATCCAGCTGCAAGATTGAGACTTTGTATTAATGAATAAATACAATATTAGACAGCGGGTGGGGAGAAAAGGTTGCTAGACGTAGATCAACCGGAACAGGAAGAATGAGATATTTGAAATCGATTGCCAGAAGAGCAAAGAATGGTTTTAGAGCAGGAACTTAAGCATAACCAAAAGTTAAAAATACACAGAAAAAGTGATTCATCAGGCTATTATTACAAAATAGTACATTAAATTTTCACACAATCCTTCATCACTATATTATCATTACGTAATAAATTAGCATTTATTTGTATAAAAATGCGAATCAACTTTTCAAATTCATTTTAATCTTTTTTCTGACTTATTGCTCTTCAATTTATTAGCATTCTTATTCCTACATTCTATCTGTCTAATATTCAGCTATAATTTCAAGCCTAAAATAATAAAAGAAATAAATGTTACAATTCATCTTCATTGCAATCATCATCTAAAATTGAAATAATTTTGATTTTCTTTATTAAACTGGTAATGGATTTTAAAACCATGCTGATTTGATCTTGCCAGTCCTGAGATATAAATATCCTCGGTTTTTAATTGATATCTTTTGAAATAGAGATTTTGAATCCATATCCATGGAAAGGAGTTAATACATTTGGTTCGATGTTGATTGTATTAACATTTTTGTACACATTAGAGAAATCATCAAACTTATATTAAGTTAAAAATCCGCTATTTAATTCAAGAGTCGTGTCTTGCTTTTAACTATTTAAATGGATTTCTATGCTATTTCTTTTCAAAATTAATTAAATTGCTTCCTTTTGATTAAAATCGTTTAAGTATTCCGAGATTTCTGAATCAACCTCCAACACATCTAGGTGTCTTCTGTTTTCCATGTATTTTCTTATCAATTCCATTTGTTAAACTTCATCCAACTGTATGATTGGGCATTCGATAGTAAAAAATGAATCTTTAAAAAAAACAATCATTTTAAATTTTTGTATGACTCTTAATTAGGAAATCGTGTAATAAACTTAAATCTCTATTCGTTTAATTTATTTTTTAAAAGGCTTTAAACTTGTATATAATTATAGAATGTTTAATTCAAAGACTAATTTGTCCAAAGATGCGTTGAGCTTTTAAAGTTTAATCTATAGATCAGGGGACAATGTTTAAGGCATCTTATAGTGAATAGAATTGGTGTGGACTTATTCAAATGAAGTAGAGTTGAAATAACAAAAAAAAGAGGGCTTTTTAGTATCAACATCCTCAAACTATTCATAGTTGCTTAATAATAAAATTCCTAATATTTTTTAAATTACAATATACCTTCATTTGAAAAGTAGCAATGTAAATTCTAATCAATAGAATGGCATGTTTTAAGTGCCCTTAAAAATTATTCTGTTTATTTAATTACATAATTCATTTATAAATATTATAGTTTATGTAAAATAACATTAGAAATCAAATAATATTTATTTCTTAGCATATCAATTCATTTGAGTAGATTAAATATCAATAGAAAAAAGTACGATTTCCCATAAAAATGAAACAAGAACTAGTTTTTATATTTATATAAAAGTCAAAGTTCAGTGCTGTTATGCATATCCTATCTTTCTAAACTATCTAAACAACAAAAATCGCTAATCCTAGGATGAGCTTAAATAAAAGATAAATAATGGAAGAATATAAAATAAATACAGCAATTCTATATAGTTAATATTTTCAGAAAAATTTATTAAATAGATAAATTTAAAGGTAAATAAAATGAATTAATATTTTGAAGAAACATAATTATGTCTAAATTATTAGAATCCCTATTCCTAAACAATATCCAAACCTTAATATATATTTAGGTAACCATCCTCTATTCAAAATTATCAGAAAGATATATATCTTAATAGAAAACTATAAACACTATTAACAGATTGGGAATATAACATGATGATTTTTTAATCAGCTTTGTGTTCAACTCACCCAAAGTTATCTAAATTTATTCAGATTATTAAATATACGCTAAATAATTGTAGAGTATTTGAGTGCATTGCCTAAAATTTTATCATTTATTCAAAATCCTTCATAATTACTACTAGTGAACTTATGGCATTTATTTAATTACAATCTAAAATATCGTTAAATGGATATATAGCAATTTGAAAAAGAACTTGTACCAAAACTTTAATTCAAAGCTTCCTCAAGAATTAGTATTGAAAAAGTTTTACAAAATATATTCAAATTCTTTGATCTAAACAATGAAGGGTATTGGAAGAAGCAAGACTTTTTGAAAGCAATTCCAAAAGCAGATGTTACCATTCCAGATTAAGAAGTATAAAGTTATAATAGTATTAGTTTGGATAATAGCTTTGGATAAATTACTCTGTTGATGAAGAAGTATATTATAAAGATTTTATCAATAAAGTGGTTGGTAAACAATAAATGGAAGAATAGGCAGATTCAAGAATTGTATAAACAGGAAGTCCATTAGAATAGTTAAGATTAAAATTACAATAGAAAGGGGCATTAGGCATTTTGAACTTAGCGATTTGCTTGCCAAATTAGGTATTAATTATTTAATGGTGAGTATATGAGTACTTCAAACTTGATTAATTAAATTAAGAGTCAATATTTGAATCAATCAAGATAAGGAGTAGTTTCTTATGTATTTTCCACATTTGAATTGTGAGAAATCAGTCCACAATAATTGATCAATAGATTTAAATGCTGATCGACATCCTGAAAATAAAATATTAAATAGATCTCCTAATGATGTAAGAGAAGATTTTTTATCTGGATTGAGTGTATATCTTCAACTTAGAAGAATTAGAATGTTAACCATATAAGATTTTTTTGATTTCTATTCATATTTTGGATTTTATGTGGCCAATAACGAGATCTTTAAGACTATATTAGCCTAGGTTTTGGATCTAAATTAACTTTAATAATAATTTCCCTAATATGGCACTCCACCAAAAAGTGTAAAATAGTAATAATTAAATGATTCTCCAGAATAATAGAACTTAATTGATAATTCTAAAAATTATGTAATAGTTGAATTTTTCACCTTCTAAAGATATACCTGTAAAATCTTATCAATAACAGTATTTACAATAAAAGGAACGATAATCTGTTTCAAAATCGGTTAAATCTCATTAATTTAACACATCATAAATATCATCTACATCTAGATAGGTTAATTTAATAGTATATTGATATCAAGAGGAGAAAGTGGGTTCACATCATTTTATAGAGTGAGTAAGATCTAAGATGCTGACATGATGGGATGTTAAATTTAACAAAATTTATAAAAGCTATTAGAGATCATAAAATAGAAGTTACAGATCCTGAAATTACTAGATTTATAGGGTTTCAAGTTTGTATTAAGAGGTGAAATGCCATAACAAAGAACTCAATTAATCAAATAACTATTTGAAAATTATCAAACAAACGATTATGTGACATTATCAACTTTAAGAAATAAATTTCATCTTTAGGTACCACCTAGATATAAAAAATGGTAACAAAAGCGATGTGGAAATCATGTAAGACTTTTTTGAACCATTACAATAGTTATAAAATATCAATGGAGGATTTGGTCATGAAAATATTACAAAAGAAGAACTATTAGAATTCTTTAGTAATTATAGTGCTTCAATACCTGATGAAAAATATTTCGAGTAGATAATTGTGAATGTCTTCAGATTGCTATAAGATGAAAGTAAGAATCATCAAGCTGGTAGTAAACAAGTTTTTTTTAATCAGATCATAAAAGAAGTTATTTATAAGATCATCATAGTTATGTTTTACAAAGAGGAATTGTTTCTGCAAACGCACCATTTGGAACATTTACCCAACAAGAATAATTAGCTTAATCAAGACCTTATGTTGGTTATAATTAACCAGCATCATTTAATATATTTAAACCATTGGATGATGTCAAAAAAAAAAGGCTAATCAAAATGGATCTCAAATTTAATAAATTCCACTTTCCTAATCTTAGATTTCATTATAATCTCAGTAATAATATGAAAATCAAAAAAAAAAAGTTGGATGGTGCTAACATTTTGAGAAACAAAATCTCTTAAAGAGGATTAAGAGGTTTAATAAATATTTAGTATAGATTTTAGTTGTATGATAAATCTCATTTGAATGCTCTATCATATTAGGAATGGAAGAATTGCTTTAAGTAATGGAGATTGGAAGTTAGTGATTAAATTTTAGATGAAGTTTTCTAATAATTTTAAACAAATGGAATGATGAACTATAGAGGATTCGTTAAATAGATGTAAGGTACAATGAGTTTAAGGAAGTTTAACTCTGTCCAAGAAGCTTTTGAATCTCTTCCTAAGGCTACCATTGATATAGTTAAACGTAATTTAAGTTTCAGGATTTATAGAATAATTCAATGCAAAAGATCATCCTGATGCTAGAGCCAACAGAAAAAGGGAGGATGATGTGTTATGTGAATTTATTGACACTTATGAATAATATCATATTGTTTATGTAAGAGGTTTTTTTATATTCTTAGACAGGTGGAGATTATGTCAAAAATTCCAATATAACTTTTGAAGAGGTTATTGGATATCACTATAATTTAAATTTGTTGTTTAAAGATGATATTTAATTTTAATAGTATGTTTAATCGGTGTGGAATTTAAGGAGGTAATTCTGATTTTAATATAAATGAATATATCATAATATAATCACACAGAACTAATTAGATGTATTTAATATATTTTTGATATATATTATTTATTTTGATCAACTTAATAGCCATAATTTAATTGTTTGGTCTACTGAACATGTGGCGAATATAAATTTATTTATTTCACATTTTAATATGAATTTGTCATGAGCATTTTCTATTTTCTTTTTTTGTTTCTATTCTTTCAAGTTCCAAACCTACATCAATATGGAATAAATACTCTAATAGTCTTGTCATCAGATACTGAAAGCATATGAACTCCATCTGGATGAAAAGAGACTCCATTGACCCAATTATCATGGCCAGATAATGTAAACAGATTCGTTCCTAAAATAGTATTCCAAATTTTAATTTCCTTGTCTCTTGACACTGAAACTAATAAGTTAATCGTTTAAATATTTTGCTGTTATTGTTGAGTAAGTATTTGCTTAGCCCCATGTTCTGGGATATACTTGACTTATTCAACTACATGTTCATGTCCACTCAATTAATGTAAAACTTATCCACTATCTATCACCCAAATATAAATCATTTAATCTTAAGAACAGGAGGCTATTTGTTTTTCATCATTGCTAAATACAGCACATCTGACCCATTCTTAATGTTCAGAGAATGTTTTCTTGCAAAATCCTGTTGCCACTTCCCATAATTTGATATTTTTATCTCTGCTGGCGCTCAATATGAAGTCTCCATGGTCAGAAAATTACACTGTTGATACACTATGTTCGTGACCTATGAGTGTTTTTACACACGTATGATTTTTCAATTCCCATATTTTTATTGATAAATCCTTATTATCAAATGTAATTATACACTACTAGCACTACAAATGTACTTTCCAGTAGGATCAAATGCCAAACAATTTACATTACTTGTATGTCCTTTTAAGGTTTTTTCGAAATGACCACTTTCGTAATCCCATAATTTAATACTGCCATCATCGCTTGCTGAACCAAGAATTTAGTATTAAGGATGAAAAGCCACACAATTCACTCCTGCTCTATGTCCTTCTAATTTAAATTTCTCAATCGGTGTTAATCTTTATTCATCATCAGCTATATCTTAACTTTATTTGTTGTACATTTATTAAATTGTATTTTGCCAGCTTAAGCTTATGCTAATTATTCATTCAATTGTTCTACTTGCTATTCCAAAGTTATTACTCTTTTTGACAACCTTACAATAGAATTCCATTTTTTTTCCAATAAATCAGCTTCGATTTATCCATCCTTAACAGCAGCTTCAGTTTTAAACAATTGTGCACTCTATTGATAGCTTATCAATAAATATTGATGTATTGCCTAATTTAATTCATCCCTTTGTCTAGCAGTCAACACCATAATAATAATTAAATTAATAATAATTTCAAATGGGATTCATTTCCATTTGATTTCTATATAGGCATCTCAAACCTCCAACCAATTCTGATTAATTATTCAAAAACATAATAAATATACACCCAAAATGCTATAAAATCCATCTCACCACTTTTTTTAATAAATACTTATCAAGAATGTGACTTTCAGATCTCCTCTGATGTTAGATAACATTTGATTAATCTTAATAATATAAATTGGTTAATAATATATTGGATGGTATACATAATATATGATATTGTAACTCATTCTTTCTTGCTTGCTTCTTCAAAGTTTTACCCTTACACTAATACAGGAATATCATCTTCATCTTTTTGATCAGCCTCAGCAATTTTTTCAACTTTTTCCTTAATATTTTTTTAAATTGTGTACCTTAGACTAATTTTCTTTCATTAATTCTTAAAGAAGACCCATTTAGTTTGGACCAATATGATTCAAAATCTCTGGCATCAACTCTGCAAACTTTTTAGTTTCTGGATTTCCAAAAATGGCAAATGTATTGCTTCCAATAGCTGCTTGGACTTCTGGTTTTGAAAAGTGAATAATTGTATTATCATCTTTGAAAAAGTTGACTTCATCAATATTCCCTAATTGTTGTACTCCAAATTTCTTGATAACTTATTTAAGCTTCTTATCGTCATTTATCTATAATGATTATTTCCATTACGTACTTAAGTTTAGTGAACATTTTTATGCTTTCTTCTGGCCAAAGTGCTGCCCATTTTTGTTTGTCCAAATTTTTCAGCTAATTTCTTTCTGTTCTCTTCAAGTTCTGCCTTGATTTATTCCTTATTGTTGGACATTGTTTGTTTTTATTTAAATTTAAAGATTTAATTTTTTAATGACTCTCTATATATACCCTCATTTATAATAACTATTTTATATATGCAATTATTATGCCTTGATTATTATTCATTATGTATTCTTCTACTCTTACAAACACAAAATCAAGTGAGTAATATTTATTAAACTTATATAATATAACTATACAATAACATTTTATTTTTTAATTATCATAAAATGGCAACAGGTAATCTTAACAATTATGCATAGGTGGATAAATTCTTAGGTATAATGGTGGTACCTGCTACGCTATGTGTTAAGATGTATTTTCATGGTATAACCCATCAATCTAAATCTGTTGGAAGGGATGCGATTATGCTACTGGCAGAGTAAATGATCCTGTTTTGAGAAAAGAAGCTGAAGACATGTGCAAAAGATATACTGCTGAAGCCATGTGGACAAAAAAAGGAGAATTAGGTATCATAATTATTTGCAATTCAAATTTATAGATCACATCGAAGATTTAAGAATTCATGCTGATATGTTTCCAGAAAATCCAAGAAATATATATAGAGCTTGTTTGGCTGGGGTTCGTAGATAAAAATATTGAATCATTATAACAATATAAAAAATAATAATAGTATCATAAGATAAATAATAATTAATGTTTTCTCATCAATCACTTAATTCCAAAGATAGTTTAGATGAATTTCTACCTATGTTTCACAACAAAGATAATAACAAAGCCATCTTGTATCAATAAGAATAGAACATAATCAAATACTTAAAACAAATAGGCCTTGTCATGAAAACTGATCCACTAAAAAAATAACAAGAACACTTCTAGTAATATTTTATAATACTCTTTTATTAGAAAATCGAAAATATTTGAAGTCTTCGTATCGAAAACTGAAAATGATGGTTCGGATGAAGAGGAAAGAATCTTATCAACCAATGAAGTAAGCCCCTCAGAAGTGAATCAAAATGAATTTTGCATTTTTAACAATCCACTAATTTAAAAAGGAAGGAAGCTAGAGTTAGAAAGAAAGCATTCGTTTGAGAACTTGGATCTTTAGTGAAGCCTTATGACTCTTATATAATTAAATGCTTATACAATTTAGATATAATATCGTTTTATTATTATTTGATTTCAAAATAAGTTACTTGTAACAATAATATAATGGTTCAGCTAATTAAATTCAAATATCAGTCACATCCCTTCAGTTTTTAATTAACTATAGTATTGTTTCTAAACAATTTTATTAAAGAACCCTATTTAAATCTTCCTTAGAAATCTATAAAATAGTTGCAAATATTCTAACAAAAAATAAAGAATTCTAATCTCTATCTCATATTAAGAAGAGTGACAGGCCTTTCAATATTCATATATCTACTTTCAATATTGTAAATGAAAATAAATTGATTAAATCAGTGAGTTTTATTGTTTAATAAGCAAAATTAATAATATTATGCAGAAGGAATCCTTAACAGATAGTTATTTTTTCTTTTCATTTAGTTTTAACCATGATTTTAGTTAAACATCTAGTACTTATTACATAAACTGTATAAATTTTATATATAAGGTTTCCAATATAATCAATATTTTAAATCATAAATTTAATGTAAATATTCTTTAATTAGAGACTAAGTTCAGAATAAAAATCTTCTTTTTATTCTTCATAATTCTTATTTTGTTACAAAGCAATTGGGAGTATGATCTTAAAAAAATTTAACCTCTATTCATTAGCTTTTAATAATTATTGAAGTAACAAAATTTTAAGAATTGACAACAAGTATTCAATTTGTCCAGAAATAGAAGCTGTATTTAAATTAACATAAGAACAGACTTCTGCATACTAGTTTCAGTTATTATTGTTATTTGAATTTATTTCTGAGTTTTAGAAATCCTTAAATACTAATTACTTCCTCATAAATGTATTCTATTATATGAAGTCTAGTTAATCTATATATTTGAGTTAAATTGCTTTAATGATTAGCAATTCTAAATAAAATATTCGAATAATATCTTTACTGATAAAGAAAAATCTGTATTTAAATTATAATAATTATTTGAATAGTTTTTACTCCCCTTTAATAAGATGTCTTTAGAGGTTTTACGTTTGCTGATCAATTGGTATGCAGTAATTTATTCATTACTCATATGAAATATATAAAAATTAATATATAAAAAATTGATAATTAGAGGAATGTATAATTTAGATTCTTAAATTTCTAACATTTAAATTTAATCTATTCAGTTGTGTTCATAATCATATGATTTTGTCTCAATTTCATCAAGATGAAATAGAACAAGATTCTGGAATTTTATTATCAAAGCATGTAATAATTGTCTAATATATTTTCTTTTTGGATTTATATTCTATATTTAATTCTGAGCTACTATATAGTTCTTTGCATTACACGACTTTATATTTATAGAATTCAATTCATTTTATGAATTAAAGTTAAATAACTTAGAAATTTTTCATTTCATACGTGGTTCATTATATTTTTTTTGTGGAGACTGGTTTTATTGATTTTATTATTTAAGAAACAATAATTTGTTTGAGAATAGAAACAAAATTAAATACAAATATAATTTCAGTTATCCTCTGTGTTATGAGATTCTGAAAGTTGTTAGGTAGTGTTCATAGTTATTGCTATTATAATTTTAAAATTAGTTTGACATTCACTCTTTTCTTTTAACTATCTGGAATCAGATTAAGATTGTAGATTCTTATAAAATAGGGTTTCAGAAATGATAATAAATGTGAGTTATCTTTTTGAACTTTATCCTTAACTAGCGTGTGGAATATTATTGCTTACAAATCCTTTATACCTAACTATTATCATTCTTACAATGTTAAGTATCATATTATTTTTGCCATAGATTAAGATTTGGTTAAATTATTATTATGTTGATCATGTATTTCATTTTGGAGATTTCAGTTAATAAAAAATAAGTTGAATTGAGAATGATAAAATGAAAAGTCGAAAGGTGGAGATTGGTTACTTTGATATTGGCAATTTGATGTTGGACAATGTGAACTTAGGATGTAAATGAATAAGGCATTATTAAAATATATTTTGATTTTATTCAAGCAACAATGCTGCAACCGGTAGCTTTAATTCTTGAATCTTATCCAGCTGGTATGTAGAATGAAACCTTAACAGTTCTGGTTTAATCACCTTTCTAAACCTTACCATAAATGCTGTAGTTGAATCCAGAAACGACTTATGTATCGACTTATGTTGTCTATTTCCACACAAAACCATTGAGTCCACATAGTTCTAAACACGTTAAACACAGTTCAATACCTTAAAATTCTTCTTTGGCCATGGCTGCAGCTCTTCTGTATTTCATAACATCGCTTTCTTATTTGTTTGAACTTGTATTTTTCTTACCAACTGCAGGGTCTTATTGATCTAATCTAGCTGAAATTGTAATCAAGAATAAGGTGAAAATAACCAACTTAAGCATGTGTATGTTAATAATATTAATGTCTTAATAACCTTTAATTGAAATTCCAACGCTGACTTAAAATGATAACAACCAATAATAAGCGCAGAAAAATAAACCAAGCAAAGTTTCAAAATAATAGAGCTTAGATCATTTATCTGTTCATAGTTTTAAAAGTGGATTAACATATATAAGAGATTCTTGGAAGAGTGGAATGGCTTAAGCAATATTAAATATGCCATTTCATTTAACAATAGGAAGCAGTTCAGGTTGTAATGCTTCTGTTGGCATTACTACAGCATTCATAGCTGCATTCACAAATGGGTTTTTTAGTGGAAGTATATAATTAAGATTTATTAGGTAATCACTCTATCTATATGCCATCTTGGGTAGTTATTGGATTAAACTATTAATTAGTGAAGACTTATGGTGTTGAAGTTATGCCTTGGATCACAATAATAGTAGGAATCTAAATTTATATAGCAGGACTATTAAAGTGGCATCATTTATCAGATTTCATTCCAGTTTATGTTATTGAAGGATTTTTGCTGGGTATTGCAAGTTTATTTTTCTTTTCTTATAGTGATTACATGTTTGGATTAACTGATAATCATTCTAATAGGGGAGTGGAACTTTATTCTTCTTACTATGACATGTTAAAGTCTTTTATAGAGAGAGGAGATATAAATTATTTGATTGGAGCATGGTGTGTTTTCCTCTTTTTGTAGATGGGTAGGATACTCTTTAGATAATTTCCATGGATATTTATAACAACTTTGACTGGATTAACCTTGGGAATAGTATATCCAACTGAAAAATGTTTGAGATCTGCATATGGAGAAGTCACAATCTATTTTGATTTTATCGAATATGATGGCCCTAAATTTCATCCAGACTTTTAAGTGGTTAGTCATCTTATAACTGAAGCTATTCCAATTACACTTTTTATTTTGATATAAAATCAGTTCTGTGCAAGGGCAGGTTAATCTTTAAGTGGAGTTAAATGCGATTATGATCAGGAAATCTAATGCGTTTCAACGGCAAATATTTTAAGTGGCATTTTTGGTGGATTACCTTGTTGTGCATCTTCAAGAATGTACATTCTGGATATCAAATTACGTAAAACAAATCAATGGTCCTCCATTCTTAACGCCTTTTCAATACTTTTCTTCTATGGAGTTTTTAGTAAGGTTTTCATGGATATACCCTTCTACATTATAAGTGGTCAATTGTTGTACATGATTATCAATATACCACCATGGCATTATTATGTTAACTTATATAGAACCTAGAGAAAATTAATCTTATTCTATATTTTTTGTATTGCTTGGTTATGCGTTAATTATGGAGCCATTTAAAGCACTCTAATTGGAAGCATGCATGCTCTTATCATATTTGCTCAAAAAATGAGCTTGCCTTCTGCAGAAGTAATGACCAATCAAAAGGATGGAGTTTATTAGATAAATTTAAGAGACACCAATCTTCACGAATTTGAGGAGGAATGCAATGACATACCTCCAAATATAGAAGGAACCTATACTGTCTATAGGTTTAACGGAGCCTTGAATTATATCAACATTAAAGGACATATTGATTAAATCAAAGAATTGGCAAAGACTGATATTTTCATTCTCAGTTTTAGATATGTTTGTGTAATCGATTTTTAAGCTGTTGATAGCTTGGCCATTATTATAGATAATATGAGAAGTATTATATTGTTTAAAGATAGAAAATAGCACTTAAGTTTTTGTAACTGGATTGCATCCTGGAATGTTGGAATAATTGAGTGAGAATAGTATATTTAAAGAGTATTTTATTAACGAAAACCACATGTTCCATCAAATAGATAAATTACCTCATTAGTGAAAATCAATTGTTATTAAGTTTATAAAAATATTAATAAGCAGATAAAGATTGATTTATAATCTTAATATGAATATATCTTCACATTCTTTAATGACTTTATTATATACTTCTTACTGTGACATAATCCTAATTTTCAGTTTTTCTATTTCTTTGTCTTGTAGTTGATTTTCCTTCTTAATCTACTTGCTAAAGTATCATCCATTTTATCCTCGGTAATAATATCTTCTCTGAAAAGTTCAACCCTTTGACAGAAATTTTCAGGAATGACTAATTTGACAAGAGCCAAAAATATAATGCTACCTATTCCAAATCCGATGCAAAGTATATGTTGTTAAACAGTTAAATGAGACACCTTAACAAATTTACCACCATATTAAATTAAGATGCATTAGATTATCAAAGTGAATGTCTAGACACCCCAAAATAGAGGATTGTTGCATGCATTAGTAAAAGGGTTGATAGTTTTGTAATCGAGTTATCTGCATGTAATTGAATTAAAAACTTGCATAACGACAAAAGTTTAGAAAAATATACTCATTTACACTACATTCTTATGGAACTTAATTGATAACATTTATATATTACTTTTTATCCTTCTAACTCTTAAGGCATTGACAAATCCATATATTTTGGAAGAACAAACAAGATGCCACACAGAACAGCAATCTGATAGACAGATCCTCCTACGATGGTTCTATTCATGGTTGGAGATACAATTTTATCCTCTCTCTTGTATGGTTGTCTTTCAAGCACTGTGATATTGGGAGGTTCAGTTGCTAATGCTAAGGAAGCAAAGGTGTCCATAATAAGATTAACCCAGAGCATTTCAATAGTATTTAATGGAGATTCTTTTAGAACAACAGCACCCAAAAAGGACATGAATAAAGCCACAAGGTTTACAGTTAATTGAAATTGGATAAATTTCCTAATACAGTCGTAAATATTTCTGCCCCATTTCATAGCTAAATTTACAAATAATAAATACCTGTGATTATGGAACTGAAATTATCATCTAATAAGATAATATCAGCAGCCATCCTTGGCAACATCAGAACCAGTGATACCCATAGCAAATCCTACATCTGCTTTTTTTAAGGCTGGTGCATCATTAGTACCATCACCAGTGACTGCAATAACATTACCTTCAGCAATCAATCCAGTAACCAAAATGTATTTATCTTCAGGTGATGCTCTTGCCATAACCTTCATGTCTCTGGCAACCACTTTAAAATTTTCTTTATTTCCTACTTCTTTGATTTCATTTCCATCCTTGTCTTTACTTGTTTTGAGTCCTCCTACAAATTCTCTGAAAAACTTGCCCTCCATTACTTCATATTGTCCCGGTTGTTTGTTACTTTGAAGAATTCCGCATTCTTTAGCTATGGCTGTGGCAGTCAATATATTATCACCAGTAACCATTCTAACAGTAACTCCAGATGAATGACATTATTTGATTGAATTTGGTACATCTGGTCTTATTGGATCTTTGATTCCTGCAATTGCAACTAGTACTAAATCTTTATCTAAATCATCCTCTTAGATTGATTAGGTGTATTTAGTAAGTTAAGGAATTTATCCTAATACACTTGAATTTTAAGAATGAGGATCGAGATCTCTATAAGCAATGGCTATTGTTCTTAAGGATTCTGAGGCAAATTTTTAGATTACATCATTATAGATTTAATTTCTTGCATTCTAGTCTAATAATTATTCAACACCATTAGCTCCTACCATTTTGATGCATTGATTTAATACAATTTCAGAAGCACCCTTAGTATACACTCTAACAAATTGAGTTTTTGGATTATATACTGCAGTACTCATCTTCTTTCTCTTGCTATTGAATGGGATTTATCTAAGGATTTTATCACTAGGTCTATATTATGAAAAGTTGTAGTTGAAATTATCGGCACACTCTAACAAAGCACATTCAGTCTTATTACCAATTTAAATCCACTTATTTGTTACTTTATCCTTTTATGGGAATGCATTTGAATTGTAGCATATACTTTCACACATCAATTCAACGGTATTCTTATTCAGTTTAGATTTAATCGTATGGACATCATTCTATATAGTATTCCTTTCAACATACAAGGCAGTTACTTGCATGATATTTTGGGTTAATGTGCCGGTCTTATCACTACATATGTTATTGGCTCCACCCATTATTTCACAAGATGATAGATTCTTAACCAAATTTTATTCATCTTTCATTTTTCCAACTGAATATGCCAATGCTATTGTAACAGCCAAGGGTAAACCTTCAGGTACAGCCACAACAATAATGGTTACAGAAATCATAAATGATTCCACTATCACTTATAAGGTCTTAAGACTTTTGAATTGTATCTGACCTAAATAGATGTCATATCCAAGATGTCCCATTAAAGCAAAGAATGTAAAGATTGATACAATAACTCCCAATTTTCCTATATCTGAAGCCACTCCTTCTAATTTCTATTATAATGGAGTTGGTGGATTGTCTTGAATCAACAATTTTTTTAACTGTCCAGAGATTGTATTCTAACCAACAGCTAGAACTAGCATTTAGGCTGTTCCATCTAAGCATTTAGTTCCTGATATTAAAAATGGACTAGTGTGACCTCTGGCAGCATCTTGATTCAAATTATTATTGTTTTTATTGTGCCATTTCTTGATATGGTAATTTTTTTATTTCATCACTTTCTCCAGTCATTGCTGACTCATCCATTTTAACTGCACTTCCTTATATCATCAAACCTATTATAATAATACACTTATTCTGTTACCATCTACAACAAATAGATCCCCTAAATTAAATAATAGAATGTCTCCAACAACGAGATCTTTGGTTGCAATTTCAGTTACCTTATTTCCTCTTATTACTTGACATTTCCCATCATCCAATCTTCTTCTCAACTACCTGAATTGTTTTTCTTTCAAATAATTATTTCCTGCAGTGATCGAAATGATCAAAAATATTGCAAAGAAAATAGTTGCTCTATTTTTATTAATAATTCACTTACCCTTCTGTCCAACCTGTTGCCAATCCTTCATTTATTATTCCAATTACTGTTGACACAAGTGCTGCTAGCAATAAAATTCTAAGCATCGTGTCCTCCAGGCATTCCATGATCAATTCACAAAGGGTTGTTGGTTCTTTCTCCACTGGAATATTGTCGCCAAAACTTTCTCTATTCCTTTACACATCTGCTTCTGTCCCAAGTCCTTACTAAAACTCTCAGGGTATTGATACTTTTATATCAGAATTCAACTTCCGAGCCAAACCATAGTCATCTCCAAGAGATTTTACTTTGTTCATACTCTGCCCATCATTTATTTTGTTTAAGATAAACAAATCAGTAAGATCTTCAACGCTCAAAAGAGAAAGCCTTCCTTCTATATCCTACTGCTGTTAATATTTCATGAATAAATTTAATTATGTTTGTTACTTAATTTTATGTTTGTTCTTTATTTCAAATCTTTGCATAATTTTCCCTAACTCACCTACAAATCAATTTATAAATATCTCCCATTCTATAGATATTTATACACATAAACTAATGATGTAAATTATATTTGATGAAAAATCAATATTGCAGTTACTTAATACATCAAAATAAAACACATAATATCAATTATGAAGTAAAAACTAACACTAAACTGGTTGAATACCTATGATGCATTGTAATTTCATACCAAACTTTGATAAACTTATTTATAAATTTTATAAAATTAAGCTATTTGTAGAAGTCAAATGTATCTCTATTTTAAGGTTAAGTTCTAGATTAAATTTATTGGATCCATACTTATTATAGAATTGTATTTTAATACAACATCATGTCCTAAGTTTTAATCAATTTAGACATGATTTTAATTATATTCAAAGAATCGATAACCAAATGTTCTAATTAAATAAATAATTAAATTATTAGTTTTTTCAACACTTCATTTGAAATATGAAATGAGATCTCGAAAATACAAATAATTAACCCTTTGTACTTTGTGCTATTTCTGGAAAATTACATGTATAAAAATCGAATAGTTAAAATTAGTTTTGACTAAAATTTATTAAAGAGAATAATAGATTTATTCTTCATCGAAAATGTAAAGAATTCTAATTTATAAATTATTATATTATTTTGTCAAATATACTTTATAAATCACTCTAAAAGGACTAATAAGAGTGCGAATGCTCCAAGAATGAGTTGATTGCTATCCATATCATTGCTAACCAAATCGTCGCAAGCAAGGCATTTATTGTCAGATGTCCACTTGTAATTACCAAATGTTCTTTAATAACAAGTAGTTTGGGTATAAGCTGATGTGTCAGCAGCGTCAGCACAAGCACCATTAGCCCAAGCACATAATGTGAAAGAGGTATCACTTGTAAAAACAAAATTACATGCCTACTCAATGGGGAGATCAGAGCATTTAATAGAACGACAAGCACTTCCCTCATAGGTACATGAACCAGAGTTATTGCATAGGTTTGTGAAATTGCTAAGATCTGCACATGAACTGCCTGACTTCACAGATTTGCATGTATTATCATTAGCCCAAGCACATTAACTTGTTTGTGTATCAAATCCTGTGCATGTTTAAGATGTTGTAAATGATGAACAAGTGACAAATTGATAGGCAGCACACGATCCTGATTATGCTGTACAAAATTAATTCTCTGGACATTCCTCAACACTGTAGTCAGCGCAAGTTGAAAAGCTTGCACATTAATTGCTTTTATTCCAATAGCATCCATTTATATTACGGCAAAGAGCAACAGTTGTGCCATCAGAACATGAAGGAGTCCAATCATCACAAGCTCCATCCTTCCATTTACAAGAACTAAATGCATCGCAAGTGATTTAAGTATTCAAATCTGAGCACTCTAAATTGAACTCTTGGCATTCACTATCAGATGAATTCCAAAGACAATAAGATAATGCAGCTCCACAATCGGTTTAAGTGAGTTCTGTACATTCACAATGTTTGGCAGCATCAACTGTCAGAGCTGCTGTTGTTAAGCCTATCATGCATATAGAGATCAATAATTTACCAATCATATTTATTACTAAATAATATTTTCATATACCCCGTTATAAAGAGCGACAGGTAAATTAAAATGTCAATATCAATTAATTTTTATTGAAATAAATCAAATTTTTACATAATACATAAATTATGCAAATTTTTTCATTATTTTTTTTAAATTTTTTTTCAATAACTTAAAGAATGCCATAATAATATTTTAAAGTATATTTCTTATAATTACAGTATTATTGATGATTCAACATCATCTAAACTACTTGAAAAAAAGAGTCAAAAACTTTAGGATTAATGCTTAAATCTTGGTTTTTTTTTAGTTTTTATACCCTTTTATATTAATATTTGAAGGGTTTCAGAAGAAAGAAAAGAGAATACAATAAGGATCATTCATCTAGATCAAACCCAAATTTTATATTTTTTAAAGCTTGGAGACTATTTAAATTCAGAATCTATCATTTTTTCAAAAATTTGCAACCTTTGCTTACTTGAGTATTGTAACAAACATGAGCTTAGACAAGGCTAATTTACTCAAAAATAGCAATTAAGTGTGTAAGATTATCAATATGAGAAAATTAATCGAACTGAAAATTATATCCATTGAATACTCGAAAATAAAATTTAAATTCTCTAATTAATAATTCATTATTAATAACATGAAATGTCTAGAATTAATATATTCATTAATAAAATTTATGAGATGCTTTATTAATAATGAATATATTAATTATTTAAGGTCTATATTTTATCTATAGTTACTTATAATCAAACCTTAAATTCTTACCCCCTTATGGTTTCTTATGTTTGAATATCATTCTATATATTATTGATTCATTATCAGGCTGCATTTTTAATTGTTTTATATTATTAGTTGTTGCAAATACATTGCAATGAATACTTACTTGAATTCTTCATTTTAAATCATTGATTAAATTATGATGAATCATCATGCGTTTCTTACTTTAATGTAATGGTATTAATAAAAAATTCATTGGAATTATTTTTTATTTCGTCTTAAAGTAATTAATCGAGTGAGAATTGTGTTGAGGAATTCTATTAATTATGAAAAAGAAGATTAGAAAATTTTGATATTTATTTAAGATTGAGTGATATTGCTTGAGGGAATTGCAGAATCGTAATCTATTTGAAAAGGTAGAATAAATAACTGAGGATGGTTTTATAAAATAAATAATAGTAACATATCGTTTTTTTAATATTAATGTTTATAATCGCAGGAATTTTATTTGTAAGTGTTTTTGGGCAGTTAGGCTATGATGGTTATACGGAATGGCAATCTGGGATTGACAGAACCATCAATAGACAAAGTAAATTTGTTGAACCTGTTTATCCATTGCAGATGTTCACAAGAGTGCAATTTCCAAGATAATTCAGCAGGTTAGTATAATGGCTATTTGAATAGACGGCCATAAGTTTTATTGATGCACGAAGAAATAGAGTGGAATAAAAATAGGAATATCAATTATTAAACTTTTGTTTCCGATGTGACTGTAAAAGGGTTCTATATCAACTATTTAATTAATGGCCCAGCAATTATTCCAGTGTTAAGAGTAAGATGGGTGGCTTTTGTAGATTCAGAAGCAGAAGTTCAATACGTTAATTATCAATTTGAAGATTTGATTAGATTGAGACAAGGTTTTGGAACTAGATTCCAAGATTTCATGGTTCAATATTATTTGAAATATCCAACACCAAGAGTAGTAGCATTCATTGTAGGTGCAGAAATGGAAGTTTATGACTCATTAACAACAACTATATAAATTTAGTTGGGTAAACCAACAGGAAGTGCCACTCCTGTAAGAATATTGACAAGAGATAGATGTCATATTAATACTCTTAGAATAGCATACTTTATTTCTTCAGATTATTCTACTATAATGGGAACTTTGGGTAGTTCAGACAATTACTTTAATTAGTTTTTGGATAATGAAAATAGAATGAAATTAAGAGTACAAAGATTTGAGAGAGAAGTACCTTCTACTTTTATTTTCGAATCTCATTAGAATGTATTGGCCTAGGGAATCACAGGATTCGATGTGCATAGTAGAGCGGGTAATTTCTACGTTAAGGTTGGAGGTGAATATATTGATAAGAAATCATCTACTTATCATTGTGCATATGGAACACGTAATCATTTTAATTCTATTTTAGGTGGTGACACTGTACTCTAATACATGGAAGTCAGTTATATTTTACATCCCCCAGCATTACCTCCATATCAAATGCTTGTTGAAGAGAGTGCTACAGACAAATAAGAGGAGGAGACTAAAACAGAAGAATAATAACTGCTAAATGAATCATTAATACCATGACATATATATTTTATATAAATTAAAATAATGTAAATAGAGCAACCACAGATTAAAAAGTAATATGAAAAGGCTCATGTTTCTTTGCATCATAAACAAATTCCATATTTACCATCCACCATCACAGCTCTCTCAAATAATCCTATGTAGCAATTATTGCTGGTTGGTAAAGAAAATGGAGTGATTGAAATCTATTCTTATCCAACATACACTCAAATTTCAATTTGTTGTTCCATCAATAGTTAAATTCGTTCACTCTTTTGGATTGATGAAGAACGTACTTATGTAAATAATATATCTAGATTTCATTTGTGCATATTTAAGTGGTCAAATTTCATTGTTTAATATTCACGATTATAAACCTCTAAATAATTTTTAATTGCCAGATAATATTAATATCTATGAATCCATACCCACCATTGACTCATACTTTTTATGTGCTTGCAGTGATGGTTCCATCAGAAAATTCGATTATTAAAACAATAAAATATATCAAATTCAACAATCACAACAATTAGATTGCCAATGTTTATCGATTGCTATTAATAAAGAATATGTTTATGCATCTTTCTCTAATGGGTCTATCAGATAATTAACCTAAAAGACATTATTGCAATAACAAACATGGCAACTCAATATAAGCAGTTCCAAAATTGCCAAAGCTAATGTTATTATCCCTTGGAAATTATGTATTTGCAATAATAATCTCTTTATTGGATCATCAAATGGCAGTGTGATTATTTATGAGACCTAATTTAACACTGAAATCCAACAAATACAAACACACATGTCAGATATTCTTACTTTATATCCAAATCTAAATAATGTTTATGTGAGTGGAGTAGATAGCAAAATTGTTTGTTTATCATATAATGGATCACAATATTAAATAACCTAACAAATAAGAGGACAATCTCATGATGTTTATGCCTTTGAAATCATTAAGAATAATATCCTTATATCTGGAGGTCTTAATACTGATATTTGTTATTATAAATTAGATGGCAATGGTTAATTACTTTAATAGAATTAGTTTACACATATTTTCACTATTCCTAGAAGTGAACAATTTATTTGCAATCATTAATATATTGCAATTAATAAATATGATTCTATAGATTTGTTATCTTATGATATTGAATCTGATCCTATCTATTGGTGTGAATTCAAACTCTAGAAACCAGCTCATTTTATTAAATTGACTAAAAATTTATTGTGTTATGGTTAGAGTGATTAAACTGTTGCCATGAGTGAAGTTGATAAGCAATTTAAAAAATATAAAGTTTATCCGCATTTCAAATGTATGGAGTTTGATCACACTTAAAAGTCATTTTATAGTATTGACAAAGATGATAAACTATTTAAACATAAATTTAATGGACAATCTCAATTTATAGCTTAATTAATTCATGGATAACCAAAATTAATGAAATTTGTTAATAAAAGAATACTAATAATCACATATCCTTACTTACAAAAGTTCATTTCTGTAAATGTCGTTAACAATACTGTTGAGTAAATTGACTGTAGATCTAATCAAAATTATGTAACGAATATTTTGATAATCAATGGCAAATGTATGAAAATACTTGTCACTTATGCTTCTCACATTTTTGCAATTTACAACTACGATTTCAAAGAATAATTATGGCAAATGAATTCATATTCTAAAGAACATATGATGCATTCTCCTCTTAATGTTTCTCTTTTAAAGGATCCAATAAGAGGAGCAATCACTGATAATTAAGATAGCAAAAGAATGTTATTATTTACTAAGTAAGAATTGCTATTTAATTATAATAGTAATCATTTCATTAGACTTCATCAAAGAGGAGTACCACCTAAAGAAGTAAAGGAGTAAGAATTCAGTAAGATGCTGTAACCAGAGAAGAAGGATTCTGGATAAAAATTGGATATCGTTGACAATTATGCATTGATTTATCACAATTATGTGATCTTGAATTGCTTGAATGTCAGCAATTAGAATTACATCTTATTGGAATGGGATAAATAAGCCACCTTTTCTTAAATTCAAGGTGCATTTGATGGAAAAAAATATAAGCGTTGATGTATTTTATTTTATGTATATTAATAATAATAATTTAAAAAAAAAGTTATAGTCAGATGTTTCAAACTAAAACAAAATAAAAAAGCTTTAGAGAATTACATACTGTGTAAGAGAGACAAGCGATATTTAAGGATAAGATAAGTCATTACCCAGATATGATTCCTGTGATTTTAGAGAAACATCCAAAATCTAAAATCTAACATTTGAATAAACAATTGTACTTTCTACCTTAAAATATTGATATTTAGTCACTAAAAGCTTTCGGATGATTCAATTCCGCGATACAATAAAAAGCACTTTACAGATTTCATCTAAGTAATCTCTATACTTTCATATTGGAAATCAAGTGTTACCTGAAGGTATAATAATTGAAAGATTTTCTTAGATATCAAATTGGCAGATATTTATGAGAAGAAGAAGGATTCAGAAGATGGATTCTTATATATAACTTTCTCTGATTTAGAAGTCTTTGGATTCAATTCTAATTGAAATGATAATTAAGAGTTGTTTCATTTTTTCAGTATAATAGTTTTATAAAGTTATTAATTATTCATCTCTTGTGAATGATTATTTTCTTCGAATATTTCTTATGTAATTTATTTTTGGTAATCCTATTACTTAATCCATTTGAAAATGTCACTTCTAAAAGAAAATTTCAATATTTTGATTTTGTATTGATTACATTTTCTTAAATAAAATAGATTTTAATGACTTAAATACATTATAACTTAATCGATCGAATTTTTTATTAATAAATCTTGCTAATTAAGTTTTTAATTGATTCATGATCAGCAAACTAATTATATGGTTTAAAAATCTCAGAATGAGTAACTAGATAATAATACTCAACTTCTTTATTATTTTATTTGCTGTGTTTGCAACAATAGCGACAGCATATGTTTAATAAGCAATATTTTTCACATACATTTAGGAATTTGAATCAGCATTATCATTGAAATAGGAAAAAGCTATTGTAAATAACATCTCTAGAAAACTAAGTCTTTACATTCAATTGAAAAATTACCAAAGTAAAGATTGACGCAATAATTTATAGCAATTTTAAATTTATAGCACTCTCAATAGATGGTATATCAATTTACACAATTCTAATCAGATTACTAGATTCATATAAATTAGTTTTAAGATTGTATCGAGGAAGAGGAAATTCAACAAGATTATATTGTTTATAATTCAGACATCATCTGCTAAACGTTATAAACAAAATAATATGATAGTCAAGGAATGCTACTCAATAAAACTCTTGCATTACTAACTCCTTTCACTTAATTATTTACAGGTGGAGAAGAAAATAAAATATCATTTATTGATGTACCAAATAATTAAATATTTGCTCTATTCCCAAAAATGTACAAGTACAAAAATTTTGTTCCTAAGAATAGACCTTGGTAAGCTTCAATTATATTTCAGGTATAAGAACCATATTGCCCAATATTAAATTTAACCCAGTTAAGATTATTATTACTCTCCAATCTACCTCTCAGCTCGAAATTTCATGCCATATTTCGCCTTAACCTATTCCTTGATTATTAACTAAACTTTATTTGGAATTACAACCTAATTATAGGAAGTATCTGATAAGAACATCCAGAATATACCTTTGAGTATTTTTTTGGTCAATTCCAATGGGGACATTATTTTATCTACTTTGCCTACTATTTCTTAAATTAATTTACTTATTACAATAACTAATCAAACTTATACTGGATTTAATAAAACAGATTGGGAATTAATATAAGTTAATTCTAAATAGAAAACATCATAAGAAAGCTCTTTCTATCTTGAGAACAAACTATACAACAGAATTGTCTTTGTGAATGCCGTCAGCTTTGAAAAAGAAAATCTCACTTTAATAGTGTAATATTATAAAATATTTTCAAGTTTTAAAAATGTGACCTACGAAATAGAAAGTGGTTAAAAAATTCAAGATCAAGTTGATAATATGAAGATAGAAATGATCAAAGATTTATAAATTTATTTAGGAATCTCTATATTCTTAGTAATATTAACCACTACCTTAATAAGATATATATCAGCTCCTTTATTAAATTTGATTAAAGTGATTAATATTCATATAAGAAAAATTGGAAATAATTTAAATTCAGAATTATTTAAAATGAGTTTTAAAAGTTAAAAGCAAACAGATGTCTTTTCATCACTTACATATCAATTCTTAGGTTTGAAAGAGTTGTAGAGCAAAAGATCAGAAAGAAAAAATTAAATTTGCCAATAAATTGAAGATATAAAATACAGTTTTTAATATTAAGAAATAGATTGTTCTTCAATTAAAGAATCAATCTTACTTCTCCCTAGTTAAGACTTAGAAGATTTTCGTTAAAATAATTCATTATTGAAACCTCTTCTTTTAAGAAGTTTTTCATAAAAAAAGATGTGGGTTAGTACTGAAGATTAAACATTATATAGATAAATCCTCATAAAATAGATATTTTAGCAACTCTTTTAAAAGAATAGTTCTCTCAAGAACTTTTGAAAATCTTTATGATGAATCAATCTATTATTATAAAAATACTACAATATATTATTATATCCAAGAATATTATTAGATGAGTTTTAATATTATAAAATTAAAAGAAATTCAAGTATTGACCAATTAATATGATAAAAACGGATTATTCTATTAAGTGTGGTATTTTTATTGGAATTTTTTCGCTCTTATTTTTATTTCATCGTCTGTTAGTTTGGAAGGTGTTAATATTTTTAGTGGAATTCTTATATAATAATTATAGAAAATATCCATGTAATAATTAAATATTATACTTAAAACAAATTAAATAATATACCATTTTGATCCTAACTGCATTCTATCAAAATTTAGTTAAATTAGATCAAAATATCAGTAGTTATCAAAATATACGAAAAAATAGTTGAAGATCCTCTTTATGATCCTCAATATAAATATTTTAGAGTTATTATATTAAATTAGAAAAAATCTAATTCATTTATACAATTTGTTATAAAAATTATAGTATAAAGTAGAATTTATAATTATTTCAATTAATTTTAAGGATTGAAATCTTAGATAATTAATACATTCAAATTGTAAAAGAGGGTCTTTAAATAAAATGTAATCCTACTTCTAGAGAAAAGTATTGAGAATTAAATAAGAATGCTTCTATAAATTGTTTGATGTTTCACTTTTTTTAATTCTTTAACTTGTTTGTCTCGCCTTCCAAGGTCTTTAGAAAATTATTAGATGTTTCAATTAGTTTTTTCAAAATAGTCTCGCTTTCTTTGATCATCCTATTAAAATCCTGGATTGCCAATTCTTTATCTCTTAATTGGCCTCCTTAAATTTATTATTTTTATTTTAGAGATGCTAATTCTTATTACATTTAAGTAACAACAACTCGTTCTTCTTAAAGATCATTTGATAATTCTTCCCTTTCTTCTTATAATTTCTATAGTTAAGATTTCAGCTATGTAATAGCAGTGCCATCCATGAATTGGTATATAATTTAATTTATTGATCTGTTAAATATATGAGAAAATCATAAAGTTCATTACTGTTTAAATCTTCCTTAATGAGTCAAAGATAAACACTTCCTGATCTCATTTAAAAAATTGGAATGAGATTTGCTACTTAATATGAATTAACTACTCAGAATAATATACAATCTAATCCAGGTTAACTAGAACTCATTAGAATTCAAGAAAAATATAAATGGAAATGTGAAGAACTCGATAGAACAAGGCAGTCCATAGAAAGAGAACATAAAACTTTAGATGACAGAAAAAATGTAAGGCTTTTGGTATATTTAAGCAATTAAAAAGGGGAGAGAAGGAAATGAGAATATTAACTAACTTGATTGAAGAAAAGCTCATTTAATTGCATTCGCAAGAACAATAATTTCGTGAACGAGTGTAATCTTTTGAATAAAAAGAAAAAGATCGAGAATAACAGTTTATTTTACTTCAACAATAATTAGAAGAATAATCAAATTAATTGAATATCGAAAAAAATAAGCTATTAATGAGAGAAAAAACTATAAAAGAAAAAGAATATCTCATAGAGTTGAAGTCAAAGGAAATTGAATAGTATCTGTCTAGATTAAAGTATTACACTTCAAATACAAATTAGAAAGAGAGTAAGCTTTTAACTTTAATATAGATTATTACCATTAATAAATTGACAATATCAATCTACATTTGTAAACAATTCTTGAACATGAAATGTCGATTAAGAATATCGAATAATAAATGTCTTTACAGGTCAATTCATTAGAGAAAGCAGAGTAAAACTTATTTGAAAAACTCTAAAAGTGCAAATAATCTGAATAGATTTTCGATTAATAAGAATTAAAAATATAAGTTAGTGAAGATTTAATCAATCGTAAATTAGAATGGGATCAAAAACAAATCGTCTCTGCTAAAAATTCTAAAGCATCATAATTTAATTTCGAAAATTCGAGAATGGAAATTTCTCATTTTGTTTATTCTGCTCTATCTTAAAATCATTGATTACTTTTAAAAAATGAAAATTATAATAAAAATCACTTGATTATTTCGAAAATGTTCTCGCATAAATTATATATCTCTTCATCTTCATGTTAGGATAATTCAGCTAAGAATTGTTCTCCATTTTATTATATGAATATAGGGATAGCTTCAATGTTCTTTTGTAAGATCCCTTCTACTATTCTTAAGATATCAACGATAATATCTGTATTATCCATATTTTTGTCCAATAAATTAATCAATTGTTATATCGGTTAGAATAATTATATCAATTGTTTTAATTCGCTTTAATTTAAACCACTAATGATCTAATAATAAAAGGAATAATAATAAATGCTACCATAAATCTCCTTATTAGCTTCTTATAATTGGTCATTAAATTAAAATAACTACACGATATTAGTCTTAAGAATACTATAAATTATTTTTGGGTTTTCAACGATCATATTTGTAAAAATACTCAACACTTTGTTAATTGGCTTATACTAATATTTCTCTTATTTTCCAGTAATCAAAGTCTAATTAACTTTAAGAATTAGGAAATTTAAGACATTGTTTTCTATTGGTTCATATCGATTTCTGTCAAAATATGACATTATCTTTATTAATGATAATATTTCATTTAAGTAAAGATCTGAATATGTTTTATTCTAACAGAGATTATTTATGAAATTCAGATCTAATAAGTTTTTATCTTTCAAACATATTTTATATATTAGTTACAAGATTCCTACTATTGATTCATTGCTTAATAAATGAGGAAATAATTCCCAACATAATTTAATCATCTAAATTTAGTTAAAATTTGACATTAGGGGCTGAGTTCTTGAGATATTGATAATAATTTAAGCTAGATCTTCCATTAATTCATTTTTGGTTTAATAGATTGCTTTGAATATTGCTTAAGGTATTTCATAAATTAAAATGGCATCCCTGCATTAATAACAGTCTGCTGCTAAGTTTGAAAATATAAACAGAACAGTTTATTTAAGCTCTTCATATTATGTATCATGGAAAAGCTTCAACAAATCAGGTATATATTTTAATATAGGTTTGCACGTTGAATGATTTGGCAATGTAAACGCTAATAATATTTGTAAACAAGCTCTCTTATATAAAAATATTTTATATACATCTAATACTGGATATCCTTAGTTGATAATGTCAAATATCATTTCAACATCAGAAGATGTCTGATAATTCTTATCACAATCGCTTTCATTAAAAGTATCCGCTAATTCTGATATTTTCTAAATCTTTTATATAGTTTCATTAAGTTAAACATCATTTGGACATTATTTTTAGTGATATGCAATATAATATATTTCTGATAAGTTAGTTGTAGTATTAGAAAATGGCAAGTATTGTGTTTTTGAGATTCTCTTACATTTGAAAACTTCTTCTCGTTTTTGTTTTCTTATATTGATGGAAAATTCTTCCCTCTTTTTCTATATAATATTCATTATTAAGTTTTATGAAAAAGAATAAATTATACCCTTTAATAATAGGTCTGAAAACACTAAATTAAACATATAATTAGATTAAAATCAATTTATTTGATCTAACTTTAACTAGTAGTTAAGATTTTTTGATATTCTTTGAGACTAAGTTAACAAAGTCAAGCATTTTTTTTTCTTCTCTATTTTAAATTTATTCTAGTAATTATAATTAGATTAATTTACTTTAATTTATTTAATATCAATTTTTGTATTTAATTCATTATTTTGTTAAAAGTATAAAAGGATTTGATCTAAATTACCTGAATATTATTAATAGAGATCGTTGAATATTTTAGTGTTCTTCTCATTCCATTGAATCTTTTTATTTTTTTTGTTTCTACCTGCAACTTACTTTTCTATTTTAATGTTCTTGACTAAGGCTTGCAAAGTATCTCCTTAACAATGTTATTAGGGTTGAGGCTAATGAGATATATGGACTTCTTCCTTTCGAGATTCTTAATTGGAGTATCTTTTTTCAAATAACTTCTAAAAATCAAATCCTTCTTGTTAGATTTCAAGATCTGCACTATCTTAATTTATCATTTATAAATATATTATATTAATATTGAAATTTGAATGAGAAGTATTTTTTAGATGACATGGGTTGAATGAGTTTATATTTCTAATCTCAGAATAGAAGTCACATTAATAAATATGTATAGAATCTAATTGCATTTCAAATGTTATCACCAGCTGCAACTCTGAGTGCTAATTGTTCTCTAAGAACTCTAAGATGTTTATTGACCAAACCAATTAAGTCGGATACTAATTGCTTATTGTTATCTCTAGCACTTCTTGCTTGTTGATAATCATAAGCAGCCTCTTCGCATTCAACAAATCTCTATTGTCTAGTGTCTTAGTAATAGTCCAATCTTTATTAGATTGTAGAAATGGAGTTTTAAGCTTGTTAAATGGAGTCGTTCAAACTAAATAATATATAATAAGAGTAACCTTTATAAAGTTGCTTATGTGTTGGCTAAAATAGATTCAGCAGATTGCAAATCTCTGTTCAATAAATGCTTGTGTTTCTCATAGGCTTAAACTCTTTTGTCTTCAGCAAATCTTTCTAAGTTAGTACTGTCATCGATCTTGGCTAATAAATCACTGCAGAGTTGAATTATTCTAAGGGTTTAATACATAATTAATATACTTTTCAACTGATCCTTCATCAGCTGTAGATTCAGACTTATTCATGATGGTTAACAACACTTTGAAAATGCTTGCATAAGCTTTGGTGAATCTATGAGTTTATCTGATTTTATTAATTGATCCACCTAAACTTGAACTTACTTAAGCTAAAATATTTGGGGCAATTCTGATAGCATTTTTGCCACTCCTCTTGACTTCTGCAAGAGAGGGTCTTTAGAGTCCATCTTTAATGATGGCTTAAGCTTCCCTGATGATTTTAGAGGCTTCAAAATGCTCAGCAATCTTAGCTTCATACACTTCTTTTTATTCTTTTCTCTCTTCATCCAGTTCTTCGATCTCTTATTTGTATTCTAAACATAAAAAGGTCAAATATTACATTTAACTTCTGCCAATTTAGCCTTTTCAACACCTTATTAGATTGATCTGGCAGGAATGAGATTACCTTCTAGTTTTGCCTCAAGTTGTAGAATTGAATATTAGCTATTAGCAATGTCTTTATCAAGTGAACCAATGTCTGAGTCACATTAATCCTAATATAGTCTATTGTTTGCATCATCCTCCTTCTAATCATCTTAATAACGTCCTTCTAACTTTTCAAGTACATTGATTAAGTGATCTAAACTATCTGATGTTTCCATCTCCAGTTATATAGTGTGTATCAAATAACGACCAAATTCACTTTGTTCCAATTATGTCAATTTGGCAATAACTTCACCTTCCTCTGAAAGGGATGCTGCACTCAATCCTAAAAGCAAGGCACAAATAAAAAGTGATTTAATCATAATAAAACGGATTATAATTAGTATTCATTAAATTCACATTTTAATAGTTCTTGAGGGTCATCATATTCTGAAAAACGATTCAATTTCATTTGCTACATATTTAATTCTCTCACATCCTTAACGTTCTTAAATTACATCAAATACTACAATAACGATTTCAATTCCTAATTGATTTAAAAAATGATATTACTTCATCTGATTTATTGTCTATGTATGGAATGATTGGGACACCATTTTAAATCTAATACAGATAAGAATGAGGAGCATTATCAATTAGCAACATATCACTTAGTTTTCTCGTTGTAAAAATACGAAGATCCTTTATAAAATGTCCATCATCTGTGGGTATGCAATGTTCTCTATAGAATCTGTGACTGATCCACTTTTTCTATGGATCCAAATAATCTATCACTGCATTAGCATAATGTGATTAGGAAGCAGTAAACACAATCAATTCGAAATTTCTACTTAATGTCTACAATAAATGAGAAGTATAAGGTCTAATATTCAATGATGCCTAAATTTATATTGATTCTATACTTCCATCTTCTCCCCTTCATGATTTATGTTGAGTAAAACATCCCCAGGTATAAAACTATTTGAGTTACAATGGACTAAAGTTTCATCCAGATCAAATAAAAGAGTCTTTTTGTCAGTTGCTGGCAACATTATAGCTTTTTTAACTGGAGGCACTTTAAGCTTCTTAGCGATAATAATTCCCTTAAATTGTTGGATGAAATTGTACTTGCATGTTATGGATTAGATGTTCCTTTGCTGAATTTGGACCCTTCATTTTAAAAGCTTTGATTAGTGAAGTAATATAATATAACTTTAGGCCTGGGTTTTTGTACTCTTATTATTGTTATTGTTATTGTTGTTATTGTTATTATTAATACTATTATGATTAATATTGTTATTGTGATTAATATTGTTATTAGGATTAATATTATTATTATTATTACTACTATTACTATTATTGTTACTATTACTCTGGAGCAGTGTAATTTTTATTATTTCTTTGAGTTACAACTGAATCCAAATATGATGTTGGTATACTACTTTGTTACTTATAGATATTAAAATCACCTTCTTTTGGAGTTGGGGTAGTCAATGCTGACAAACCTCGGGAAGGCACAACTGAAGCCTTTCTAGTTAGATTCATTGAACTTTAAACTGATTGTTATTATTATTATGGTTATTGAAGATGATTATATCTTTCTTGACTGATCTATTTATTCTGAACAGGAGTCATTGACAGTAGCTACGGACTTTAGGTCTTCTTACGCTATTCTAATTGCTCAATCCTGCATTCCATATACGTTTTAGATGATTGAAATCTTGATGCATCATTGTAGATTGCCATTTTCTCATTGGGTAGTTATTTCTCTGATTTTATGACTTCTCTTTTAAAGAAAAAGTCTTGGGTGGGTGTATCTGAATGAATTCTTGCAGAAGAATTCTCCTTATTATCTTTGCCCTTGACACCTAAGGGTGTTTTGCCTTTAAAATCACCATTAGAGGGCTTTCTGGCTAAGTTTAAAAATGATTTTTGCTCTATAGAGTCTGTTAAGGAAATCTCCCTGTAAGAACTGTCTTTTCGTAGCATATGAAGAAATAAAAACTCGTTAATAATTAATAATTAAATATTTAGTTTTATTTTAATATCAAATTTATTTATTTTCATTATACTCTGTATTCATGAGTTATAAACAAAGGTATTAATGATTGTTCATTTCCATATAGACAACTCAGAATTCAAAAGCTTTCATAATTTAATATGATTTCAATGATCTATAAACTTTATAACTTTATTGCTTCATTAATAGTATTATAATTTATCCATTAATACAAACATAAGTTCAATACAACTCAAAGATAATCAAAATATCAAACAATCTACAGCTTTGTAATAGCAACTTTAGATTATTATAGTACTAATTATATAATTTTTAAATATCAATATTTATTCAAAATGTTTATTCTATGCTATTACTGCTACTATTATCGTCAAGCCATTCTACTCTCTTTCCATTCTTCCAGATTCCTATTCTACTTTCACCTTTTTTATTGTAATAAGTTCCTTCCCCTTCTTAATAACCATTTATCCATGCACCTATGTATTTTTTTCCCTTCCAAACAAATGTACCTTCTCCATGTTATTTTCCATTTAAAAAATTCCCTTCGTAGTATCTGCCATCGTCCCATTTCATTATTCCAAATCCATCAATCTTCCCCTCTTTCCAATCTCCAGTGTAGTATTTATTGTTTTTCCAAGTATAAGTTCCTTTGCTTTTTTACTATTTCAATTTCTTACCTTTACCATGCATCATTCCGTTTTAAAACTCGCCTTCATAAAACTCTCCGTCATTGATAGTCAACTTCCCTGTTCCTTATTTAACTCCTCTGAAAAATTCGCCCTCATAACATTCATCTAAGAAATTTAGTTTATCAATTAACTTTTTGAATTGATCTCTTTCCCAATACCATGCTATTTGTCCTCTAGCCATTGTCCTTCGTAGTATAAGCCATCATGACTCTAGTACTTTCCAAAACCGCTTGCTTTGTCTTCCAACCATTCGCCATCATAGACACTTCCTTCTGCATTCACTAATAATCCCTTTCCATCTGCCATATCATTCACAAAATCCCCCTCATAATATGAACCTACATTATCATATTTATACCATCTGGCCATACTTATCTACCCTTCCCACTTCGAATTCCATTTATCAAATCGCCCTCATAAATTGCACCTGTCTCCATATGCAACTATCTCTCCTCTTAATAAATTTCTTTATTTGTTATTATATCTTCTTAAAGTGCTTATTTGATAGTCTCTGTAATTATTGCAGATTCATTTACTATATTTTTAGCCTGCTATTAACATACTCCTGAACAAATACCCATATTTTTATAATAAATTATTATTAAAATGGCCCACTTAGTCGAAATGAAAATTTTAGTAAATTAAGAGCAATTATCACTTTATCTTCCTAAAATTAAAGAAGCCCTGAATCTTCGCAAAGAAGTAACTGTTACTTGGAGAAAGACCTAACAAGATATAGATGAAGAAACTTTTAACAATTGTAGGCCGATTAAGGATGAAAACTAATATCGAATTTTAGAAAATATAACAAGGAGAATCTCTCCTTAAAATAGTCTGTATAATGAAATGTATGAATTAATTTGATAAAAGCTTATTGACTATGATGAAGTATGATGTAGAATTAAAAGATTATTAAAAATTTTAATTGAATATCAAAAAAATAAATCGCTCATCTCTCAAGGAGAATTTGAAATTACAAAACTAATAAGTTGAAATTCTGAAGACCATTAAGAGACAACTCAAAGCAGTAGTCTAAATTGAAGAAAAGTTAACTTTGATTACACTGCTCGAACAGGAAAACATGCTATCAAAGGAGGAACTTAAATTACTATTTGTATTTTCCATATTCTTTATTCTAGCGACAAATTAAGCCTTAATTAAGTGAAGACAGAACAACCTTCATTTGGTTCTTAGAAAAAATTCAAAGTTATGAAAAGCAGAATAAAATATTACTCGGCGAGATTTATGAACATTACATTTAAGAATAAGACTTTGAAAAGGCTAAAACATACTTTTTACAAATGATTAACTAAACTGAATCTGAGTTAAATTATGAAGAGATTGAGTAAGCATACTAATACATTAAAAGAGATAATGAATAAATTTTATAAGAGATCAAAGAAATAGAGGAAATTCTTAATAATAATTTAGATTAGGAAGATATCAATTTATTCTAAAAATTAATAAAATTAAAAACAAATTTAGGTACTCCTATCACAGAAATGTTGATTAATTATCAAATATTATCCTAAAAATTAATTTCAGGCAAAGAATTTGAGTTTGCTATTTAAACAATACAAACTTGTATGGACTAAATTAAATTAGAAGTGTTAGTAAATTATCATTCCAAACTAATCTTTTATGAATCAATCTTTTATGAATTACTTGGAGACTGTTATAGATTGTAAGAGTAACCTTAATTAGCTATTGATGCTTATGAAGATTCCATTTCTCTAAAAAAAGAGATTAAACATAAAACTGATCCTAAATGGGTAATTTACATTAACCTGCATATTGCTGCGCTGCATTTTTAAATCGGAGATTATCAAATGGCTTTGGAAATCTACTTAAAAGCATTAAGCCTTGAGGAAGCTGATGTAAAAGAAAAAAATTAGTTCTAATCTCTCGGATCAATTCAATATAATATTGCTACTGTTTATTTTAATTTAGGAAAAAGAGATTTGGCTGAGGATTTTTGTGAATAAGCCATATTAAACATGACTTCAAAAATTGAAGAAGAAGACTCTATGGTAAAGAAAGCAATAACTCTAAAAGAAAAAATCAAATAAATAAAAAAATCTGGAAAGAGCCCACGAAAAGTGTGAATTTATTTTATTGATTTGATATGATAGTCTTTATTAAAGTTAAATTTATTATTTTATTGAGTATATATATTAAAAGGTTATAATTTAATCCTTTTAAATTAAAAAGAAATACATACTTCTTGGCTGTCACATATCATTACTGTCCTACAAGATTTTAAAAGATATTTGGTTTTTAAAGTAAGCTATCAATGGGCAATCTCTTTTATTAATTTTCATTATAGATCCATCAATACAAAAGATTAACATATAATTAGATAATGTATATTGAATTTATCACAACTTGGCCTTAAGTCTTTGCATGTAATTAAATACGTTTTCAACCAGTTTGTCTCCTGACCAAATTCTATGTAAATTTAATAATTCTTATTCATTTGATGTTTTCAATTGCTATAATAAATATATAGAACATATGATATACATCATATACTGCTCTTTTAATCAATTTTTTTCCATGAAAGATAGCAGTTTGATCTTGTTACTCCAATTACTAACAAATTTATCTTGCCTGCTTAATCATTTCATCTTAGGTTTTAAATATTTCTTAAGCATATCCATAATGGATTGCTTCTTTGGCTGACAGCTTTTATCCTCTGAATAATAAACTAAAAGTTTTTCCTTATCCAAATAATCTTGGAAAAGTATAACTAGAAAACATCTCAACACCCTACAATGAACATTTATTAAAATACTTATCCAAATAATAACATTGGTGCAAAGAAGTAAGCATCTTCTGTGACATATACTTAATCAAATAAGGATAACAATGGGAAAATAAATCCAATAACCCCTCCTTAACAACAAGCAATAATTGGTTTAGTTAAGTTTAGAAAAGAACTTGTAAAGTCCCTTAGCATATTAGTTAAGCCTAGAGATGCTTATTTTCTATCCTATGATACTTAGATTATATACTTCATCATTCAATCCTGGCCATGCATCAAAATTTCTCAAATCATTACCTGAACTAAATGATTTTCCATTACTTTTTACTAAAATTAAATATATCTAGACTAAATCAACAAAATACATTGGGATCTTTATCAGCTTATAATACATATTCTTGAAACATCACATACATCCCAACTGTAAAAGCATTGTGGAATTCTGGACGATTAAATGTGATTTCTAAGGTGTGTCCAACTACTTCTGTGAGAATGTGCTCTTTAATCTTTTGTTTTGAGATGATCTCCTAAATAATTTATGACATATATATATTAATAAACTATTTTTATGAAACTCATAAAAACATATCTTCTTAGAAAAGTTTCAAGCTTATAAAAAGAATGATTGAATATTAATAAAAATTAATTAATTTTATTGGATAATCATATTGTATGGTAACATCATCTTGCTCAAAAAATGCAATGAAAATTTGATTTATTAACAAATAAATATATATATATGCCTTAAAATCTTATAATGAATAAAAAAATAATCATTTTTTTAATTTTTGAGCTCTCCTTTTCTCTCTGAGTTATCTTAATCTATCTATCTCTCCAGGAATATCTATCTTTTCCCCTAATTTATTTAGTTCTTCGAGAATCATAATTCTCATTTATTCAAAACTAATAGTGTCATCATTTTCGAATGTAAAGTCTGCGTGCCCTTTATAAGGAGCTTCCTCAGTTTTTTCTCTAATTTCTTTAAAATAAGGATGATTTAATGCCTGATTTAATCATTTATCATACTTCTTGAGCAGTGATTCTTTTATGAGGATTGATCACAAGCATTTTATCCAATAAATCAATTGCTAGAGGATTGGAATAATCAATTAATTTCTTGATTGATTGTGGTGGGACACTTGGTAGGGACTGGACAAACTCCATAGCGTTTTTATTCTTGATGAATTGATCCAGGTCTTCTTGAATTGGTTTGCCAAGTATTTCGAAGATCATTTTTACCATTTAAACATAAGTCTTGCCTTTAAAGAGAACCTGATAGTCTTAATTTAAGGATTTACCTTTCCTTCATTTAGCATTTCGGCAAAAGTGCAGCCCAATGACCAAATGTCAATGGGAAAAGAATATTGCTAAGAGGAAACCATAATTTCTGGTGCTCTGTAGTATCCTATGGATGATTTAGGTAGTGTATACTTGTAACAACATATTCTGTGAAATTTTATGCTTTTTTATTATCTTCTTCTTCGTATTCTTCGATTTATCGGGAGAGGCCAAAATCACACAGACTTATTGAGCAGTCATCTTTGGCTAATATATTGGATGGTTTGATATCTCTGTGTATGATGGATGCTGAATGTAGATATGCCACTGCCTTGGTTAATTGATACCTAAAATAGAATTGGTTCGAATACATGATGAATTGCACATGATCATCAGAGAGATCTTTTGGGTTTTTAAGAACTCTGTGAAGATCGGCCTAAAAATATTCTTATACCAAATAGACAGTTCCGAAATAGTCACTCTCTTATGATACATTATCGTAGATGGCAGCTTTGATTGCAACAATATTGGGATGAGCCATAGCTCTTAATATTCGTATTTCTCTCAGCATTCTCTTGGCATCTATAATATCCTCTAATGGGTTGAGTTTCTTAATTGCAACTTTGGTGTTGGTTTGGGTATCCAAGGCTAACAAAACTGTTCCATATGATCCTGCTCCCAATAATTTAATTCCTTAATATCGAGTGGAAATAGTGAATGGGATGTCATTGAAGGTCTTCGTGACGAGTTACAAATTCTATGAATTTTATGAAATATGTTTCATTATTAATTGATTTATTTATTGTATTCAACTTAAATACATTTATAAACTGATGTATCCCTATTAAATGTCATCATTTAAGAATTAATGCGACGGAGTAATTGTGTAACTGCAAATTTATCAATTTATTTAAATAAAATCAGCATCAGTTTTTTGCCATTTATAAATTAACAAATAAAACTAGTGGAATTATTGGTAAATACATAATATTTCATCTTGAATTTGATTATGTAATCAAAATTATTAATAGTATTTTTAATATAATTAATAAACAGTCAATGAGTGAAACTAGTCTGAATTCATATTCCGACAGAGAAATAGAGTCTTCTTTGAAAGATTTGTTGGAGAGAATCTTAATTTAATTGGAGAAGTACATTGAAACAAAAAGCGATCTGAATGAAATCGAGAAGGAATTGAAGGATTATGAGAACATAACTCAATTAGCCAATATAATCAAAGTTGTTTTCACCAATCTAATCTTGAAAATTGACAAAAAAGTCCAGTAAACATCATTATCATCTAAGAAAGTTGGAGAAGAATTTGGATCCAAATTCCTCCTTTAAAAGCATAAGAACTGAAGATGAATACGAGAAACTTGAACAAACAGTCATCAAATATGAGGGCGAGATTAGAAATCACATACGAGTAGATATCACATTTAATCTTCAAATTAGCTTGAATAGCAATTGAAATTGTATACAGAATCAATCCAAACCAAATTAGATGAAAGTGAGGCTACAAGAAATGAGTTACTTGAAACAACCAAGAAGGTTATGAATGTAATACATGTGTCAATATTGTCCATTAGAATCTGAAGAGAGAAAATCAAAAATATTATGAAGAAAACGTGAAATTGCAGTCTGACATCACTTATTATAAGCAGCGAATTCAATAACTAGAAAATGATTAATCCAAAAAGACTATAGAATACGATCAAGGAGATCAAGAAATTTAGAAACTTCATAAAAATAGCTAATAAATTAAAGCACTAATAAAAACAAAGCCTAATAGTAAGGAAACCAATAAAACTAGTTCCTATTCGGAACATAAATTAAGTAGTCAACTCTAAGAAAGCACTGATTACCCAACTCAATCTCAAGGATCTTTGAAATAAAATTATTTTAATATCCTTCAATATGGGTAAAATCACCAATAGTAACAATTGTAATAATAAATTTAATAATAACAACACGAATATTAAAAATCATTTCATGGCAAACATAATTCAATCTCTTCTATTAATGACATCATTCAGTAACAAATAATTATTAAAGATAAGAAAGGAAACTTAATTAGTTAAAATGCATCCAAAAAGAATTCATAAAATTCCCAAGTGCAACAAAAAACAATTTAATGTATTAGATAATTTTTATTTTAGAAACTATATTAACTCAACCTAGAAGCAGAAGTGGAAGTGCTCGACGCAATTTAAATTAGAAGTAGAAAACTTCCATTCTATAATGAAATTAGTTTTTAAATCGATTTTTTTTTTCGTCCAAATCTAAATCAATATTTTAATGTGTATCTAAATATACTTAAAATTTTATTTCTTATAAACATAATTATGCTGAATATTAATTCAAATATACATAAATATTTTTAATTATTTATCTGTTAATTGGAATATTGAAAATGTATTAGTATACTTAGGTATGATAAAGATTGTATTTAGAGAATAATTTAACCTACAATTAGAATGCCTGTATAGACCTAATAGTCGATCATTATTCCATTAGATAAATCGAATTAATTGCAATCTACTAGAAGAGTGTCATAGAACTTTGATTAATAAGCCTCAAATGTTTCACCAATAAGATTAATCAAGAATAAGGTTTCTGTAAGTCCAAATGTCATCAAATATTCTTAATAACCCCAAACCTTCACAATGACGCCATAAAAGATTCCCTATAATTAACGTCAAAATTAGACTCCAACCAAGCATCAAGCTGTGTAATCAAGAACCCTCACTCCAAATGTATTATCACAACAGAGGTAGAGTGTTGCCAATAATCAATATATTTAATCAAATAGGATTCATACAGACATTGGTTTTTCAACTCCTCTGAATAACAATTAAAAGGAGAAAGAGAACAACAACGAATTCTCAAACGATAAACTAGCAACACAATATCAAAATTTATAAGAATAATTGATACAATCTGAATTTAAAATAAGCTAACTAGAACAAAAGAGTAGAAAATTACAAGAATAGAGAAAGAAATTATAATAACAATTCTTACAAAAGTCACCAAAGTTAGCATCCTAATTATGATTACTTTACAATAAATAATAGTTATTATAAATTCTATTATTAATTATTAATGAGGCAATCTGTGAGTTTTTAAGATATAACTACTTTATAACTCAAAATAAGTACGCTATAATAGCAAGTCAATTAATTGACAATAGAAAACAGCTCCTTGCAATAGCAATTGACATTTTTATAAAAGCAACTCTCCCTATCTAAATAGTCAGAAGAAGCATCGTAATAAAAGATAAAATAATATGAGCAGCTATTATAAGAGTAGAATCTGTAATTTTAAGAAGCTCTAGCTAAGTCCTCCGAAATTCCAAAGCAATTACAGGAATAGCTGAAAGTGGTTTTGGATGAGAAAGATAGCCTATTGAATGATTTCAAGGAATAAACATGGATTTACAAAAAAACCATAAACAACTATGAATCTCTAACTGCTTAGGTGCAAACTGTGTTTTCAGACAAACAATAAAGAAAACTCAAAGTTACAGGGCTTATGGAGCAATTATTATCGCAATAATATAAAATCACAAATTGGAAATTGAATCCATAAATTTAATATGAGAAGCAAGAGTTTGAAGTATTCGAGATTAAAATTGGAAAACACATGAATAAGATTCTGGATAAAAAATTGTTCTTTTTAGCAAATGAGGGATTGCAGATTGATAGCCTTGGGAAAATGCAAGCATTGGTCTCACTTAAACCTAATGTAGTAGCAGATCTTCAAGTGGGGTACATTATTGAAGTATAGACTACCGATGATCAATCCTTAAAATCCAAATATTTGCTAAGGAGAGAACCAAAACAAGAAACCTTATCATAAGGATACCAGAAGAAGTAAGAGGCAATACAATAATCTATGAATAATATGTTGTGTTCAGCTTTATTAGAAAGATTAAGAAAAAGATAACCAATTTATGATGAATTTAAAGATTATGGAATCTAAAGATAATTTATGTTGAAGGCTACAAGTAATATTGATTGTATATTAGATTTAAAACTGTATTATTATTGTGAAATGATAGAGGAAGGAGAATTCTAGAAGTTCAATGGGGGAAATATTGAGCCTGTGATTAATTCTGAATTAGAGGACTTTATTAATTTTTTCACTTTTGATTCCTTTTAGGATATAGATGAAAAATTAGTAGTTAGTCATATGCAAAGATTTGGATGTTATTTCCATGATATGATAGTATCCACCTTTATAGGAGTGTTCTCTCAGTATGATTAAGGAAAACAGGAGGTGGTGTACACAATCAAGAATTTAGAAAAGGCTCTTGGATTTTCATCATAAACCATAAAATGAAGTTAATAAATTATATTAGAATAATTTCATAATCCCATCATCACAACTTTTTTACTTGGACCTTTAGCAATCAATTAAAGAGTTTCAAGCATTCTGATTTACATTGCAGCTTGACTTGATAATATGTCTGAGGTTTCTCGCTGGAATTTGGCAGCCTCTACATCAGCTTAAGCAGAAATGATCTTAGCCTCAGTCATCTTTTTTGTTGTTCCTGCCAATGCCAATGCTTGTCTCAAGTCCTCACTTAATCTTTGATCTTTAATGAATAACTTCTCTACATAGACACCTGTTGTTATTAACTATCAATAATACCCCACTCATTCACAATGGCTTCCACATATTCTTCAATCTCATGAGATATTTGAATACGATCAACTAACAATTCTTAAAGAGTGTGTTCCCCACAGACCGTACGCATGACTGATTGAGTAACTTCAAGCATTGCTCCATCAAGATTGTTTAATCTATAAATGCATTTGATTGGATCAACTATTCTATAATATAAAACTGTGTCAATCTCTGAAGTAATATTATCTTTTGTAAGGATAACTGATCTGTTAACTTGTCCAGAACTTAAATATATAATTCATTTTTACTGTGTCTTCATATCTACCATTGAAATTTGGCCTGAACACCTATGTATATTGAATTAAGTTACTGATTGACAAAATGCATACCAGGTGGCAATTGTCTTTCAAAACGTCCGAATTCTTACAACAATCCAACATACCCTTGGCTAATTTGCTAATAAGGGTATGGACAACAAAAACAGCAAGGAATCCAAGCTCTGCATGTACCCCAAAAATTTCCGCAACAATTTAAACAATTTTCATAGGTAGTTTTTTTCGATCTACCTGTTGTAAGCTAATCTCTTAAATAACATAGTAAATTACTATTTTCCACTACCAAAAGTTCTTGACCTGGGAAGAGACTTTTCTGCTTGCATTTATTTATTAAAATTAATAGTTATGTAATAAACAATAAATTGATAACTAACCTAAGTATTTAGATTAATATGGAATCAAGTGTTATAAATAATAAATCTATCCTGTAATTTGTATCCTATAATGTAAAATTAAGATTATTATATTAAGAATACAATTTAGAGAACTAAAAAAATGCTGATAATTGAAATAATTTTCATTACTATAATATTATACTCTCTATTTATTGAACTTTTCATTTATGCTGTTAATTTAGAAAGATTCCTTATTCATATTTCGATGTTAATAATAATAAAAGAGATATAATATTTTATTTTTAACAAATTTCATTCCAAATTTAACTAAACAACAAATTAAGATATAAATTCAAAGTTTTATTTCATTTTTTGAAGGTGACTTATCTATACTTCTCTTATTTGACAATGCACGAATGAAACATATTTAAATCTATCACATTAGTTATTATGATGATTCTCATCTTTCATTGTATATTCCATTACAATTAAAACAGATTTGTCTGATTTAGCTCCTGAAAGTGATTCAAAATTATAGTCTGTCATATGTCTTTCTTATGTAACCAACTAATTCAACTCTACTTCCTCACTAAATTTAGTATGAATCTAATTACTGTAGCAATTCAGAAGGATCATCAGATATTATTAAATCTATTGTATTATTTCTGTATTAAGAAATATATTCTCTAATCACTCCATAACCATTGTATTCCTATCCAAAGTACGATCGGAATGTAGTACTCTTAGCTTTCACAATTTATTCTATGTTTTCAATTGCATTTTAAAATAAGAACGAGTTGAATAAAGTATAATCATACAAAGTATGGCTACCTACAATGATGACTATCAATAATCTCTCCTGTGCTTCTTAAGCTATATCTGTTAGTTTGATATTTTCTTCAAAATTGAACAGATCCTTATTAAAATAGTAAACAATGGGAAAATCATTGTGATAAACCTAAGAAACTGATTTTGCTGGGTGAATTATCAAATAGGGCAACACAAAATGGGTGCTCTTGGATTTCTATACTCCCATATAAAAAGAAGAGCTATGGTTTTTCCCAAAACAAAATGGGATTGTCTAATTCTTATTTTCTTCTGAAATCAGTAAATTTGGCTGCTTCTTCTGATTCTAATCACAAATGTTTATACATTTTCCATATATATTAAGGTAATACTCTTAATTAATATAATAATTACTTCCTCCTCACACCGATAACAAGTCCCTGTAATGTGCATACATTCAGAACATTTCTCCTCACATTATTTACATGCCTTTAAATTTTTATCCATATAGTATCCTTTTTCACACAGTACTTCATCATTCCTTCTATTTTATTAAAGTTCCTTGTGTGTGTCTTTATTTTCATGAGGCTCAGTTCCATTAACTGTTTGATTTTTTATTTATGATTCACTTACAATAGTTTGATTTAATTCACTCTTATTTACATTTTGCTGGGGAATATCCTCTTCTTAATGTAATTATTCATTTTATAATTCTTAATCCTCCTTATGATCAGTACCTTCATCTTTTTTTCTTTCTTCATCTATTTCAATCAATTTAGGCCCATCTAAATTAGATTCATCTTTTGTATTGTACTACTCTTTTGGTACTTTAAATAGAGATATTTCTTACTTGTAATATTTACTTTTGTTTCCTCTTTCGGAATTACCTTCTTTTACTCTTTTGCCTAATCCGATACATAAATCAAAATTCCTCCAAATAAGATTATGAGAATGATAATCCAAACAATTATTAATTTGCTATTAGATGTATTCTTTCTCCTATTCTATTTTATATTAACAACATCTAATTCACCATCGTCTTCAACAATATCTACGGATTATTAATCTGATATAGGTTTATAATTCATTTCCTTAATCAAATTTATATAAAATTAAACAAATTACTTTTAATCATTAACATAATTACATAATTAGGTCTTTAGAATATATTTCTCAGATTCAATTTTATATCACTTTTATCATATATTCATCTATGTTATCCTAAGATTTTCTATCAATTTGTTTCATTATCAATTACTTTATTAATTATAGTCTCTAAGTTTCAGTTAGATAGAGAATAATGATTGATAATTTTAATTGTAGTGATTTATTCTATGTTTTACATCCACCATAAAATTTTAATTAGATTAGTGATCCTTGATTAAAGATTCAGTTTATAAAAGTATATTCATTTAGCACACTTGAATTAAATTTCAGAGAAATGCTTTTGAGTATCTTTTTAGCACAAGAAATTGAAAATAAATCTTAATATAAATAGATTTTTTATTTAAATTCTTATGTTAAAGTAATTACAAGAGTAATTTATATTATCTCTCTATATTATAAAAAGTATATTATCGTTTTTATTATTAATAATTATGAAATTTTGTGTTTTCATTTTGCTCTTAGGTTTAGTTATTTGTGATTAGCTACATGCATAAAGCAATTTAAGATATGAATATTAATTTGCTCCATGGAGGTTAGATTGTACAAATAAATGTCAAAGTGCTGGAGGTGTTGTTTGCGGATATGAAACATATGTTTGTTGCAGATCAGTATGATCTACTACTATAAAATTAGGGAAAATGCTTAAAACAATGGAAGTCTGAGACATGTGATACTTGGGATAAAATTCACATTCTAAATTGTGTACCAGGGCCAAGTAGCAAATAATGACTTATAAAATTTATCATTTTATAATATGCATTTACAGATGGATAAGAAATTGTTCTAATCAGATTAAAAATTAATTATTTAGAATTTGTTTAGAAAATTATTAATCCAATAACTAATACTGTTTAATATACTATAAATGTAATATTTGTTGATAACATGTTAAACTTGTCTCACTAACTATGATTTTTTACATTATGGTATTATGTAGACTAATCCTGCAAAACATTTTGATTTTCATCAAATAAAACTTGCACTAATACACTAATTCACTATAATAAGTGGTGTATATATCTAAGAAAATACTACTACATCATATAAGTTATTCAAATAAATAACTTATTGATTAGATATAAATATTGTTATATAATAGAATTTAATAAAAATCTTGATAAGCTCATTCTGTCATATATACTAAAATATAATATATGATCAATATGGCAATATTCTAATCAATCCTTCTCCATCCTCGACATAATTACTTACCAAGGATTTCATGATGTTATCATTTATTTGCATTCCTGGTTCAAGTCGACTTCCAATGCCATATTTATCTGTTCTTGTATCGATCATACAATCTTTGTTAGCTGGGTCTTAATTAAATTATTAAATTAACTAATCTTAAATATCATAAATTACTTCCTCTACTGTGATTTGAGTCTTATTGATGTAATATGTGCAAACATTTTTTTTTCCAAATAGATGGATATAGGCCATATTGACTAATGATTATTTTAAATTGCTACCTGAGGATATATCTTTCATGTAAACAGTCCTTACGTCTTTAAGTAAAATAGAATGGCTAAGCATATTTTGACTGTCAGAACTTTCGAAAGCAAAAAAGTTAGGAGATGATTAGGGTTAATTTTGTAATTCGCCTTTTGGTTATTCTGCTTTTTTTTTATTAACAAAATTGATTAGATCTTGAATGGTTTTATGACCATATTTTGTCGTGTCATCAGTTTTTGAATTTCCCAAATAAAATGTGAAGGGTATCCCATAAACATGTTTTTTTTGTTTTACAGCATATTTATTCACAGCTTCCGCTTACTCTTTTAAGCGATTTGCTACGATATCATTTTTAACTAGTTGATTTTTATTCACACTCATTATTTTTATATTTTTATTATTCATTAATTATGTAAAATTAGTTATAATCATTTTTTTCATCATCTTTTAAATTTATAGTTCTATTTTAAGACCCGTTTAAGAAATGAGATATCCTCTAATTAATTATTACGTATTTGGATTTTAATAATTCTCTTCTATTTCCGAATATATACAGGTTAATCAAATCCTAGTCTAAGTTCTATCTTCCGAGATTAGTTTATTTTGATTTTGCTTATAATTATGGTTACCATCGCTCTTTCAATTTTGGTTTGGTATTTCCATTTTGCTGTAAGTTTAGTTGATTTATAAAGATACATTTTTTTTGAATGCTATTGATATTCTTGGCAATCCATTCATAATTTGATTTTGCTGAAGTTCCAACTGAATTTAATTTTAGATATGTAAGTTTATTTACAATGATTGATTGCGGGTTGCGCATGAGGCAAGTCTTAAATTAAATTCAAATTTATTCTTTATGGTTCAATTAATTGTTATTTAATCCAATCTATTTTTTTCTGCTTCTTAGAATTCTTGTCAATTCTTCTTAGGAGCTTTGAATAATCGATTAAATTTTGTTAATTGTAAATAATCAAATTATGATATATATTTTCATTCTATTTTTGTTTTTTTTTCAGATTACTATGATACATCTTCATTCTGCTTGAAATTGATAACACTCCACAAAGTATATATTTAATTTATAAAAGATTTTGATAAGTTTAAAATTTACTCATCATTTAAATCTTAAACTTATTCTAATTCTATTTCAAGTTCGTAATCTCTTAAACTCTACGTTTTGAAAATCTATTCTAAATTTTTTTGTATGTTTGAACTTTATGATGCAGAAATCTAATCAAGAATCTTTTGAAATTCAAGATCAGAGTATTTCTTTAAAGAACCAACATTTGAAAGTGCAAATTCAAATTTGTCTTCTTTTACTAATAATGTCTACTTTAATCTTATAAAATTTGCATATTTTTTTCTAGTAGACATTTGATCAAGCAATTCTTTAAGATCTGTTGATAGTATTTTTTCTTAATTCAGCGATATTCGAAATTGAATCTTATTATCTACTATATCAATATGTTCTTTTTAATTCCTTTATTTCTCAATCTATATACCAGATACTTAATCGTTGATTATCTGAAATGAATTTCGTTTTTGTTTATCCATTATAAAGTCTATTCGTTTTACGAATACTTAATTTTCCTTTTATTTTAAATAATCATAAGCATTATTATACTACTTTAAGTCTATTTTAGACTCAAATTGATATCTCAAATTATTGTTATCTAGTTATTCCATACCTTTGATAGACTCCAAATAATCATTTTACTATACACCTATTCCTTTAAATTTTCCCATTTTAGCCTCTAATTCAAATATATTTTAACCCTATCTGCTTACTATTTTATTTTTAATAATTTTGGATATCTATCTGATTAGTTATTCCTTGTTCATTTTAAGAATAATGTGAATGTGAATATGAATATGAATATTAATTAATATATATATTATTAATAATAAATCAAAATGATCTAAAATTTTTATCTATCTTAATGCATGCATCTTCCAATAATTTTAACAAGGCTTCAGTTGTAGCTTCTCTCTCCCTTCTTTCAAAATTGATATCTTGTTGCAATTTGCCATGAACATCCTCAATCATTCTAAATATCTTTCCTTAAGTTTCTTCTCTAACCTTCTTTTCAATTAATAATTAATCTGAAAACTTATTAATTTCTGAGTCGATCTATTCAGACAAGGATTCTGCTGATTCTTCTCTAATTTATAGATATACAAATAACATACCTTGATTGTCTCTCTTGGTCTAATTGATTTTTTACAACTTAAATTTATTACAAGACCTCTGCTATTTTTGCTTGACTTCTATCTTCATATTGATGAGTGTTTCTGGTGATTGTTAAGGTGATTTGTGCAAATCGTTCATCAATTTGCTTTTACAACTTGGTTTCTGCTTATCCTCTAGCATTTTTTTCTTACTCAAAAGAAAGAGCAACATTGTCAGATAAAATTCTAAAATCTTTCTCCTTCTTATCATCAAATGCCTATAGATACTTAGATATTTATACCTCTCTTTCAGATTTTTAATTATGTGCATGATCTTACAATTTTAGCACTTAATCTTTAAGTACCTTAAATTTCTACTCGTCCTTTGGTTTTTCCTATGATAAGACATCCTCGATTATTTTAATTCTCTCTTCTAATACTTCTCTCTTTTCCAATTTATCTTTATCAATTCCATTCTGAATGTGATTCCACTTATCAGATAATAACTTGATTCTTTGTCTTGATGGTGAATCCAAGTCTTAGCTGAGATAATTGACCGTTGATCTTTGGGGACTTGATATTTATGATCTGGATAATTTTGATGTTGTAAGTTTTGATGTCGAAAGGAGCATATTAAAATGATATTTTCTAAAATAAATTTATTTACGATTTATTTCATTACACTACATATAAATTGCTAAATTCAATTAATTTAACAAATCCAACTTCATCCCTCAGTCCTAGCTATTTGAGACCGAATTATACATGTAGCAACCTTATTAAATCAATTTAAGAACCTACTTTGATTTTGGAAATCTTTATTTAGGGAGTTCATCCAAATTCTACGAGAAATCGCAACATCCACATTAAACTAAGTTATGATTTGGTTTTCAGATTAGTTTTCCAATAAGCATAGAACAAATAAAGATTTAACGTTATTTTTTGGAGTTATTGTTAAAATTGTTCTCCTTCAATTAATCACAAATAGGAAATTAAATTGGCCTTAATACTTTGATTATAATCAGAAATTGATTAAATGATATGTTTCAATAAAAGATCTTTTCCTTCCCAATTTGATTACAAAAATATGAAATTTCATTATTGATCAACTTTATTATTTTTGGACAGATCTTAAATGAAGTATTAATTAATGAGGATTCAATATGTCGAATTGCAATTTGTTTGCAGTGAAATAATAATAAATTTATTTAACAAAAAAAATGCTGTAATTCAAGAGTTTAGAAGAACAAATTCAATACCAAGAAAAGAATATTGAGTACTTGTAACAACAAAACTTTGATTTGCAAAACCATATCTCCTAATTCTCTCAATTTTAATAGTTAGGAATTACCATTGAGGCATTTCAATCTTTGTAGAATAATAGCAAAGAGCAATCACAACAAATTAAACAATTGCAAAAAGAGAATGGCAATCTACTTAAATAGATTCAAAACAATCAAGTGAAATATTATGATAAAACATTATCAAAACTGTAATAAGAAAATGTGAAATTGAAGAATGAGATCAGATAATTACGTCAAAGGATTTCATCGCCATCCAAACTTGATAAGTCAATTGTTTAGTACAGCACACCTTAAAAGTTACTTAATCCTAGTGCTATACTCAAATCCACAAAAGATCATCCAAAAGATGTGTCAAGTTTGCTATTTATTAAGGGGTCTCAAAACTTTAAGTCTCCTTATGTCGATATCATTAAAGGAAAATACGAAAACATCAAAGTAATCAAATAGCTGAAATCAGGATTAGAGCAATCTTATTTCGACACATATCACTTTGACGTTGTAAGTCAAGATCTCTAATACTCACTCCAATAATTGGATAGATAGCACAGTATCCATTAGGGCAAAGGGCTTCTGCTATCCAATTAATTATGTTTGATCTTTGGGGCTTCGAGAACAAATAAAAAGCATTTCCTCATCTAATACCTAGATACTTTACTAGGTTAAGTAAAGCAACAGTTCGAAATCTTTTAACAGAATGAGGATTATTAATAATTGATTGTGAAGATTGTATATGAAGAATTATTTAATGGTTCAGCCAAGCATCCAAGTGAAAGTGAAATACTATTCAATAAAGAGTAAAATAAGAGAGATAATGAAAACAAATTCAGAGAGATTGAATTGTCGATCTCAAAATTGAGATTAATCATTCTCAACAAACTCAAAATGACGATAAAGGATAATAGTAAGAAGTATGTGAAAATAAGAAAACTGTATATAGAAACGGAGTTGTAATTCAATAAGGAAACTCAATTAAATAAGTTTATAGTTTTTACATCCAATTAAAATTTGAATCAAAAATAGTTTTAAAATGCAGAGGAAGGCTTAAATGAAACTCTGGCCATGAAGGACAAAGGAAGGGAATTGACATAGATTCTAAGATGGCCATAATTACAAATTTCTTTAGTGTTATGTGTTCATCCCACAATTCCAGACTATTCTTTTACTATAAATACATTTTAGCTATGCAAATTTATTAGGAATTTAAAACTAGTATCTGATTCTCCTTAAGGTTCTGATAAATTTTAATAAATTTTGGAGAATAACAATGTAAAATAATTAAATATCGATAGAAATCTCTTGAATAAAAGATAAAAAAATTGAGAGATAAAATCAAGAACTTGGAATCTGAAAATTACAGAGTTAAAAAGTAAAGTGTAATCTTAGAAGCAGAGAATGAGGAGGCAGTTGATAAGAATAGAAAATTGAAATAGCAGTTGATAAATTTAACAGGTTCTCTGTAGCAACTGCAAATGAATTTTTAACAGTAGATTTCTGCAAAGAAATCCTTATCTTTATCTAAAACCAAAAGTGCCATTGTAGCTGATAGTAAAACAATACAAACTCTTGAGAAGGCTTCAAAAAGCATATCGGTTTTATTGTCTTAGGGCAGCAAGAGTGATTTGAGTGTGAGTCCTTCCAAAGTTCATAAGACTGTACCTTCAGATTTACTAATTGTATCATTATGAGAGTTATAAAATATAGCCGAATTTCTAGGAGGATCCTGATGACGAAGAAGAATACTAGGAGGAAGGAGAGGATGGTTAGGAGGACGAAGACTAGGTGGATGATGAGGATGATTAGAATGCAGATTCATAGTAGCCATCTGAAGTGGATGAATCAGAAGGGTAAGATATACAATAGCCTAGGAAAGAGTCGTCGATATCTATGATATGAGTGATGTGTATTCGTTTTTTGAATATTTTAATTAAATGAAGATCATTTTGTTGGTTTTCTTGATTGGGGCTACATTTGCTAGAGACGAAGGCTTTTTTGCTTAATTAAGGAATAGTGATTTTGGAAAGACCATCATCTAAACACTTTAAGTTTAATTGTCTCAAGATCATCCAGCAGACGCAGTTGTTCATCTCTTGAAATAGATGAAAGATGATCTAAACAATGAATAAAGAGTTGAGGATGAAGGGATAACTGGACAATTGAAAACATGTTAAGATGCTTCAAGTGCTGCAGCTGCTGTATTAACTATTGCCAAGGAACGTAAAGCTACATCAGAGGAAAGACTACCCTTACTCTAATAAGAATAAAATGATAAGAAACAATAATTGTTTGATAAGTAAGGAGAGGAATAGAGAAACTTGGATAGAATATCAGTATTATAAGAAGCTAGAAATGTTTAAAGAGTAATTAATTATAAAATAACATTAGCAAGAATTTGAGTAAAGAAGAGATGAGTTGGTGGGTTTAGTTTCTGCACTTCAAGAAGCAAAGAAAATCTTGTCTTAAGGAATCGGAGCTTTGAAAAAGAATAGTTTTGCTGAACTTAAGAATCATCATCAAAACTTTTTAAAATATTTCCCAAATAAGAAAGGTTTCCATAGTATGGTTAATGTGCTATTGACTGTTTTATAAGAAGAAGGTACACAAGAGAATGCTGCTTAGAAGGTTGTGAAAATCATTGATACTCTTGTTGACAGCATCTTTTAGGTTCAAAAAGAGGAAATGAGAGCAGATGATGCTAGAGAATTAGACTTCTTAACATAAAAAGAGAGATTGCTTTTGGCTAATAGGAGGTTGTCTGGCAGTGTGGCTGATTTGAATGCAGCTAATGAGAGAATTGGATAAAAAATATTAGAAATCAAGAATGACATCTCAATTCAAGATTCTGTATTTATTATTTACGATTTAAGATTATTTTCAATAAGTCTACTGAATAGGCCGATTGGGATTAGACTTGCAGTGATACTGATAAGGCACACAGATAACAAACTGAATAAAGGTAATTTAATTAAATATAAAAGAAATGCTTAATTAGAAATAATTGTAGAATGCATTGATATCTTTGAGACCAGATTCGATATGGAAACAAAAAGCTACATATAACGCCTTAGATTCTGAATCAAATATAATTGACACAATATAAAAGCAATAAAAACGGATTTCTAATAATATTTATTATTCTAAATGAAGTTTTCTATTGTAATACTAATGCTTCTAGTCGTGGGGAATATGGCTTCCGATTTTGATCAGTAGGTTGAAGAATTGTAGAACTCCAACTTTGGTTAGACAATATTACAAACAATTTTGATGGAATTGTAAACAGGTGACCCAGTGATTTCAAACCTAATTAATATGATCTAGGGTCTGGAAACAACCTTAGAGAATGAATAAGAAAGAGACGATAAAAGAATTGCTAGAATAACATAAAACTGTGATATTGACATAAATACCTTGAAGGATTAAATTAATTAGAGTACTGTCAATTCAGCGACATTGAAAAGTGAATTGGACAGTTTGAATCCTTAAAAGGTTTCAGCAGTAGCCAGTCTTGAGAGAAAAAATAACGAAATTAATGATCTTAAGACAGAGCTCAATTATTAAACACATAAGAGAGAGACAGAAACATTGACCTATTAAGTCATATTGGACAATTTGGAACAAGCACTTTTTGGTGTCAATCAAGTCAAAGGATATTTCAATAGCTATTTAGATGTACTTGTAAAAAATCGCAAAAGATTTGACAAACCAGAGCCATCTTTCTTGCAGGAGAATTATAGTTTCAAGTACGATTAAACAGAGATGGATGATGTAGAGGATTAAGGAGTCCAATTTACATCATTCTCTCAAGTAGCATCAAAAGTGAATAAATTAAAGCATCATGTAAGTGTGTATCCCTATCTCAGATCCATTTAGAAGGTTATAGAGCCATGATTGAAATGATGAGTCGCTTAGCTGCTAAGGCCTAAGATGAACCATCTCAAGCAGAAGTACTTACAAGAAAGGTGTTATCAATTTTGAAATAAATAGAAAACTATATTCAATCTGAAAGAATCAGAGAGGATTAAGCAGAAGCTCTGAGATAGGGAAACTTCGATTTACTCAAGACTTTATTGTCGGACTAAATAGTTTAGGCCAGTCAAGATAGAACATATATGGAAGGTGTAAATTATCATCGATATCTCGTTTAGGCCTTGTCGAATCCTTGTCCACTAGAATTTAATAAGCATCTAATGAGAAATTTGAAGTTGATCAAAAAATAGTCACCAAAACCAAAGAATTAGACAACAGAGAAACAGATTGCAGACTCAAAAATAATGAATATGAAACAGACACAGCCAATAGGTATATATTCATTAAATTGATAAATAGAATTAAATAAAAGAGAGTAGTGGCAGTTGCTGTGGATCTAATCTCATCCAAATTGGGACAACTTAAGAGAAAATTGCTAGAAAATTGAGTTTCATATATAAAATTAAAACCAAATAATATATCCATTGAATAAATATAATCATAGTTTTATGATTGATGCTCCTTGAGATGGTTAGGTTGAAAAAATATGCTCTTTGTTTTCAATGTGATTGTAGAAGAACTCAATAATCTATCATAATTATGAAGGAATACCTTATTCTTGAAATTCTTAACTTCCGACTCTTTGACCAAACTGACTGTGCAACCTCCCCATCCTGCTCCAGTCAATCTACTTCCCAAAGCTCCATTTTTAATACACAAAGTTGTCAATTTATCAATGTTATCAGATGAACATTCATACAGTTCCTTACAAGATTTCTAACTCTGATTCATCAAGTAACCTAACAATATTGCCTTAGCATCATCCGACATTTTAGAATCACAAATGTTCTTGAATTTGATTACTCTTTGGGCTTCCTTAACCACATGAGTCAATCTATCATAAGGGTTTACACTTTAATTCTAATTCAATACTAATTCAAAGTAAGGAATATCAACTAACAGATTCGGCAGATTTAAGTACTCTAATTTTTCAAGACTAATTTCCCCTTTGGGTATGAATTTGCAGAGTTCTTCCATAGAATCAAGTGACAATTGCAAATGATCCTATAGTTATTTCAAAGTTCGAAAACTAGTTCCAAGATTCAAATTCAATTCTATCAATTTGATACCAATCCTACATTCAACTACTCTCTTGTTATAATGTTTTCCGAGTGTCTCCAGCTTAGTTGATTCTGTCAATGAATTCGCTATGATGAATGAATATCCCTTTGGCAAATTCACCTTAGTCAATCGAAGAGGATCAAATTCAATGTATAAAGCAGATCCTTCTTGTCCAAAAACTGATATGGTCTAATCCATTCCACCACATGCAGTGCCTGCCTCTCTTTCAAACTTGATAATTTAATCAACAAACTAATGTCTATCAATATCTTATTGGGTTTTTCCACTCACTTACAAACTCATTAGAGATGATGCCACAACCAAAGAAGATGATGAAGATAATCCTGAAGAAAATGGAACGTCGCCACTTATCAATATTTTGATCCCTTGATTCGCATTCCCATATTAAATCCCTGCTCTGTATCCAGCAAGCACATATTTCACATAATTTTAGATTTCATTATATTCCTCCTTTGGATTCACTGAAAGACTGAATTGCTTAAACTATTAATCATCAGCATGCTAAATCTATATGTCATTCCCCTCTATGGCAAATAACATAAAACAAGATTGTTCCAAAGCAAATGGCAATACTCCGTAACCCATATAATCGATGTGTTCACCAATTAACTAGCATTAACAATTAGATTTACATTGACTCTCCCAGGGGCCTTAACTAAAAATTGAGGTTGAAGCCCATTATATCTCTACGTAAATAATTCGATCAATTATTATATATTCATTTTTTATATTATTTATTTTTCATCTGCATTTTATGCATTTATTGTTCTATATACCTTAATAAGACTCATTAGAATCAGAAATTAGATGGGTATTATTATAAACTATGGTTAATATTTATCACTCTTTTTTCTTTTGATCTATTTTAACTATTTTGTCATCAATTTGTGTTACTTCCTTGATTTTATCTAAGGCATTTTTCCACATTTGTCCTCCCCATTAAACCGTCAAAAACAGACCCGTAGCCTCAGTACATATGGTCTTATCCTGATCATAGATGGTCGCCTTGAGGAACACCTTTCTGCCTTCAATTTTATCGATTTCTGCTGTGATCATGTAATCATGGTTGGTTTTTACAGGTTTTCTATAATTTATATTTAAATTTGCTGTAGCTGTAGGAATCTGCCCACTAGCCAAGTAACTTAATTATCCAAATGCATTATCTATTAATGTTGCCAATAACCCACCATGAACTATAGAACTATGTCCTTAGAGATGGTCAGCAGCATTAAAAACAAAGTGTAGATGAATTTTATCTTCAGATTCCAGATTGTCGCTATATATTTTTTATTCTAATTTGTCTGGATAATATATTTTAAACACATTCAGAGCTTCGTTGTGTTGAGCAATGAAATTGTGTAAGAAATGCTTATCTGGAGAAGAGTGCATGATATCAATCACTTTTGGTTGTATATAGTTTCCTTGTTCCAACATTGATTTGAAGCTGTGATCATCATTTTTTTGACCTTTATCACTAATGAAAGCCTTTACATATGGGAAGTATCTTTCATATGTGAAACCTCCAACAAAAGCCAATCCAAACAGCAATATATTTTTTTTCATAAATATAATTTATCAAAAGAGTCCTAAAAATAATCCACTTTATTCACTTCCTCTTTAAAATGCATGGATTCACTAAATCATTTGATATTTACGAAAATAATTAGTTTACCCCATACCTACTGGATGAGGGCAGGATTTATTTGTATATATAGAATGAATAAGGTGACAAATTACATTATTCCAAGATTATAAATTAATATAATATTTATTTTTAAAAGAAGTAATTACATAAAGAAGCCACACTATGACAACAGCAATTGAATGCTTTAACGACTTTTAATTCTTATAGTGCTATTTGTAATATTGGAATATATTCATTATTCTAGATCTTGGAGTTTAGAAATAATATGCTTGATTTGTTTAGGATTTGCAATTTGTTTAATCTTTAGGAGAAACTGTAAAAAATTGCTTAGCAATTCGACGAGAATAATAATACTAATAATTTTTTCTCTCATTTGTAAGATTTGAGTAATATTAGTTTATTTCGTATACAATCTAAGCAGAACTAATAGAACATTTTATTTTCTTCAGGAACTATTTTATTAAGTCTATCAAGCCTGTTTGATTTTCTATTTTGGAAAAAAATTAGTTTAAGGTCCCAGTAAAAGATAAAATTTAAATATAATTCGAACCATCTTTGGAATTCTAATTATACTAGATATTACTACATTCATTATATCCATTATTGAGGCAGCTTCCAAGAAATAAATGTGCAAATGTAAGTTATTATATTTACAATTAGATTAGAGATTTCATTTACTGTTTTTAGGTCCATCAGTCTAATTACATAAATACTCTTCCTGGTCATTGTTGAAAAATTATACAAACGATTTTTATTGAACCTAAAGAATCTACTCAAGAATGAATAGTAGACCAAGCGATAAAAGTCTCATTTCTTTTAGTTAAAGTATTTATTACTTTAAATATCAAGAATATTATGCTACATAAGTTTCTTCGGATCGCTAATTTTGTTGATCGTTAACTTTATCTATATGTTGTCCTCTGATTGTAGAATTATACCCCATTATGGAAACGGAGAATACAATTTCTCGGATGAACTCAATGCATTAGTACATACTACTGTTAAGTTACTTACCTATTTCATACCAATAATTCTAACTTTAGTGTTATTTACAACAAAGAATTAGAAAGAAGATTCGAATAATTCAGCTTTTGAAGTTGAAGATTTAACATATCAACAGTATTTTTAAGGCTTGGCTTTTGATAAATGATTATAAATCTAATGAAAATGTTTCAACAAATTATATTGCCATTTTGTATATTTTCTAAGCATCTTTAAATTACAAAATATGAATGTCTAAGATAATTTTAATATTTATATTATAATTTCTTAATCATTTATTTATCTAATTTCTTGATTTCAAATATTCTGAATATATAGTTGCTTTTTAATTTATTGAAAGATCAGTTTTTTGGAATGGAATCACTTTATAAATTTATTGTTGCATTTATTTCACATCTATATTTTTAATTTTATCCAATTATGTTTCTCCAATATGAATCAAACCAGATAGTACTACCAATCCAAAAGATCCAATTTTGTTCATCACTCCTTTTCCTGGGATTTTTCTTAATACCATAGTAATTGAAAAACTTATATAATAAAATAATTTAATTAATCATTTTATTTAAGGTAATCTGCATTGTTTTTTTGCGTATAAATACAATAGATGCGCAAAAGTATTAGGAGGTACTCTCTTTTTCTTGTCCTTTTTTTTCTTATTCACAAAATACCAATGCAATATTAATTTCATTTTTCTCCATAACATCCTCCCTGCAGTAATCACAAATGCTGAAGGATTCCTTCTTTTTATCTCTTCTGACATAGCTATAACCCAAGAATTAATCTGGAATCAAATCAAAAATGCTTACTTGTAATTCCTAAGTGTGAAAATCCATTGACCTAGTTTTCATTACCAAAGAAAAGCAGAGCCAAGGTTCGAGTTTATTATTGTAAGATTTTCTAAGCACATCTGTCACTTTCCCATAAAGCAATCCTCTTATATCTGAAACCGAATAGGAATTCACTGATTTAGGGTCATTAATGTGTTTGCTATTTTAAGCCCATCTAAATGTTCCATCATTAGCTAAAATAAAGAATCTTTCTATTCTCCCATTGGAAGACTTATTACATTTCGTCAATTAATCGCCCAACATAACAGTTCTATAGGCAGCGTTAAGAAGACTTACATTTTTTAATTTTTGTGACTTTGTCATAGAAACAGCCATCATTTAACCTTATTTGGTTTATGGTTAATTTAATTAAGATTTTGTAAGTTTTAGATTTGCTTATTATTATTATTATTATTACTATGACGATGATAATTATTAATTTTATGTTTTTTATTGATTATTTCCAGCAAAACCCATTGTTTATGATCCAAATTGACTAGTATTCTTGAATGGTTACTAATCATAATTATTTGTAAACAATGTTTGTTACTTTTGCTATTGGAAATCATTCTGTTCAAGTTAATTTTTTTGAGAGAAATTACTTGATAATGGGTTATTATATTGTTAATATTAGTTATTTTATTACGAAGTTGGATTTTAGCCTTTAACCATATAATTTTATTAATCATTCGTTGAGTGATATGATTAAAAATTCTGTTAATTTTGATAATCATAATTAATTTAACTTTGTTATGAATTGTATTAAGAATTCATTTAGTCAAATTACTTTTATTATCCTAAAGTATTAGAATACTAAATTTGCTAGTTATACATTTAATTAGATTGAAACTTTTGTTTAAACTATGGTTATTGATAATTTTATTGATCTTAATATACTTCTTGCTTTAATTAATAGAGATAATTTAAGAAGGGTTCTAATTAAATTTTTAAGCAAATTCTATTGAATTTCATTAAGTGAGATTTGATAATATTGACTGATTCCTTTGTAAATGGTAAATTTTATAAATAGTTTTCATATGGTTATTGTTGATCCAATAATTTTAATTAATGTTCAAGTTATGCAATTGATTAGGATAATTAAGGTACGTTCTCCGCTTCTTACTAGGTCATTTGATGATAGCAAAATTGTATTGCCCTTTTGAGTCTTAATTTTAGAGCTAGTTTCCAAAATTCATCTTGTTATTTAACCGTTAATGGTTATGATAATAATTACTAATTCTTTTGATAATTCAGTTGTTGTTCTAATTTTTACAAAGATGTTGTTATCTATATTAATTAGATACTTACTTCTCTAGCACATTATAATTTTTTTTCACAATCTTTAAATAAGATTTCTGGACTTATTCGTCTCAACTCTGGAGATTGCATACATTTTTGTAATTATTATACATAATCCTTACAATCCATTCTTTCATTTTAAGCAATGGTTAATATTCTTCTCAATGTAATAACAGTAAACCCATTTTCTTTCTGCTCCTACCATAATTTTAGAGCTTTTTGATGATACCTAAAGGCAAGGGTCATATCTCCACAAAGTTCTCTATTCAACCCCATAGAGGAGTAGAAACAAGCCAAACTCTATCCATCATCTATAATATAACATTTATTTCAATACACTTTTATTCCAGATTTTCAAAATTTCCATCACCCATAGCTTCAAATGATTAAAACCTATAATAGATATACATTAGCTCCTTAAATAGCTGATATTATAATGGAGGTTAACTAAACTAAGCACAAAATTTTACGCCTATATTATTAATTGAATTGCCTAATCATTGTAATCTTTGCATTCTTAATATTCTGTTGTTATCAATTTGATGATTGCTAAATTTCCCTATAATAGATTTAAAATCTATTTTACTAATATTTTAATTAATAATGCGCATATGAAATCATTCTTTCTGTCTATCATATTGAATGCTTAAAGTAACTTTTCGGTTGCTTATTTATAATCACAATTATGAAAATAGATGATCCCTAAATTAGCCAGGATTATAGCCATCCTATCAATATCAAATAATTGAGATTTGATATTACCCCTCCCTGCTTCTTAGCAGTTTAGAGCCTCTTCATATAATCGTATTGCTTAATTCAAATCTCTTAATTAAAACTGATTGTGAGCATCCAAAAGAAGCTAGTTAAATTTAATTTAATTTATGTTCAAAGTTTCCTCCTAATTCATTATGTAAATTAAAATATTGAATGAGAAATAAAAACATTTCATACAATTCATTCATAATATCAGTATACACACTATATAGATCCTTAAGGTTTATGCTTCAATCGAGTTTTGTAAAAGTAATTTTCATTTGTTCACAACTTTTGTAGGTAAGTAATTCAATTTGGTCATTTTAACATCATTCTCTCGTTCTCGAGTTGTATATGTAATTCAAAATAAGCTACCAAAGCTAATTATCATTCATGCAATATTAAGAGAGTTAGGTATAATTTAATTATTAAATTTCATCAATGATATAGTAGACAATTTTAGAAGATTACTTCCAAATCTTACTTAACAATTTTATTCAAGTTTTCAATTTTCAAAATTTATTATTTCCTATAATGAGTGAAAGCCCTTTCATTTATATAAAATTTCTATTATATTATCCTTCTAGAGGGAAACAAAGAAAGAGATTGAAACTGATATCTGAAGTACAAGTAAAACACAAACTGAGTACAATAAATTATTTATCATATAATTTATAATGGCCTTTAGAAATATATATACAGGTGGTGCTTGCACTGCTGATGGAACTTAGCAGATGAGTTAAAATCCGTTCAAGCAATTCATGGATAGAATGCTGTTCGGCTAAACTTAACAATAGTATTTAGTTAATTTAAGAATCTTAGATAAATATAGCAATAGATAAATGTCTAGTAGGATCCAATGGTGCAACAGAAATTATAGGAACGTTAAAGATTATTTGAGAGTATGAACTAATAATGGGATGTCATGGCTAAATAATATGATTAAGCAAATATTGAATAAAGGTAGATGATGGAAAAGATGTTTGTAGAGGAGCAAAGAAATTATGAATAAGCAATGATGCAATAGTAAATGATGATGGATTTTTAATGGCAACAAGCAGAAATTTAATATTAAGCTGATTAAATGGCTTAAGAATATTAATTCCAAGAGGCTTATGAAAATGCTGAGGATCTATAAATGTAGAGTGAAAAATCATAAAAATATGCAGATGATTTGGTATAGGCTTTAGAAAAAGATCCTGATCCAAGATTTTAATAGTCTAAATTTTTGAGATTTATGAAGGATATTTAGAATGGAAATCTAAAATTGGTGGGCAATGAATTGCTTCACATAGAAGGGTGATAAAGTGGAATAATTAGCTCTGGAGAGAATCTAGACATTCGAAGAAGGATGGGATTAGGCTACTAAAAATGTGGAATAAAAATAATCTGATTTATCAGAAGTTGAAGAGAAATTTTCAAAGATGTGGGATGAAAAATTAGAAAAATATGATAGTGAATTACAAAACGAAGATTAATTTTAAAAGAAGCTTGAAGATTCTTATTAATAAATACTTAAGGAAATGAAGCAAGGAACAGATATTGATAAATTGTTCTCTGAAGCCTGGTAAGCAGCATCAGATTTATAGGAATTTGATCTCTATAAAGACTCTAATAATACTTACAGGTTTTAAGAAAATAACAAGTATTTGACTATGGATTTTCCTCTATAAGCAGCATTTGAATTTAGTACATTAAGGCTAAAAATACAGAAGCAATCCTGGCTTTGGGAAGCTCATATTCCAAAAGAATCCAGCAGATTCTAATGCATGGAGAATCTTGGGTAGATTACATCAAGAAAATGATTAAGACCAAAGAGCTGTTGCCTCCTTCTTGAATGCTATGAAATAAAATCCAAATGAATTAGATACTTTGAGTGCTTTGGGTATATCATGTACAAATATTCTGGATGAAGTCAAAGCCATGTCCTTTTTAAAATAGTGGTTAATCAAGAATCCAAATTATACAGTACCTGTAGATGATAGCATTGTGCCTGGCAATACAAATATCTATGATTATACTTTAGATTAAATAAAATGCATGAATGCAAGAATGATTTAAGTATTTGAAGCAGCTCATTAACAAGGACCTAACGATGTTGAATTGTTGAATGGATTAGCTGTACTATATTTCATCGAAAGGAACTATTAAAAATCTGTTGAGATCTTTAAAAAGGCTCTTCAAATTGAACCAAAAAATTATTAGATATGGAACAAATTAGGTGCCACTCTAGCTCATCTTGGTGAAGCAGATTAAGCCATGTTCTGTTACCATAGAGCGTTGGATCTTAGACCTAATTATGTGAGGGTTTGGGTCAATTTGGCATTTGCCTATTCTTACAAGGGAGAATATTTAGATGCTGCTAGATTGTACTTAAGTGCACTTATGATTAATCCATAAGCTAGACATATATGGGGTTATTTATAAACAGCATTTTTATAACTATGTATGAGTTAGAGTTATATGAAATAGAAAGACCGGATTTAATTTCAAAGATTCAACACTATGATCCAATGTTATTTAAAGATGAATTCTCAGTTACTAATCCTAATGATTTGCCAGAGCCTGAAATTCTATGTAATATTCTTTAGTTTATACTTTCGTAGATAGAGAAGCTAATAATTTATATATATTTAAAATGCCCGAAGAGGAATGGTTAAAGACATCTTAGAAAAAACCTTGACATTAACCATACTATTTTTGTTTAAAAAATATTATTAGTTTATTAAATGCATAATTCAGAATCGTCGATGAATGAAATTGAAATACCTAGTCCTATGAGATAGAGCGACTCGCAACTCCAATCAGAAAGCGATGATTTACTAATGCAAAGAGATTCGTACCCAAAAATTCAAAAAGCAGACTCTCACGAATCTCTAATTTCAGAACATCACATTTAACCAAAAAAATACAGAAAAATAGTTTAAGCCTTAGACATAATTGGAATGCTTGGATTATTAACTTATTGCATTTTGATACAGTCCTATTACTCAACATTTTACTTGATATGCTTACTCCTCATATTGAATTACTCATACATCAGTAGTTACAAAGGTGTTCAAGTTAAAGATGGGAAACTGTATACATTGACTGAATTTGCATCCTAATAAGAATAGTTTCATAATACCAATTAAAATTAAGAGCAATTTGAAAATACATTCATAACCCAATATTGGTTGGTTCTTAATGATTTTAAGAAACCCATTTGGTAAAGTTTTGTTGTCGTTTCTGCATTCTCTTTAATTGTTAAGCTTGTGCTGTATCCCATAGCAAAAAATGGAGTAAAATTTAATCTAATATTGCAAGGGTTATAATATGATGTCAATTGACAATTTCAGTGGACTAGAAGTCTATTTCACAGTTATCAAAGGCAAAGTCACTGTTTCCTCTGCAGAACAAGGTCTAGCATTTGCACCCAATTGCATAATGTTGGCTTTGGCCATCGTCATTCTCACTTTCAGGAATGTACAAATGAAGCAAGAATTCCATGAATTAAAGGATAGTCCGATATTGACCAAATTTTTTATTGTAAGTATTCGGCAATTAATAGTTAGCTATTGATGCTGCTTAATCTAATTGTTTTGACTTGTTGTACCAAATCTTTGATTGGCCTTATAATGTGGGGGTTTTAATTAATATTGCTGTTGAGAATGTATTAGAATCAATTAGTAGAAAAAGTTTATTTTATCATTTTGAAAGTTGTACTCATGGTAATATTAGTGGTTATGTATTTCATCAGTACACCAATAAAGAAGGTTATTCTTTAAAATAATTAAGCAGCATCATTCACTTTATAGTTTACTGGGTTTTAGTTATTTGGATACTTTTCGAATTATGAAGCCCAAGCCATTCTATTTATTATCTTCTCGATTTTTGTACTAAATATGCTTTGCATCGTTAGCGAAAAGATTAAGACACAGAGTCTCAAAGATCAGTTTAATCACACCATTGGTGAAATCTCCTAATAATATGAAGATTTTAAATAATTTGAAGTCTTGATTAAAAGCTAAATGGACAACATTTCAGTAGACATCAATAATTCCCCTAAATTAAAGAAAAAAGGTGGAGAAGATGAGCTATCAGATTTTGAAGAAGAGAAGGATATTTCAGATCAAAATTGTGATGAATAGGGTAAATCAAAGGACAACCCTAAACCAAATAGAATTTCTGAGTTCTTCCTGGATTAATAAGCTAATACTTCAATTTATTTTCATAAAATAGAAAAAGCTTGGTATGATTCTTTGGAAAACATAAAAAATACCATTGATAAGCCACTAGTTTCATTAATTGTTTTACAAATCTTGTCACTATGCATAGTCATCCTCCAATAGACCTATTTTTCCATTTTGTTGGTGTGTTGGCTTATTTTAACAGGGTTTACATTAAATTTTAGGATAATTCGAATTGCTACAATATTTTGTAATATTCCTTCATTATTGATCAATTTTTTTACTTTCTATTACAGCAACATAACTGGATTAGATCGACCTAATAATTTCTATTAATTTTGTCCTTCCAGTGAATACAAAGCTTTAGATGAGTTACCAACAACAGTTTGTTAAAAACTCGGATTCTTTTATTAGGATAGTTCAGCTGTTAATTCAATTTTGATGAATTGTACTTTGTGTTTATTTTTTTTGTTCATCAAATAAATAGAAGAGCAGGAGGAAAAAGAAAAATAACTTCAATTTAAATCTAATTAAATAGAAGAAATGCCTAGATGGTTTAACATTTTCTTAGCATTTTTCTTCAGAATTGACTTTTTAATCATAATAATATTGTTATATTGGGTTGGATTTAATGAAATAAATATCATTTCGTTTATTATGATTCTCCTTTTGATAATTTTTATTGTTAATTAGTCAAGCAAATGCGATTATAGGGGGAAACGAATACCTTTTCAACAAAAATATTGGATAATTCTCTTGGTTTATATGAGTTTCCTGACTTTTATAAAATATCTCTACATATTATTTGGAGTTTAGTAGAGTTATTTTGTAGTCTAAATAATTGGCCTAAATATGCTCAATAAGTAATTAGTGTTGAATTGGTTATTGTTTTATCTGACGATAATTCAATATTATGGATTTAATACTGCTATATATGATCAATATTCAAATGTAAGACAAAAATCATATTTTAGAGATTAATAGCCACTATCTCCTAAGTTGAAAGTGTGAAGGGCAATCTCCCTAATTTCAGATATCATTTTGGAATTTTGGAAACAATGTATGGCCATTCATTGATATGGGCAGCCTATGTAGTCAATATCTGTTTCTTATTATTCACTCCCTACAGCTATCTAAATAATTTATTACTCCTTTATATAGGCATCGTATTCTTGTATCATGTGAAGTCAATAAATTCTTAAATCAATTACATCAGATTAAGAACCTTGTGGTACATTTACATGTATTTTCTGCTGATCGCTTTTTCATATAGATATCTATTTTCATTTTTGTAATTATCCTTAAATTTATTAGATTAGTTGTGTTCCAGATTTGGATAATAAATCAAAACTATTTTAAAAATTCTATGACAATCTCTAATTATATTATTAGGAAGCTGGTCTTTATGCCTATTCTACAGATAATTTAAGAATGGAATATTTGGCTGACACATTAAACATCTTGTTTGGTGCATTTGCGTTGAATTAATTGACAAAATTTAAGAATTTACAAATAAGCCAACATAATAAAAATTTGGGTGAATCTAGTTCATAGAATGTTCTAGATTTGAAGATATTAGATTAATATCAATGGCTTAAATATATTTTGATTGGAATTGCTCATCTAAATACTGATTTAATTACAATATACATAGTCATTTCATGTGTTCTTTATCTAAGATCAATAGCTGCATTTATATTGTTAACCTTATATCTAAGTTATTTCTATCGAGTGCATAATACCATTTTGGATATGCTAGAACAGAAAAAAAGCTTGACAAAACTCCAAACATGTAAAATTTAATTATGATTTAGAAATTTATCTATTGAAGCAATTGTATCTATAGTTCGCTTCAGATATATCTCATATAGATGAACCTAAAAAAATTAGCAGATTGAATGATGAAATTAAATTGTTACGTTTAACAACTAGAATCAAACTGAAAAGAAAGATTTGGTTATATTCCTTTTATTTCACTGCCTTTTGTATTTTCCTCTCTTATTTATCTTAATTTTTATCAACTGAATCGTTTACAGAAAATATCAAATCTCCATTGTGGGTTGATTACACAGTGCTTAGCTTTTTTATTTTTGGAACATATTCAAGATAATATGTAATTACAAATTCATGCTACTGTGGTTATGAATCAAATAACAATGATTGTTAAGACACTGATTATGTTCAAACTGAATCAAATATGTGGTAGGTTTCATGGTTTTATTTGTTTCTATTGTTTGTTAATGTTATTGATACTGCTTGCACAAAGATTTTAGAAGATGATTTAACTAAAAGTATAGAAAATCTACAAGAAACTTAGGAAATGAATAAAATTAAGGAATCAAGGATTCAAAATTAATCTTATGAAGAGAGCAAAGAAACATTTGATAAAAAATACGATTTTGTTGTTTTTGTTAAAAGTCATAGTTAATACAATTCATTTGACAGAGAAGTGATAATTTTGAATTACTTTACAAATAAAAGTAGATTTGTGAAGATTTTACTCAATGAATCATTATTCAAAATATTTTAAAGATTCCTTATTTTACTTTACCTATCAAATACTTTGCTTGTTAATACTATATTTTCATTATTCTACTTGACCATATCTGTTATTTTGTTTTAAATGAGTGCTACAGTCAAAAATACTAAAATGTTAAATTCTATAGCAATATTCTCAATCCTATTTTAGTATTTCCTTTACCTATTGAATTGGACACCTTCAGAGAATGATATTCCTGAGTTCGACAATTTTACTCTCTTGCCTTAAGATTTTAACATTATGGCTAAAACAAACTTATCTGATTATTGGTTGGCCTTCTTAGGTTTTGAAAGCACAGAAATCATGGATTGTGAATAACTCAAATAAAGTGTTTTTTCTAATATGAAGTGTGAGACTAATCAATTGCTAAACATTGTCATCGTGTTCAATTGTCTCATAGTGTCCTTTATTTACCTGTATTTTTTAATGTTGGAATGGTTTTGTAATCAAATTTTTAAGCAATCTATTAAAATGAAGAATGAATTTATACTTTGCAAGAAAGTACTCAGTAATCACAGAGACAGTCAGATTATTATTACTTATAACTTATGGAGACAGAAGAATTATAGTTTTAGACATGTATTGATACAAACAATTACTATGAATTATCATTTGATTCTCTTTGGATTTGTATTGTTATTGTGTGAAATGAATAGATCCATATTTAATCTTCTTCAATTACTTATAGTTATTGGGTTTTTATATGCTGCTGAATTCCATTTTCAATGGCCATATGCTTATACTGAAAGAAGAAAAATTAAAGCCTTCTATCAGGCAATATTCACCTTGTCTGCTGTTATCATTGCTTTATTTACATTTTTGAAGGTTCCAACCTTTTTGGAATAATGTGTTAATGCTTCCTAAGTGAGAGTGGATGAAGGGAGTGGTTTGGAGTTTTATTGCATGGAGGCATTTAACTTAAAGATAGACGGACAGATATTCCTAATCTTTTTTATCTCTTTGTATTTTGATTTATAGATATCGAGTCACATGAGAACTACTTAAGACAACTACTAATCTAAATTAACTTTAAGAGCAAGGATGGTTTCAAGAGGTCTTGCTTACAATTACAATTACATATAATACAAGAAAATATTGCAATTATAGGAAGAGAAAAACCTCTTAAATCAAATATCGGATACGATTGAATAGAAGATGATAATTTGGAAGAGAAGAGTTAGGGAAATATAGATGAAATAATTGGTAAAAGAAAAGTCACTTACCATTCAATAATAATAATAATATCCTTAATTGACCGCTAGCTTCATGACTGAACCAGATGTTTAAATACCGGATCATTAATCATTTTTTCGGAAAGTATACATAAAAATGATAATTTGGATGAGAAATGATAATTAATCCATCAAATTTATGCCATTTCACATTTTGATGGATTACATACTTTAATAGAATAAAAGATTGTAAAGACACATTTTCATAACAATTGAGAATCATCTCATGAATGAAACTAAAACTTATGAAGATGAGATGAGATCTCTTGAGAAAATATATAGAAGATTTTATCAGGAAATTGGTAAAAATAAAGATAAACTAAATGAAATGATTTTGGATAAGACTATTCAAAAAGCCATGGAGAAGTATAAGAAATTATATAAACCTTTTAAGGGATAACAATATAATAAATATATTAACTAGTAGTAGTTAAACTACTAGTTAAGTAAGGAACTTAGATTTGTTCACATTATTGATGAATAGGAGAGAATAGTTTTGGAGTAAACCAAATAGAAATATCCAATCAATAAATTAATATCAATGAAAACAATCAACCTATTTAGTTTATTTCTCCAGGATCTATTTAAATATTGCATTATCAATTGGGATACAATAACAAATATCATTATTATTTGTTATTATTTCAAGAACTATGCTCTCTTTGGCATGCTCTTGCCGATAACCATGTTTGTTTGGGGATTAATAGATGTAAACTCTAAGATATTTTGGATGATTTCCTACTCATTATACTTCTTTATCATTTTAATGATATTTGTAGACTCAATGTATGGAGTGGTATACAATAAGTCAGATTAACCTAAATAGTATGTTCCATGGTATTACGTTTTAGATAACAGCAATACTTTTGGTTTGTTTTATGAGATATTTACAATTTGGTTGATTACATTCTAGGTATTCTTGTAAAAGTCCTTTGGTATTTTTGATTATCCATTCACATTAATCGAAAATATCTTTTAAGGCTACATCAGATTAAAACTCAACAATTTTAATAAAGATATGGTAGAAGAGATAGTGTAAGAATCAGAAATATAAAGATCGAGATCTAAGTCAGAAATTGGTAGAATGGAGAATCCAGAAATCGAGAGAATTGAAGTAGAAAATTAATTATAGGGAAGATCTTTTTTGGAGAAGTCAGGATTGGAAGTTGAACCTGAGAGTATAATGTTATAAATTGGAAATGATTTAGAAAGAAAAATTGCAGCAAATCCTGAAATCATAAGTGATAAATACAAACCAGGATTTTTCGAGAAGATAATGTCTTATGAGTATGCAAGACCAGGAGTAGATCTTTATTTATCTATTGCTTCTATTTAAGTAATCTTATTTTTGTATATGTTATTCTTTTTCAATTTTATGACTGGAGAATCATAAAATATTGAAGGGTATTTAAAGTATAATGAAGTACCAGCTTAATTAGTATTGGCATTAGTATTTTAAATGTTATTTATGATGGTTGAGAGATATATTGAATTAAGAGGAGACTAAAAGTATATTAATTCTCAAGAAAGAGCTGTGTTTAAAAATAAATACAAAACATAATTTGTTTAAAAGTATGTATTATAAGTATTGATTCTAACTTTGGTATTCTTATTTGTTTATTGCTATTTGTTGTAACTTTGGAACAGAAATATCAATGACTACAAAGACTACGATACATCTATTGTAATATATTTTCTGTTATTTTGTGCCTATTTTTATTTATCTGCCCTTTAACTTAGATATGGATATAGAGAATTGAAGGTTAGGAATCAATTTTTGTATGTCTATAATTCACTTAGCTATTATTTTGCATTAGTATTATACTCAATTCCATTTTTATATGATTTAAAGGTATTGATGGATTGGACCTGCTTATATACATCACTTGATATCTACTAATGGTTTATCCTAGAGGATATTTAAAGATAAATGTTTTTCACTAAAATTTCTTCACAAAAGGTAATGAAAAGACAATTAGGCCTAGAAATATCAAAGATAAGCAAATTAATTTTCTTTTTCTTTGTTATTTTCATTTTAATTTGTATCTTAGGTCCTTTGATTTTGTTTTCTGCCCTCAATCCTGCTGCATAGAACAACCCTATTGTCAGTGGAAGTTTCACAATTAATTTAGTTAATGTGGACACCAACTTAAACGTTTAATTTTATGAATCCAGCCAATTGTTTGGATTAGAATTACCTTTTTTAACTGATTACTCTGAAATCAAAGAACTGACCAAATAATAAAAAATAACGCAATAATAAATAGATAATTCAGGGGGAATCTAAAGATTTTAATTATCAGATTTTTCAAATTAGAAATGGCAGGTCTCGCTTCCCCTTTATAATTAATTGATTAGAGAATTGAATCAAACCATAACCCTGGATGAAAAATACCATTTTTTGTTTAACGTGACTTTTACCTTTAGAAGACGTTTCTAATTTATCCTGCCTTCTATGTATAAATTTTCATATCCTTATAATCCTCTAATAAATGGAGAAAATGGGACAGTAGGATTAGGATTGGATCAACTAAAATACATTAGGAATGCCGCCATGGCTTGTAATACTTCAGGAGTCATGTTACCCAATTTCTACATAGAGGCTCTGAGAATTTACTAAAGTTCTGCAACAAATTATAACACTACACCTATTTATGGAAAGGATATTCCAACTGCATAGGATGTTTTCTTGAATATTAACTGTTCTTATGGAAATACAAATCCTCTTCAAGGAGTTTCAAATTGGGAATTTCAGTATGCTGGAAATAGTAGCTTATTTTTGAACTCATCAAATTTAACTTTGCCTGATGGATTATTATATTTTGTAATCTGTGATAATTACTCTGTCTTAACATATGGATTAAGTGTTATCACTATTTACACAACAGTCATTCTTCTAATAGCTAAGTTCATTAGAAGCACATTCTCTTCGCAAGTATTTATGTTGGAGTTTACATAAATGGTTTAACCAGATGATCTATTATCAATATGTTAAGCTGTATCTGTAGCCAGATAGCTATAAAACTATAGAAAGTACGCTATATCTTTTTATATAATTTAGAGAAAATTTGTTATATTTTGAGTTGATTGATATTCTGCGATCTCCAGAATTAGTGAAAGCAATGACAGGTGCTTGGTCAGAAAAGTTTGACTCCTAATAGAACAACTAAAAAGATGTTAATGTCAAAGTCTTGTAAAATTAGAAACAGCATAATGAAGAATCTAAATTAAAGTAAGACTGATTGTCTTTATTATATTATTTACCTAATTTTTTACTAATTTATTTTAAATTTAAAGGAGTTTTTTGATGTCTTACTTGAGAATGTCAGAGGATTTTCTCAAAGTAAAAAGGGGATATCGCAAAATAATTCATTGAAATTCCATCCTGTAAATTAATTTGGTTAATCTTAAAATAACAAAGTCTTTATTCCTGTATCTTGAAATATTCAGACTAAATTTTACATTTGGGGTTAAATTCTATTCATATATTATAAAATAATTATATTATAGATCTCCTTTAGCTTTTGAATAATTTATAAGAAAGAATTGTAAAATTATTAATGAGCTTTTTAAAATATTAAAGTTTTTAATAATGTCACAGATTTCAAAATATTAATTGCAAGGAAAGGTTGGATCTGGGGTTTATGGAGATGTTTATAAGGCTATCAATACATAAACGGGAAAGATTGTTGCGATCAAGAAGATTAAAAAGCAAGTTCCCTATTAAAATTTATATGATAGTAATAAGATTAAGGGATATCTGCTGTGGCTTTGAGGGAAACATCGATATTGCAGACAGTCCAATGTGAAAATATCGTAAAGTAAGAATTATATATAAAAATAGGTTGATTGAAATTGAATATGTCTAGGGGTGCATTAGATTGGTGATGGAATTCTATGATGTCGATTTGGATGCATATCTGAAATAAAATAGATTGGAGATCAATAAGATTTAAGTAAGATGTGAATATATTGAGAATAGGAAATTTTATATGGTATCCTCAAGGGGATGAATGAATGCCATAAGAAGAAATGCATGCACAGAGACTTGAAGCCCCAGAACATTTTAATTAGTAAGGAAGGTATTTAGAAAACTAATTTCTCAGGTAAAGTTAAAATTGGAGATTTTGGAATGGCTCGATCTTTCCAACAAGTGCCTGGATCCTACACATATGAAGTGATCACACTTTGGTATAGGCCACCGGAGTTATTGCTTAAAACTACTGGTTATACAACAGCGATAGATGTTTGGTCTATTGGATGCATATTTGCTCAAATGGTACTAAGGGCACCTTTATTTGCTGGGGACAGTGAGATATAACAGATGAAATTGATATGCGAAAACATATCGTTGAATTAGGATAATGCATAAGTTTTATCTGTATCTCAATATGATTAAGTTTTAGAATTCTATATTTTAAAATTAATTGGAACAGAAATTGGATTTGAAATTTGCAAATACATGTATAACTTAAGATGGTTTGGATTTGTTAAAGAAATTATTATAATTGAATCCAGCCAATAGGATTTCTTGTCATGAAGCTCTAAGACATGTATTGATTACATAATATTCAAGCCATTCTTTAATAATTTCCAAGAGCCAGATGAAATCAATTAAAATATGGATATATTGTCATAGTATTTTAGGGTTTAATAATGATGAAGAAATTTGGTTTCAATTAAGGATGATTCCTTAAATTAAATAATTCAATTATCCAAATATATTAATATATAAAATATATTAAAAACAAGAATTGCTTGTTGAAAGATCTTCAAATACCAAAGGAATGATGTGGACTCAAATATTAATATATAAATATAATTTAAGCAATAGTATTAGTTTCATATGACTTAGGATTTATTTTAATTAATTTAAAAATTATTTATTTTTTAAACTTGAATCTAAATTTTTAATCTTAGTAAAAAAAGTCTATATAAAATGAGTTTTGGTGTTTTAAGAATATACTTTGTAAACACACTTATTAGATCTAATATTAATAAAATCAGATAATTTAATGTGAATTACAATGGTTTGAGTAAACATTTTATCTGCCAACCTTATAAAAGTAAATAGAAGCTTTATTATTAAATGGTTGCTATGAGTGCAGGGGTGCAATATATGGGAAAAATGGGATAGACATTTAGGTTTTGGCTATATGAATAAGGTGTATATTAATATTCTACACCACAAATGCGGGAGTTTGAGATTCTAATTATTTAACTTGAAAGCTAATTAAATATGACTTTATTAATAAATATTTTAATAAATGGCTGCCACTCTTGATTAAATAAAAAAAGAAATAATTGCCTAGTAGGAGGCTTAGAATGGAGAATTAGAAGATTTAGATATTGAGGGAATCGCAATCGGTCAATTTGATAATCAATCAGCAAATCTTATTCAATAACATTAGAATCTCATTAGTTTGAGTCTTGTTGAATGTTAACTCAAAAACTTAGAGGGATTCCCTAAATTGAATAATTTGGAAAATCTAATTTTGGAGTCAAATCAATTAGATGGAACAGCTATATCTTACATCAGCAAAAATTTCAAGAAATTAGCATGTTTAAGTCTTGCAGATAATAAAATTTAAAAATTTGAAGTAAGATATCACCATTAATTCATAGGATGTGGAGCCATTGAAATAACTTAAGTAATTACAACAGTTGGATTTGGCTGACAATCCAATTACGCACCTTCCTGGATACTTCAATAAAATTTTTGAGCTCATTCCATCTTTGTCAGTTTTGGATAACAAGGATAAGGACGGATAAGAAATTGAAATCTCTGTAATACTAATTTCTATCAATTGATTAGAGTGGTGAAGATGAAGGTGATGAATCTGATTTGGGAGGTAAAGTAGGAGATGAAGATGACGAGGATGAATTTGATGAAGATGAGGATGATGAAGATGATGAATCTGATGTTAAACCAGTCAAGAAGACTAAGAAATGAAGTTTATTTGTTCTTTATGTTCATTTATAAAATAAGTTTTATAATATTTTAAATAATGATAAAAAATTAAGGAGCAGTGTCAGAAGGCATTGAGTAGAAATTTAATAACAAGATCAAATCATTGTAGAGTTAGCAAACTGATCCCTTTATTATCGTCAATGGAAATGTGTAAAATATAGATTACAATGACGACATAAAAAGAGAGAAGGCATTCTATGAATTTGCATTAAGCAACTTGAATAAATTTAAAAATAGCAATTAAAATATCTAATTCACCAGAATTGATTAGCAATTTTTATTTAAGCAAATAGGAGAAGTTATTGTAAATCCTATTGTTAAATCTGCAGTTCATGTTAAGAATGTAGAAGAGAAGGAATTGAATTAACAAGGAAAGAAAATTTAAACACTTCTTACTGCAAAAAAATCAAATAAATAAAAACATGAAAAAATTATAGAAGAAATAAGAAAGGCAATGAAAAAAAAACCAGTTGATGAAATAGATAAGGATGAAATTTAAGAAATTGAGCAAAAATAAAAGCCAATAAATAATTTAAAAAAGAACATTAAGAAGAAGAAAACAAAAAGACTTGGAAAATTAGCCAGATTGCACAAAAGGTTAAAAATAAACAGTAGAAAATAAAAATGATTCAGGATATTTATTTATTTTATTTCATTTTTCAATCATAAACAACAATAAGAGTATTTATTTATCATTTTAATAAGTAAATCATAATAATATCAATATCATTTTAATATAAGTCATAAAGGATAAATAAATTAATAATTATTTATTAACCATTTTCATTACATAAGTTTTGATTCTTAATTTTACATCATATTTATAAATAGTTAAGTTTTGTTTATATATAACCTGGAGTTAAATATTAGCAAGTTGTAGATATTTCCTAATAAAAAATTTTTGAAGTTCTTTTTGAAATTCAATGCTTTCTTTAAATACCACTTATGAATTAATGATTCAAATTATAGTCTTTAAATTGAAATATTTAGTTCTTATTATCATTTATACCCTCCATTCTCATTAAAAAGGGGGAAATTATTAAGTGTAAATTATGTATCTTTGCTTTAACAAGATGATAAAACTTATTATGCAGCTCCGTGCTAGCTTATTTTAGATATTATAATCACGATTCTGATTCATTATTAAATTTCAAACCCCTTAAAATAATACAAGTCTCTTGCTCCATATTTTAAATATTGATCAAGGTGTGAAATGTTATTCAAAAAAATAAAAACAAAATATTCATAAAATATTTCAAACATTCGAAGTTAAAAGGATGTAGTTTTAGAAACTAAAGAAGAATGAAATAGAAAATCAGGAAAATTCAACCTTTTCTTATTGAAATTGAAAATAATTAAAATTGATTAATGTATTATTTGTATTGTATGTGTGTATTTTCAAGCTCTGTTTGGATAGAGGAATACTCTGAGGGTTGATCCGATAGCTCTTGGTGGAAGATTTTTGCCAAAATGAGCAATCACAACTCCATTTGATCCATGTGATCTACTAATACGACCCCAAATAGTCTGAATTAAATTAATTCATACTCTGAACTTTGTGTTGCTCTTAAGTGTGTGGGCCTTATAAATGTATGCAACTCTCTTTCCCCAGTAGAATCTGCTTGAAGCAACATCTTCCACATGTTGAATTTTGAGCAATGCTTAATTCTCATTTTATTAAACCTTTGATCTTCTGAAACCTGTGAATGCAGCCTTAACCCATAATCTACATTTAGTATTCAACTCTACCTTGCTGGTGCACTTTTATTGGTTGTCTTAACTTTCTTAACTGTTTTTGTTGCTTCCTTCTTTTAATCAGCTTGGCCCTTCATTAATTAAAATCTTTGTTATTTTTTTATTTAAAAATTAAACCATAATACTCATAATATATATTGAGTAGTTAGCACATCTCATAAATATAGATATAAATTTCATTTACTTAAGTAATTTGAAATAGATGTACTTATTTATTAAGGGAATCCTTTTTATACTCCCATCTAAAATTCACTATAATTTAAACCATATTAAAATCTAAGAACTATTTTTTATGAATTTGAAACAATGCGCAATCATATTCTACAGAATAGATTTAGTCTCCAATATAATCATTTTAGATTAATTGCTCAGATAAGTTATTTCTTGAGTCTAACTCTATTGGTCAACATAATATATTTTGATTCTTCAAACTGCCCTTATATCCCATAAACAGATAGACTTATCATAACTACCAGATACTAATGTAGTAGCGTCAGAAGAAGCAGTCTGATCTGAAATAATTACTAGATCAATTTTTTATTTATCTTAGTTTTTCATTTGATTTCTTTAATCACAATGCTTCAATTGATTAATTCACCAACAACTATTCTCAGCCATGATATTTTCTTTAGTTTATTTTAGAATTCATATAGGAGTGTGACCACATCTATAGGAAATTTTATCAATATATTAGATTATAATAAATTAATTGATAGATATATTTACTATCATTTTCGAGTGTTGTTTGCTGATGCAATTCTAATGCTTCTTGTTCCTCTTTCTGGACGATTAGCATAAAGATCAAGATTCTCTTTTTTCAAATCTTTTATTTATTTTTTTAATCTTTCCACTTATTAACTCAATTAGAATTCTGAATAAGGGACATTAGTTTTGCTCTGTAACTTTTGCTTTTCTAAATTGTTAATAGACTAAAATTCTATCATAAATTTAATTACATTTTATAATTTTTACTATTCGAATTGCCTAACAGCCCATACTTTATTCAATTCAAAAAGAAGCAGTTAAATTTACTTATCACCTAAATAATCGCTATCTTTATATTTTTCTCTAAATTGATGAGCTATTTCAAAAGCCTTTTGAGGAACCCACAATAAACATTCAGGGAGGTCTGAATTTTGTGTTTCTAAAGAGCTAAGAAATCTCAAATCTTTATTTTAACTACCTAATAAGGTTATAAGTCTTTGATTGTCTGTTCTTAAGTGTTCGACTTCAATCATAAAAGTTGCTGTTGCTTAAATTAAGATGATTACCTTCTTTTTACTAAGTAAACTTCAAATCGTCATTTTAATCTTTGAGAATTTTAATGTGATGATTTAGCTTGTGATTTTGAGATTACAATTCTTTGATTTCTTTTTATAGGTCTTCAACCTTTTGTTAGAGTGCGAATGATGTAGCCTACAATTCAGCAATTTAACCTTGTTGTGACTCTATCTAACTGTTAGCCCTCTTTTTGCTGGCTTAAAAGTTCATAAATTAAAGTTGTTATAATTAAAATTAATAAATCAAAAATACGCTTTAACTTTATTAAGTTTTTATCTATCCCTCTTCTTTTCTTGATCTATATCATGATATTTACTAAAAGTTCGTACTTTTTCATTATATGCATCATCTCTCATCTAATTTATATCTTCAAGAATAGAGCTCTTATCATTCAATTGGTTTTTGAATTTATAGTTCAACATATATTAGTCTATTTAATCATCCATTTGTTAAATTACATCCAAGACCTTTAAAAAATACTTTTAATAATAATATTGTTATTTACTGTATAGGTTTTTTCAAGAATGTTCAACTTATGGTTCTATCTTTCCTCATATACAGTGTTACATTCCTTTATGACCTTTTAGGTAATGTTTTATTTGAGGACTTGAATTGTTTTCAAAGTTTGTTCATAAGATTCTACTCCCAACTTAGTGCATGATTATTTAAATGATTTTGCTATGTGACTAATTTAATTAATTACTTACACTTTTTCTTCCAAGAGATTCAAAATCTGTTCATTCAACTACCCTTTATGTTTCATGATCTATTGGTTGAGTTTTAAGTAATCCTAATATTTTTGCACTTTCATTCTATGAGTCTATATGATTGGAGAGGAGGGCAACATTGTTTTATTAAATTATTATGCCTATCTTTTAGGTGAGTATTGAGTGAAGTTTCTTTATGTTAGGGGACTTTGTGCTTCACTGTTATGGTACATGGATTTGTTGTTTAATTTACTTCTCCTCTTTTTATGCAAAAAGAAGATATTCTTGTAATAATCATCATTGTTTTATTGTTGTTAATTGCTTTCATGTTTCAATTTGGAAATCTACTAATCAAATAACAAGTTTACAATAATTTCTTCCTCCATTTTAGCTTTCATTTATTTCATTCTTAACTTCAAAGTTAAAGGTCTACATGTTTGAGTAGCTTTTGCTGTAATCAAATTAATATAATCTTTATCATTAATCTCAAAATTTATTTTGCCATTCAACACGTTAAAGTACTCTTTATCTATTTTGTCTTTCATTTATTTCCTCTTTAATTTTAAATTTAGAGATCTAACTGTTTGGTTGGCTTTGGAAATCAGGTCCACAATGTAATTTTGGTTCATTTTCATATTATTTTTAACATTCAACTAATCAGAGTAATCTTTATCCATTTTTTATTATAAACAATTATTTTTTACATTTAATTTAGAAAAAACAAACATCATTATAAAATACTATCACATCAATCTAATAAATTTTCCTCGTTAACTATACTCCTAAAGTTTCTATAGAAGGAATCATCAAAAATTAATGTGTGGCGAGGAAACAAATACACACTCTACTTTAAATATAAGAATTGCTGATAATTATATTTATCGATCTTCGCAAAATAGAAAATAGCCAATACGATCTCAAAGGTCAGATAAAATATGCATAATAACTAAAATAATTGATTATCTATATTACTTATTAATTTAAGATTAAATTTTACGCTGAATCCACTAAATTGTTATAAAATTACTCTTTCATAATCTCAATTATGTTTGTCAAAATCGTTGATCCCTCTAGCTCCAATAGCGTTGAAGTAGGTTGAACAGTAAAATTTAAAGTATCTGATTATTGAACTCGAACAGAATTCAATATGTAAATTAATGATTATTAAAATCCAAGAACCAAATTACCTTACATCACTTAAGGGCAAAATGATTCGGTTTACTATTTTAATTCGTCACTCTAAAACTCACATAAATTGCCGGTGTTTAAAGTTGTGAAAAAGTCAATTAAATATTCATCAAACAAATAATCAGTGCTACTTAAATTTAGATTTTATTATTGATATCTACTAATTGAATTCAAAGCATTAAAAATAACAGCATAAGTTTAATTCAAATCAGTTGAGTTGAGAAAAGGATATCTCAGTGTTACTCGAAATAATATTTCTTTTTGAGCATAAACAGCTGGTATATCAACACCCAAATCAGATAATTATTAATAAAATGCTGCTGTTTTTTCATATTTTAAGAAATATATCCTGAAAGTCCAAAATAAATATATGCTAAATGCTGTAAACAGTAAGAAGTGACCAATACTAAGAGCAAGTCCTAGAATAGGCTTATTATTAGTAAGTTTTGTATTTGATTTTTTTGAGAAGAATTATTTTTATTTAATGTTGGACTTTTCTAATTAATTATCAACTTAATCGATGTCTATAACAAATGCTTTAATAACATCCATATCTTAAACTACTATTTATTATAAATAAGATAATCTTAATTTTTCTTACTCTATAATATTTAAATCAATTGAAGATATGTATTTCATTATAGCACTTTTTTCATTACTATGTCTAATTTATTGTAAAATTATTAATAAAGTTATCAAAAAGTTCAAACCCCAGAATGGAAAATACCCAAACATCCACTTTTTCTTTTCTTAATTTGATCTCTCAAGTGTAATGTCTAAAATAACCACATTCAAGTGATCAAACATAGACTTTACAATTTGATAATCCTTATATGTAAAATAATAATATGGATTATCAAAGCCTCCTCCTTGTCCATCTAAATGCAATTTGAAATCATATTAATAATTCAAAGTTATTATTATAATTGATCGTTTGCTGATATTATATTCCTGTCCTGTATTATTTGTATTCACATATAACATAATTGGCATATATGTAATATTTGAAATCTAATCAATTTCACTCCTTAGAAGTACATCTCCCATGCTCTTTTTCATTTTATCAAAAGACTGCATTAAGTAATTTTTGGGAAAAATTTATAACTAGGCAGCATAGGTAGCATTAATCGCCTTCCTAGCCAACATTTCTTTATAGTTAATCTAAGTAAATCTTGATACTGAGAAGGACTCTAAAGGTCCTGTTACATCATATCTTACCGAAAGCAATTTAATGTCCTAGATAAAACCCCGGATATTGGATATCAAAGATAGGTTCTATTTTAATTATAAATACTTACAATTATTATGTAAATTTAAATTAAAACCACAAAGAGAATAAAGTTTATGTTGGCTTTCATTAATTTGGAGGAACTTTTTAAGGACTTACAAAGGGAATAAATGATTTCGAATTTTTTGTAAAATTTGGATTTTTTAATCATTGTAATTGAAGATCCTGAAGCAAAATCCCTGGTTTCATTTTAAAATGTAAACTGTTTTTTAGTTATGAATTCCTCGTTCATAGATTCTTTAGGACTGAATAATTTTTAGTTCATCTTATATTGTTAATGAATAGGATTGGTTTGTTCCTATTCAACCATTAAATCAGTAATATAAAGCTTAGACTCCACATGTTATGACTCACTTTAATTTAGTGGATTTCCTTTCTTTATCAAAGAGATATCGAAAATTTCTTAATAAGGGAAAGCTTTTTCGATATCTTCGTCTATATCCTCTTTCATTCTCTCTAATTTGTGAATCATCAATAAGTCATTCGTTTGTTACTTTTAGAATATACTAGTATCTAATTTGGAATCTGTGTTTCTATTATTGTTAGATCTAATGTTGTCTAAAGTAATCATATAACACAAGTTTTCACCTGTAAACCTTTTCTCAATATTGATATTACTGAAATAGTCTAAGAATCTTTGGCTAGCTTATTTGCCATTGCTACTTAACAGGCGAATATTGTGGTTAAAGAAATTCTTGACATTTGATTAGATCAATAAATCAAATTCAGGAATGATGTTGAAAATAGTTCCAAGATTTTTGGTTGAAATGAAACTTGTAGAATATTAATTATTTCCTAAAATTTAATTACTGATGTTTTCACTGCAATTAATAATATCGAAGGATTAATTTACAACCAAATACGATCTATAATCCATTTATTCATAAAAAAATATAAGGAATGAAAACGTTTGAGAACTACTTTGATTTAGACCAACCATCATCTCAATCGGCAACATAATTTTATCAAACAACTTAAGAAATGCGAGGTTCTATTACTGGTAATATTTATTGGTTCCTTCATCAAAAAATTACTCAATAAGTGTTCTGTGTTATCTCTAAACATACTCAGGTATAAAGTCATTAACACTAATATCGAGAGAATTCTTCCATTTAGATCCATAAATTGATTAAAATTTCTTCATGGCCTTTTTAGATTGCCTTACAATAATCACATCAAGATCTTTATTGATTTCAGCAACTATATAAGAAGGATTCTATCCAAATAATTTATTATAGACAGAGTCATGAAATAGTTAATATTTCTCATCATTTAATGCTTTGTTTTTATTTAAATCAAAAGCTTCTATGTAGTCATTTAAAACTTCTAATAAGTAAAACTTTAAAACATTTTGATTGCTAGAAGCTATATAAATATTTAAATAGATACTTGGAAATTTTTGATATCTCTCAGTCAATTCTATTCGAAATTATTATAATTACCTTATTATTTTTATTGGGTAATTTATATCTCCTTGAAATTTATTTGAATGCTCAATAAAATAGTAGTAAAATTGGCTCTTATCTAATATAGTCTTTTTTAACTTCATCTGTATGTATTGATCGCTGTTTTCATTAATGGAAAACTATTTTAAAGAATCTGCAATTAATTTGTTATTTGGATTGGTTAGAATCATTCTTTCCATCATTTGGATAAGTACATCATTCTCAATTTAATATTTTAGAAAGTCTAATAGGCAATGAGTAGTCAAGGAGAGATTATATGAGTTATATTTGTTTTAATAATTTTCCTTAGAATAGGCCACTCTAAAGATGACTTATTATGCCTTTACAAATTGTCTTCTCCTAAACAATATCTAAGATAAATCTAGTGTTAGCTGCTCTATCTTTTTAGTTCTTTATTCCAAAAGCATATCTAACTTCATCTCTATGAGTTATAGGATTTTTTATTTAATATTCATCTCTTTCTTACAAATGCATTCGCATTTTTAGCAATTTTGTTGGTGTTCACAAATTATAAGAGTCATCTTCAACATGTTCATATTATGATTCCCATCTAAGCTCTCAACATATGAAAAAAGGTACTTCAATCTTCTCAAATCCATAGTTTATAATGATAAGCATTATGCTTTATGCATTAAATGTAATAAGCATATTAATATGAGAGATAACAATAGCCATAAGTTGTCTTTTATTCTATTCTAGACAATTAAAGATTCTATTGGTATTATAATCCCAAAAGATGCAATGATTAGGGATGTTAAAACGCATTTTGTTTTTGCATATATTTTTAATTCTAAAATTTAATAAATATGCAGCGTTTGTATTGTAATGATCAAAATATTTTGTAATATTAGACCCAATTTCGAGTTAGTTAAGAAAAAAAATATCATTATTTGAAATATTCTTAATGGTTTTATGAAATATTTTACTTAATTGTTATTTAATGGTAATTATGTTGTCACTCTTAATATCAATCCACTTTAAAATACAATATCAGAAAATATTATGATAAATGCGATCTCCAAGATCATTATAATCTCCAGAATGATTCCATATATTTCCGTGATATTCATCATACATATTTCTATCAGCCAGCAAAAAAATGTTGATGAAACCAAATAATAATAATTACAAATGTAACGGAGAATTACATTAGAGGTGTGCATTTCATGATACTATTGCCTTTTTGACTATATAATTAAGTATATTGTCATGAGTATTATTATCTATTGAATGGTAAAGCATATACTGAAAACAATTACTTTTGATTGTTCATTAACTATAAACAAGTATGGCCGCGTTAAAATAAGTAGTGATTAAAGTGTTGGTTCAAATTATTTTTCTGGGTTATATATATGATAAAAGTTAAAGGAAATTGGTTACACCTAATTTACAATTATGAGGAGGATTTATATAATCTAAGGTTAAGTAAATTCAAATTTTAAAAACTATGAGAGTAAGAAAATCAATTCCTTGTAATATGGTTCAAATAATTTAAGCATTATGCTAATTTTATATATATATTTATTTAGATATTATAAATCTAACTTTTATCAAAGTATAACAATTCTCAAGGCTTTACAATTTAAAATCAAGTATATAAATTACATTTAACAATGACGAATATAAATCTTTGTTCAAAATGAAAATTTACCATAATTTATCTTCAATCTATTCATATCAATAAATTAGATTATTCAATATCTACAAAAGTTTTAGATAGAAAATAAATTATAGTTAATACAGTCACATGATTGTTTTGAAGGCTTATGACAAAATTGGAAAGGATTCTTTTTTATTAAATCAAATAAGTATTTATATATATATTAATAACAAACTTAAAATATGTAAAAATGGAGGCAATTCTCATAATATCAACAAATTTTATAAGAAATTCACATCAATATTTTCTTATGCCTAATTAATCCTTCAATATTCTTAACTTTTAATATTTTTTAAGTTTGTTCTGAATTCTTTTGTATAAATTGTTGATAACTTTTTTAACTTAAAATTGTAGAAAAAATTTCTTAGAATGAAATACTGTTAGAAAGCATTTTTAATAAATAGAAAACTCAGAAAAGAATAAATAAAATATATTGTAATTTCTAGGATGAGGATATATGATCTTATAAGATAATCAAATACAATAATGCGAATCATAATACTTAAAAAATTCTAATTTTGTATTTACTAGTTCAAATATCAAAATATTTAGAAATAATATTTTCTTCAACTTATTATATGCATCAACTGAAATTTGTGTTTATTTAACAATTAGATATTCATATCTCGATTATGAATTATTACAGTTTGATTTAACTGCATTATTTAATATCATTCCAATTATTAATTTACTTACAGTTATTATTTATTTGATAGTCATTGTATAGTTGATAAAGAATGCTTATTTGCAAGTAATTTGATCGATAGAACATTAATTAATCTCAAAATTCAAATTTAAGGAATTAATAATTATATTTATACTATTGCCACTCCAATTGCCTATTCTAAGAATAATGTCAAAGAAACCATATATAAATAAAAGTATGATTATATAAACTACTTTTTAGTAAGATCTAATGATCTATATAATTTTATTGAAATAAAGTGATAATATAATATTAAATTTATATGAATCAAAAGGAAGGATAATCGATATCATTGCAAAAATTCCATCGCAAAAGTGCTTAATCTACTACAGATGATTCCTAAATGATTCTTCCTGAATTAAAAGGCAGATGTCTTAAAAGTGCTACAACGAAGCTTCTTAATAATAAATCCTTGTAGACTCCCTTAAAATACTACATAAACGAAAGTTTATAGTAAAGAGTAAGTGTTATACAATTATTAGAAAAGAAGTGAAAATCATTCTGAATACACCTTAATTGAAACTTACTTAGAAGCTTTATAACGATGTGCTTAAGAGGAGAAGAAGAAAAAATAAATCCAAACCCTACAAATAAATAGTTTTCCTATTTTACCTGGCTAAGTCATTAGGGAAAGAATAAAAAAATATGCAGAAATTTAATAAAGAGAAGTAACAAGTATACAGTGATATAATTTAAGAGTACTTTGTAAGAAGAGAATAACCAGCAAAAAAGCCAGTTTCTACCGCTTTAAGTACGATTAGTTAAAAGAGCATAGTCAATTAAAGTAGTAAAATAGATGCCACATCAATTTCAATAACATGCGGTTCTAAATTAAAACACAAGGTTAGTTCTAAGAAATGGGCTATTTTCAAAAGGAATAAAGGGGAAACCAAGTTTTAAAAAATATATGCATTCTAAGATCAATAAAAAAGTGAAGTGGCATCGATTACTAAAGTGATGACTTGCTACACAACTTTAAAATTCTTGGAAGAAAAGAGAATTGATATGGAAGCAATAAGAATAAAAATCCCTGGACATGCAGAATGCATAGATGGTACTAGTGCCTTTTTAAATGCAGGAGGAATAATGAATATCAAGTAGTTATTATTTGCAATGATGTTACCATCAGGGAATGACGCAGCATTAGTATTAAGTTATGCAATCGCATTTTTAAAAACTTGTGATAATATTCAAAGGTATTTTAATGGACATTTTATTGATTGCGAATTGGAAATAGAAAAAAATAAGTTTCAATTAAGAACTTAATTTCTATAGATGATGAATAATCATGCTGAGAATTTGAAAATGGATAAAACTAACTATAATTCAGTTCATGGATTAAATGATGCTCTTAATGTCTCATGTGCATTAGATATTTTTAAATTAGTCGAAGATTGCATTAAAATCAAAGAGTTTATGGAAATTGTCAATACAAGATGTTTTAAAACTTATGCAATGACTGAATAAGGAAAATAAGGAACTTATTATAAATGGAAAAACACAAATAAGCTCTTGAAAAAAGAAGGATGGCAAGGCATTAAAACAGGAATTACTTCAAATGCTGGTCCGTGTTTTAGTGGATATTATAAAACAGATGATTTTGATGCAATTGTGATAGTCTTACAAAGTTCAAATATGCTTTAAAGATTTAAAGATGCTGAAATTCTAATAAAGTTATTGTGAAACATTTTAATTCAAAATTTTGGATGTGGAATCCTTACATTAACCCCAATCTTTACAAAATCATTTTTGTACATAGCTAATTTAGCTTCTCTCATTCCTTTACCAAAACTGAAGGCTGGTTTATTTGGTTTATTAGATACCACTTGAGCTCCAACACTTTCTCTAAAATCATAGAATACATTTATACTGCACATAATAAGTCTAATTTTTATCAATATTCTTTTATTGTGGTATTTTTGGAGCTTTAGTAAATGAGTATTTTGGTGGTTCTTGCAATTCTGTTGAGAAATCCTTTTTTGGTTTGTAACTTCCAGGTCCAAGTGTAGTAGGAGTTGAAAATGAAACAGAATGAGTTCTTCTATTACCCATAGTATATTTTGGGCCTTGAGCTCTTTCTGTTAAATCATAATTGGGACCTGGAGTCTTCGTAAGTTCTTTCTATAAGAATCGTTGTTCCTATCCAAATCTGACTGTTCCTGCAGACCATTTTCTAAGATGATCTGCTTTTTAAGGTTCAAACTTAAATTATCAATTAAAATACATCGATGTCTTTTCTTTTGTAATGATCATAATGGTTTGTGTTGAGGCTCTATCTCGTTGATGTGCCCAATCTTGCACTTGGAGCTCTGGCAGCTTATTAAGAGAAGTTTTTGATTGGATTATAGATTGGGCCTGGACTATGTTTGCCTTTTTCCATTAATTTGTTTTCTTTGTATACTTGTGATGCCTAATATCTTGTCGAAGTTCCGAAACCAAAGGCAGGAACATTTGGAACAGTTGACAATAACTCTAAATTCAAATTACGATTATACTCTTTCCAAATGAAGAATTTCTATTGTGATTTTCAAACTCAATCAAGTCATTGGGACTATGTGATGCTTTGCTCATAAATATTAATTTAAAAATCAAATTATTTATTGCTTCTTATTAATGTAACAACGTTGCATAATATTAAGAACTCGGAATTATTAAATGAATTTTATAATGAACAAAAGAACATAGAAAGCCTCTAAAAGTTTCATAAAAACTCTAAAATCTATTCTTGAAGTATTATCACCGATAATGTATTCTTTAGAATGATGAGTATTCCTCCATTATTTAATGTACTCCTGAAAACGATGGCTTCATTATCTTGGATTAAAAGTCTTTAGAAAATATTATATTGCCTCAGCATTATAAAATTAAGAGTTTCGATAGCTTTCGAAGGTACTCATGATTATTCCATTAGATCTCTAAACATATATGGGTTCCAAGTCAAGAAGCGCAAGGATGGCAAGAAGCTCTATTACAATAAGAATAACAATTTCAGTAATGAAACTACCATCAAAAGAGCCCCTTAAAAACTAACCCAAGAAAATCTTGACCTCTTGGATTAGACAAACTTGTAACTCTATTTTTAACTCATGGAACTAAAATAATAATAGGAGTCTTTATTTTAATAAACTTAAAAGGTAATCTAATTACAACAATTAATTTCGAATTAAATGAAAAATTTGCTGATAGTATTAGTATAAATTTAATACCAAGCGCTATTCAAAAGGAGCAATTTATGAAATGGCTCTTGTTTAGAAATTCCCTAAATTCTTTTTAATGTTCTTTCAATCCCTATAGAACCAAACATATAGTATTTTAAATCTTTAAAATTAGAGAAACACATAACAAAATCAATTTAATTGGTCACTAAATAATTTCACACAGCCCAGAATCCTGAGATCAAATTACCAAACACTAATAATGTTTGTTAATTGCTAAGTAAACACCTGCAATAGTTTAAATTCAATTTATCATTCAATATCTAGCTACTCTTTAATAATTTAGATCAACCAGAAGAAATTGAGCAATCAATACATGAAAATGAAAGCAATTTTAGTAACTATTTTTGTTTAAACTAAAAATAAAATAACTCCTAGATTTGAAACAATAATATATTTATCTATATTTAATTAAAATTATCAACTAACTTAAATAGATATGTAATAGTCAATGTTGTTTTTTTAATTATTATTTGATCTCTTATATTTAATTCCTTAGTTCCCTATTTTGATTAATTACATCTTGTAGGTTTTAATCTTCTTTCAATTTAATTTCATACTCCTTTAGCATCTCCAATTCTAACTCATATTTCTTTTTCTCCAAAAGTGCTTAATCTGCCTATTTTTTCAAAATATTTAGTTTATCATTTAATCTTGCTTTTGATTTTTCATACCATTAAAGGAAGGTCTATTAAAATGTATTGAGCATAATTTCTGAATTTTCAATTGACATCTATTGGCAATCTGCATCATATAATAAAACATATTTAATATAATTGTTTAAGCTTTAAATCAGACTTAAGGTTGCTGAATATGTTTCTTATTAATAATATTTCATCGCTTCCAACCCATGATGTACATCATTTTTATATATTTGATAATTCTAAAGATCTTCTATCAATAATGATAGCACTGTTTTAAGATTATTTTCTATAAATTCATTATCAATTGTTAACTCTTTTGATTGTTATTCCAGGTATTCTGGAATAAAATGCTTTGCTATTTGATTCAATTTTAAGAAAGCTTAATTGATAGTTACATCATCTGACCCCATAAATTTTGTGTCTAGCTTAAATTGATTAAGGAATGAATCTGAATAATTGCATAATTTCAGCCATTGTTCTTTCTTATTTTCTAAAAGGACTCTTCGATAGGCCTTTATGATTATTTCTCGTTAACTGGGTTAAATTTGCTTATTCAAAATAAATTCGAGTAATTCTTTTAATATTAGTTTTTGCTTTTATTTTTTATCTTGTTATTGATTGATAACATTGTCTTTTAATTCATAATAATGACCTCTATCGATGACTTCTGCATCTATTGGAAATAGAACAGGTTTTAGCATAGTCTTTTTTGAATTTAAATTATAATAGTTAAAATAGAAACTTATTAATTAAAATCAAACTTTTTTAGGGATCAACTTATGAGAATATCTAGGCTTTGTAAATTAACTATAAAGCACGCATTAATTAGTCAAAATGGAGTATCTACATAAATGTATATAAATGACATACCTCCAAATATTTGAACTAGGAATATTTTCTTAAGTCTTTCCTCCAACTAAATATATAAATTGATAGTCATCACTAACGATTGCATCGGATTTAACAGTAGGACATATTAATTCTCCCATTTAATAAAATTATTAATCGGTTTCATCGTATTTCTCAATTTATTTGATATATTTTTTGCCAGACCTTCCTCCGAAAATCCAAATGCCATCTGGAAGTGTCAAAGAAATATGGCTTCTTCTAGGATAATTAGGAGATTTGATTCTTTTCCATAGATTAGTTGCCATATCATATTTGAAACAACCTTACTCGTCAAACAAATACATAGAGTTTGGCTCATTACCTTGTACCAAGGTATGATTATAACACTTAATTGGAATAGATTACAAATTTTTAGTCTAATATGTATCTAAATTGATGAGTTGAAATATGTCTTAGATTCCTTAATCTGTTTTGCCTCCTGAAATATATAGTTTATTTCCTATTTATTTTGATGCCAACCCACTAACCCCTTTAGTAAGTATAAGTTAAGAGATTTTAGATTATTTTAGATTTGGATCGTATGACTCACATAAGGCAGTTCTAATTCCTTCCTATTTCCCTCCTATCAATAGAATTTGATTTCCATGATAGGCAATTTAAAATCCATAACGATTTGAGACCAAGAAGTCATGCTAAGTAGATTGCTTTGATTATATGTCAACTAATTCAATAAGATTTTATCTTTGACCCTTCAGCAATCCCCCTATAATATAAAATTATGTTTGATTTTAGATTGGAATCTCCATCTATGAAATGGAATGTTCACTTAAGGATTACTTGTTACTAAAGAAATCATTGATAATTGATTATTCGGGAGAGGCTTTGTCTAAAATAGAACTTAAATCCGTTGGGATATCCAGAGTTATTTATTTGACTTCTGTTTTTCTCATTTGCTACTTTGATGATTGCAAACTAAAATGAGGAGAACTATGTTAAGTAAACCCTTTTTTAGAGAATGGACTTGCTCTTGTGGTGTTAGGTTATTAGAATAGTTTGGATGATACACGTTTGATTCTATAATCGGAGTCTCTTTCCAAAGTACACAAGATGTTAGAGATTGATTTAACGATATCGGAGGCATTTCTAATTTACAATTGCTGATATTGAATTTTAGGGGCTTGGGATAAATTCTCATATTCGTTTTCAAGTTCTTTGATTGTCTTACAATTGATAGTGTAATATTCTCGAAACTTTTTTAACTGCTCATATCCAGAGGTATTTTATTAGTTGACGATGTTCTTTTCTAATTAGATTCCTCTTCCCTTATATTCATCAATGACACACTTTTATAATAATTATTAAAGGGTACTTTCGAATCCTGTAAAGTCTATTAATGCTTCATTTTATGAACTTCAACTTATTCAATGAGTTCTTAAAATTTCATTTAAACAATTTCAATAATTTAGGAGCACACTGAATTCAACGATTAAATTTAGACTTAAGACATTTTATGTATCTGAGTATTTTCTTTTTGAATTTGATCATCAAGATTATTGTAGTTTTTAATGATTTTTTGAACTTTTTACAATTGCTATTTATTTTACAAACTTATGTTATTCAAAGCCTAACTTCTAGAAATGATCATACTTTTTCAATTGAAATGATGTTTTATACTTTCAAGCTACATTTGATCAAACATTCCTAGCAGAGCAATTATTAAGTAGTTGTACAATAATCTAACTATTAAACAAAAATAGTTTACTTGTGTAGATAAGCAAATGTTTAGGACAATTAAATTGATCGATTTCATCGCCAGAAAAGCATTCTTCCTCTGTGTCCATCTTGAATGCAAATTATTATTTTATATAATAACAATATACTTCAAAATTAAACAAAAAAATAAATGTATGATGATGATTTAAAATTAATATAAAAGTTGAGATCAGTTTAATTTATTCTCATTTTGCTTTTATTTGTTCTAATACAAAAGGACATCATTCAATGTTAATGTTTAACATTTCTTCTTCAAAATAGATCTTGACACTCCTTATGGATCCAAAGAGGTTGATTGCATTCTGATAATAGAAGTAGGATTTGTTCCTGCAGGTTCATATACAACACCTTGCAAAGTAGAACTATTCTATGAATTGTAATTCGTCAATCTGTATTTATTTGACTCCTTGAAATTCTGCATTATCTCCTCCTTGTTTTATTCGTCAATAGCTTAAGAAGCGTACAGCTTCTCTTCATTCAACCCTTGTAACCCATCCTTTGTATGAACGCTGAATTATGATATGTACTCATATCTCTCATCACTTGATTATTCAGTATAATTCTAAAGTCCCCTTTTTGACTTTTCAAATATGTTAATTGTGTAAGATTTCCAAGTTTTAAAAATGATCAGCAAATGTAAATACTCCTGTAAGATGTTGAAATTCTAATAAGAGTATTTGAAATCAAAAGATCCATCAATTGAATCAAATAACTTAATATCTCCCTAAGTTTACCCACTTTTCTATCTTTCCTTCATTTTCTCATTTAACTTTCTTTTCATAGCCATATCAAATAATTTCATCTCAGCCTTCCCTGCCTAAGTTCCATCCTTAAACACTTTATCCAAGAACGCAAATCTCAATGTTTCATATAGTAATTCATTGAAATTAACATAACTCCTTTTATCCCTAAAATGTAATAATAGATTACGCTCTAATCCTAAAATTAAATGCATCTTTCGCAGCATCCCATATATTGTCTCCCTTCTAAGCCCCGAGTGGTTAATTCAGATCTAATAAAAATCTACCAATATATCTAGTGTGCATTTTGAGTCCCTTAGTATCGTATGTATAACGGCACCAACAATTACAGAAATGATCGATATTCTCGACAAAGGTTTAAATCACATTCGTCGTAGTACTAAAAAAACCTATTATTTTATGAGTGTTTAAGTACTTTCAAATTGATCAACCAAAGCTAATACAAATAGGTTCATTACTACTATATTGGATAGTAAATAGTAGGATAAAAAGTATGAATATGCCCATCCAGAACCACATTGTTGGACATCATCTCGGCAATACATATTGGACCTACTACAATCAATAATTAGGGCTCTCCAATCATCTCCCGTTGTACATTTAAATAAGACTAAGGCAGCATTGATGAAATTCCTAAAGTTCAGGTAATACTCATCTATGGCTCTACCCTAAACATGTATATAGGTATCTATTTACTTTTGTGATATGACCAAATAGACGGGTTCCTACCAGTGCATAAGTAGCCTGTATAGTTAATTATATGTAAAGTATTTTCACAAGTAAGGAGGATGTAAAGAACAAGACTCGCATCAATCTCTAAAGTCCTTTAAATTCTTAGAATATCAGCAAGATCTTTATATCTCTACAGATCAAAAAGACTTTGGCTATGTAAATTATAAATTGATCCTATGAACCATTCGTAAAAAGATGAAACCACCGTTTTTTCAAATCATACATGAAATCTGCAATTGATATGACTGTTATGATTAATTCGAACAATCTCCATCTTGAAGACATATACCTGGTGACTCCATATGCCATAATCTTTATTATGCAATCAAAGGTGAATATGATAGCGTGCAATTGATATAATTAATTAGCTAAATTTCTAGTATATTATGAGTGAATGTCAAATAGGAAACATAGTGCAATACTGTTTGTAACCAAAATACAATTGTATAAATACTTATAACTAAAATTATAGTATAAATTTTACTATTTACTAAAGACTAACTTATAAGCCAATTTTCTAATAGTGGAATGAGGAGCATGAGAATAACCAGGTTTCTAATTGAGAACAATCGAGCAAATTTATATAAATTGAGATTGGTCCTATGTTAAGTTTTTGTTTTCTATCTTTTTCGTAAATTTTTAAAATTCAGTAAATAACACACCAGTCAGAAAACCCATAAAAAACATAGCTCCTATGAAAATGAAAGTCACAAATAGTAAATAAGTGGCCCATTAAATTTTAAATGGAGAAGGTCCTGTACTTGAATTGCTGGCATTGTAACACACTTACATGATTTCCCCCCATGCATCTAATGAAGATATCATAGTTAATGTAAATAGTCCATTTACAAAATTATCGAAGTTATAAGGATGATTGATCCACTGTTTATTTTACTTTTGGCACTCAGAATAACTGATATGAAAATTCATTAAATCCTCACAATACCCCATTTTCTTCTAGTATAAATGCATTGCAAACACATTAAAGACCATAAACACAAATAGAATCACAGCTACTATATTGATTATCTAAATCAAGCTTTTAACCATCGCATTCTTTACACCTTAAACACTACCAAACATATTCACCATCATTAGTGGTCTACAGAAAACTAAGTTACTACATATTTTACTTAAATGATGTGCCTATTTTAAAATAGGAGCTGAACTTATAAAACTCAAAAAGTATGCTGTAGTATAGGTCATATTAACCAGCTTCCAAAAATCCCTAAGGATAGTTCCTTCATTAAGGATAAAACCCTTTGCTATTATTTCAACTATGAATATGGCCAAAATCACAATGTTCTAAATCAATAGGATAACCTCGAAGTATTGATTCAAACTGGAGTCAAATAATTATTGGTTATTTGATAATTGAAAATCAGACAGTATTTAGAATACTACAGATATGATTATGGTAACGTCATTTAAGAGTTTAAATGGTAAACTTTTAGAAATTCTATAACATATCTTTCTAAACCTATTATTGTAAGAAAAAATAAAGCAAGAGTCAGCGCATTTAGTATCTTCGTAATAAATGAGTTCTATAATATTCAAAATAGTGTTTACAATATCTTTTTCTCTTTTTGATAAATAGTTTTTGAGATGTTTCTGGCAAATCTCTAATATTGATTTTGGCATGATGTTTTGATGAATGGGATTTCGTAGGTTGAGTACTTTATTCCTTCACTCTAAAAATAACAAAGATCAAATACTATTCTTCTTCATTTTGTGTAATATTGTTATTTTAGCTATCAAATTAAATATTCTCCTATATTCCCACTTTCCTTGCCAGAATCAAGGATTGATCTTGTTACTTTTCTACAACCCTCTCCAATTCAGAAGAGAAAGCATCCAATAATACTGCCATTACAAGACCATAGATCAGATAATTTATTGTAAATACGGTTATGAAATAGAATAGGATTCCTATCCAAGGTTGTTAAAATTTGATCACAACTTTTAACATACCAACAGCATCATCATTTGTGCTGATGTTAAATATGGTCATCCAAGACTTTGCAAAACTCTTAAAAGAGTGTAATTATGATAAACTCTCATTTTCTTAGAAATTCTCAATGAAGAATTACATTCCCAAAATAGAAAATATCAAGATGATAGATAACATTAAAAACATTAAGCTCAAATATCTAGTAGATTAGATTATTTTATTACTTCTTAAATGTGATCTTTGCAATTCTCATAATCCTGGTTACAAATTAATTATATTTGATAATTCTATATAATAAAATTGCATTAGTTGCTCTGAGTGCCTTTATTTCACTTGCATAATTATCTTTTTATGGAATCTCAGTGGATATGATTATAATGTATATAATCTAAGTTATTATGACCATTGAGTCTAAGATGTTCTCTCCTTCTTATCCAAAAAGTACTTAAAATAAATGTTTATTATATACTAATGCCTTAGCTTATTAACTTCAAAGAAATCTGAACGATTAGTTAGAATGTCATATATAAATTAATCTACTCTATAAGTTCATCATCTAAAAACCCAATTGAACATAGAACACAAAAACTCAACAAATTTGAAAAATCAAAAACTAAATTGATGAAACTATTGTTTAACCACATTTTTATTTTTAACTAGAAAGACTTCCATAACCCAGTAAAGCCTATCATCCAAATATGAATTTCTTTAGAATTTAAAGATCTGAATATTGACAGCAGACTTAGTTTTTTATTCTTGATGACATCAAGTAAGGAAATGTTTTGCTTAAATATTACATTATTCTTAATTTCCAATCTCTAATAAATAATTACTTAATTCTTACACGATATTTCAGGTATTAAAAAAATAGAGAATTCAAATCCTCTGTATCTGGAATCTCTTGCTCATTTTCTAATGTTCTATTGATTAGAATAGACACAGATTCATAATTCCTTTTGACACCATTTAAAAAAATAAAGGGTTCTCCTTCCTAATACTCTGGAAATTCAAAAAAGAAGTCGCTCCTCTGTTTTTTTATTGTAAGCATAGTTTTTCTTTGGGATCTGAATTTCCTTTCAACACTAGATGATTTAGAAGATTGTCTCTTTGGAGATAGTATTTCTATTTCATCGTTTCTTAATTCTTCAAATGTTTGAGATTATACCTATATTTTTCTTTTGGTTTTATTTATTGGTAAGATACTACTTCTAATCATCTTGTTACAAGTATTTTAGTACTATTTAAGGATTTCATCATCAAAATAGAATTGATGAATTTTTTTGGATCTAATTTTTTATAATTCTGTAACTAATTTTTTTTCCTTTAATAGGTATTCTTGTTTTTATCCTAAGACTTCGCTTTAAGAGTTTGAAACATAATCTTTGTATACCACTGACACTTTCCAACCTAAAACATCATGCGTTTATAATTAATGTAGAATATCCATTTCCTCTTCATTTGAGTTTTAAAATTAGAATGTCTATTCTAAAATTAATGATCTTTTCGGTAATATTATGTATCTCAACTTGCACGATGACTTTATTTTACCTATAAAATTTGTTTTTTTTTCATCATTCAGCTCTTCCATTTCTCTTCTTTGTCGAGCTGAAAGTACATGAGCATATTACTTTTTTTTTTAAGTTTTTTCAATTTAACTTTTAGCAAATCTTTGAATTTTCTTTGCAGTACTCTTTGCAACAATTCTAGCTGATATTTAAGGACTCAAAATCGATGAATTTCCGCCTTATTAGTGTAGGAACGGTTATTTCATTGTATAATTATTGATAATTTAGGATTAAGAGCTATCTTAAGATTATTATTATGTGTGAAGTTTAGCTCTTTATAGCACCTTTAATTTCTAATAAAGTCCTAAATCCTTTATAAATCTCAGATTAATTTCAATTTGATCATCCTACTCTTTTCTAACATCCTCTTGATCCTGCGAATAGTTGGCAACTATGTGTGAATAATATGTCTTCAAAATAGCTATAATCAAATTAAATGCAAAGAATCCAACTATGAATATCACAAATACAAAGTATATCCAAGTCAATGGACTTTAAGTGTAAAGAGTAGGATACATCAAATCAGTCCAATTATCCATTGTAATGATTCTTATGATAGAAATGAAAGAATTAATGAAGTTATTAAAATTAGTTATTGGATCTGGAGCAAATATGATTGGAACGTTAATACATGTCGAGTAAATTGGACAGTCTAGCCATCCACAATACTAATCAGACAATATAAGTCCTTCTTCTAAGTAAACACATTTGTTGTAAAACGCAGTTGCAAACTAATGAAGACCTATATTAGCAAAAAGAACACAAAATATTAAGACAATCAACAAAGCTTCGAGCATGTATCTTAATGATTGAATAAGTGCTTTGAAAGTTAATTGCAATTATGAGGATAATTAACTTAAGAAAATCAATACTCTTATTGCTCTTAAAGGCGAAAAGTCAAATGAAATCAGTCCATATGTTACTAACCCCAAAATCACTACATTTATCAAATCAAAAATATTCCAAAATTGACAGAAAAAGTTTACTATATTGTGGCCTGACACTCGTATACAAATTTCTAAAACATAGATTATAAAAAACACTAAATAACTATTTATTTATACCCTCCTGTTGTGTATCAAAAAATTCTTAATATTGCTCATAAAAATTGCCATAATATTTTGTTATTAATAAGATTATGTTTGTCGTAATTATAAAAAGCATCACATATCTATATACTCTACTTGATATGATCATTTCGCAAATCTAAGATAGCAGCTCCAATAAAAGAACTATGTATTTTCTCAATTTCAAAAGGGGATAAGAATCAAAATAATTATGGAAGTTATTCAAAATAGCTTCTATTCCTTGAGAATTTATCAATCTTAAATTGTAGTTGTCCTCGTAGACGTTCCTTCTTGATCGAACATGATATTCATTCAAAATTTCTTGCTAACCTTATGACTTTACATATTCAGTTTAGTGATCTCTGATGTTTTCTTGACTTTTTTAGTTGTACCTATGGTATAGAGAGGTGTTTTATTCATCATTTATTAGGCCCTCAAAAGATCGATATACTTTACTTTGTTCTTACTTTCGACCTATTCTACTTTCAAGTTCTATAGCATCAATAAGCTATTTTTATTTGTAATCTTTACTTCGAAATTGAGAACTGACCTATTGATGTTTACTTCTTCATCTATTCCCTCGCAATAACTTTCATTTTGATTTTGAGTCAATTGAATTTCTTTTAAAGATGTAATGTAATTATTTTAAGTCTTTTATTCCCTTTTGCCTTATACCAAATAATTACCTCTTTGAAAGCCTCTTAGGTTTATTTGATCTACTATTCGCTCTAGGTCGCTTTTGCGATATGGCCTCATTAATTAATCCAAAAAATTAATCAGACTCTTCATCATTTTTTGGTTTAATCCTGATTGCTTGCTTGTTAAGTGAAAGCTTTTTACCTACATTACATTGATAAAATAAGACTTTATATTATTGTGTAAATATTAATAAATTGTTCAATGAATTTACATTAAGAAAATTTAAATTCCATTAAATCTTGCTAGATATTTAAATTAAAAATCTTGCACCTATTAGGATCTTGATTATTGTCCTATATATTACAAGATTTTACTTCTTAAATAAGTTTGCCCTTAAATTATAACATAAAGTATGGTATTAAAAAGATTAGGATTGAAAATCTAATTTGAATTATTGCACATAATCCAAAGCAAAAAGTGTTATTATTGCTATTTATTCATGCGTTTATTATAAATTGAATTAGGATTACTTTTAAGAAAAACTACTGTTTAATAAGCCAATCCATATTTAAGATATAGAATTGTTGCTGATGAGTTAAATGATTATTGTTAAACAGAGACATTCATGTCTTATTCTTCAAAATATCTTATTCTATGTAATTCAACTGAAACTAGAAAAGATTATAAATTTACAGTGAATGAAAATCTTTATTCCTAAATAATAGAACTTTTTAATTACATTAAAACTGTTCCTAAAGTAATTAGATTATCAACCATTAGATCGCGAATTATGTATCTATCTCTCCCTTAATTTCTAAATTGCTGAAATAATCGTGATTTTAAATCTTAAATAAGATTAGATGATCTTATTTTTTACATAATAGGACTTAATCAACCAAGTGATCCTATCTGAACATCTAAAATAATAAAGTGAAAGATTCAACAAAATTAATTAAAAAAAATATAATTTACTTCAGTTTATTCTTTTAATGTTTTTCCTTGCAATTACTTAAATGGAATATTATAAAAAGGAGTTTTTGAATTTGCCTGCCTTATATCATTTGATCTTTTAAATTCCATTTCAAATTTTAGCACTAATCAATAAATTATTCTACATTAGGTAGATTTTTTAAATTAATATTCTAATAAAATTTTCAAGGCATTAAATTTAAAAGCAGCAAATTGATAGAAAATTTCTAAAATAGTATTTACTTACAAGTAATTTATGATGATTAAATTATCACAATACTGAAATATAATCTAAAAGTAATAATTCGCATAATTAATAATTGGAGACATAATGCTATTAGATTTTAACATTCTTATTTAAATAAAAATTATTGATTATTTGAGTTTGAGTTAATTATAAATTTATTATTCTAAACTTTATTTATTAAACTAATTGTTAGTTTCTTCTAAAAGACTAAAAAAAGAGGAAATTTAGATACAATTTATGTATTTTGTAGACTTCTAAAAGAAGTAACATTGTATTGATGTAGGTACAGTTTTTAATTATAATAAGAAATAGGGATGATGTTCTATTTTCAAAAAGGGATTGTGAGAAAAAAGGAAGAATAAAAGTAAATAAAAATTCGATAGAATGGTGATAACTTTTGAATGATATTATTGAATAGATCATGCTCCTTTGAGTTATGATTTAACATAATCTTAAAATCTTGGTTAGTTGAGCAATTCTAAGGCTTGGTTGGCAGCATTGATTTCTTTGTTGTATTCTGCAACGGTTGAATTGTAGACATCGGTGGCAAAGGCAAAGTCATCGTTTTCAGCTTATAATTATCCGTTGAGGGTTGCTAAATCAGCATCGAGTTCATCGATGAGGTCAAGGGTTTATTCAATCTTGGCTAAATGGATTAGATATGTAAATAGTACTTGCGTTGGCTTCGATTTCAGCATTCTTGACAACGACAGCTCTTTAGAATTCAGCGTGTTCTTAGTTCAATTAGACAACTTGGGCGTTGAAGTCGGTAACAGCTTAAGCTTCATCGGCTGTGATTTAGTTGAGAGAATCAACTAATTCAACTCTCAAGTTGTTGAAGGCGACAATAATCTAGGAATGAGAAAATAGATTACGTCTCTGAGAGCACCTTGATCGGCGAAGTTGGATTCGACTGTGATTTCCAAAAGGACTTTGACGAAGATTTGGAATTAGTTGTGCTTTTTCAAAGAGTTTTGGATTTTGGTGAGGTTCTTTTAAACTTCTTGATTTAAGCAAGAGATGGGGTAGCGATTGTGCTCAATAATTAGAGGCATTCATCGATGGCACCAATAGCATCGTTGTGTTCGACGAACTTAAGCTTCAAAGGTCTCGTGATCGTTTTCTCTTTAGACTGTGGATTCTTGGAGTGTTCTTCTGTTTTAGGCGATGTTTTCTTATAATTATTCAAGTTAGGCAGCAAATCTATCTCTTTATGGGATGAGGACATTATCATAGAAATCGTGAGCGTTGAAGAGTTCTAAAAGGGATCAGAAACTATTGGTACCTCTTTCCTTGTCTTAGATTTCTTATTCAAGTCTTGCTACTTCTCTGTTATGAACGTCAGTTCTTCTGTTATATTCGTGATGGACTCCAGCTAATTCCTCTTCTAATTCACCAACCTTAATTATTAGTGATATGGGTTTACGAGTTTTTCAATTTCGCTGTTGAGTTCAGAGAGAATACCTCCGGTTGACATGTGGAGTTCGGCATAATTCAAAATGAACTTTCCCCAACCAGATGAGTGAATTTAAGCAAGAGCCTTTTAGTCTCTACTAGTCCAGATGGAGGATTAGACATTGATGGCTGTTGCACCAAGCACCAACAATACACAAAGAGTTAGTTTTAGCATTTATTGTAATTATTATTGACATACGTCTGAGGATTATTTTGTGCTAAAAAATCGAAAAACGAATATTTATTTTCATATATAAAATATAAATAATTAATATTATTTTTAATGATCACTCCATTAACATTTTGATGAATATAATCATAAATCAATAAAACTCTTCTATTTACTCTTGGATCTCACAAATTCTTGCACATACTCTTCCTTGATTGAGATTTCTCCAGTCTAAGGGTTGATCAGCACTCTTTTTTCATCGCAAAAGTAGGCAGCCGGAGTCAATTTTATAACACAATGTAAAGGTATATCCAGAGTGGGTACTTCTGGTATCTCATTTTGATGAAAGTAAGCATATAAGCATCTTAAAATGGCTTAGTGAGCTATGATCATAACTGGTTGTCTTGATCTTTCAATTCTCAAAGATCACAGGTTCAATTCTACTAATCAAATCTAAATATGACTCTCCTCTTGGATATCTATAACCTAATTTATTGATTTTTCTTTCCTAATAAATATTTATATTAACAAATGATTACTTAGAAATCACTGGGGAATTTCTATCCAATTTCAGTATAAGTCATTCCATCACAAATTCCAACGTTGATTTCATCCAATGTCTTAAGTTGCAATGGCTAGATTTCTAATTTGGATGCTACGACATCAGATGTGTGAACAGCTCTTCTCATTGTTGAGGTTAAGAATATGATCTCATTCTTAACTTCCTTTATGGGGAATTCCTAGAAGAAGAAATCTGCCAACTTGTCTGCGTACATCTCGCCTAACTCTGATAAATCGGAATCTCCTCCTACTCTATCATCAACATTGTACTGGCTCTCTCCATGTCTAGACAAGTAGATTGGTCTCGGGTAGGTATGCAGATTCATTATAAAGGATACGATCTTGGACAACAGAAAGCCATAGACTTAATGAACTATAATCTAAGCATGGAAACATGTTTAGTACGTCTGTTCCGACGTTCATTGTCTTGATGTATGAGAGATCCTCATCGTCGGTTATAGTTTCATAGATTTGCTCGTACATCTTGATTCTATTAAGGAAATCTATTGTTGCTTCATCAGAGTTCACGTTGCAATAATCTGGATTGTTGATCTTAGTCAGTCGGATATTATTTTAAATCACTTTAGAATCATTACAAATGGATTCAATCCACAGAGTTTGAATTCCATTAAAAGACGATTTCAAATCGCTTTCGATCTAATGTCTTCTTTCTCTTGTAATGTTTGTTCCATCTAATATCCCTACGTCTCCTCCGTTCTTAAGAAATTATATTAAATCTTATAATGCCATTTTTGCACAATCATTCCTTGCTTTTTAAGCCTAAATTTACTTGTTATTTATAATACTTCTTCGTTTTGAGGATCAAAAAATTTAGAATTGCATTCAGTACCACAAATTTCTCGTCTGTAATTACCATTTATGAATACTCTGCTCTTGTAACCTAACCAATTGAAATAACGATTCAATTTCCGAGAAATATAAGTTTTCCCTCTAGCTGGCAAACCAACTGTACAGATGGCTATTTTTTAAGATCTATTGCATCCCTACATATTATAAAATTTTAAATAATTCTTAGCCTTAAAATAATTTTAATGTTCAAGTGGTTCAATAAAGATAAACCATAACCTCCAACAAAACTCAATAAACCCTATCCTCAACTCTCCAGAGAACAAGCTCAAGAAATCCTTGCTAATTTTTCTTATAGAACCATGGCTGATCTCATTTATAAAGATGATTCCCATCCAGATCTGAACGTAGAATATGAGTAAAAAAAGTAAATTCAATTGAAAACTGAATGTCACATGGACGAACAAGGAAATCTGTATTTCAATTAAGAAGAGCAATTATCTTGGGTTGATGAGGATTCCCATTATGAGGAAGATGAATTAGACAAGCAAATATACGAATAAATGTATGAGGAAATGTAGGAAGAACTACAGCAAAGAGGATAACGAGAACATTTCAGACCAATCACTGGTCCGGAAAACAATGATAATGATGAGTGGGAAACTGATAGCGATGAACAAAATTGAATTTTTTTATATATATTTTTATCTATCAACCAAAATTGCCATGAGTCTCTATCAGTTCAATCCCTTTTATTGTTATTTTATTGGATATCTACAAACTTCCCACCAATTTTTGATAATCATTCTAAAAAACATTTTTCAACAGTAGAATTCCTATTCAAATCAAACACCATGTATTACCATCACTTTTCATCATCTCCAATACTCTTGTATATGATTGTTCCTCTGTCGTGGCCATTATCTTAAATAATCTAAACAAATTTAAATTCATTACTATCCATCTATCATAATCTTTATTTTGTAAACTAAACCATCCTACTCTATAATGCTCTAATATAATTCTTAAGTTTTCTTACTTGGCAAATACTATACACTATTATTAAATACTTACAGAGGAATTTGCTCTTTGCTTAGATAATGATTTTGGTTACAACTTCTACATCTTGTAATACGATGTTTGCTAATTGATTCTAGTGAATAGCTTTTAGTTTTCATCCATTATCTTCTATTGAAAATCCTTTCTGGTTTTATAATTTAATGTTGTTTTAGTTGGAGTTGTTGAACTGTTTCTCTGTTTCGTTGTAATGCCAAGTATTTTTTGAAAAAGTAATTGGTTCTCTCTCTCTATTTGTCTGGCCTTCTCCTCTTGAATGTAACACTGACGGGCTGTCCTCGACTAGGTTACGATATACCTCTTTATTTGGATTACGGAATCGGATTTGGAAACATTAATTTATTAAATGAATCTACAAGCTATAAAGGAAGCTGCTCTCTAATTGTATTTATTTTAAATTAAAACAATAGAAAAGATAAACTTACAAAACCACCATTAACTGATATCTTAATAGAAGCTACCTCAAATGAAAATTGGAACACACCCACTAAATTATTATAAGAGATTTCAGAAGCATCATTTATATTGTATGAGACAAACAATTAAATATAGCACATAATGTGATACTATCATGAAATTTATATGGAAGCGACTTGATTCGGACAATCGGGAATGGAGAAGAATTTTGAAAGTATGCCTTACTTTACTATTAGACACTCAATCTAATTGAGTATTTGACTAAGAATGGAGCACCCCGTTGTGTTGGAGAATTCAGAGATTCTATATTTAAAATAAGAAGTTTTTCGGATTTCATTTTAATTGATTAGGGTTCTGACAAAGGACTTGCAAGTAGATTTGAATCAATATAAATAGTTCGTGATAAGAGTAAGTAACTTGTTGATTTACTCTGCGACGAGAAGTAAATTGAAGAGGAACGAGAGAATGCAAAAAGGATTCGTGAGCGTTTGGCAGGCAATATTCTTAATTAAATTTTAGCTGCAGGAGGAATTGGAGCCATAGGCAGTAATACAAATTATTAAGGTTATGGAAAAGATACCTACAAGAACGACTCATATAAAGGATATGGGAATGAATCTTATAAAAATGAAGCCACTCGAAATAATACCAATGAATAAAATACTACTACTACTACTAAATCTGATTAATAAACATATTGTAAATCATATATCAATAAAATTTAGAATCAAAGTATGGAATCTGGGATAATAGTGGTCTTGAGAAATATAAGAAAGCAGAAACTAAAAATAACAATAACAATAATAATAGTAATAACAATAACAATAATGATGCTATTTAATGGGATGTACCTAAACCTGAAGTAATTTAACCTACATTCAAAGAAACTATTTAAAAATTAGCCAAGCAAAATGAAAAATGGGATGTTCCAGCCTCAAGGCCTACATAATAATAACCATAATAAGTTTAATAGGCAAAACCATAAAATACTTAACCATAACAACAATAAACTTAGAAGTAAAATGTAATTGATATTTTTGATTTCGAACCTTAATAAAACTAGTATCCATAAGTTCAACAGATCTAACCACTTTAACCTCCTCCATCTTAAAAGTAGAATAATAATGATTGGGGGTCCTTTGATAATGTAAAACCCTAAACCTCTACACAATAATAAACATAATAATAAGTTATTTTACCTTTAGATGCATTTAATTAATAAGCTTAATAATAATAGATATAATAATAATAGATATAACAATAATAATAATAGTAGTAATAATAATAATAATAGATATAGTTATAACAATAATAATAGATATTATAATAATAATAAATGTAAAGATAATAAAATAATTTCTTTGGATAAGATCTTTAACAAAATTAGTAATAATAACTACAATAACTATATTAATAATAATAATTTTCATAACCACAATAATATTATCAATAATAACATCAAAATTAATAATCAAATTTGAATCTTTATTAATAAAATTATCAATAACCTTTATAAGTAAACTATAATTAATAACAATATAATTCTATGAATCATCAATAGTAGTAGTAGTTTTAAGTTAATTAATAATAGTCTAACTATAATTAGTAAAATGTGTAATAAACAAAGTAGGATGATTTAGTGTTTGGCGATTTTATTTCAGCCTAATAATAAAAATAACCAACCAATAATTAAACAGACCTTCTGGGGATGTTGGATTTGAAAAAAGAAAAAGAAGAACTAGAGAGCAAGAAATAGATTCCATTAGGAAATCAATAAATTTAGCAGAATTAAATCTACCCTGACATCGATAACTTTGCATATAACTATCAAAAAAAATAGTAAACATTTAGCAATTGTAATTTATTTGTGCTATTCTAGATTAATATCCATAAGGAAGATGAAATTATGAATAATAATTACATTATATTAATTATGAATGATTTTTCGATGAAATTTTGAAAAAATTTGATTTCAAATTGTATTTAAATACAAAATGAAGAATTAATATTATGTGAGAGACACATGATGTTATTTCATCTGGATAATGATTAAATTAATTAAGAATCAATCTTCCCTGACAGCCATAAGCAATTCGATTCCATCTTCCTTATAGATTGGAGCAATGGCGGCATAAAGTGGAACTTCTTTAAGCTCATTGCATTCGAAGGCAATTCCCTGATTCTCTCCATTTATTGAAAAAGATAACTAGCCCTTTTAAAATTGAATTAATTTGTTTGTACATCAATCATATTAAGCATAACACCGATAATGTCTCCTTTCTTGTATTATTTGCCATATTTATTGCCAGTGGAATTAGAATTGTGTCTCAGTTCACCATTATAGATTGCCCATCCTTCTTCGTTATCACTGAAAGCTTGCTTAGGTGGAGCATTGAGTTTACATCTTAGAACAGCCCATTCTTGGTGCATACGCCAATCTTAATTAAACTGCCCTTCAAGATTTTAATCTCATAGTAATATTTATAACCTGGAGTGAATTCCTTAAAGTAGCAATCTTCATACCTAATCACCAATGGCACTTTTAAATCCAGATCCATCAGTAGCTATCACTTATAATTGGTCCTGGCACAATTTCAATTTAGTACTAGTTCGTTTAGGGTCCCAAGAAAAAAGAGCTTGCTTAGCTGAAATTCTTACGTAGAAGGTACCCATCTGGGTATTCCATTTTTATATATTTTTATTTAATTTAATGTAAAAGCCATACATCGTGGTAGTCGGTGTCTCACTCTTTTTTATCACTCTGTTCCTCATCAATGCAATCCATCAATATGATGAAATACCACAATAAACCCAAGAAGTCTAATACATAAAAGCCACAGATTTGCTAGCTGTTTAAGTTCCTTTGCCTTGGGAAATCAAATAGCCTGATGAAGAGCACTTAAAAATACTGGATCAAAATGAAACTGATATCATAGAAGGTTACTTTTAAACAAAAAATCTAATTAGAAAAGAAATTCACCAATGGAATTACCAGGGAAGAATTAGGTCGCGCCGGATGGACTCTTTTGCACATGATCTCAGCCACTCTTCCAGTTGATTTTGATGAGGAATTCACATTCAAAATCAATGTCTTTTTGAATCTATTGTAAGACAAAAATGCTATTTTTCCACGTTAGTGGACAGTTCTTCCCTTGTAAGGAGTGTGCAGGACATTTTCTGAATATGACCACCAATTTGCCATACGAAGGAACTACTAGAGTCGATTTCATGTAATATCTATGCATGTTGCATAACGAAGTTAATGAAAGATTGCATAAAGTAAATTTAAAATTATATCATAAGCCAAGTTTTAATTGCAGTGATATACATTAAAGATGGGGAGGAGATTGTGGTTGCAAGAGTGCCTTGGAAGAGAGCATTAAAAAATATAGTAAAGGGTAAAATTGATCATATAGATATATAATTCAATATTCTTAAGTCAAATCAATTAAATATTATATTTTAATGATTAGAACAAAAATCGACTACTATATTTGGATTTCCACTTAAATAAAACATCTTCTAATTGATCTTGATATTAGATTCCCTTCATTATTGTTTAAATAGTCAATGGTCTATAATCAAATATAAAATATGTTTATGGAGTTAATCTCTACTTATATTTTATACTTTATAACACTAATATGTCTGATTAGGGTTTTGTGTTGAATTAAGTTAGCCTTCTCCCATAAACTAATTTTTAATGCAATGATCAATTTTGTTATTAATTACATAAGTTTTATTTTTATAATATTATTATTTATATTAGCTTTAACAATCTATATGTTTTAACTACATATTATTAAAGGTATAAAAAGTAATCAAAAAGAATAATTATAACCTCATATTAATCCTAATTTTCCATCAATAAATATTTATATATTATTAACCTTTAAAATATGAATTAAGCAATTAAGATAGCTCAATTACATAATTATTTTCAATTATCTGCTGTTGATATTTTAAATACATCAAAATTTTTAGGGATTCTATTATTTTTAGATGTCAAAAAGTCGAAATTTTAAGAATTGCTTTGTAAACAATATTCTTAAATTTCCAATCGTAAGGATAAGGATTTTATCAATAAATGCTCTATTTAATGTATTATATTTTAGCAAAGATTTTATTCAAAATAAAATAGGATTTAGATCACTTAGACTATGATGGAAATATTCCAATTGTAGATAACAATTTCATTTATGGTCTGAGTATGTAACATTCTTGATTTAAACCTTTAAGATTCTAATATTAAGTGTTACAGTATAATTTTATAAAGAAATTGTTTAATTTTGAATTTAGTTGATTCAAATAAATGTTTAAGTATGGATTTTGAAGATGTGGAGAAAGACAATGATATAATAAGGATTTATGTTATGAAACCTTTGGCATAGTCTAGATTTATAAAAATAATTATATATATACCAACATTAAAACGAAGAAATTTTATTCCGTTTTTGGTATTAATAAAATAAATATGAAAACATTTGTTGTAATTTGCCTCGTAGCAGCTGTGTTTGCACTTGACACAAACAAATTCGCCGTGCTTCTCCAAACAGGCACAAGAGGAAATGATGCCGTTGAATCCGTTTACAATCTCTTAAGAGATTTGAAAACAGAAAATGTGAATGTGTAAGCTGCTGCTGACAAAAAGAACAATACAGACGAAGGTAAATTGTATTTTAATGTGTAGAAATCTTTTCCCAAGTCATAGGTGATTTGACTAACGTTGCCTCACTCAACAAACAATAATGGGAAAGACTTGGTGCTGTCAGAACAGATGTTGAAGATTAAGTCAGAGTAAGCAAAACAATTAATTCATTAAGGATGGATATTAATGGTTGGCCTGGGCTGAAGCCAGACTTGCTGAAATCGTTAGAAGAAACAATTAACTCCAAGACTAAAGATGTTGGGCCAATGGACTTTTTGTTAAATCCCTCGCTGATCACGCCGATGCCATCGGAGTCGTCACACTCTTGACACAAGATGTTGCTGGTTTCCTCACAAACAATGCTGGAGTCGAACTCGTTGAAAAGGCTTAAACAATCGCCGATAAATTATCAGCATACAGCCATCTTTTCTAATAAGATGCCATCGAAAAATTCCAATCACTTGCTGAAGTCAAGAGAGACGGCACAACCGGAGAATAAGTCCTCTAAATCTTATAAGATTTATAAGTTGAATTAGAATCAACTCTTGCTACCTTATAAGAATAAGAAATCCATGCTGCATTCGCTCTTGCCAAATACGTTTCAGATACTAATGCCGAAGTTGCCTGGTTGACTTCAGAATAAGAAAGAAGAACCGGTCTTGTTGAGAAATTAGAAACTGTACAATAATGTGTTATAATTTGTATAGCAACTCCCAGCCGTTCTTGCCTAATAAGCCAAAGCACTTAAACTCTGGAAGGATTCCTTGAACGCAGTTGCCGGAGCCACCGCCGATTTGGAAGAGAAAAGAGAATTCTATGCCTCCGAAACTGTCAGAAGAGCCGGTACCAATTATCACAATAATCTATAGAGGAAAATGCTATCATCGATGTTGTCATCTAATTGTTCAAAGACTAAGTCAGATCCTTAGCCTCATAAACCAGCCTTGGAAGAAAATGATTTCCATAATACAAATATATTCAATTTAAAAAATGATCAATTAGAGTTAATTGCTTTTCTTCATTCATCTCTTTTAGAATTAATTTTAAACATCTCAAAATTTTAGCTATTGATAAACATCTTTCCCTTCATTGAAATTTAAATCAAATACCTGAGAATCTAAATTTAGTGTTGTAATATTTCTATCAAAACTTGAAACTAAGAGACCATCTTTTATTTAAACAATATAACAATATACATATTACATGTTTCTTTAATCCTTCTAAAATAAGAGTACAAACTAACAAATTTGATATTATGTTTGGTCTCCCTAAAAATTAGATAAAAGTTTTAGAATTTGATGATACTTCTAATTAGGTAGAACCTATAAGAACAAATGCAAATTTTGGATTTAATTCATTTGAACCAAATAAAAATTAAACTATTTTTGTAGACAAAATAAATTTTTATCAAATTTTAACAATAGTTTATAATTTTCTGAGTGGAGAAAACATAGAATTATTTTAGTTACTAAAAATTACAAACTTTAACTGAAATTTAATCATAATCAAGCTTGATAACCTGTATTCTAATTTTAGAATAGATTACTAAAAATTAAATTACAATTATGTTACATAGAAGGAAATGCTAATATCTCAAAAGAATAAGATTATTAATTAAACCAATCAATTCGAAATACTTTCCAATTATTAAAAAGAATTTATTAGAATAAAGTTCTTTTTATTACTCTCTCCTTTAATGGAAAATTTGGAATTCATAGTGATTTAAAAATAGATTTGTCATGATATCTATAGATAAGTCATCTATTTGATTGATTTTTCTACAAAATAATTTTTTATAAAATTTGACCCATTTAAAGGGGGAAATATAAATTTTATTACACATAAATAAAATTATGTTAACTTAATCTATCTTGAGCGTTGAATCCAGCAAGGTTTATAAACCGAAAACTAGTCAAATTGGGTTGTTATCAACCGCAATTAGCAAACTAGGTGACTCTAACTATACTACAAAAACCAGAGAGTCAACTAATATGTCTCCTGTCAGAATGAGATTATTCAGAGACTCCTCACCTAAGTAAAGCAAAGGCTTGTAGGGAGTAGTAGTTGGGGAATACCAGTATTAATCATAATTAATTTAGTGCTTTGACCCCTGCTCATGTTGTATTTAGTAGCATTCATAAAAGCACGTCTCCTATCAGATCAAATAGGAATTACAATGAATCTCCTTAAAGAGCCAAAGTTAGATTGGATAGATTCAAGAATTGGGACTCAAAGTTAGGACTTGAGCTCCAAATCCAAAACACCAAATTCACTAGACTTAATAATGAATTATCATTTTCAAGTTACTAGCCTCATCATTTAGCCTCTAAATCATCTGTTTTCTTGGGTAACAATCAGAGTAGATTGGGTTTTGGAGGACACCAAAGTGATATTAGATTATTGAGTGCAAAATTGAATGCCATCCCACCTACTCAAATTGGAGCATTTACTGTCGGGTAAGAATTGAAGTATATATTTATAGACACAACCATGAATTGGCTGATTTACAACAGTCCCTCACTAGAATCTTAAAATAAAGCCGATAGTATTGAAATAAATTGAAAATTATATTATCTTAAAAGAATTTAATATGGATATAAAAATATAAACTTAAAGCTAAACATTCTTGATTTATATTGAAAATTTAACTATTCGAGATCTTAAATGGAAACTAAAAAGACTAGGAATAGAATTGAACGACATAATGATATAGTAAGACTTTGAAAGCATAAGTTTAGTTTTTATGATAACGATGGTGACAAAATTGTGATTATCGATGACAAAGATGTTGAGTATGCCTGTCAATAAGGAAACCGAAAATTTAGAAATAGAATTAAATTTTATATTTACTATAAGCTAAAGCAACCGAGAATAAACAATATGTAGAATCAAATTTGGGATCACAAAGAATTAACCATATCGGATGGAAGTGAATAGATTCAAAAATCGAATAACTCGATAATCAATATACCTTCTTTTCCTTTAGTTGACAGTCGAGAAGACAAATTAAAGCAAATGATAGAAAATTACATTGATACTCTTTTGCTTGAATAGTATGAAATTTGATTTTATATATAAATATATATTTATGACTGTAATCCTGTATATTTATTAATGTACTTCTGTGATGTATAATAAATCATTTTCTGGCAGCTAAGGCAACTTGAGTTGCAATTCTATTTAGATCTTATTATCCTTCTTTGGTAACAATTCTTGATCCTTTCTTTAAAAGGGATTTGTTATCTCTCTTCAAAACCTTAATTGTTTCCAATTATTAGAGTAAATATCTAATGACCTTTCCAGATCCAGATTCGTGCTTTCCATTATCATTAACTGAGCCAAACATGTGAGTGAGATTTCCAACACCCTAAAGTCATTAATTGATTATTAATACCCAATGGCCTCTAACGTAAATTTTACGAGCAAGTGCTGCAGCTCTAACATACATCCAATCTTAATCAATTGGTGAGATCTCTTTTCCAAGTCCTGTCTTAACAATTGAAGCCCATTCTGGAATCTTGATCTTGTTATTTTTTTTCAAGTATTCTGCATAACCACGAATGAAATCTTAAGCTGGTACATCCTTTAATTAATGTCATGAGTTTACTTTGACGGTATAAAAAGGTGCTGACATTAGAAAAATTAAATTATTTTTTGAATATTTGCAAGATTTTAATTAATAATTAAACAACTTTATAAATACTAACAATCCCAACTCTTGTCTTTCACACTCTAACATTAAATATTTATCATAAGCATTGCAGAATATATGAATTAACTAAAATTTTACAAATAATATCATTACTTATTTAATGGTTATATTAATTTTTGATTAATTTATTATATTAAATTTTCTAAGATTTTATAGAGGTTTTACAAAACAAATAATGAAAATATCCTTAAATAATGACAAATCAATTCAAATTAATCGATAGTACGCTTTACAAAGAATAGTAATTTGAAATATTAAATAATAAAGAGTAAGTTTAAGTTAGATGAAAATGTTAGGGTAAGAATTGTGAAATATTCAAATAAATTATCAACCTAAGGTAGGGATGAGAGAAATAGAAAATTCTAGTTTTTGTTCATTTATACAGAAATTGCTGAAATGGAGGATTTATGATAGTTAAAATAACATGCAATTAATAATGGAATTAGTGTAGGGAAGAAGACACAAATGTACAAAAATTGGATTGATTGGATGCTATGAATAGTTGATTATATGATTTTAGTAATATTATATGAAAATGGGGATAAATATTTATAAAATAATTACATACATAAGCATTTTTCGATCCGTTTTTAAAACATTAAATTAAATATATGCAAAAACTAGCCATCTTGACATTGGTTCTTGCTCTTGCAGCTTCCAAGTTTGTAGATACACATGCAAGCTTGGCTTAGATTGATTCTAATCCATTTGGAAATGTTGTGTTGTCAGCAATCAAGGCACACTTATAAGCTTAAACACCAGCCAATGAAGTCAATATGTTATTGAATGGTGTTGCTGCTGGATTATAATAAGATTAAAATGACCATGATCACGCTTTTGAAGTTGATACAACCACAAACAATAGAGTAAGAATATTTAACAATGTAATAGGTCGTTGAGGATTTGGAAAAGGAAATCTTGTATCACTAAAATCAAATCTCATCCAACACTTAATTGAGAGATGACACAATCGAAGCTTTGGCTGTTTCTGAAGAAGACATCAGAGTTACAATTTCAGACATTGCAACAAATGAATAAACTTATGCTAGAGAAGAAGCCACAAGAAACTAATAACACGAAACCTTCGTTGCCAAAGTTGCTGCCATCGATGATGTTATTGAAGCTATTGATGATGCTGCCAAACTCATCCAACATTTGAGCTTAGGTGCTTCATTTGTCTAAGTTAAATCAAAGTATGAAACAGTTCACAAGAGACTCACCGACAACACATCACACAGCCAACTCTTACAAGTAAGTTCTTTCTTTCTATTATCCACTTTAGCCAGTCGTTGTTGCTCTTACAGAATTAGCCACTCACGGAGTCAACCAAAAGGCTTTGACCAAGATTGCTTAATTATTGAGCGAAATCAGATAATAATTAGTCTCAGAAAAGGCTACCAAGACTGTATTTAATTAATCTAATTATTAAGGACGTTGAAGACAGATAAGCTGCACACTGGGCTGAATTCAGCGTTCATTTGAGCAATGAACACACAAGATTGGTTGAAAGAAAAGCTTAATTGGAAGTCTAAATCTAAGAATAAAAGGATACCATTGAAGATGCTTAATCATGGATCGAATTCCACACCTTGGAATTAGAAAACAGTGAAGAGAGACTTGCTGGATAATAAGCATGGTATGCAGTCTAATCAGAAATCTATGAAACCTAAACTGCTGAAAGGTAATATTTCATAATATCCTATTTTAGAGCTGCTTAAAATGAAATCGTTGATAGACTTTAAGAACACATTAGTGAGAAATTATCAACCACCGCTCAATTCATCAGCAAAAGAAATTGATTTATTAAAAACAATAAATTATGAACAATAGTTCTTAGTTCAAATAGTTACACTTAAAATTTCTCGTTTGTTATATGAAATCTTCTTATTTCCGTCTAATATAAAAACTAAAAATTGAATAACTATGTAGACTTAAATTAGTCTAACGCTATTTACAAAGTTTGGATATTATAATGGATCATAATTAGATCGAAATAATACAATTTATTTCTGTTTCTGGTTTGTAATAGATGTTGAAATAAATACCTATTTTTAATATAAATTTCTGATTGATTAATTTATCTTATTTAAGAACAATTATTCTAAGTATATATATGGATAATTAATCACAATAATTGGGTTATAAATTGACATAAAATTAGTTCAATATTTTAAGGATTAGTTTAATATCAAATATTATATTGCAGAACAATCTATTATGTTGAAAATAGCTTGCAATTTAGTATAAAGTGATCTTTGACTGTATTCATTAGTTTGTAAAAATTTGAAAATAAAAGCAATAAAAAGTTAATGAATATATGAGATCATAAAATGTATAAATAACAAAATTGAGATAAATATTTCAGTTACACAATCACTTTTCTTCTATGTTTTGATGTTCACTCTTTTTTTAGATCTCCAATAATGACTTTCTTTGTTTTTCTAATTATTTTCTTATTAATTCTAAATCATCTCTTGATATTCGCTTTAATAAATTAAGCCATTTAACTTCCATGTTGGTTAAATTGGTAACTTTATCATCTGATTCTTCCGAATAAGCTTGTGAGAAAGCCTATGAATGATTTTTTGAAGTCATACTTAAATTTACTATTCAAATTAATTATTTTCTTAATTTACTACAATGAATGGGTTATATACTTATTCAATAAATCAAGGAAAAAAGTACATCATTATAAAGGTTCATTATTCGTTATAGATTATTAACTATTGATTAAAGTTGAGATTTAGTAGCAAATTGAAATTGTAAAATAAGATATTATTTTGTTCTATTTGACATTGATGATAAGGCCATATTAGATTATAGACAGTTTATCAAACTTAATCTAAAACAAAGTTAATTGAGATATTAATTAATCATCAATTTAATATAAAAATGATAATCATGAGGAGTAATTTCATTGAAAAAAGTTAATGCTTTTAGCTATAAACAAAGTGATATTAATGTTATTAGAAAATAAAACAATTTTTTGGAATGGAAAACTCTACAGTATTTAGAGGTGATAAGTGTATCATAAATTACTTTAGATGATAAATCTATAATTTGGCAAATTCCCTTTATATCTGATATTTATTTAATTCCATTAAACTAAAGAGTAATAAGAATGGTTGCAGAAAAATTATAAATTATCTTAATTCCGAAATCAATCAATTTTGACTCAAAGGACAGCATTGTTAACTTGGCTCACCATAATTGTTTATTTGAAATAATTCTGATAATTAATGGCGAAAGGAGTAGATATATAATTAATGTTAAAAAATATATTCTTAGATACAATTTTATTTAATTTGAATAAGAAAAAATAGTTTTTTACTCTGATAATTACCAAGAAGTATGTAAATTTATTTCAATAATTGAATGAGGATTATGTTTAAGAAATAATCGATTATTTTGAAGATTTATTTGCAATAATAAGCGATGTCAAAATATTTCTAAAAAACAATGATGAATAAATTGGTTAATTGAGAACATAAGATATAATGATTATATTATAAAGTATCTTTATTTTAAGAATTCTTCTCTAAGATTATTTGGGTATGTTATGTTTCTGTTAAGTTTTGATATTTGATAGGTTTATTTCAGGATATGTGCATTTAATATTATAAGTGAAGGTAATTTTTATCAAGAAGCACAAGAAATTATGAAATTTCAATACATAAAATATGCATAATATATTATCATGTAATTTGTTAACAAAAATTTAATATATCTTCTCTAGTGATATCTTGTTATTGTTTCTAAAATAATTTCCAACTAGTCTAATTGGATTATATATTATATGTATGTGAGTGTGATTATGAAATCTAGAAAGAATAAGTTATTTCAGAACTTAAATGTAAAAATATTATTATGACAAACTATATAGTTATATTTATATTTATAATTAAAAACGGAAATGAATTGGTTAATCATTTTAGGTTTAATTTATTTGTGCTAGGCTGAACATTTTCTATATGAATCTGAGACAGGAGTTACAATTCAAAATATCGTTAATAAAGATATTGATATTAATATCAAATTCAAAAAACAATTCCAAAGAACTCCCAAGATTGCTTATTCAATTGGCTTATTAGACATGAGTGGTTCTTCCTTCATGAGTGAAATTTTGAATGTTAATTAAGAAGGTATTTTCTAAAATAAAAGGAGGTTTTACAATTAGAGTTAGAGGAGATCATATTGATTAAATCTCATATAATTGGATGGCCACTGATAATCCTTTAGTGCACATTGAATATGTTAAGTCATAAGAATCAGAAATCTAACTGCCTCTTTTCAATTATGATAGTGATACAACTCCTTTAGTAAATTCATATTTGGTTGGAGCCACATTTGAAGATAAGAAACAATTCAATCAAGACATAGTTGAATTAAATAAAGACATTGTAAAAATCGCAACAAAAGGCGCTAAAGAATTTAAGCTTTGTCTGCTGATATCCAACTTTGAAAACAGTTTTAAGACTGATGATTTGGGAATTATTGCTGATGCTGATGATCACACATGGTTTTAGAGTTCTAAAGATGCCTAAAAAGTATTGGTTTCTTCATATGAAATTCCTAATGATATTGTAGATTTCGTTTAATTGATGGGTATTTCAGGATTTACATCATTAAGCGATCATGTTAGAATAGAAGTTAATGAAGAATAAGAAAATGATGATAATCACATCAAAGTTGAATTTGGAACTTGTAATCTATATATTTAATAAATTAGGGGATGAATCAACAATTAAATCACTAAGCTTTTACGGATTTTATATTGGAAATTAGGAAGTTAAATATTATGATTAAAATTGTGCTTATTTATACAGCGATTGTGATTATTAAGGAAATGAGGTGAAGATATGTGACAATAAAGCTAAGTTAGACTACAATGGGTAAATCAAAAGCATTAGATTACCAAAGGATGCCGTATTTACTCTTTATGGAAAAGAAGAATTTGAGGGAAAGAGATTTAGAATTGAATCAAGCAAATCCTGTATGGATGCATTGTATCTTGGAAAATGAGCATTTATATATAATGAAAAAGTTATCATGATACTAGTATTATTATAGGATTGTCGTAAACTTTATATATTTTCAAAATGTCATTCAACAACATAATATTGTTTTGTAATAAATTAATAAATAAATTATAAAAAATGGACGAATTTTTTGATGATCCAGCTGGCACAATTGAGACTTATGTGATTCCAGAAGTTGCTGCTGAACCTCTTATGTTTAATGATGCAGGTATGGTATTTTATAAATCTTAATAAAGCAAGACAACCATTTGAAATGCCTATTGCACCTAATGCTGGAGTTACTCTTGTGGTATGAATAGAAGATTAATTTACAACTTTTTAGAGTGCTGAGCAATAAAAAAGAAGAGATAAATTGAGAGAGCTTGAGGATGAACGACTTAAGCAGATAAGAGAAAAAGATTAGGAAGAAAGAATTTAAAAATAATAACGAAAAGAGAAGGCATAGCAATATTTATTGCAGTTTTAAACGTATTTCATTAGATATTCAATATGAAGACAATTGAAAAGTGACATTCAAGCACGCAAAGATGCAAATAAATAAGTCTAGGAGCTGCGATCTCAAAATAAAAGTGAATATGTATTGTGTTATTCATGCTACCAAAGAAAAACTCTTGGGATAAGATAGCATCCAACATTGCATTGAAAGATGGCGAATATCCTGGAGAAAAAGATGTAAACAAAATGAGACAAGCCATACTTAACAAGAGAATAGACTTGACTAAGTGAAAATGTATATTGTAAAATATATATATAAATAATAATATTTAATAGTAACTAATTCTATCTATAATTATTATTATTATACATCTATAGTTTACCTTTATTGGTTGTTACATTAAACGAATTTAGATAGGCCAATTAAAATTAAGCATCATCTAATTTAAGGAATGAATTCTATTAATCAAAAATTGTTCTATTATATGAGACTAAGATATGTTTTTGAGCTTATTGCTTATTAGACTTAATAAAAATAAAACTGATAATAACTATCCTCTTTACATTTATTTTATATAAAAAAACGAGGTTTTTTATATAGTTTTCATATAAAAATAAAAAATGACATAAAAATCTAAATTAGGAGAAATTAATGATAATATCTCTTGTCTTGGTTTATTGAATTAAGGTTAACTGTTGTTAAGATTCGTGGAAATTAAAAATTAAATAAAAGAAATTAAAAAAAATTAAGCAAAAACGAATAGTGTGATTGGAAAAATGAATATTTGTGAGATTGTAAAACATTAATTAAATATGAAATTGATTCTTATTGCTCTTTTGGGATTGACACTCACACAAGCTGTCTTTGTTAAGAGATCCAACGATCCAAGCAAGGCTGTCTTCACACAATTGGAAGCCATGGAAGAACACGAATTAGGAAGAAAATTGTTAGACACAATTGCTCTCTAATTGAACAACAAGGCCCCATTGGGAGATATCGCCAAAATGTTACAATAATTGAGAGAAAACCTCATCCTCAACTAATAAGAAGCTGACTAAAAGCACGCTTAAGATGAAGTTGATTGCGAAACAGAAATCTACTAATACAACAGAAGAATTGACTTCGCTTCCAACGAAATCACCGAATCAACCTAAGAAATCTAAACCCTCAGTGCCAAGGTTGAATAATTGACTTAAGATGTTGAAAACAAATAAGTCCAATTAGACATCTTGAACGAATAAGAAACCTAAATCAGAGAATAAAGAGCTGAAGATGCTGAAAGTTTCACCAGATTCGAAAATGAAACCGAAAACGTCATTGAGGCTGTTGAAGTCATCATCTAAAAGTTGAGCTCAATCCAACCAGATTAAGAAGTCTTGGCTGCCTTAACATAATTGAACAAGATTGGTGCATCCAACCCAATCCTTGCTCTTATGTAAGTTGCTTCAACCTTCTCAGCTGAATAATTGAACAACGTCCTCGGAAAATTAGGTGAAGTCAGCAATTAATTGGCTGAAGCCCTTGAAGATGCCAGATAAACCGAAATCTAAGCCTAATTAGACTTCGAAGCTTTGGTCGTCGAAATCGCCTCATAAAGAGAATCCTTGAGCGCTGCCAGAGAAGACTCTGAAAGATAACTCCAAGACAACTAATAAGCTTTGGACTTATAAAAGAAGAGAAAGGAAGACGCCACCGACGAATTGAACGCTGCCTCATCAGGAAAGGAATAAAAGGAAGCCGAATGCGATTCATGGAGAACTTAATATGCTGAAGATTCTGAACACAGATAATTAGAAATCTCAATCATCAGATAAGTTGAAGAGATCTTAGCTACCAAATTATCCAACGTTAAGGTTTATCTCTAAGAGAGATCATCAGCATGATATAATTATAATTCTTCAAATAAATAACAACCAATTTAATTTTCTTCATTCTTCTTTTATAGTTTTCACTCTATTTTAAAATATTATTATATTGACTAAAGTAGATACTTATAGAATCCTTCTAATTAATCCTATATTCTTATTCTTATTATTTATATAGGTTCAATGGATGAATTTGAGGATTAATATGATAGATATTATATAAAACTTTTAATTCAATTTCTGGTTGACTCATATTCTGTTAAATATAAATAATTTAAAAAGACTTTATTAATTTCATCCACTTTTTGATATAGTTTACTGTCCAATTGAAATTTATACTTTTTGAGAAGCATATACTTGTCCTCAAGTATTATTATTCTTAGTTGATATTAAAACTTTGATTAAATATGGATATCAATCTGTTTAATATTAGAATTTACTAGTAATTTTTTTAAATTATTATATTTATTAACTACTTTTCTATTTAAGACTATTGTTAATAGTATAAGATGAATGTTTCAAGAATATTACTAAACGATATTATATTTTCTTATTCATAAATAGAAAGACATGATATTTAAAATAATTAATCAAAATAGAAAACAGAAAAAAAGTTTTATGTAAAATATCATAATCCTTACAAAGTAATGATTTAATCATAAATTATAAAATAATCAGCCTTATTGTATTTATTATTGTTATTATTGTTATTATTGTGGTATTACCTGAACCTTCTTCTCCTCCTCCAATTGTTTTTCTGTAATAAGTTTAGATATATATCCAAATATTTTAGTTCTGCCTTCTCTAATCACAAGGATCTAGTCAGTTTTAAGATACTCAGCTGCATAAAGAAATCGTAATCTTTTTAATTAATGAAATGTCTTACCTCACTGTGTCTACATCTCCAGTTCTTAATACTTCATGTTAGAATATTTTCTTCATTTCTACAGCTTATCTAATAACACCACAATGCATAACTGCTTAATATCCATGACTCATTGTAGTTGGATGGTGGAGTACATGAATGTTAGCCTAAGCTAATTATAATTCTATACTTCGAACTCTATAACAGGTTCAGGTTTGACAGCTGGATCAATTAAGATCATTCCCTTTCTGAAATCAGCTCTGTCTAATTTATCTCCAGCCTTAGATGGCTTAAGAGCAAAACAGGCGAATTCTCCTACCTATGCTGATTCAACTGATACTCTATTTATGTGTATAGATTTGATGGTTACTGGTTTGAATGCTATAAATTACAATAAATGGAGTATTTACTTTTGCCTTTATCTGGTCCCAACAGAGCATGTTAATTCAATCCTGCTTTTCCACTTCTAACTATTCCACTTACAACAACACCAACTCCTGGTACATTAAAATTCTCTTGGATGTCAAATTGGAATGGATCATTAACTGTTTAATAGGCTTTGTTTATTTCATCTCTATTTGGTACTCTACTTATAAACCGAGTTAATTATTGCAATCCATTTCCTGAGACACTGGAGACTTAAAATATAGGAACAACATTATTCCCATGCATAAGTGCTGCCCATTTATCGATTTCTTCCATCTCAGATTTCTCATCAAACACTACTGCTGTTCTTTTAATGGCTGGACTCCTAATCAAACCTTTTATATTTTCAATAGTCTCATTGTAAACATTTTAAGGAGCAATGTCAATTTTTGTTAAGACTATTGCAAAGGGTATTTTCAAAAATAAACTCACTCCCAGATGTTCTCTTGTCATTTTTGATACTCCCATATTGGCTCCAACTATAATCAGAGAATAATCTGGTATCATAGCTACCAAACCAAATATTGTAGTTTTTAAATATTTTTCATGACCACAGAGATCCAAAAATGTAACTATCTTTCTACTCTTTTCAACTACGAGACTCCAATATTTGTTTTTGTTTTGATTGAATCTTTCTGGAAGAACTTGTTTAAGATTCTCATCAAAACCCATAATCTCTTATGCCACTGAGGAGGTCCTTCCATTCTCTTTTTCATGCTTGTAATTGAAAACGCGCTGCATAAATTAAAATTCGAACCTCTCTTGCTCCTCCTCTCCCGTCATCCAAGATTCCTTTTGTTAACACTCCAACCAATGTTGATTTACCAGAATCCACATTACCAATAATTGCTAACTTACTATGTTCTAATCTCTAAACTTACATAATATTAATATACGTATTATTATTTTTTAATGTTTGAATTTATATACCAAATAATTCTTTCTTAAAATTTATATAATATATATGAATAAATATTATTAAACATCACTCAATTCTTCAGCTATATTGCTTATCGCAAGTATATTGAATATTGTTAGTTTTCAGAAAATTTACAAGGCTTTAAAGCTATTCTCCACTTGCATCAACACTTATTAACCATTTATCTTTCTTCTAACTTTTTTTTTTATCTTGTAATTATTTTTACAGTAATCCAAATTTCTGTGGAGACTACTTTTATTAATTGCTTGATTGTATATATTTTTGTTAATTTGATGGCATTTAAGATTCTTTTATAAAGGTTTTTCTGAGATGTTGATCATAAACATTTATTTCTTAATTGACTTTTCCAGAATACTACTGAATGGAGTTAACGAAAAGGCTATTTGATTTCTCTTCGACTCTTTAGAGTTAAATAGAGTTTTATGCTTCACGATAAGCTGAGTTAGCCGCATTTAAACTTAATTCATTTAATCTTACACTTTGAGAATTCTTATTCTTACATTGATTTACTGATTAGTTAGAATTATCATTAGTGGGAATTTCAGATATGATAATTTTACCTTATTTAGATTATTGAGATTTTGCTTAGGAGGTTTATTCAGGCTGATTTTAATAGAATGTATTATATAACCCATATCCCTTTAAAATATCTTTTTACTGCTGGAAATTTATATTATCAGCTTAGTTCTTGGAATCTTCAATTTTTTTGCAGGACTTCACTATGCTTATTTATTTATATTAATTTACAATTCTATTAACCGTTTAAACCTCGATAAAAGATTAGAGTTGGGTTATCAATATTGCTTATATATTTGTAGATAGGTGTGTTCCTTTGAGCAAAGTAATAGTCAGTGTCTTTGATCTTGAAATAAAATATTTCACTCATGTTAAATTGACTAAAGAATTTCAAATGTAAATTACTCATAGTAACTAGCGTCTTGGATGAAACTTGCCAATGTCATTGAAGTGGTTTTAGAATCACAAAAGGTTTCGAATTGTTCATTTTTATCATAGAATTGGATTACTATATTTTTCATTTATTATATGAATATTTATCAATATAAATTGAGTAAATCGTCAGCAAAGAATACTTCTATTTCTACTACTGACAATATTTTGTAATATGAACTATTTGTGGGAATAGTTTGCCTGTAACTTGTCATGTATCTCAACTTGATGTATTGCTTGAGGATATTTAGATCACTGTCAAATTTGCTAGCTTCTTCATGATCCTTAATAACATATTTATAAAGCAGATAGAAGGTGAAACACCAATCATCTGGTTGGAAATCGTTGATATTCTTAGCCACATAGGTTAGTGTCGATTCCAAAAACTCTGTCAAATAATAGACCAAATCGCTTTGATCTAGTTGTTTGAGGAATACAATCAAGTCTTCGTGATTAAAATTCACATCTTCTAAATTAAGATTAGATTTGGCTAGAACTGATAGGATTTGATCTTTTTCCTCTAATTTTTCAAATATTTGTTATATGCTTAGTAGATCTTACTTCTTTTGCTTGATATTTTTGAGATTAACCAAAGACAATTCATTAATCATTACAATGATTTCATGGCCTAGTTTGAAACACTTTTAATTCTGTATCTTCTCAGACAAAATGTTCAAATTTTTAAGGGAATCATACGATACATTTTCCAGTTCTCCCTTCAAGTAGAGATTGAGAATTCTGTTAGCAAACTAATCTCTGAATGGCTCATCGATCTCATCATGGTATTTCAACATCATGTTGATCAATAAAATATAATCATCAAAGCTGGAGATTAGTTTGTTAATATCTTAGAATTGGTTGAGTTCCTTATGAAATTCTTATACCAATTTAAGAAATAAAGCTCGATTGGCCTAATCTAATTCTTGTATCGTGAGGTGATCCATGCAAAAGAAGAAGATGAATTGGTATGTTTCCAAAGATACAGGAGGTTACTTGAGAGCGTGCATAAAATATTGCATAATAACAAGCATTTGATTTTTGGTGGCAAATACTTTAAACTTTCTTAGATGTTGATAGGTTCGATTCAATTCTTTCTCGCACAGATCAAGATTTCGTTTATTCTCTACAAAACCAATGAAATCACAAAAAGCTTCTTGTGAAATGTCCTTTACGATGTTCAAATGCCATATTTCATGTAAGAAGCCAGAAAAATCATACACGGCATGGGTAAACTCAGTGTATTGATACCAATTGAGCACACCTTATTTGTGGTAATTGTCCATGGCTGCAATCCAAGATTATTAGTCATAATACTTAATCTGATGGAGGATGTTAATGAACTACGAAATGTTGTATTCTATAAATTAAAGAGCGAGAATTACCATCGGTATCCGTGTAGTTTAAACTCTTAAGCTCTTTTGTTAATGAGCTAATTAATGATTGTACACCGTAGAAGGAAAGATATTTGAACTCTCTATTCTAATTAACCATGCTTTGAAGAATATCCATCTTATCATCAAATGTCATAGAAGACCCATAACAGTGAAATTTAAAATATAGATCCTCTAAATTGCCAGGAAAGATTTTGAACGGCTTTGGATGTTTCAGATATTGTTTTTATATGTATTTCTTTTGTTGAAGAATCTCATTCGGAGGTTGTTGTTTAATGAGTGATGTACATTTGTATAAAATGAATTTGTTCTTTTTGAACATTATTATAAAAAACTAAAAATGCCTAAATACATTGATGTTTTAACAATCGAATAGGCTTTAATAAAAGCTGGAAATGGTCACCAATTTCAAAGAAGAGCCCTCATTATCATTGGATTACAGTATATGATTGCAGGAATGCTTCATATAGCTATGACTGAGCTATTCTTTCATCAATAACAATACAAGTGTCTATCAGAAGATCTGAATTACATGAATTGTACTGAAGGAGCATTTTGTGAATAATATAAAACCAGGGAAAATAAGGTGTCATTAGTGGATCACTCAGATTTAGGTAGTTTGATCAAATACTTCTTAATGGTGTGTGGGGATAAAATTCAAATATTCATATTGGTCACATCCTATTATATCGGAGGCAGCATGGGTTCCTTGTATTACGGTGAATAAATGGAAATCAGATAAGGCAGATAGTACTCTTCATATATACACTTAGCACTGTAATGATTGAAACTTTATTAATGATGGGCTTCGTATGTTGCATAAGTATGCTCTCCCCTTCGGCCTATATTTTGAGTGTGGCACTATTCGCAATCAATTTCTTTTCAAGAGGGTTTTTTAACTCATCGATGATCTTGTTTTTTGAAATATCAAGTGAGAATCTTTAGAAATTTGGACCTGCTCTATTGTTAACATGTTATGGAATTGGTGAAGTGATATCTCCAAGACTTATAGAGATGTTTAATTTAAATTGGCAATATTCTATGCTCCTATTATTTGGATTGCCAGCAGTGTTATTTTCAGTGTTGATCAAATTTATGTAGGAATCCCCAAGAATTCTGGTAATCAGACGTAAATTTGAGGAGGCAAGATTAGCAATCAATTACATTGCAAGTGTAAATGAAAGAGAAATGCCAGAAAATTGGATATTAGAAGATGAGGTCAGAATTTAAGAGTTGAAGGATAAAATGAAAAATCTCCTACTCTAAGATGAGATTCATGAATAAGCAAAAGGATACAACTTTTCTTCTATCTTCAGATATAAATCAATTAGAATTAGAATGTTCTGTCTTCTTTATTTGTATAGCATTGTAGTTTTAGGTTAATTCTAAACAGCCAAAGAAATAGAGAGATTTTCAAGATTAGAAAGACATCACACCTATCTCCTATTATCATTAGTATCTACTGCTGGTTATTTAATCAGTGGCTATGCTTCTCTAAATTATTTAAGGAAAGAAGTAATCAAAGCTATACTAATTTTGGGTGCCATATTTCATTTCTTGATTGCTGCTCTGCCTTTATTAATTTTAAATAAAACAGCAAATGATTTAATAACCTTCTATGATAAATTGGTGTACACCTTTATTATGATGGTCCTAGTTATGTGTAGATTGACTCTAAGTTTTGCATATGGATTTATCAATGTATTGTTATTTAGAATATTTTTTAGGTCTACGCTTTAGAAATATTCCCTACTTCATTGAGACATTACGGATTTTGTGGACTTACTTTTTTGACTGAATTTCTATTCATATTCTAGGATTCCTATGTGATCTTTTGCCATGCCTTTGGATTGAATTCATCAATTGGCATGTTTGCTTTATTACTTTTAGGGTTGTTAACCTTATAGAAATTGAGGGAAACTCAAGATTTACCACTCAAAGAAAATGTAGATGAGATGTAAGATGAGTTAATTAATAACATATTTTCTGCTTGACATGTATATACATTTTAGAAATAACATTTATCATCATCTCGATTTCTTAATCTCCCCTAGATTAAGAAGAATGTAATTTTTCTGTTAATTCATAATATCATTTTAATACATTTTAGATAGTTATTTGAAATTAAAAAGTACAAATTTTTATTATAAATTATTGAATTAATAAGGAAGGAGTTTCAAGGATGAATTGAAACACATTAAAGTCTAAATCCTTAAAGATAGTAATTTTATAATTTAAAAGTCTTTCTTTAAGGAGTGTGTCTAGATGATATAACAATATTAATTAGTGAAAAATAATATTTCACTTCTTCTATTTCTTAATCAATTTTATGTCTTCTGTCAATTTCTAATTATCTTTGAAGATTAAAGATGTCATATTTTTTATTAATGTGCCAAACTCAAAAAGCTCTTCTTTTGAATTGTAACTCTTGCCAGCCAACGAGAGGATCTACAATAATTCATTGTATTTATTCTTGAATCTACCCATATTCGATATAATTCATATACCTTTCTTATTATAGAACAAACTATGTATGTCCCTCCAATTATTAAATTGTATTTTTCAAAGTAGCCTTCTCACCATCAATCAAGCCTTAGAATTTCTAAATTTGAACCTGATTCTCAGACTTCTTTAGATTCTCTTAGTTACGCAAAAGTGCTTCATGATGAGCAGATATTTTATTCAGAGACTAATATATTACACATTTGTTTTACTTTTTTTAATAAATCCAACACCTCCTTATATTGCATTAACTATTTGTATTCTGGGCCAAAATCTTACTCCTGAGGATTGAAATAATTTTGTAAATCCTTACATTTTATGATGCATTCTATTATACCTGTTCAGGGTACATCGTAGGCATTGATTCAGGTACTCTTTATCCTCCTACTGGAACAGCTGTTGGATTGCCATGATGGAAATTGGCTGAATTTCTATCGAATTACTCTATAAATGCTTCCTCTGATTCAATCAAGTCTTTTTGAAAATCACTTTAATCCATTTATAAAAGAAAATAATTATCACAATGTATTCTTAAAAATAAAATTTGAACTCAAATTTTGAAGAATTTAGAATATAAATGATCATCAAAAAGAATTCTTAAGAATCCTGAATTTATAAAAAACTGATGAGATTATTTGAAATATAAACAAAAATGTACAATCCATAAAGGACCTTACACAAATAAATTAATTTATCTAATTTAGAATGATAATGATTGGAAATGTAATTAATAATATATATAATAGATGGAATATTTTATATAATCAAAGAAAGCTTATGGTTTAAAAATTATGTTCCATAATTTAATATATGTATTCAGTATTGATTTTTGTAATATTAAATAATTGGCTAATAAATTTATATGTTTTATAGATATTGAAAATGGTGATAAGAATTTTAAACTAAAAATCAAATATATTATTTTCAATCTCAATGTTATTGATGAAAACTTTTGGTCTGTCTGTAATTAAAATCTCTGTCCTAGGTATTTTCAATTTTGCGGATTTCTACTTGTCCTAATAGTTATAAGAAGCTCATGATATCCTCTTTTACAGGCCCATTAGTTCTTATTTTAATTTCATATTAATCATCCATTCTATTTGATTCTTACAATAATTATAATCCTTGTTAATTGATATAATTTTGCTTTGATTACTATAAATTTTAGTAATTTATTGATGAAGCTAAATCAAATGGATTTTCCCCAAGATTAATTTTAACTTCACTCTTAGATTCAAATAAGTTTCTACTGCTCTACTTAGAATTGTCAACTCTATATTTTTATTCACTATTCTTTTGGCAAGACTTTTAGCCAGATAAAAATTAACTATCCTCACTACTCTAAATTCTTGATGTGTTTCGACTAGTTTGAGATTGAAAATTAAGTAAATAGTCATAAGCATTCTTAAAATTCATTTAACGATATAAAAATTTATTAATAAAATAAAACTGCATATTTCTTTAATTTCTATTTAATTGATCATTTAGTTGAATTAAATAAAGAATTCTTAAGTATTAAAAATTCATATAATGGATATAATTTAGTTTACACATTTAGATCTTAACAATAATAAATTATTTAAAAAATACAGAAACGAACTCACTCAAATATACCTGCTTTGTTCAGCATGTCTTATACTTTGTTTGAAACTAAAGGATGATACAGATATTTATCTTCTTCAAACCACTACTTTGCTAAATTTCTTAAATAATATTGCATAAAATTACAAGTAATTTTATATCAAAACTTCATAAATTCCAACAATATAAGATCGAACTCCAATACTTTATAAAAATTATCTAACAGCCCAAAATGAATCTTCGTATTTACAAAGTACAATAGTTCTATACCATTTAAAACCTATCTATACTCCTTATTTAGCTCCTGAAAACTTGTAAAAATCATCTAGAGCTTTAATTTTTGAATTAGTTAACTTCTCCCAATTAGACATAATCTACTACATAAAAATAGTTTATTGGTTTGGCATGTAGTCATTGTATTCATTTGCATTTTAAGGCTACTCATTATTTTATATCCAAGCATTTGCCAAAGATATAGCCTATTGATATTTTGGAGTAGTTTAAGAGAATTATCTTGGTGGTAATCCTAAATTATAATTATATTATACCCAAATCATACACCCATGGTTTGTAAATTAGAATAATCTCATTAATAATTGCCTATTGATTATCCTATATATTTTATCTGACCCATCTTAACAGATACTTGTAAAAGTCATCTTCATCTATACTCTGAAATTTAAAGTAATCTAAATAGGATCTTAGAAAGAATTTAAAATTCTCTTCTCCAATTAATTATTCAAGGTAATAGAGCAATTGGTATCCTTTTTCATAGGGAACCAACGAGAAAGAATCATTGGGGTTTTTCCAAGCAGTATTTGGATGCAAAGATTTATAGGTTATTTTCTCTGGATCAACAAAACCTTCAATATCTTCAATCATATCAATATTTCCATTTATTGCTTCAATTACATCATAATCTTTTGGTCTTACAAATTAATAAGTCTTCCTCTCTAAGAAAACACATAAACTCTCCATTATCCATAAATTGGACCAATTATTGCCAGTCACAGTATTGCCCATCCAAGAATGAGCTATTTCATGTATAGCTATGCCAACACCACTTTTATCTCCTACAATCATCATCGGACTTGCAAAGGTTAATAATGGATGTTCCATTCCTCCGAAAGGACAAGATTAGGGCAGTACCACTATCTTATACTCTCCCCAGATATATGGACCTATGTATTCAGACATTTTTTCAAGAAAGAAGGGGAGTTCTTCTAATTCCTTTGCATAGCCCTCTAAAAAGTGAGGCTCAGAAATAACATAACAATTTCCTCCCACATTCCTTTATTCAACCTCTCCTGCCACTATTCCTATTAAATATGCAGGAATAGGAATATCTAATTTAAAAGAGTATTAGTATAATCTAGTTTCTTCATATTGCCCAATCAACTATAGAGAATCTACTTAGTGACCGGTCATAAACACTTTAATTAGAGGGTCTTTGCTCAAGACTGTGGATGAATAAGTAAACTTAACACTAGGTGTGTCTTAGAGAGGCATTAGTGATCTACATTTTATAGCTTCACATTATGAAAACATATAAGGAACCTTCTTACTTTAAGTCTATTCTTTTGTTAAAAAACCTGCAGCCCTTGCCTTATCTGTATAGGCATATTTAATTCTGATTATCAGATTTTCTAAGGCTTTGTATTATCGATCAAGCTTTATTACTAGCTTGTCTCCTTACACAAGAGTTTAATTTCGAATAACTTGTATCTAAAATTCAAGAGGATTTCCATTCAATAGATAAACATTAAACACATCCAACAAATAGATATCCAAATCAATCTTTGTTTATAGTATTAAACTTATACATGATCTACATTCCTTAACACTTTTATTTGATATTCTGCTGTTGCATTCACTAACTTATTATCTAAATCTAGTAGCCACTCCAAATGCAAATGATTAATTCTCACCTCTAAATAATTACTAAATGTATTTAGATCCAAGTCACTTGAAATGCAACTTAAAACAAGAGTAGAAATGATTAAATATTTTATCATATTTATTATTCTTTTTATTCTTAAATTTAAATAAAATAATCTTAATAATAAGTAAGTCATTTGTTTTAATATAAATGAATTGAACAATACAATTTATTCAATTAGATGAAGTAATTCATTCAATTTTAATTGTTTCTATTAATTTTCAAAGTCCATAATTTTGCAATTTAATAAATTATAAATTTCAAAAAATGTTGAATATAACTTTAAACATATTAAAATCCTTCATTTTAACTATAATCCTTCTCAATAATAAATCATTTTTGTAAATTTTCAACCAATTTATGAAATAAAATTAAATTGTATTTTGTCTAAGTATCCTATTACAAATAATTTATGAAAAATATGTAAATTTTCTCACGCATATGATTGTTATTAATCTTAATATATTAATTCTTTGATAAATAATTATATAATTTATGAATTTAGGTTTTTCCTAAAAATCAGATTCTATGTCAATAACATTGAAAAAAGGTTTGCTATTTGAAATTATATAAAGTACTTGATGAGTTTACGCAATTAAATGAAACAACAAAAGAACATTATGCTGTGATTTTAATTAAGGTGATGATTAATTTGATCACAAATAGCAAAGGTATTTCCATAATTTAATCAAGAAATGACTATGTAAGGTCTAACACATGAGATTAAGACAGCTGGAGAATATTTAATCAATAATGCACAAGCTGGTCATGGCAGGTCAGAGTTAGTATTAAGATCAACTCAGACCATTTATTAACATTATATTAGTAAAGGTTTGCAACACTCACAAGCCGATGGCATGGAAGCATTGAAATCTTCTCTCTTAGAAATTTCATAGGAGCTAATCGACATTATAATTCGTTCTAAAGATAACATTAAGACCCAATGTTTGAAATTCTTTAATAATAGATTTGTATATAAGAATTTTAACTTTAGAAAGTCTTAGTAGTTGGATATTCAAATGTTGTCATCTATTCTTTGATAGAAGCATTCAAGGCTGGGATAGTTATGCAAATATACATTCCTGAAAGCAGACCGAAATCAGAAGGAATAGAGACATATAGATAGTTGACTGAAATTGGATATCCTTGTAAATTAATATTTGACTCTGCCATTGGATAAGTCATGGAAAACATAGATATGGTCTTGACAGGAGCTGAAGCAGTTGTTGAGAATGGTGGTATAATCAACAGAGTTGGAACCTATACAACAGCTATTTGTGCCAAATTTTAAAAGAAACCATTTTATGTTTTAGCTGAAAGTTTCAAATTTACTCGTTTGTTCCCTCTATCATAAAAAGATTTAAGTGATTCAATCAGATATAGCTAAGAAGAACCACTATTTTCAGATAAATTGAAATTGCCAGAAAATTTGGATGTAATATTTTAGTATCTAATGAATAATAGCTTATTAATCCTTTGTGTGATTATACTCCTCCAGATTTGATAACATTATTATTTACGGATTTAGGAGTCTTTACGCCATCTGCTGTTTCAGAAGAATTGATTTAAATATTTAACACCTGAGAAATAAGATTATGATTTTATGTAAATATATACAAATGCAAAAATTCATTAATATAATTTAAATACTTTCTAGAAATATTTTAGATAATGAAATTATGTTTTCAATCTTATACTAATTTAATCTGTATAAAGAGATATATATTTATAGAGTTTCAAATTTAATAAACAAAATCCTTTAAATCCATTCTTAACAATTTCACAAATTGTCCTTATTAGTTCAGGAATTCCTTCAAGGAGTTTATATCTATTTCAATCTAGTTATTTTCATTTGTTAGGAATGTGCTTACTATTTTTTTAAAGTTTTATTTCAAATTTTAAATCTCATTATCTTTTAATTTACCTATCATATACATTTTTTCTTAGAGTTTTATACAAAAAATCCTTTTGATCTTTTTTTATAATTCAACTTTGATTTCTTATTTTCTAATTTGCCCTTGATAAGCTTGATAATAATCAATTGATAATGTTCTAATTGTTTAAAATTAAAAAATTGCATTTTAGATATACTTTACATAGTTTTCATCTTTTTCTTCATAATAAATTACACAATTTTCATTATTACTCTAAATTATAAAAGACTATTCATAACCTTAAATAAGTACTCGATTTAATAAATTTTGTGAAAAAGAGACAATTTAGTCTCCTTGTATTGACTTAGGAACATCAACTTGAGCAGGTTAAGTCTTTCGATTGTCACTAGCTATGATTACTTTTTTGTGCACCGAATCATAAATGCCATTTAAAAGGCCAAAACCCACAAATTCAAAGGCATTATTTGGTTTTAACAGTTTAAAAATTTTAGCTTAAATTACATTTGAATTTACCTTATAGATTCTAAGCTATAATTTTATGTTGTGGTTCTTGCAGCAAGTAAATTCCCTTATCATCAGAATACTTAAGATTATTTAATACTCTAAAAGAGATTTTATTCACAAATTGACTATAATTTTCATTCCTAAATGTATAAGAATTTCTTTATTAGGTAGATTTTGTTTCAATTGCTAAATAAATTACCTATTTTCGTGAACCTACATATAATCCACCATCAATGTTTGTTTTGGCTAATTTAAAATTGATAAGTCTTCTATAATGATCAAATTTGAATTTCTTTTAAAGCTTAAGTACAGCTTTTTCATGTGCTTTAGTATAAACTTTTAAGACAATTTCATTTTTCCATTGAACTAAATATCCTTTTAAATACTTCTATGGCTTTTTAAGTGTTTTCTCTACATTTTCAACCTTAAAGTAAGCTGGCTTAACTTTTATATCATCTACTTCTGCCTTTGCCTAAAATAATTACTATTCTTTGTTGATAAGGATATTGATCAATATTAAAGCCCCATTGGTCTTATTGATTCCTGATATTGCACCTACAAATTCATACAAATATGGTTTTGTTAGTGAAACTAAATATTAATTAGAATAATTACTTTCTTAATCAGAATCAATGTTTTCCTTCATCAAATCCGGCAATTACAAACTGGTTTATTTACTATAATTTTTATGCTCCTTAAATGGGACCTGTAGAAAATTACTCTGAGATTTAACATCAGAAAAAGTTTAATTGTTTTATTATTAATGCAGTTAATCTTGATTCTATTTCGATTCTACCTGAAAATCAGAGTTTGAATTAGGAGCAGAGCTTTCACTTTTCTTCTACTCCTCTTTTTGATCATCTTCATCCTCTTCTATAATAGTTTGATTAACTGAAGGTTTATCTTTATCTTTATTTTTAACACTATTATCTCCTTATTAATGTTAATAATTATCTGCTTCATTAGTTTTCAAAGTATCCTAAACAGAATTATTCATACTACTTTCATTATATTGTAATGTAAAATCTAGATTTTAGTTATTTTCTTTTGTTTAAATTTATTGTTATTTTTAATCCTCAATAGTCTCAATCTCCTCAATCTCCTCAACTGCCTTGTCTAAATCTTATTAAGATTGCAATTTTTAAGAAGAAAGGACATTAATATTAAATTATCCAGTCTTATTTACTTTATCAACATCATCACTTCCATTTTTACTCTCCTATTGACCCTCACTATATTGAATTTCTTCAACTGCTGATTATTGTTCCTGTTTAGTATTTCCTTCGCTTGGCTATTTTTCAAAGTTAACTTCTTCTACAACTTATTCCTCAATTAAAGGAATTTCTTAAAAAGGTTGTTAATTTAATTCTTAATTGACTTAAGCTGATTTTTATACTACTATTGAGTCTGTATTAAATGATTGAATATCAGCTATAGAGGTTGGCAATTATAAATGTGAAATGCTCTCTTCAAATTTAATAAAAAATTCATAAATTTTCAATTGATTAACATCAAACCTTAATGAATTATGTTTGTCGATTATTTTAATTTCAATGTCTAATAAATTACTTTGAATAATGAGTTATTATTAATTGATTTGAGTAAATTATGATAGTCTGGTTTCTATATTATCTAAAGTATCTTTAGTCATTGGAATGGTGGATTAAAGTGTTAAAATTAATATGTGCTATAACTTTTCATTTAGGTTTGAACACTTCCTCTGAGATTTTCGTAAAGTGTAAAAATCTATAAAGACAATATCAATATAATTGATATCTGATTGATAGAAACCGAGAAACAAAATACCATTATGAAGATTGTTTTTCTCATCTATAAGTTTAGAGTACTATTATTCAGTGACCATAGAATATTTTGATTATAACTTTTAAATTCTCTCATTACATTTTCTTACACTATTTTTCCAACATCTTTGTAAAGATTAAACTGCTTGTAATTTTTGATCTTCTTCTAAATGCTTAACTTTTTCTTGAATTATTTCTTCAACTTAATTTTCAACATTCTATTGATTTTACTATTATTATTATTAATTAACTTCATTAATTTCTTCTGTGATTTCTTCTAAATCTTCAATCTGCTTACATGACATATTTTATTAAAAATAATTGTTTTTGATTGATGAATCCTATTCAAATTCTAATTTTCTTGTTGAACTCTATATAGTTTCATCTTAAAATCCCTTTTATTCAAGAGTGGTAGTAAATGACATCCTTTTCTCTTCTTTGTTTATCTCTTATTTTAGATTTTAATCATTAGTATTAATTTAATGGCTCAATTGGTTTTCTTCTTCTGTTTTTATTACTCTGTTTTATTCTTATATAGTAACTAAAGGCTATGGTTCACTTTCATTTAAAGCTTCTTATATTTATGGATCTGTATTAAAAAGTTACTTCATCTATTCTGTTGATGATTTCATTTCTCTTGAAGTTTAGTTTGAGTTCTTTTATTACTTCTACTACTGAATCTATTAATTAATATATCGAAAAGCCTCCAATTTTTGTAACTCTCTTTGCTTTTAATCTTGAATTCTTTTCAATTCCTCTTGTTCTTTTTATGCTTGCTTATATTATATAATGAATTATTACTGTTTATAAATTTTAGATGCACTGTTACAATGACTTGGTCTATTCTAATTTCTCCACTTCAAACTTTGCATTTTCCTCACTATATTGATTTAAAGTACGATTGGTAGCAGACAGCTGTTTTCTGAAAGTAGGTGCGTCTCTTCGAGTGAAATCAAATGATTTTAATTTAGGAACTTGGGTTTGATTCATAATGGCTGATTGTGGTCTAAGGGTATGACCTGACATTTTAGATTCTGATTAAAAGAGCCTTTCAGTGACATTTTTGACTGTGTCTGATGGTTTGCTCCTTAAGACACTTTGAGCATATTGGCTTGTGACATTTGCTCTGATTTGGAATTTGTGATTCAAAGATGTAATGGCAATTTTTTACCCTTCTGCTATTGCCAATTGTCGAGCAAATTCTTCATATATATTTTTAAGTTGAAGTGTTAGATAATGATGGATTCCCAAGTTATCCTCGGCTACTTTGAATGCTGATGCATAAGCCTGTAATGCAAACTAATATCTTTGAAAATATTATTCCTAAACTCCGACATTGTAGAAGGAGATGGCCAAGGAACTTACGCATCGTTGAAATTTGAATGCTTGCATGGATACATGATTTTTGATATAGTATTAGTATTCTTTATGACTTTCGGTAACTGCTTTCTTAGCATTTTCTAAAGCGCCCTCATGTCTAATTACTAATAAAGTTGAAATTATACTCTTCCACCAGAGATAATACTACAGACAAGTTTAGGTGGGTCACTGCAACCTCTTTCAACCCATATTTTTTAATTAAAGCCAAAGCGCATTCCAATTCGTTTAGAGCTTTTTCCAATTATCCTACTCTTCTGTAATAACAGCCAAGTCCATTTAGAATCTGAACTCTTAGGTAACTTTATTATTTCGGTGTCAATCCCTTAAACATCTAATCACAGCCCAGAAGCAGTAGCAATGCTGAAGATGGATCATTCTCTAAAATTGACATAGCACTTGATACAACCAATAATGTAACTTTCATTACCAATTATACTTGAGATTATTAGCCCAAATATTTTTTCCCATCAAAAACCACTACGATGATATGATCAATAATAATACTTTAGTTTAATATTAAAATAGCTTGATTTATTTGGTGATTATTGATAAGCTGCAAAGCCTCGTTCAAAATTGGGTCATCATGACAATCCAATTCTTGGCCAATTTGATTGATGTCCCAAATAGCATTAATTGTATTACTTTAAGGAGTTGCTATCCCTGAAAATCTTTGGATTGAATGCCCTGATACATTCGATACTGAGCGTATTTATATTTTTGATTAAAGTTATTTGATAAACATAATTAATGAGTGAATTAATTACTAAATTTAACAAAAATGTTGTTTTGAAGTAGAGATCTATGAAACCTTAATAAAAACTCTAGAAAACAAACAATTAATGCTGTTTAAAGATTTTATCTTAAGTTTTCAATTAATTTTCTCCATTTATAATTTTGCCATTGTACTATCTATTCTTAATGCTTCTCTTATGGATAGCCTATTGAATTATATCTCAATAGGCTATCCATTTATACAAATGATAGAGTCGATTATACCAATTAATTATATAATAAATAGGAACTGGGATAGGAAGGATAACTTATGGTTTAAAAGGTGGTTAACTTAGGGATTTAATGTTAATAAAATAATAATTGTGAGGTTAAGTCATCAAAATATGAATAATTTAATAAATAGACAAATACAATCCAATATCATATAAATAATATAATTATGTCATGCAATCGATAACATAATTTACAAGAACTCTTCTTGAGTAATTTATCCATCTCCATCTTAATCTAATTGCTTTGATAATTGATCAAGCTTTTCTTTGGGGACTGCCATGTCTCTCAATAATTTCTTTACTTCTAATTTGCTTAATTATCCACTATGATCTCTATCGATTTATTGAAATAAAATGAGTAATTTTTCCCTGTTGAAGTATTTTTTTTGATCTATAGTTGCCAACACAAACTCTAACATTTAGATATAATTCAATACCTTGGTAATCAATTCTTCCACTGCCATTTTGATCAATTTTCGAGAATATGGCTTCCACCTCTTAATTAGCTTATTCTGATGAGTACATAGTAGTGTAAACTGTTAAGAGTTCTTGCTTTGTTAGTTACCCATCCTTATTTAAATCAAATTTTTGGAATTCTTCCATTAGTTTTTTCTTATCCTGTTCTTACAACATGTTTTCTGCTATATAATTGAGCATAGCATTCTGCATTTATGATTATTACTACAATGATAAAGAATCTAAATACTTTGAAGTCTTTCATCTACTTGGAGAGTTGCTTATTAGGCTTGGTCATTATTTTTGCTCTGTTCAGAAATATTGGATGATTGATCACTTCTGCTGCGGTCGGACGAACTTGTGGATTGGTACTAAGCATTTTGCTGACTAGTTGTTTCATGTCTGGGTTGATGTTGGTCCACTCTGAGCCTTCGAAATTGACAATTCCTCTTTGTATTGCCGTTTTTAAGGCCTGGACATCCCTTGATTAAAATGGCATATGAGAGGTCAAAAAGAAGTACAAGAGACATCCACACGACCAGATGTCGGATTTAAATGATGCGAGGTTTGATTATTTCAAGGCTTCAGGAGATTTAAAGGAGATCTCTTGAATACCTCCATTGGGTCTCCATTATAGGCAGGTTGATTTAAAGGAACTAGGGATGCCATAGTCTATTAGCTTGATGTTCTACATGTTTTTGTCTGTAAACACAATACTTTCGAGTTGAATATTACTAAAATGCCACAACTTAACATACCCATGCGCAATCCCTTTATTGTGCAGGAATTGGACTCCTGCCATGATCTAACAGAAGACATCAAACATATTGTGTTGTTGTAGTTGGCTGAAATTATCCAAGCGGGATAATAGATTGCCTCCATCACAAAAATCACTCACTAAGTATAATTTATTATCATTGTAATAGTATGATGATTGGCTGACTAAGTTTAAATGTTTCTTAAATATATGATAAGTCTTACAATTTGCAAGAGTTGGTTCACTATCTTCTCGAACTCCTACTTTTCAGTAGTAGTGAGATTTAAACAATTATAAACCTTTACTATTCGACTGGCATTATTGCTTTTCGAAACCGCTTTCTTTATGTAATTTCTTCTAGCTATTTTATTTCTCAAATGAATAACATACTTATTAACGGGTCCAAGGTGTGGAATATATAATCTGAATCGATTTTTTCAGTTTCTTACATCAGTGAAATCGAGGGAATAGCCTCCTTAGAATGAGAGCAAGGAGAGTTTTGTTTGCTATGTGGTTTTTCTGGTTTAGCTGCAGCACAACCCATCTAAAAATCAAGTAATGATATATTTTTATTATGTGATAAATTTATTCAAAAACTACCTTAAAAATGACAAAAGTAGCATTAATTAAGAATCAATTATTCCATTGATCTTCAATCTAGTCTGAAAATACTATTCATTAGATATTCGATAAAAAAAAAGATCTATATTTATGTTAATTAAGTTTTCTTTTATAGAATACCACATTTTACTTACAATTTCCAAAATTTTTGCATCATATATTTCCTCCCAAGAACTAGGACTAAATAAATACAAAAATTTATTTGAAAGCCACTAATTAAATTAGTGATTCTATTATTGCAATTATGTCGTCATTCTATAATCATTAAATTATTAATTAATTATTTTAACAATATTTTTTTTTTCGATCTTACCTAATATAATTGTAAAAGTTTTATTTTCCTTCTGAATCGTTTATTTCATTTAGGAAATTGTAACCTTAGTAATTTGTCTTTGATTTGATCCATAATATCGTTGATTTGAGTCTAAACTAGAATCAAAATACCTAAATCAAAAATAGATCAAGGATATAATGTTTAACATTCGACTTCAATGATTAGAATTATAATAAATAATCAATATGGCAACATTATATTGGGTATATAAATTTGAATATAGAATTACAAGTAGGTATTGCCATATTGTACCCGAAGGATGATGAAAGGAGTATAATTTTATTTATTAATATTAGCCATTTTATATATTATAATATTTGGAGATGAAAGAAGGCTAAAATATAAAAGTTGTTGCTCGGTTGAGACCACTCAATGCTCTTGAAATGCAATAAGGAGGGGAATGTTGTGTTTCATATGGTGAAAAACAAATTACTGTTACGGTATGACATTTGAGTCTATCAATTATTTAGGTTGGCTCCAATGATAAATAGGATTTTGCATTTGATCGAATATTCGGACCTGATTCAGAATAGGCTGATGTATTCGATGAAGTAGGGAGACCGATTTTAGACAGCGTGATGAATGGTTATAATGGAACCATTTTTGCGTATGGTTAAACTTCATCAGGCAAAACATTTACAATGGAAGTACTATGCAGAGTGAAAATATATAGGGCCCAGATAATCCTAACGAAAGGACTAAAGGATTGATACCAAGAGTCATGACTGAATTATTTGATGTTGTGCATAGCAAATCAGAGGAATTAATATATATTGTGAAGGTTTCTTTTTTGGAAATTTACAATGAGAAAATCATGGATTTATTAGACACTAATAAAACTAACCTAAAAATAAAAGAAGATAGACTTCGGGGCATTTTTGTATAGAATCTCACAGAAATTAAAGTTGAATCCCCAGAAGAAATGAAATAGGTGATGATGACTGGGTCAAATAATAGAACAATAGCGGCCACTAGAATGAATGAAAGATCATCTAGATCTCATTCCTTATTTTAAATTTAGGTTAGTGAAAAAAATTTGAAAACAGATTCCAGTAAACTAAGCAAATTGTACTTTGTGGATTTGGCAGGATCAGAAAAAATATCAAAAACTAATGTTTCTGGTCAACAACTAGAAGAAGCTAAGAATATTAATAAATCATTAACTTGTTTAGGCATGGTCATTAATGCCTTAACTTCTGATAAAAAAGAACACATCCCTTATAGAGACTCTAAATTAACTAGAATATTGAGTGAATCTCTTGGAGGAAATGCTAAAACTACCTTAGTAGTTGCTTGTTCGATGTGTTCATACAACGATAAAGAGACAATAAGTACTTTAAGATTTGGAGCAAGAGCCAAAGCCATAAAAAATAAGCCCACTATCAATGCTGAGAAAAGTGCTAAAGAATTACAAGCCTTACTAGATATTGCTGAATAAAAGATACTAGAGTAGGATGAAATAATTAATAAATTAATGGAAAAAGTAGAGAACGGCACTTCAGTCTCAATGGATAAAGGAAACTCAAACTCAAATTTGGGACCGTAACAAAATGCCGCATAATCTAAATAACACTCATCTCTATAATTATTAAAAGAACATAAATTAGTTGTCAATTTGCAAGAAGAATTGGAGTTTCAAAAAACAGAAATGGCTGCTCTTTAGATAAATTATTAGAGTAGGATTGATGAATTATAAGAGAAACTTTTAAAATAGAAATTCAATGAAGAACATACCAAATAATAACTATCTGAATGCTTAAAAAATAATTAAAAATTCATTTTTGAAAATGAATAATTGAAAACTCAAATCTTAGAGAATGATTAGAAACTATTTGATTTTCGTAGGGCTCTGTCTTCAACAAAGTAAGACTTAGACTTCTTCCTTGCCAATCTGAATTTAAAGAACCAATTCAATTAATGTCCTTCTGATTCTGAATCAACAAAAGACATTTTCATGACTGAATAATATGACAAGGAAATTGAAGAGAGAACCTTTTAGAGCATAGTTAATTTTTCAGAGACCCTTACAAAATTAGATACCATTCTATTGAAAGATTTTACTTAGGAATAAGTCATCACTCAAATTATAAATCCATAATTTAAGAAAAAGAATGTATCCTTTTAAATGGATTCTTAACCGCCCTCACCAAAATCTAATAAATTATTGGATATTGATAATTACTCTTTTTAAACAGATGAAGATGAATTAAACATAAAATTTGATGAAAATGAATAAACTTTAATAAAATCCACCTAAGAGAATGAAGAAATCTCGGATGTTGAAAAATTATTAGCCATGTTAGGTGATAAAATGGAGGATTCACATGTATTACTACAAATTCAGGAAGTTTTCTCGAAATTGAGGAGATAACTTTAAGTGGAATAAGAGAAGGTCTAAGAAATATATTAAATCATGGTTACCATTAAGGATTAGTTTTCCATGTATCAAATTAAGGAAAGAGAAAAAATGTAAAAATTGAAACTATCATACAATTAAAAGAAGAGTGAAATGAGTTAATCGAAGCATAGCCTTTAAAAACAATTAGTAAATATATTTGATCAATTATTTCTTAGGAAGATTTAACAGTGGAATTCCAGAAATATAAGCATGAAACAGAAAAATAATAATAATTTCTTACTTAAATCAATCAGCAATTGATGTTTACTTTAGAGACCCAAAAATCTTAGTATTATATCATTCTTATTTTTTATATTGCAATAACAGGAAAGTTCAGCCTTTAATCCTCTCTCCAGAGAATATCAACTTGAATGTACTGTCAAATAGCTCATGCAGGAAAGAAATGATATGCATAACTCGCTATTATAAACTAGATAATAATTGGAAAATGCAATAAAATTAAAAAATTCCTAAGCAGAAGAAATTATTAAATTACAAAAGAAAATCGATACAATAGAATTGTAATTGTAACATAAGAAGCTCTAGGAATAAGATCTAATTCGACGGCAATTCCAAAGGAGATTCAGTAGAGATACTAAAAAAACCGCCTCAGAGACTCAAGGATGGAGTTTCGACTAAATTATTAAAGATGATCATGCAAGGAACATTGCAAGATTAGAAACAGTTTTAGGATATTCTTGTTTAGAAACAATCTAAACAGGAGCCTGTGTAGGAAAAGCCGATCTAATAATCAATGAGTTTCAGGTAAGATTCATTATATTATACAGAAAATATATAACTTAGGCAGCGAGTAATAAGGAAATTAATAGGAGTATGATGATCTCAGTCCAGTCATTGGTACACGCACCATAATTTCAAAAGAAGTTGGAGAATGCAAAGGATAAAATCCAGAGATATTCGAATAATATCCATCATAGCCAGATTAAATAAGCATAGCATTAGACGTAATAATGTCAGTCAATAAACATAGGAATTTCACGAACAACTTGTCGATGACATTGGAACGACCCCCTTTAGAAGAATTCTAAGAAAGTTACTATCCTGAATGAATAATTATAAATTCATCATTATTGTTTTTATATTTTTGAGTTTGTTCAAAAATACTATAGTTTATAAATTACTAGATTTTAAATATAAAATTAAAAAATATATATTTTTCCTGTTTAAAAATGATTAATGTTGTTTATTTATTATTAGATATAGCTTCAGAAGCCTAAAAAATAATCGGTATCAACTCCCCAAATGGGTTATCTAGATTTTTAGCAGCTGTTGTTGTTGCTAGACGAAATTTCAGTTGATGCCTTACTCATAGGTGAAGTGCTTGAATTTTTATTTTCTAATTGTAGACTTAAAATATACTTATTCTTTTAGCACTAGAAGCTCTTTTGTATAGTTGACGGAGCATTTTATCGCATTTTGGATTTTCAGAATCATTTAAGATATCTTTGATTTTCACAAACGAAGTTAGATCATGAGATTTGTAGCTTATCAACAGATCAGGATTAAGGAGATTTTTTCGATACCAGTTATCCATTTCAACACAAGAAAACGGACCTAAAAATTTTAGATAAGGTCAGACCTTACCTTAAACATTATTACTATTGTCCAAGTAATACCAATATCGACTTGTTAAAGATTGAAAGTGAGAGTATTTTGAAAATGAAAATGGACTCATGTTGGCTTTTTGAACTGGCCACTCTATTTAAAAAATTAGAAGATTATTACTTTAAGGAAAAAATGTTCTGATCTTTCCCTTGGAACTTTTAGATTATACTGATCTTAATTATTGGGCTGACACCTAGGGAGTATTACTTTAACTTATAGCTGACATAAATATCAAACCATTCTCAAAATCTAAGGTCAGTTTTATATAAAAAAATACTTTCAGGAGATTCATTTGTTAGAGGATTTTGTTATTAAGCAGTAAAAAAAGCAGTGAAGTTATCAAGTAAAGTTTTTGGAATTGAGCATTATATATTTTCATATCCAAGTAGTTCTAAAGTCTCTTTCTTAAAATTCATTAATTAATATATGAGATTATATTTATATTGAGAATTGGCTTTATAACATCATTTGATAATTTTAATTTTTAATATCATCATCTGTATAACAAGATTACTCAGAAAAGGAATAATTTAAATTCTTGTTCTCTTCTGTTTAATTTGATTATATTTTATCCAAATTGGAGGAATTTATTTTAATTGCAAAAATTAAAATTTATATTAATTATATATGCTTGAAGTTTCATCAGCTGAGATTATTTTCGACTTAAAAAACGACACTTATATTCCTTACAACTTAAGTCTAAAAAATGTCACATCCTATTACTTGGCATATAAAGTTAGAGAAAAATATATTTGATAGATTAAATCCACAAAACCAGAACTATTTTCTGTTAAACAAAGTAGAGGATTGATTTCACCACAGTAATCAGAAATCGTAGAATTTAGTACAACAGACAGAGCTAAAGTACATTATAAATATGAATATAGGAAGAATTTAGATCCCAAACATATCGTGAATCAGAAATTCTAAATATATGCAATTAATGTTTAAGAAAAGAAATCAGTAAAATCAATCATATAGTTAGATTGCTGAAATTGACAACCTCTTCCAAACTCAAACTTGTTTTAGTATTAGATTGTTTACAAGTATAATGAAGGAAGAATTTGGCAAAAAAGTTCAAATTTTAGGAAACAACTTGGCATCCAGTCATGCATCTGTTCTAGTATACCAATTATTTAAAATCTTATTAGTCAAATAGCAGATCAGAGTCTTAAGCGACTATGCAGTCAATGATTTAACCAACTCCATTAACTAATTAAGTGTAATGTGTTTAAAAACTCAAACAAATTGAATTGGAACTAGTAATTATTTCATTTATAACATAAAAAGGCAGAAGAAAAACGAAAGAGAGAATAACTTTATAATACTATTGAAATTTAAAAATTAAAGAAAGGTTTATTTATCTATTATATTAATAGGATCCTCATTTATCAAATTTATTCTGCCCATTATTTTAGGAATTCTATTATCCAATGTTTACTAAATGAGTCTTAAATATTATGAATGAGGTTAAGATATAAGTTTTTTGATGAATATGCAAAAAAATATATTATTTACAGTTTCTTATGGTAATATTTTATTAATCTAAAATTAAAAAAAGAATATAAGATATATATTGTTAACTATAAAATATTTCAAAATCTAGCATTAAAAGTTCATTTTAATTATTCATATTCCATTTAATCTTTAAGTTTAGCTATTTCACTATGTAATTTTGAAAACTATTAATTTAGAACAATTGCATCATTAAGGACATAGAGATAAGGCTTATTTGATAATTAGATATCTGAATTCCCTTAGATTAATTCTGCTCCTTCTTCATAACTTATACATTGATATGCTACATGAACACCACATTCTTCACAACACCACCGGTATTATTTTTCTACACCTTAAAATCATAAGATGAATAAATATACAATTCGAACGCTTTATATATTTTATCCCTTCCTGTTTTAGAAATAGCCTTATAAAAATTTGTTTTAAATTGATTGCAATGCTATTATCTGATCTTCTCGTCGGAAGGGTGTCTAATCCTATGTTTGCTCCTATTGCCTTCTTTCCACAGAGAGAGCAGAAATAAATTTTGATATTTTCTGATTTCAATGTAGTTTCATTTAAAGTTCTTAATTTCACTACCGTTTATAAATCGACATCTCTGTTATAGATGGCAGATTTTAAGTTTTTTAGAGAGGCTAAGGTGACCTAGATTAAATTAGATTTATAGAGTATACTGGATTTTTGTCTTATGCTTTGTCAAGTTCTTTTAATTATTCTAAAATTTTTTCTTCGTCTTGCATTAATTTTAAATAAATAATACATATATAAAACAGTTAACCTTAAAATTAAATTTAAAAATAATGTTCAAAAGTGCTACTGCGACTAAGAAACACGATGAATCGGACTATTCAAATGTATAGAGTTGATTATAATTTGATAGAGAAATGTATCACCTAGTTAAAATCAAGATCGTATCAATGAATTAAACAGAGTATTGCAAGGACTATCCACAAATGTAAAGGATGACAAAGTAGTTTTTATTCTTAATAAATATAGAGCAGGAGAGATTTGTATTTTCAAAAAATTAAAATACTTGAGGAGAGGATTCAAAAAGGAGAAATTAATGATAATTAAAAATTCAGGGTATTCCTTTATTTGTAATTTCTTAGTTGCTCTATGAACAATATGAGAAGTTGGAAGAAACCTTATACAGCGAAAGAGATTAAAGATAGGTAAGATAGACTTTAATTGTAGTTAATATGTGAAAAAAGTTTGAAATCATTAACTTTAATTGAGAAAAACTTTTCATTATCCTTGAATGAAGAATATTCCAGTAGGAAAGTGAATGAATAAGAGATTTTTGCTGAAATTGATGACAAAATATAAGCAATGAAGGGAGAATTAAAAAAAGACAATGTCTAAAGAACTGAATATGAGGAGAAGCAAATTGAAAACATTGAAAAAGAACTTGAAGAATTAAGATACTATTTCGAATAAGAAAAATAGATCAGAGATCAAAATGCTGAGAAATTAATAAGAGGATTTGGAGAAGAGATCTTAAGATTGTAAGAATAGTTGAGTGAGGAGAAAAGAATCTCAGAAGAGTCATACGAAACAACTATTAGATTATTATAAGATTTAGATTAATCTATTTAAAATGATTTAGAAGTAAAATATTATTCTAATTTTTAGTAAGAGTAATTTTTAAGAGAGAAACAAGAGAAATCATTGTTAAAATTATTGGAATCAACATGCTAAAAGATTGAATAATCTTTATTATCATGATATATAAATTTATTTATTCATATTAATTAATTAGAATAAAAAAATGGGAAATTAGATCAATGTAAAGGCAAAATTTGTAAATCTATTGAAATAGGAGGATGAAAATGCTTTGGCAGAAGAATTAAAATCAATTTTGCTCCTTGACATCTCTTAAGAAGATTATCTTAACGCCTTTTATCCTTCTGACATTCGGGATATATTAAAATAATCGCCAAAAAGGATATCGGGAATAATCCACTATCTGCATCACTTCCTTTGCGATTCATAAACTGATTTAGCATCTCATGTTCAATATAGATAATGGAAGAACAGTTTAAGAATATTAACTTCAATAATTCCAGTTTTATACGAAGAATAATTTAAAGAACAAATGAAAGAGATGCTCTGGAACACTAAAATCCCTAAACCCAACGAGGAAATTTAAGAGCGAGACCCTCCACTCATAATTTCACTACTTTAGAGACTCTTTTAAATGTGCTTCCATTTTGGATTTACAATAGATTCTTTAGAATATAATGTAATTATACTTACTAATCTTAAAAGGAATCAGTTGTAAAGAATGATACTCTATTATAATAATTTGCATAATATTATCAAAATGTATGGAATTCTTATAAATTGCAAGTTGGTTATATATGGAAGGGTTTTAATCCTTAGTGTAAGTACCCAAATGATATAGCAAAATATTTCGAAAATCGCTATCTCGTTTTATCTTGTATATTTGCATTGGTTAGTTCAACATTATTTTCATCATAACTATTTTTTGAACAAGAAATTCAACTATTAAATGAAGATAATAAGTAGGAAAATTAAGAAAAAGTGAATCAACCTCCTGAATAAGAAATAGATGAATAATTTTAAGAGCAATAAATATAAGAATAATAAAACTAAAATAATAATCATAATAATTAACCAAAAACTCAAAAATTTTTAGTTTAAACACCAAATGCTGCTTTGTTCATATTACAAAAAGTTCAATTTTTCCCAGAATTATTTGTATCTATAATTGGCTTTTCAATATTCCCAACTGAGAGAATCAAGTAATTTCTCAGGGGCCTTGTCAATTTACCTAATTAAATTGAAGATAATCTTTAAAATGTATGCTTAAAACTATTAACTCTTATAATAGGTGGATAGGGTATTTGACATTAATAAATAATAGGCTTTGTATAAAAGGAGGTTCTGCCCCTTGAAAAAGAGTTCGAAGAAATGATCAGAGCGAAAGAGCACTTTCAACTATTCAACATTCCCTTCCCATAATTTATTAATTTACCTTAACAAATATAGGAAGGAATAATAGTTTAATTAACCTAAAAATTTTATTCTTATTACAAATCTTAATAGTAATTTATAAGAGGAACCTTTGAAAAACATTTATCCAACTTTGAAAGCTGTTTCATTTAGTTGAGTTATTTATCTGCAAAGTCTATACATAATGGTATTTGTTCACCTTATATTAATAGTCCCAAATATAATGGTTGTTTTTTTATTGTCTTACTTCAACCAAAACAAATATATTAAAAAAGTTTCATTAAGGATTCTCAAACTGCTAAGTGCGTAACCACAATTAAATAAATAATTATGTGCTAGTTAAGAGTTTACTTTGACTTTTACAGATGCTCCTATTATAATTGGTTCTTGGGGTGACTTATTGATTACAGCACTCTGTGATACAATCTAGAAGGATTTCTATTCGATTAAGGAGAGCAAACTATTAGAAATATCTCAAATAATATTCAATGTTTCAGCAGAGATTGGTAATCTGAATAGAGAAAGTTGTGAGATGATTTGTAACTTAATTAAAAAGTTGGCAAACTATGATTTTATATTAAAATCCCCAAACGTATTAATTAGTGTATAGAATTTGATTGGAGCAGTCTCTCAAATAGTTTACTTTTTCCCTGATGACAATTTTAATCTTATATGTAATGTAATAAAGATTAAGGATAGTATCAAATTCATTCATTAATTATAAATCACTTAAAAGAAGCTTTAATTCTGGTGGGGTAAGTACGCTCCTCATAATCCAATTGTTAATTAGAGTTTTATTAAGAGCTAGCAGTTTTAAAATGATGTTCACGATATTAGAGAATCCTAAGTAAGATCAATCACTCAATAGTAACAAGCTACAACTCAAAAGAAATAATCAAAGTAATTTTAGTAAGAGGAGATCTAAAGCTTATAACAATTAGAATAAATTCAATCAGATAGAACTTAAAGGCCTTCTGCTGAATAAACTAAATATTTTGAGTTATGGAAAAACTTCAACTAGGATTAATTGAAATAGTTTGTTCCTTTGGCTAGTTTGGCGAAATTGCTGGAAAAGTTATTTGAATTATGTGTGGATCCTACTGATGAAGCACTATTAAAAGGAGTATGTGAATCACATGATCTGAGATCTTTGATGATTAAATAACTTAGCTTTAAAATAACTGTTGACAAATTTAAGATATTCAAAATGTTAACAAAATAAATTTGGTCAAATTGCCTGAGGAATTCTGACAAATTTCCATATTTTGAAAAGTCTTAATGTCCATGCTTTTAACTATCGTACGTGGAGAAATGATATATAAAGTTAAAAGTTAATCATTTATTTTGTTAATTTAAATTCAGGTTTTGACTTTTATAATAAATTAAATATTAATGAAAAGATAAAAATAATTTGAATTCAGCCTCACCGAAAAAATTATTTAATAGCGTAAACCCTTGAGAATGAGCCCAAGTTTTCGTATCAAATATTACAGCCCGACAAAAGTTTAAAAGATGAAATTCGACTATTAAAAGGATATAAGACAATATAAGAGTCATTGTTTTGACCAGTTTATCGATAATTATCATATCCCTACCATCCACACTTAAAGAGCGTAAGTTTGATAACATTATTACATAAGAGCAAGTTAAAAAAGAACCTGCATGTACTCAAGATAACAAACACCTAGCAATTCTTAAGTCAATCACAATAATTCTGAAATCTAGCACAATAAATACTTAGAGTTTTCCAAATTAACAAGACAGAAAAGACAAATCAAAATTATTCATCTATTGTAATGAATGATATTTAGGCTTTCTAAATTAAATATGAACTAAAACGATATAGTAACATTAACTTAGGAAAAAGTTTAGTAAAGTGTTACCACTCTTAATATTTCATTTAATTTAATCATTTATTAAATTATTTTATTTTATAATCTAATGATTTGTGCATCAGAAGAACACATCGAATAAGTAGTGAATTTGTAATTGATCAATAAAGAGAAGTTGAAAGATAAATTTTTAAAAAAGATGCGAAATAGAGACAATGTTGATTAATCTTATGGCGAAAGAAGAAAAAGTATAAATCACTTGAATTATTTTCTCTTAGAGGTCAAATTGGAGCAACAGTCTAGGCCTAAATTTGAGGATTTAATTTGTCCAATTTGTCTAGAAATCTTTTAAAAAGTCACTACTACTTAATGTGGGCATGCATTTTGTGAAATGTGTATTTTTGATAGTTTAATGAGAAAAGCAGTATAGAGTTCTTTTAATATTAGGAATGTCCTGTTTGCAGAGTGAAAATTAAAACACACTCATTCTAATATTGTGAAAGTTTTGATAATAGAATCAATGATTTAGTTAATGAATATGGAGATAAAACTCAGATCGAGCATTTTAAAAATAGATAGTTAGAGATGGAATAATGGAATAAATCGAAATAGTATTAAAATATATCTAAGATAGAGTAGATAATTTGGCAATAGACTAAAAAGTTGATATAATGGATTAATAATTTATATGGTGTGTGGCAACCATTAGGTAAATTGGCAAAAAGGAAATATTTATTCATTATGATGGATGGGGGAAAGAGTATGATGAATTCATCCCATTACAATCTAATAGAATTGCCCCTTTGGGTCTTTATACTAAAAGAGAAGATATCCCAAAATATCAACCTGAACAAAGGCAGTTTGCTGAAATCATATAATATATTAACCAATATGGAGAACTCCCAACATAAAATGAACTGAATGATTGATAAGATGTTTAATTATATATAAAACTTGAACGACTTTCTTATAGAAATTCTGCAATATCAGTTATCACACTTATTTATTATATAACTATAATTTATGATAAGATAAAGAGCCATATGATTACATATATATCATAAATAGATAGCCAAAGATTTTGGTTTGTAATAGTGAATAAATTAATTAATATTAATTTATCCTCTTTCATCGATATCTTGTAAAACAAGGGAAGCTTCTTCAATAGTCACCAAATAACCAAATTGCTCTAAGTACGATAAGTATAATTTATTACATAACAGTTTGGTGATTTCAAATGCCTTGATCCACCCATCTCTGTCTTGGTCTATGAATTCAAAGATCTAAACTAAATTAATAAGAGATTTGTCAATCTTTTATCTATAGTATTCAACAGTGGACATCATTTACAATTTCATCTGGATCAATCTACAAAATATTTCCATTTATTCTTGAGTAGGATGATCTTGTTGACACCTTAGATCAGCAGGATCTGGCATTTCTTCATATTTTACATAAGGCACGATAAGTTACAGAAATTATCCATAAGTAATCGATTAAGAACGCTTCCAATTATTTAAGTAGTTGAACAATAGTTCCAGATCACAAATCTTGATATCATCTTGATAGGATTGCAGTACTTCTAAGAATTAAAATTTTTCAATTTTCTAATAATTCGAATTAATAATTACATAATGATTATCAGATGTAAACGCAAAGAACAACTACAATAAGTTTGGTTTAAGTTGTTTTAGTTTTTTATTGATTAGCACAAATTCTTTTCTAAATTAGATTTCCTCTTAAAAAACATAAGAAACGAACCTAATGTCCTGATCTGTGATTTAGTTATATTTTTCTGAATTAGCAGGTTCTTGTTATTGATTGTTATTTTGTTTATTGCTATATGTTTAATTCATAGAGTCTGGATCTTATTAATTTCCATTATATTTGTTAAAGGTTTTACCCAATTTTTGATATTCCTGTTGAGATTAAGCGAAATCCTACTATTATTGATTTTCGATCTAATTTCGATAATATTTATCTTCTATTTCATATTTCGAATCATATATTAATTTTGGGAACTCTCTTTTGGGTAAATCTGGCAATGATGGATATTGAAGGGAGAAGTAGTGAGATAAAGGTTTTGATACATATGTCGACTAGTTGAATTAATGAGTTCTCATTTTTGTTTCAAAGTTAATTGGTTTTGCTGTTAATTATTTGAAATGTAAATATTGTATATATATATTTTAATGTTGAATAATATTTCATAATAATATTGCATATATTATCACTATTGATAATATTTGAAGATAACTGACTACAGTTGTATTTGTATTGTTGACTTGTTGAGGAGAACAGGACTCGCAAGTATTGTTTACTGGATTCCACCTATATGTGTTTAAAGTGTTGAAATTGCACTCAGTGCTTTGAAGATATCGTGGATCTACTGATTAGCATATTTCATTTGACCACAAACATGTACTTATAGTTTTACCACTGAAATCTTTGATATAATTGCATTGATTGAGAACTCCTTTGGTTTAGCAAGTGTGAGGGAGACAAGCAGTAGTCCCATTAGCAAATGAGTTCCAATTACATAAGTCACCCATTCTCTGACAGGCTATCATATCAATAACTGCATCCTCACAAGATTTCATCAAATTACAATTAGATCCATTCCAAGCACATTGTCCATCTAGTCCTTTGAAAGTGCAAGCCAGATAATTTGGATAGATCTGACAATTCGTTTGGGATATGCACTGTGTTCCATCAGAAATGCAAGTTGAATTGTAACTTTAACATATAAAGTGATTGGTTCCATTTTTAATGTCAGTACATTCGAGAGCTCTACAACCAAAATTCGAAAAAAAGCATTTCCCATCAGTTCCTAAAGCAAGATTGCAGGTGATAAGATTAGAATATTGTTAACAAGGTTGCATAGTAATACAATTGGTACCATCTGAAGTACATCCTTTGAGTTTAGTTTGACAGGATTCATGTGTTTCTCCACTTAAATCTTCGCATAATTGATCCCTACATTTACCGTTAATCCATGCACAATATCCAGTTTGTAGTACTTAATTGCCAATCACTTTTTGGGGTTAAGAACTGATTTTGCATTGCTCCTTCTATTAGTAATTGAAACATTATTATAATTCATAGCATCCATTGAGAGTATCTGTTGTACATTTAGATGAAGCATTTTGACATTCACTGTGAGTTAAAAATGGTAAATCAGTACACTTGGCAAACAGTAGACATTTCTTAGATGACTCAATCCATTAACAATTTCCATCCAATCCTGTTTTGCAAGCTTCTTACAATCTATAATTAGCACATTTCTCCAATCCGACACATTAGAAACCATCAGTTGTGCATAAACTATTTGCAGACTTACAAACTCTATCTAGATTACTTAGAATGCTTTAACAAGAGAGAAAGAGTGTGCAACCAAACTCATACCATACACATGGTCCATCAACTCCTTTTAAGCATTGTTCTTTTAAGAGTATTTATGAGCAATATCTTGGTTAAATGCATTTGATTCCATCACTAACACAACCTTTTTTCTAAGTATCACAAAATTCATCATAAGTACCATCAAAATCCTCACATCTCTAAGATCTGCAAAAACCATCCTTCCAAACACAGATTTCCCCAGAGTTGGAGGTGGTGCATGCTTACTCTACATTTGCTTATGAACAAATAGTCTTTTATCTGCAACCACCAAATAATTTAGTTGTGCAGCCTTCTTTATAGAGATTACATTCCACTTCTGTTTTATATGCTGGTGCAGTGCTACAAGATTTCAAAACACACTCTTGATTATACCATTCACATTCATTAAACGAATCATCTGTAACACAACCCGCACTATTTTTTACATCTTAACATTTCTTTCTGACTATGCAATTAGTACCATTGGTTGTGCATTTACTATTGAAGTATTTGCATTCAAAATCTGTTGAGTACAGAAGATCATCACATTCTTCTAGTCTGCAATACTACATATTTGAATAGCATAGGTTGGAGTGCTATTCACACAATTCAGGAGTCAGAGAATTACTAGGAGCATTAAAACATGTTCTATTCTCACAAGCAGGTATAGGTAATTCAGTATTCCAATAGCATAATTAATTCGATGTTGTTTTTACGCACTATTTACTTACTTTATAATCACTACACTCTGATTTCCTAGATTAACAACCATATCCAGTTTCCACTACTGTGCAACCATCCATATAATCTTAACAGGCATAGTCATTACTATAAGTTACAGTTGGTGGAGCAGTGGAACAAGCTCTGTTAGCACAAATTAATCCATTCCATCCACATAAGGAACCACTGCTATTTACTTTGCATTATCTTTCTGATGTATAGGTGCTGCAATCATTGAGAGCAACACAACCACCTAGTCCAGTTGCCACAACTGTACAATTTGAAAGATAGGCTTGGCATTCTTCATAAGTGTCTCTAGTGGCATCCTATGCAGCAGTAGCACATGATTTAATATTGCAAGTTCCTGATTACCATTCACAAGTGTCTCCAGTATTAGATATTACGCAAGATAGTTAAGTTGTAAATAGATTACATGCTACCAGAGGTATACAACCTCCTGAAGTATTTACTGTGCAAGTATTCAAGAAACTTTAACAATCTGCATGTGTAGTTATTGTTGATAATGCATTTGTGCAAATAGCATCTGCACATATTGATGGTTAAAGTATTCCAATAACATTTAACTCCAGATGAACTCTAATAACACTATGATTACTATTTGTAAGATGAACAAGTTGACAATTTATCTGTGCATCCTCCAAATCTAGCAACAGTACATGTATTCAAAAAATTGCTACATTTAGTATTATCATTATAATCGGTGGTTTGCGGAGCATGTTCGCATGTTCTAGTAACACAAGTAGTAGTATCCCAAAAGCAAACTGCACCAGAACTTGTGATATTACATTAGTTCTCAGCTGTGTAAGAAGTACATGAAGATTATAAAGCTGAACAAGCAGTTGCATCACTATTAACAGTACAAGTATTTAACCAATTATTGCAATTAGTATGGTTAAATGTACCTGAATATTAAGCACAAGTTCTATTCACACAGGTACTTCCAATCCAAGCACATTTGACATTAGAACTACTAACCACGCATTAATTTTCAGTCACACCTCCTGTAGTGCAATTAGTTGGTTTAGTGACACATCCATTGTTAGTAGTATTGACAGTACAACTGCTTAACCAAGCTACACAATTAGCATGATTGGCAGTTCCAGTAAAGTTATTACATGCTCTATCCTTACAGGCATTCTAATGCCAAACACAAATATCACTATTAGTATCTTTAACACATTAGTTATAAGTTGCTGAGGAACAATTACCGACATTAGATGTACAAGTAGAAGGTTTACTTAATTAACAAACACTCAACCAAGCCTGACAATTGGCTTATGTCCACGTACTAATACCAGTGGTATTTAGACATGTCTTATTAACACAAGCACTGTTAGTTGCATTGGCTGTGCATGTGGATAACCAGGCTAAACAATTAGCATGAGTATAAACAACTACATTGGCACCATAATTTGAACATGTTTTCAATTCACAATCTGTTCCAGTTGCATTAACTGTGCAATCAAACATCCAATTTTGACAACTTGCATGAGTGAATGTACTTACTTAGATTCCATGATTTGTACAAGTCATTTCTTCACAAGCTGTTCCTCCAAAGTTTACAGTACACTTAGTTAACCAGTATTAACAATTAGCATGATTAAAAACGGTCACTGCACTTCCATGATTAGTACATGTTCTTGTAGATCCACAAGATGTTGAATCTGCAACAGTGCATTAATCTAAATAGTTATAACAATTAGTATGATTGAATACACTTACATTATTCTTCCAACAAGTGTATGGTTCACATGCATTACCCAAGGTTGTTACCTTACAATACTTCCACCATGCAGAACAATTGGCATTACTAAATATGGTTATGTTGCTTCCGTGATTTGTACATGATCTAATTTCACAGCCAGTTCCTTCAATATTCGCAGTACAAGTTGATAACCAATCAGAACATGTGGCATGACTGAATTTTGTTAAATTATTATTATAACAATTCTTTTCAATACATCCATCATTTGTAGTATTTACTGTGCATAGTGGAGACCAGGAGCTGCATGTGCTCACAGTAAATGTACTTAAACTATGATTATAGCAATTCCTCAAACTATAGCATTATGCTTGAGATGCAGAATCGGCATAACAATATGATAACCATGCCACACAATTAGTCTAATTGATCGTACCTGTATAATTTGCACATGTCTTATTAATGCATGCATTCTTCCCATTTGTACAAGTACTTAACCAAGCTGTGCAATTGGCTTGTGTAAATTGAGTAACAGTGCTATTACTACAAGTTTTAGCAGTACAACCATCATTAGTATCATTTACAGTACATGTACTTAACCAAGTAGAACAGCTATTATAATTGTAGAATGAAAGAGATGCATTTTAACATGTTCTATCATCACAACCATTATTTGATGAATTCACAGTGCAGCTACTCAACCAATTTGAACAATTTTAATGTGTATACGAAGGTAACTCCTATGCATTACTACAAGTTCTTGCTAAACAAGAAGATTGAGTAGGGTCAGGAACACATTAACTTAGATATTCTGAACAGGTCTACAATGTAAAAGTTTATATTTAAGTAGTGTAACTGGTACATGTTCTACTTGTCTTACAAGCTGTGGATCCATTATTCGTACAGTAATATAACCAATATGAACAAGTTGCAGAAGTGAAACTGGTTAATTAATTGCCATAATTTGTACATGTCCTTATTTCACATCCAGTATTTGAGGAGTTGGCTTTGCAGGTATTCAACCATTACCCACAAGTCTGATCATTAAACACACTCAAATTAGTATTAAAGCAAGTCTTATTCATACATCCATTATTTGTGGTATTCACTGTACAATAAGATGACCACGCTTCGCAATTAATGTGATTGAATGTTAAAATATTGATCCCATAATTATTACAAGTACGATCAGTCATACAAGTGTTTCCTGCTGAATTTACTCTACAATAAGACAACCAATTTTAACAATTGGCTTAGTTTATTGTTCCCAATGAATGATTCTAGCATGTCTTTAATTCACAATATTAAGGCCAAATTGCATTATTGGCTTTGCAATAAGGCAACCAATCACTGCAATTTGCCAATGTTACATCACTACCAACCAAACCTGAATTACTACAAGTCTTATCTACACAACTTCCATTAATGTAAGCACAGGTGGATTTCCAGGCAGTGCATGTATATGACGTTAATTTATATTACTGCACTTATACTTATATTACTACAAGTCTTTTAAATGCAAGCATTGCCACCACCATTACTAGTACAATTACTATTCCAATTTTCGCAATTGACATGGGTAAATGTTGTAACTGCAGATCCATGATTAGTGCAAGTTCTTCTGGTCATGCACTTTGTATTTGTTGTATTTGCTACACAATAAGACAGATATGATTAACAATTGCTATCATTGATAGTACCAGAATAGTTATCACATGTTTTAGGCATACAACCCTAGGTTTTGTAATTAGTGCATGTTGACAACCAAGATTCACAAGTGCTTGAATTGTACAACAATAAATTGGTTGAGTAGTTATAACATGTTCTATCCTTACATCCTGTATTACTATCATTTGTACAAGTGGATAACCAAGCTGAACACTATGAGTCTGTATACACTGAGAGATAAGGGTTTGAGCAACTTCTTACTTCACAATTATTGTTATCACTTTTAACAGAGCATCTAGTGTCCCAAGCTTGACAATTAAAAAAGTTATATGTTGTAACAGAAGTTGTAGTGCAACTGGCCTCACAAGCTGTTTTGGAAGAATTAGCCTTGCAATTTACGAACCAGTTAACGCAATTGACATCATTAAAGACCTAATAAACATATGAATAGTTGGTGCAATTTTTCTTTTCGCAGCCTGTAGATGTTGAATTAATTGTACATAAAGAATTCCAAGCTTTAACAATTATTAAAAGAAGGCGATGATTCTGAAAAATTGGAACAAGTTTTTTCAACACATATTGAATTTACACTATCAAAAGTACATGTTGATAGCCAAGCATTGCATTATGCATAAGATGTTGGATTAGATTGATTTGCACTGACATAATTAGAACATGATCTTTCTTCACAACCATAATTGCCAGAACCTCTATGAGCACATCCAGCTTTCCAAGAATCACATCCTGCTTAATCAACAACATCAAAACCATTATCATGAGCTGTAACAGCACTAGCACATGTTCTGACCGTGGTAGTACATTACGAAGTATTATCATAATTTCCATAATAGGTGCATCCAGTAAAGTAGTTGTTACAATTAACTTTGGATAAAGTACCTCTAAAAGTAAGGCATGTTTTATCAATGCAAAAACCATCAGATATGTCTAATTCACAAGTAGATAGCCAAGAGTTTGTACAATCAAATGATGAATCAACAGTTTGGGAATTAACTGCATTGGCACAAGTCTTAGTTTCGCATCCATCTGCTGCACTATTGACTGTGCAAGATGATAACCATCTGTCGCAATCAGAATGAGTGTAGGAACCACTTCCAAGGGCGAGAACACGAGCAGCATTATCACAAGTAATATCTTCGCAATTGTCGGCATCAGTATTTACAGTGCATGTAGATTTATGGGATTTGCAATCTGTGTCTGTGAATGAGGCTATAACATTGGCTGCAGTTGAGCAAAGGAAATCAATGCATCCATTGCCATTGGAATTCACTGTACAGGTGTTCTTGTAAGTATTACAATTGGTATGATCAAAAGTATTTAATTATGCATTAACACAAGTAAATTCAATGCAACTAGTTCCAGTATCGCTAGTTCCAGCTTTATTGTACGTACAAGTACTTTTCCATCCAGAACAAGTGGCGTGATCAAAAGTGTTTAGATTAGAAACTGCATTACTACAAGTGCTTAACAGTTTCACAATTATCTGCTGCAAAATTAGCAATGCATCCAGTCAACCACGTATCACAATTATTTAAATTGAAATTGCCAGCAGTTAGATTACTATTAGTACAAGTCTTAGCTACACAAGAGAGTCCATCTGCTGCAACTGTGCAATCTGATAACCAAGAATAGCAATTGGAATGATTAAATGTCGTGACGTTACTTGCATAATTAGTACATGTACGTGTACTGACACAATTATCAAGAGAATCATTTACCTTACAATACGAATACCATTTATAACAATTGGCCTCAGTATAGGAACTGATTCCAGTTGAACAATTACTGCAAGATCTAGCTTCACACACACTGCCTGTTCCAGTACAACCATCTAACCAAGCATTACAATTAGCATAATTAAACACAGTCACATTACTTCCATAATTTGTACATGTCCTATCAATACAAGCTGTGGTTCCAGAGTCAACTGTACATGTACTCAACCAATTGCTGCAATTTTCATGAGTAAATTCTTTGATATAAGACCCATAATTAGAACATGTACGTTCACTAATGCATCCATCATTTGTTGAATTAACATTGCAACCGTATAGCCAATTCGAACACGTAGCAGTTGTGAATGTAGTTACATAATCTCCATAGTTATAACATGTTCTATATTAACATCCAGTACCATCTGAGTTAGCTGTACATTCCAAATACCATTCAGTACATTTTTAATGATTAAATGTTGTTATACCCTAAGATGCTAATTAGCAAGTTCTAACTATACATTTTGTGGTTCCAGAATTGGTGCATGTACTTAAATAACTTGTACAATTTGCATGAGTAATAGATCCTGAAAAAGATCCACATATTGTGTTTGTAGAATCCCTGCAAGTAGATCCTCCTCCAACGCAACCACTCTTCCAACTATTGCAATTCGTATTGTCTATCACTGCGACTTCGCTTCCATGATTATAACAGGTTTTAGTTTCACAGGCAGTACCTGCAACATTACTAGTACATGTTGATAACCAACCATTGCATGTTGCATGACTTATTGTGGTTAATTGATCCCTATAATTTGTGCAAGTTCTGCTGGTACATTAAGTACCATTAGTATCAGATGTGCAAGTACTGAGCCATTCTGAACAAATAGCATGAGTGAATGTTGAAAATACCAAACTAGCTTTGGAACAATTCTTTGTCATACAAGTTGTAGATGTATTCTTAGTACAACTTAAGGAATAAGCCTCACAATTACTATGATCATATTGATAACCTGTTGGAGCACTTGTACATATTCTACTTTCTTAGCATGTTGAGGTGGCTCCATTACAGGAGGGGTGCCATTTATTACAATCTGCATTTGTGAATGATGTGACATGACTACCATAATTAGTACATGTCTTTACTGTACATCCTGTATTAGTACTATTGACTGTGCATTAAAATAACCAATTTTCGCATGATTCATGTGTAAAATAAGAGATAAATCCTTTATGATTATAGCAATTTCTCCACTCACAAGCACTAGATGCTGAATTACTGGTACACAATTTATAGAAGTTGGTGCATGTTTTATGATTGTAGGTTGTTATTCCTGATGGAGATGCACAACTCTTATTTGTGCAATATGATCCACTTACATATGTACATGATTCTAGATAATTACCACAACTAGTAGCATTGTTGAATGCTCCAGAAGTACAAGCATTAGTTGACTCACAAGCAGTTCCATTTACATTGGCTTGACATTCAGATAACCAAGCCTAACAATTAGAAGTATTAAAAGTAGTTATTTATTGAGCAGTATTAGTGCAGGATTTGGTTTCACAACCCAACTTATCCCAAGTTACAGTACATGAAGAGAGCCAAGCATTACAAGAATCATGAGTAAAGAATAGAATATTCTGACCATAATTAGTGCAAGTTCTAGCTGTACAAGCTGTATTAGTATTAGTACATGATGATAACCAATTTGTACAATTTGTATGATTAAATATAGTAACTTTGCTTCCGTAATTAGCACATGTTCTAGCACTCTTACAAGCAGTTGACCCATCATTTGTACATTCACTAAACCAAGCTGAACAATTTGAATTATTAAATGTAGTCACATTTGAACCATAATTAGTACAAGTCTTATACACACATTAAGATCCATCAGTTGTACAATCAGTTAACCAAGTATTACAATCAGAATGTGTGAATGTAGCTCCTGTATAATTGGCACAAGTTCTTGTAGTTTCACATTCGGTACCACCTGGATTAACAGAACAGGAGGATAGCCAATTGTTACAGTTAGTTTAATTAAATACCGTGACTGAAAAGCCATGATTAGTACATGTCTTTTCAATACATGCATCATTATACCAAGTACAAGGGTAATCTGAATAATTCTTATAACATTAGTCATAGTTAACATAATCAGCACAATTTGTTGGTTTCTAAATGCAACTTGTAGGAGGACCTGCAGTGCATGAAGACAACCAAGTATTACAAGTGGAATGATTAAAATCTGTTATATTTTAAGTAGTAGAACAAGTTCTTGTGACACAAGATGAACCATTCCAAGTGCAGTATCCATTACTAGTGGATAACTCACAATTATCTACATTCGTATACTGACTACACAAAGATTTCTATGTCATACAACTTGTATGAGGTGAATTGTTATCAACAACGCATCCAGATAACCAATTTTTACAGTTTTATTATGTATAAGTAAATCCAATCATTAATGAACAGGCTCTATTCTTGCAATAAGGTGTAGCGAGAGTTGTGTCCCAAGTACATATCGTGCCTGAACTATCATTAATACATTATTGCTCTGTAAGATCTTAACAAGAACTTTATCTAGTAGTACAACCTAGATTACTAATTCTCCTGACTACGGTGCAAGTATTAAGAAAAGAACTACATTCTGTATCAGCATCGAATTCATTTGTATCAGGAGCATATGAACATTGTCGATTGTAACAATAGTTATATTACCAAGCGCATTTCTAGCCATTGGATGCTAATTAACAAGATCTAAATGTTGTGTATGAGGAACAAGCGCCCAATTGGGTCATGCAGCCTCCGATACCTGTAGCAACTACAGTACATGAAGCCAGAAATGTATAGCATTCTTAATGAGTATCATAATTAGTAGAGACAGGAGCATTGGCACAAGTCCTGTTAACACAAGAGCTTACCCAAACGCATGGTCCTCCAAGTGAATTAGTTGAAGTATCTGTACATTAAGTACTTGTACTCATCATATTACAACTAGTAGGTTTTTCTACACATCCCTAACCACTTGGAGCAACGATACATCCAACTAAATAGGCATCGCATTTTTCATTTGTGTCATGATCTGCATCTTAAGGGGCTGTTGTACAGGACTTATCATAACAAGCATTACCAGTCCACTCACAAAGTTAATTGGAATTATTGAATCGACAGCTTCTTTAGGCAGTGTAGGTAGTACATGCATCCAAAGGAATGCAACCTCCATTACCTTCACTTGCTACTGTGCATCCACTCAGATACATATCACATTGCTTCATAAGTATCGTAATCAGATGTGTAGGGGGCAGTGAAGCAAGCTTTGTCATAACAGGCTCCTTCGAACCAACCACAAATCTAACCACTAGATGTAATGTAACACTGTTCCTCTAGCACTAATTGATTGCATTAAACTGGTCTTGTTATGCATCCACGTCCACTGTTGGCAATGGTGCATGAACTCAAATATGTCTTGCATTTCAAATCTGAATTATATTCAAATGGAGCATTAGCACAAGTCTTTGAATAGCATAGACCTGTCCAATAGCAACGATTGCCATTTAGATCTACCTTACACGTATTTTGGGATGTAAGAACTTAACATGTCATTTTAACACATCCAATTAGTGTTCTTGCCACAGTACATTCCTTGTTGAAATCTTGACATTATTCATGACTAGTAAAAGAGATGGGAGCATTTTCACAAATTCTTAAGGCACACACACCATTGTAGAAGAAGCAGTTTCTTCCGTATTTATCTACCACACAAGCAATTTTCAACATCTATATCACTGCATTCATTTAATAATTTGCATCCTCCACCTAGTTTTGTGATACAACCCTCTTTGTATTTATTGCAATCATAATTAGTTTAGAGAAAGGTTGTTGCAGTAGTAGGAGCATTATCACAAGTTCTCTCTGAACACCCTTTAAAAGTAGTATTGTTTACAGTGCAATCTTCTTTATAATTAGCGCATTGTTCGTGTGTAACATAATCTAAAGGAGCACTTTGACATGTATACAATACACAAGTGTTACCTGTCCAAAAGCATTTATTATCTTTTGCATCTATTTTACAACTCTCCTCCAAATCATATTTTGAACAATCAGAAATACTCATGCATCCGCCTACAGATTTAGATACACAATTTTCTAAAAATGTTGAGCAAGCAATATTCTAAGGTGCATTTTCACAATTCTTATCATAACATTTACCATCATTCCAAAAACACAATGATCCATTTGCATTGTATGTACATGACTCCTTTAATATTACATCATTACATTATGTTCTTTATCTGCACCCTCCTTCTATATCTAATGTGCAACTCTAAAAATATTCTGAACAAGCTGCATCTGTTCTAATAGATTTTGGTGCCGTTTAACATGATCTATCCATGCATTTACCATCAACCCATGCACATTATCCCAATTTCTGGTTGTAATAGCATTGCATCTCAAATTCTTAATCTTCGCAATTGTATCCACTCACCTGACATCCACCTCTTGGATTTACTGTGCAATATGACAATTATTCACGACATTCAACATCTGTCTTGAATGAAACTGGCAGTTTGCTGCAATCAGTTGCATTCATACAATACTAATCCCAATAGCAATACTTTCCATTTTTATTTTTAACACATGATATAGGAGTAGAATATGAATTACACTCTGCTAGTTCAACACATTTTTCACCATCAGTGATACACTTACTCGAAACCATTTAGCAAAGCTTCTGAACGCTAAAAGGATAACTGGAACATGATGTAAATTAAACACATTCATTTAAAATGTAAGCACATCCATCCATTTTCCAGCATTTATCAGACCCAAATTGAGTGCAGTAACTATTATTTTTAGTGTTAGTGTTTGTATTCGTTTCTTCAGTTGTTGATTTCATTTCACATCTGAGCTATAGGTTGTTCCAAACACAATTTAAATTTCTATAGCAATCATATTCAAAAAGTTGAGTACATGAACATGGCGAACTTAAACTAATATTTGTTGTGTCACTCTATACTAGATAAATACACATCAACAAAAATACTAATACTAACTTCATTATAAAATTATATTATTATACACAAATTTAAAGTAGTTCACAATTTAATCTACCCACTAGCAAAAATGGAATACTTTCAAAAAATGAATTCCCCTAAAGCCTCTTACATTACATCCATCATTATTAATTAAATAACGACCTAAATAAATCATCCTTCTTTGTGTTTCAATTCAACCTAACAACGTTATGCCAAACAAATTAAACTTATGATTGATAATCAACTCCACTTGTATGTTTAAATCCACAAATTCTTTTCAAAATACTCTTTGTAAATATAACTAAAATTTAACGCAAATGTAAATACACAAATTCTATTCAAAAAATTGTGTTCTTTGAAATTAGAATAAATTTTCTAGTTTATTGTATCAAAATACTGAATAAAGTGAAAACTTTGAAAATGCTATTTAGACATAAATTATTGAGAATATGTCTGTAATTACATAAATTTAATTAGATATAAGAACAACAAAATCTATTATTCAATATTAAATTAGTTTAATTGATAATTATATACAAGCAATCATCATAAAACCAAGTATTTATTAGTTCGTGCAACATATTATTCATAAATTTCCCCTCTCTTCTTTTTCATATGAGCTTCTGTTAATGGAGTTGTAAGAAATTCCATTACACAAAACAAAGCAACTGGCCCAATCAAAGCGCAAACACTTATTGCATCATATATTGCTGCCATAGAAAAGCAGAACCAAGTAACTAAATCAAAAAACAAATTTGGATGACGACTCTTTCTCCAAAGTCCAGTTTCTATCAACTCTTCTTTTGGTATCAAACCCTATTGTTTTAACTTCTTAAATCTCTCTAATTGTATATCTAAAATTTTCTATTTAATTTACCTGCACTTGCTTCTAAGCAAATACTGAAAGGAATGATTGACAATGCGATGTAATTCATCACGTTCAAACCATTGAAACTATCTGGTTCCCAAGTGAGATCATTTAGAAACAAGAAATATAATGGAATGCTGGTGACAAATACAATCAATCCTTAGAACATAAATTAGACCAGCACCATTACATCTTTCTTAAATTTATCGGCGCTGTATTCACTAAAGATATTATCGTATCTCTCATCCTTAAATCCAGCCAAAACTCTTGTCACACACAAAAATCCACCAAGTCTTAATGACCATAATGCAACAAGAACAATGTTGATCTTAAAATTTAAAACTTATTATTACAATCCTTGCTGGAGTTGATATGCTCGAGAAAACACAGTAGACTACTCCTGCAACTAAATGGCTTATGGAGTATGCTACATCCACTATGCATTCATGATTTCCACCAATCTTATAGACCATATAGAAAATGAGTTTGTTAATCAGGATGGCTGGCAATGCCCAAATCAAAGCGACATCTACAAAATAAACCATGTGGTTCTTATTAAATAGTTTTAATATTATTTGAGAATTCTTAAAACTTCTGTTTATAAATTAGATTATTCCTAATTAATTTTTACGTCGTATGATAAAATAATATATTTTTTTTTATGATCAAATATTATGTAGGCACTTAAATTATCTCTTCTCATAATGTTTTCCAGTTCAGATACTCATGTTGCAGATAATTCTCTCTTAAGTTTAATCGAAAACTCAATAATCATGCAAATATCCTAAACCCATTAATAATCTATTCATAACTTTGAATAATTGTACCATTAATGAATGTTCCAAAATCCTCAAAGTCTTCAAAGTATTATATGCAAGTGAAGTGTTTAATTAATTAAACCTGGATTTTCTATTATCATGCTTATTGGTAACAAATATTCTAATTTTTAACCTCTTTCAATTTATATCTACTTGAATGTACTGAATTTTCTAATTTCTCATTTGATGATTTATATTTCTTATATATGTAATCAATTTCTTTTGAATATCTTGAAACTGTGAAGTTTAGAACATACCCCAATACAATAAGGCAATTCGCATTTAGATCATTTATATTTTTTAGGCTCAAAACAACAAATACATAATTAATTAATCATTTGGCAGAAGATAATTAGCGATGACGCTCTTAAAGCTTCTTCTTTTCCTCTTCTTAAGCCAATTATTGTCCAACCTTTAAGATCATATTATTGACCTTCTCGATTCTCACCAATCGTTCAGAATTTCTACTTCGGCAATGTTCAACCATGCTAGTGTCATCCTTGATTAAAAGTGGAATAGAAGTTTTGTCCTTCTCTAATAAGAACTATTCAGGATGAAGCATTTCTTTAGTCAAAATGGCTATTCTGGAATTTTGTTTTGAGAGCCTATGAGTTGAAGAAGCTTGATAACTTTTGAAAGAGGAATTAAAATCAACCTGTTAATCTGAATGATTAGATTTATGCAATGAATTAATGAGTGAGACAGGACCTCCTTTGATACTTGAAGGGGCTGCAGGAGGCAATTTACCACTTTTATGAGAACCATGTTGCGATCTTATAAATATTTATATTTATACCCAATTCTTTATTGACTGCCTCTTTGTTAGCTACCTCTTTATTGACTAGGTCTATTTTCTTATCCCGGGATTCTCAATTAATTATTTGGATTCCCCTATAGATTGGGAATATCAAATTAAGGATTTTGTAATTCATTTTTAGGTATTTTTTCAAATAGATTCATGACTTTATCTTTTTCAATTCCCTTTCTATAAATATTGGCTAACCCTGGAAACAAATTGACCAAATTGTCAAATATTTTAAAAATTTGTAAAGTAGTATATTGATTAACCTGTAAAACGTCAGCTGAGATTAAAATTTCATTTTTATAACAGGCAACTAATGCTTTATCCTAAACCCATTGTCTCAATTTATCATCCATAACTTATTAAGGAGTGAGTTTCCCTATTTTTTCACCGTGCCAGACATCATAAATCCTCACTTCTTATTGTGCATCCAAAGCAGCTGCCACTCCAGTGTGACTAACACTCATTCCAATAATCCTCCACAGACCTTGCTTTTGCTCTTCCATTTTAATTTTACTTCCCTTTCTAAATTAATGTGTTCGTTTACACAACAACTTCCCTTCCTTTACATCATAAATGTTAACACCTCCATCGTATGAGGATGAAACCAATCTATTATCATCACAGAATTAAATCTGGGTACAAGTGTACATATGCTTATCTAAATAAAACCTCTCTTATTCCAAAATCAAATCATAAACAAACACACTCCCTTATTATAATCCAGCAGCCAAGTACACCGATGATTTGGATATTGCCATACAACTCAAAGGGTAAAGAATTTAGACTTCTGTAACTGATGCTTATTGTTTAAATAGCTATTAAGTTGGCAATCCGAAAGAAGCACTTAAGTACTCTGGAAGTGCTGATCTCTTAGCACTAGTAAAACGATGTAATTCAAGTCTTGTTGTATTAGTCCAACCAACAACTATGCCTGTAACACATTCATGCTACTTGTATGAATTAAATGTTTTGTTTCCATTTTGAACACTAAATCTTTCCACAATAAATTCAACAATTGCTCGGTATTTCTGAACAGGATAAGCATCATCATTTGGATATGCACTATTTTCATTTTCATCATAAAGTATTTCCTCTACAACTGGTACAGGTGCTACTTCGACTGGCTTTTTTGCCGGAACTGGAGCCTTCTTTTTAGGATCAACCTTCTCTTCAGGAGGAGGCTCTTTCGGGGTAGTCAAATCTTATTTAATTTTAGCTATTATTCCATTATAATCCAATGTTTTCTTTATTCCATTGAACTTCACCTAATAAACCAAATCGGTCAATTCAGAACATGAGATATCCATCGGGGATGCCAGGATCTGCTATTATTGAACAGGAGGCACTATTGGTTAGTCTTTTCCTTTTATTGGTGATGGTTTGAATTGACTTTATAAGTGTCTTGGACTCTGTGCTCCCACACTGTTGTTTGATATTTGGCTTGAGTTTGATTATTGATCTATCTTTAAATCTGGGATTCTAAACACTTTAACACTTCCATTATATTATGTAACAGTTATATATTAAGAATATTAACTTATGTCTACATCTACGGGATATTCACCAATCGCATTCTTGTCCTTTGATAATGTAATCGTATGGTGAAGCAATAGTTTATTTTCTAATGGCCTGAATCTATAAATGTACACTACTGGATCACTATGTTAAATAACTCCAATCCTAAATTAGTAATGACTTTCTACACACAAACATTCTTGTAATCGTCTATTGCTTAATCTCTACTGCTTAAACACACTTTAAGTATTCTTTTCCCATTAGTTTCTTTCTTGGCAATTCTTAGTTTTTTACTTAAGTCCAATATCATCAGATTTCCTTAGGTATCTCCTGCGGCTACTAGATTGCTTGAACTATCTCGACTCACACAACTCAATTAAGGAATATCAAAGACACCTTATGGAGGTAGTGTTCTTAATTGTCCTTCATAGTTTGGGTCAGAACGATATTTTTCAATTTCGAAAACTTTGTTATAGACTTCATTAAGTATCATAGTATTTAAGATTTTGTTAATGAATCTATCATTGCAATAAACTATTATACTTATATGGCTTTGGAAGTTTATCTTCCCAATTAGTTGGATTACAATAACCCCATGAATTTAATTAATCCATTATTATTTTAATTTACAATATTTAGAAATCTCAAAATTTTGGCTTCATTTTTGCTCTTGTTAATACCTTAAGGAATAAGTCTATTAATTTTGTAATTTATTAAATTAATAATCCTCCCCTCATTCACGAAATAAAATTAATTTTGACTTCATTGCCAAAATACATTATAGATTATTTTCAGACCCATTTTCTCTAATTTTTATCTTGCATTTTGAAGTTTAATTTAGTAATATATAAATAAAAGATATAAACATTAACTTCTAATTAGTGTTTAGTTTCTTTTCTAATACTCAATTATCACTTTATATAGTAATTCAATTTCAAATCTGCAGTAAATCAAATATAAATAAACTCATAATAAGAATGGTTAAGTTAATTAACATACAATCGGATACTTAATATAATAGACATGAATTATTCACTCAATAAAGTGTAAAAATTATAGTATTAATTTTAATTTGTTATAAATAAATATATTGTTATGAAAACTCAAAAAACGGAACTTGTTCTTATTTTGCTATTGTGCACTATAAATTGTGTAAATATTAGTAAACAGGATGGCGTAGAAGAACTGAAAGTAAATAGATAATAATGAAATAGACAAGAAAACAAGTTGGGGTAAGATTGCATGGAATCTAAGTTAATTAGCTTTTTCTGGTGACTCTGCTTTGTAAGAGCTAGCAGATGTTTTGACATCAGTGGTATAGATATGATTATTATATTCATTAGACAGAGTAGGTTAAAGATTTGAAGCATGATCACGAATTCGCTAGTGATAAAGCAATCAATGTTTATATTAGCAAGAATGAGAAGTTAGATTTCGGCATAGATGAGACAGTTACTTTTATTGCTAGGAACACAGATTATTTAGACTCATAGATGCATGATTACATCGTGAATATAAATAAGAGATTAGAGAATCTAGATTAAAATGTGAATGAAAATAGAAAATAATTAGAATATCTAACATTCACTAGATAAAAGCAAAATGATAAATTCTTAGATACTTGTAAACTATATATACATAGTAGTGTCACAATACGAGCATATGGTTGCACAAGTTGATATGTGCATTGCCTTACTCTAAGGGATATTTGCCAATGAGCAATTTATCTAGGTCGATAGAGTCAAGATAATTACAAGAAAGATTTTCGCAGCTACAATGTTAATTGGAGGAATTGAAATGAAAGAGTTATTAGAGACAACTGAATCTGCCAATTATACAGACACAAGAGTTCAAAAATATGTATTAAATAAATTATTAATATCATTTAGATTCTAGAGGCTTTCAATAATCTGAGAAAGCAATTTGTTGATCACAAGAATTCAGATATTGCATATGATGCTGAATAATAAAAATAATATGAAGATTAAAAGCATCAATTAGATGGAGAACTTTTGATTTTCAAAAAAGACATTGCAGAATTGATATACAATCTATCAGTTGCGGAAGAGAAAATAAGATAAATTAAAGATGATATTGAATCAAATAAATAAGATCAAGAGTTTTACAAGAAGGAGAAAGAGTTCATTATTAACGGTAATCAAATTGAGGAAAAATGGAAGGCTAAAATAATTTAGGAATATAACAATTAATTGTTATCAATAGAGAAAGCAATGAATCTAATAAGTTAACCAGACTTTTGGGCAAGGAACGATTAGATCAAGTTAAATAATTGAAAATTGATATAGATATTAAACATAATCATTCATTTTTTCACTTTATTTATGTTGTTTTCATTTTCTTAGAGAATTGCAAAGATTTTGTGTAATTATTGTCTATAGAGGTAGTTTATATTGTAATATTAATGTACATTTAATAATTTATCATTTCTTTCCCTTTGGTTTTCCTGCTCCTTTAGCAGCAGCCTTTTGTGCTGCCTTAGTTTCGGCCTTTTGTGCAGCTTTTTAAGTGGTTGTTACACCTTTTCTTTGTGACTTTTATGTCTCAATTTACTTCTGCTTTCTGTCCTTGATTTCTCTAGCAGCCTATTCAGCTTGAGCTTTTCTTGTTTCTAATTAAAAGTTTATAACAATCAAAATTTACTTTCATCTTCCTTTCTTCTTCTTCTAATCTCTTCTAGTGATATACCAACAATAGCTCTTTAGACCTTGAGATTTCTGATTCTTCTCTTCTTTGCTCCTTCATCTGTTTTAATCTTCTTGTTCAATCTTCTCCAAGCAATAGTCCATTGAATTTCTTGGCTTTTAATCTTGAATGTTAAATTTCATATCATACTTTTCTGGCAGAAAATGCTCTACTCTTTTGATTCAAGTAGTAAAATAATCTACCATCCTTAGCCACGAATCTACGACCATGTCCAGGGTAAATACGCCATTCACTAAAAGAGCACAAATCTGTCTTGATAACCATTTTAAATTAAAATAAAAATCTTTTTTTAATGAATTTAATCGCTAGTGTGCAAGATAAACTCAAGCAATAAGTGCCAACTGATAAATAACTTTAAATGAGTCATTTCGCAAGATTGGTGGAGCTATTGAATGAAAATGCAAAAAATTAATAAATCTCAGATTTGAACTAAATAGTACAAGCACTCATTTAATTTTCATTTCCTCAGCATACTTATTAGATGATTTGTAACTCTCTCTCCTTATTGATTGCCAAATCAGGAAATGAATAAATTAAATAGGTTGTTGAGATTTTATTGCAACATATAAACAAGAAGGGATCACTTAAGAGTATTGCTTTGACTTTACTTGTCACATTAATTCAACTTACTAAACATGAAATCCAATCCTTTTCCTACACTCTAACCTAAGATATTAGCGCTGCTTTGATGAAGTTGTTAAAGAACTCTGATTATCGTTTGACTCTGTGCAATTCATTGCATTTCTTAATTGAATCGTAAAAGAATGAAATTCTAAAAATATCCCTCAAATTTACATTAAATGAAAAACATGAGGCAGTTTAATAAGCAGGAATGCAAACTCTAATACATTTAATGGAATAGGATGTGGTATCAGAACAAATGTATTTAATAGCTTATAAATCAGATGACTCGCCCCTATTTTATAAATTTTTTTCTAGATACTTATTTTAATAATAGAATATAATGGCTCTAACAAAAAAGGATAAATTAAAGCAATAGGTACAACTTTAACCCAGAGAATAAGCATAAAAAATATTTCAGCTTTTTGATGAAAACTTATCCAAATTTCCCTCTAATATTGTTGGAAGCATATTCATAGCATATAAGAAGTATAATTTCTACTTATATTTAAGATATTTGATCCATGAATTCAAGAAATTAGGCCTTTCTATTGTGAGAGGATCTTTTGAAATCTCCTGTTCATATTTAGGATGTATGGCATTAGAAGATCCATATCTACATACAGTTTATAAAAAGTATCGAATGATTTAAATAATTTAGAGCAGTTAACCTATGTCTCTATATGGTTTAACAGGTTTAATTGAATGAAAGAAAGGATTTATTAGAGTATTTCTTTGATAAGATTTCTAAGGCAAAGAGTTAGAAATGGAATGTTTATATATATAAGCTACTCTTGAAAGGAATGAATTTCTTATTTGATACATTAGGTTCGAATGTTTTTGATGATAAAAGATCAAAGCCTTCTGAATTTATAGATATACTGACTCCTATTTTTAAAATCAATGATATTTTATAGCATCCAATGAGCATAGATAAGCCCATCTGTATTAGTGTGAGTAGAAATTTATTCAACACTTTTGAATCATTATTCCAAGAGAATAAAAAGTGGTAATAAAGCATTTTGTCAGCCTTACTTAATTATGCCAAAATTACATTAGCAGAACTTAATGTTAAGGAAACCAATTCATTGATAAATTAATTAAGAATATAATGTGCATTATTATCGAAATTGTTCTCCTTGTTGGACTTATAATTGCATTCAATTTCAAGTGAACTGATAAATCATTTATGGGAAACAGCGAAGTCATTTCTAGATAAATCCTCTTAATTAAGAAGAATTGGATGGATCACAATTGCAGAGTTATTGATGGTTCCTTATTTTGGAACAACTAATAAAGTAAAAGAAGTTGGAATATTGATTGAAAAAAATCTAACTTCTAAGGATGAGATAAAAGATGAATAATAATTATAAAGTTATTGTAGTGTTGGCCTTGTCATTATTTCAATACTGAATAGTAGTACATTATCAAAATAAATTAAGGATACAACTAGAAAGTTTTTGGCTTAACAAACTATTTTGATGTTTGCTAAGTTATCATAATGTAAATTCGATAAGTAATCACCATTTGTGATATCTTCGAAATATGTATTTTATTAGGCAATCAGATAAATTCAACCAAAATATTATTCAAATGAATTAAATTCACTTGTATAATTTTGTCTTGAAGATATAATAAATGGAAATTCACTCTGGAATTAAGTAAATGTTCATAAAAATAATCATTATGTTGATGAACTTATGGGAATTCCTAGATCAGAATTTTAGTTAGTCTTGGCAGCTAGCAAATTTTTAGGTCATATCATTTCTTCATAATCGTTTACCCTCAAAAATAAAATCAATTTCATCAGATATGTAAATGGTACACTACAAACACAAGTTGTGAATATAAAAGATGTCTAATAGAAGTAATCTAAACAATAATGTTATTTATTTTGTCTTTATTAAATTGCACTTAAAATTTATTAGGCGAATTCACTTGTATCTCAAGAATTCAATGAACAAATATTTTAAGTTATTAATTTGTGTTAATGTGTTGATAATTAAATCCAATAATTATGCGCCTACCTTTATTGTTCAATGTTATAAATTAAAGATGTTGACCAAGCAGAATAATTAAACTAGTTGTTATCATAAAAGTCACAAGCTAATTTCACCTATTTAGTTTTAGAGATTCTGAAAAAGAAGCTTACTGGAGTTTAATTATAAGTGCAAAATCTTCTGATGAAAGTATTGTCATAAATGACAACTGATGTTGCCAAAGTTATTCAACTCTTTTAGTAGATTGATCCAAGTTTACTCAAAAACGTTTGGGTGTTCCTTGTATTTGCAATAAGTTAAAGTGATAAACCTATCTAAATATGTTAATTTAAAATTCTGTCTGAAATTATTTTGAATTATGTTCGAAATGGTGGTATTAAGGATAATTACTTTAATATCATCTATCAAGAATGTAGATGCAGACTGTAGTCAAAATAATTCTAAATTTTATAACTAGACTTTGCATTAGAATAGGACACAGAATAAACTGTGACAAAAGCTGTTAATTTATTATTAAAAAAGCCATCTCTTAAAATTGCAGTTTTTATAGACTAACTAACTGATAAATACACTATGCCTTCTTTAGTATAGCCTATTTTATTTGTTCTAAATAATTTATTTTCGAATTAGCGAGTTCATTCGACCTAAGAATAAATGGATCTTCGAAATTTAATGAAAAATATTTTCATTAAAATTTATAATCAACCTATTGCAGAGTTACTTCAACTTCTATAGCCTTATATTTTAGATGAAGTGATACCTGAACAATAAGAAAGAATACCCATCCACATTAAAACAAGAATCTTCCTTTTAAAAAGATTGTAAAAGCTATTTAAATAATGTGATACATCAGATCAGGTATTTGATTTTCTATTCAAAATTACAACTTCCATCTATGAGGAAGCAAAGGAAATATCATTTGATATGTTCCAACACTTTTTTTACAAGGAAAAGGACCTATTAATTTTTGCAGCTCAAATAGATTCAATACTATGTGATACAATTAGAAGAGAAAATTAAAATTCTCCTTCTGTAAACCTAACTAACATGAAGCTTATTAGTAAATTTGCTAAAATTGTAAAAGATGAATTTTTGGCTACTAAATTAATTTAATTATTATCTAAACCATTGTTAAATGAAGGCAGAAAGAAACTGGTTCCTAGCTAATTTTTTAGCGAAAAGTCATAACTCAATATCCTAATATAAAGAATTGTTTCATTAGGAAGTATCTATAGAAAATTACCAAACCATTTTGATTAAACTCTTGTAGAGTAGTTGAAATGCTATGTCGAAGAATTACTGGAGGATATATTTGTGATTCTATGTACGCCTAGATCTCATGTAAGGGAATGTCAGTCTTATAATTTTGTCTATAATGGAAAAAAATATAGCTTTGATCAAGGCTTTCTCCATCAATCGTTGCCAAAACTACTGAGAATATCAAACCTTGATAAGCCTATCCACTTTACTTTAATTGGCTACATTGTTACATAGTATGTAAGATTATTCATCATTTTTAGGGAGCATTTGAACAAAATGAGAATATGTTCAAAAAAACCATAGAAAATCTTACAAAAGAAAGAATATTATAATGTAGAACTTATAGAATAAAGGGAATCCAATTATTAACTGAAGTTATCAACAAGAATCCTCATAATCAATTACTGATTAATGGAGTTCAAAACTTATTACCTATAATCTCTGCAGAAGCGCCTTATTCTTTAGTTATTTGTTATCAATTTTATTAAACCCTTATTCATCATTAAATTGACTTATAATTAATCCTTGACCCTTTGATTCAAATCTATTAATTAACAGTAGATTAGAACCTAAAATTAAATTGTTTAGCATCTTTGTTAAAAATAACTTAACAAAATCCCTAGGCTTCAGATTAAATCAATACTATATTTTGGGACTTTCTACTCACCTAAGCATATGAATTCATGAGATGCACACAATTAATTTAATTTTATAAGGATAAAATATATAGTTTAAAATATAACGGTTATATTTAGACTATTTTATAAGCGATATCTGGTGCCTAAAAAATGAGATAGGAAGATTATTACATATTATTAAATTTAGATGGTTTAATCAACAATCATTAAGATAGTTAGGGATATTAATAATTAATAGATTGTAAGCTATTTTCTTATTATTAAAATAGTGCATTTTACAAATCTGGTATCGATTGCCTTGGCGTTAATCAAACAAATTAAATAGAATATATAACCAATATTAAACTGTTTGCTTCCTGCAATATATCGAAAAATCTCAAATAAGGAATCTAATTCATATATATTAATAGGGAAGTTTTTATTGCTCAGTTATTTATTGAGCAATTAAAAATAACAAATATTTCTGAGTACTTTCAGGATTATGGATCTTTTCACAGAGGAAAACTTGGATGCGTCTATCATTGATGCTTCAAAATAAAATCTGAAAATCATATTGTTGAATACTTAGATGAACTAATTAAATTTACCAGATGACTTATCTGAAAAAGTCTAATTAATATAGGATGATATTTAAAGGGAGATGTATGTTATACATTTAAAACAATAGTTAAGAAAAGCAATAGAGAGAAACTAAACAAAAGCAGCCTTAGCAATCGGGATAAATAGTATTAAAGATGTTTGGGTGATGTATTATATAATTAAATTAATTAATGTCTCAGTTTTCTGATCGTTGCAAAACAGATCCTGATGAAGATAGTGAGATTAAACGAAAAAGAAAATAGGTTTAACAATTCATCTAAAATTCAAAGGAGGAATAAAAAAAATTATCTGATCTTTTTAAAAATGACTTAGATTTATAAAGTTAGAAAATAAAAGAAAGAATTCAAAAAAGAAATTTCAAAAAACCTATTGCAAAATCATCTAGTTGTGGTGTCTATATGTCAAGCAATCCTATGAGTGAGTCTCAGTCTTTAGCTGATACAGAGGATTATCAAGAAACACTATATGAAGATGCATTGCTGGAGTTAGATAACTAAAGAGATGAAAAAATCTATAGAATAGTTTAACATTATAACAATTAAATAAATAATCTAAGAATGATAGATTTTACAGAAGAATCACTATAATAAATGCTACATTTTGAAAAAAAAAAATGGGAAGAAATCTAAAATATACAAGAATAATATGAAATAATAAAAAGTAATTAAATATAACAATGAGAATATATCATTAAATTTGATCAAAATTCTATCACTCTTCATATCTATTTTTTATAAATGTGAAATTATAATTTTAACTTTAATTTAGACAGAGTTCCCTTTAAATTCTTATTTATATTATGATGATTGCATTGATATTTCTTAAATTAATTGAATATTATATAAGATTAAGATTATAATATAATAATTTGATAATAAAATATTTTAATGAATACCTTAGACAAAGAGAAGGTTTTGTTCTTCTGTTGTGATATTTAGGATGTTTTTAATAATGAAGCCAATTAAAAGAATTATAATTGTTTGTAGGTTATAGAATGTGCATGTTTGATGAATGAATTCGCTAAAGTTTATGACATACCCATAATTGTCTCAGAATAAAACCCTAAGGTTTTTGGAAGCACAGTTCAATAATTAAAGAACACATTCACATAAAACACTCATTTTTACGAGAAGTTTACTTTCACGATGCTGTCTGATAAAGGATTAGAAATATTAAAACAGTATCCAAATAGAAATCAGGTTGTGATTTACGGATTAGAAACCCATATTTGTGTTTAACAAACATGCTTGGATCTTATAAAGTTAGGCTACTAAGTTTATGTATTGACTGATGGTACTTCAAGTAGTAAGCCATTATTTAGATCAACTGCGTATGAAAGATTAAAATAATGTAATGTATATTTAGAGACTTCTCAATCTGTAATGTATACATTAATGTAAACCTCTTAAAATGAGAAATTTAGAGAGGTTTTAAAATTAGTAAAAAAATATTAGTTTTAAAACATATTTCCAAGTTTATGATGAATTTATTATTATATTATAAATATCATAAATTAATAATGAAGATTGCTTAATTGTTACGAAATAGAGTGCTCTTTTTCAATTGTGATATATAGGCTGTCTTCAACAATCCTAAACATATGTACAATCCAGGTTAAACAATATAATGTGCTCAATTAATGAATGAAGTATATTTTTGTTTATAAAATATAGGCAGCAGGTATACTAAATATCCCAGTGGTTTATACTGAATAAAACGTCAAGGCTTTTGGATCAACAATTCCTGAAGTAAAAGCAACTATTCCTCCAAATAGTCATTATTATGAAAAACACACATTTTCAATGTACAATGATGATGGAAAGAAGGTTCTATCCTAGTATCCTGACAAGAATTAAGTTGTCATATATGGCTGGGAAGCACATGTTTGTGTTTAATAAACTTGTTTGGATTTAGTTAGAAATGGTAGTGCAATGAAGATATACTCTAGGTTATCAAGTTCACATATTAACAGACGGAACCTCAAGCAACAAACCACTATATAGATCAACATCTTACTAGCGATTAGCTTAATAGGGAGTGGTGATCGATAATTCACAATCAGTGCTATATGAATTGCTATAGTCTTATAAGGATGAAAAGTTCAAACCAATTTTAAGTTTATTTAAGAAATATAAATACGAAGAGGTCTTTACAACGTTATGAATAAAAATAAAGGTTAAAAAATCAATATCATAAAACTAAATTGCCTTTTTTTATCTATTCTTCCTTTATTTTTAATGTTCCAATTTTATAATATTGAGTATTGCTAATATCTCATTTATGCTGGTCTAGTGTTATCAATAAATTATGGATCCGCATATTTATCGATAGCAACCATATCATTTTGAAAGAAGTAATCTTATTATTCAAGATCGATTTCCTCTCATATCTCCAAAATCTATCAGATCTAATATTGCATGTCTTTCAACTAGATTTGGATAAACTGCTATAAGGAAAATATTGCTTCAATTTCATTAATTGTGAAAAATATAATGATGAAAAATCAATTTTATGATTATTATTGATTAGTATCAGGATAAGTTCTAGAACTAGCGCTATACATCAATACTATAATCACAACTAGCAAAGTAATTATGCCACAAAAGTATAATCTAAACTCATGAACAATGTTACATTCTATCATTACTTCCTTATTAAGCTTTGGCTGCCTTTTTCATTTCCTCACCTGCTTTTTCCGTTTTAATCCCAGCCTCCTTGATACCATTGCTTATGATTTAAATTTTCTCTCCTTGCTCTTTTATCATTCTAGCTCCCTCTTACATCATTTCATTAAGTTATTGGATAATTCTAACATATATATTAAGGATACTATGCTATTTCCATTATCTATTTATTTCTGCTTTATATAAATTTTTCATCATATCCGTAGTCAAACTCATCATCCAACAATTACACATTTATTTAATTATCACCATGACGATCCTTAATGGGTTGTTTTGCCTATGCTTAACTTTTTTGATGACTTCGGTCTAACTAATCAATTAAGTTTTTTATTTTTTTAAAATTTTCCTTTGAATTTTAAAATACTTTAATCAATTTCTATTAGGTTTGTTGCTTTTGTGACTAATAGCAATTATAAATTAATATACAATCTATGATTTTTATTATAATTGAATAGATCCCATATTTTAGATTATTTTTTCCATTTAATCTAAATCATTTTAGGCTTCTTTGACAAACTTTTATCTATGTAAAAATCATTTTCAATCAAATACATATGATCCATTTCTTTTTAAGATCCACAATGAATAATCTTGTTAGCGATCATATTAATACTTTCTCATTTAAATCATGGCAGACCTTTTCAAAATGTTGTATTCTTGCTTAGGCCTTCTAAGTCAACTCAGTGAGCTAACCCTCTCCATCCTATTAGCCTAATTCCTTAAGTTCGAACACATCTAATTATTCTGAATTTCGTTTACTTTATTCTTTCTACATTCTAGGGATTTAGAAAAATTACATAAAATTTTGATATTTATAATCTAGTTTTTTATTTCATTTCTATAAAGAAATAAGAGTCTACTGAATTCTGAATTATTATTAATACTTTCTAAAATCCTTCTCTTAAGAATGAGTTACAACTATAAAAATTGAAATGAAATCTTTTTGGTCTATAGTTTAATTCATAATTAGAATGATATTAACCCCGTATCAAAATTAAAATATGCTGATTTTACAATGAACTTAGAAATTCATTAATTGTAATGCATTTCTCTAGCCTAATTTTAATCATACCTGAATTAGACATTCTTCCTGAAACCTTAACGATTTATAACATATATAGAAATGCGTCATAGCTTAATTTTATAAATCCTTTTTTCTTAACTAAATTGGAAATGAGTTTTTAAGATTAGATTTATTAAATCTTTAAATCCCTTCAATCAAAAGGTCAATATATAATTTTTTATAAATAAACATAATGCAACAGTCAAGCATCTTTATTTAGAGTAGTCAGTATATTGCAAAATAATCTAAACCAATCAATTTTTTAGAATTCTCTGATCAGCCTTTTTTGGATCAATCAAATTTTAATATTTATAGAAAGTGAGAAAGGCTTGGAACACTTACTTTAGCCCAAAAATGTTATTACATGTAATATAATATAGATAGAGAATCCATACAGATCAAGTTGGGCTAACTTAATTTTACATAAATACTATAATATTGAAATTGTTGAATCTGTGAGTAGAATTAGAATTAAGAAATTGCAAACCATTGAAGGAATATCTTAATCATTAACAACTCATATTCCCGCCATACAGACATCAGAATAAAGAGAGAAAAGCTAATTTCCTTCTATTGTTACTCATTATTCTAAAAATAATTTAGAAAAATTCTTTCAACAAAAAAGAAAATATCATATGTCTACTTTTATAGGAAACTATAGTTCGAATAGGGAAATTCATCATGTAAATAATCAGAAGAGAATGATGCATTATCATAAATTAAAGCAAAAAGTTAAGATAAGCTTATGCCAATTTTCGATGTTAATTTTAAAGTAAACCTTTTTTATAATACAATTTATGAATTCAAAGTTTTTTGTTTTTATTATTATATTTAATATATAATATTCATTTAACTAAATCTGCACTTAGATAAGAACTTAAATCAACAAAATCATTTACAATAAATTATAACCAACTTATCAATATAGTTTATATCTTTAAATTCATAATGCTATTTATCTATTATTAAACCTATTTAATCATTGCAACCTATTTGTAAGGAAACCTTTTATTTATATAAATAAAATAGATATAATATATTTCCAAAAGAAGTTTTAAATATATTCTATTCTGTACTATAATCTTTATGAAATTGTTTACTTCTTTACCATCTATAAGAAACTATTTTTTTATATTAATTTTAAATAATTAAAATTATGAATTTTATTCGTAAAAGACTTGGACTGTTGCCCCAGACAACGGCCATCATGGAAATCTACCAATCTGAATAATCAAATGAAGTTATTTATTTATATAGGAGAATTTTAAAATAAATCTCAATTACTTATGAAAGAAGATTAGAAAGAATGCAAAAGTTAAAGGAGGCATAATGGATTTTTAGAGAATGCAAAGATGAGAAAGACTAAGATTAAATTAAATACCTGAAGAATTAAGGATATTTAGGTATCATTATTTTTTATTGTGAACAATGATAGTATTAAGGATGTTAGAATAGAATTAAGTTTTGCCTTCCTTTTATCCTAACCCATTAGATTTGGCTGAACCAGAAGTTCATAATTAATTTGGAAAACAACTATATAATAGAGCTAAATTTTGACGTATAGAGAATTTATTGTTTTAGAAATTAGAAGATAAGTTTATTCATACAAATATTTAATTCATTAAACCGAATTCTCTAGTTTTAGATTTTTTATGTCTTCTGTTTTCCTAATATTCTTTCAATGTATTAATTATTAAAAACCATTGTCATTATAATAATTTTCATAAAACTGCAATTTGATATCAAATTCTTTTAGTTCATTATATTAATCTATAAATGTCTATAGCCCCTTTAGGATGTAAAACCCAATAAATCATAATATTATAATTACATGTCTAATTCATATTCAACTGAATTAATAATAAAATAAAATAAATAATTTTATAATATTTTAATGAAAACTAAAGGTGACCAAAACAAGGGAAACACAAAATAATAACCTTAAAAATAAATTAATACTTATAAGGAAATTTAATGCTATTATCATCCAAATGAAAAACTTAAATATTTCTGCAAGAAACCTGATTGTCTCTAGCCATTATGCAAAATTTGCTTAGATATTCATATTGAGGAGGCACATCAGGAATCAAATGATACTAAAGAAGTGGTTTCATATGAGAAATGCTTGGCTGAAGTTACCAAGAAAATGTCGGATAATTTAGCATATTTTTTAGATCAAATTGGATAATTGAATAATCATATAGACAGAATCATTAATTTTTAATGTCCATAAAATTGGATGAGTTTAATTTAGTCTTCAGAAACTTAAATTACCGATTTAATAAGAAGTTATTTTAGCAATCTAAAATCATATTTATTTTCAATTTCTCCTGAAGTTAGTAAGCTATATTCTGCTTAGGATCGATTGATTGTATGTTCCAAAAGAGTAGATCAACTTAGATCCGAATTAGAAAATCTCAAGAGTGAAAACTCAGTCACTTAATTAATTCTGTTTTATTAAGGAGACGTAGAAAAACTGAATAATCGATACTTGCAATATCTTGAACAAACCTTTGATGAACTAAAATAAATAAATTTTCAAAGCATAAATGCACCTAAGATATTAATTAATCATAATAAATTAAACGATCTAATGGAATTGTTGAATTAATATATCAATTATGAATAAGAATATGAAGAATAAGAAAAGGAGGAGGAACCATAAATTGGTTATGAGGAGCAAAGAGACAGAATGACTCAAAATGAGCAGTCAGAAAGGGAAGAGGAATAACCTATTGATATTATTATGGCATAAGATAAATTATCAGAGAAAAACGAATATGGTTTATAATCTAATGATGAGGATTTAGAATATTGAATTTTTATTTCTAACTGTTTTAAATTAACTGAAATAATAAATATTAAATATGAATACATCAATACCTCAACTCCCTTAGGCTTCCATCTATGAACCGACAATATCAATTCAGAAAATTTAACCACATTATCGATTTGATTCTAATAATATGCCTAGAATCCAATGTTATTACCATTAAGACAATCCAAATAATTACATTAAGTACTTTTGCAGACAGCCTGAATGTTTAATGCCTTTATGTGATAAGTGTGTTTAGTAGCATTTGAATTAATACCATACTCAATCTTAAAGTACTTTATTATCATATACTCTCTAGGTAATATTGTACCTTTTGAAACCATACTTTCAGAAATCTATTAAAATTTAGCAGCAGATTGTAATGAAATGTGTGATCAAATCAATAAAATTCAATAATTATCAGAAAGGACTACAACCGATAAATTAGTTGGTAAACAATCATTATAAACAAATCCAATCAAATTGATAGAATCTGCAAGAGATCAGGTCATAGCGATTGTCAATAACTATTTTGATACTTTGAAGACTTATCTTTTAACTTAGATTGAAGAGCCATTACCTGATCTAAATGTTAAACCTGCCATAAAAGACTTAAAATTAAGATGGGAATAAAACATCAAAGATTTAGAGTCCATAAATAATCCAGTAGCATCCATTGAAAAAGTAATTGAATACTGCGAAGAAGAATTAAGAAAGAAGAATGATACCATCTTGAATGAAGCAGACAAAATAATCAAATTACTTGAGACATTTACACCACAATATAGACAATACGGAGTGGATATTCCTCAATTATTTGTCGATCCAACATTTTTACCAAGATTTTTGTGGGTGTTAGAGAGATATGCTTTTTTCAATCGTCCTCCTTTAGAACCAGAAATCCTTCCTCCCCCAAGAGTAGTAGAACCTATGCCTGTTTATGATATTCCACCTCCCCCCAGATATTATGACCCATATCCACCTATGGAATAAGTTGTTTATAGGGATCCCATTGTTATCAGGGAACCTGTATTTAGAGATAGCTTGATTAGAGAGAACGAGTATCCAGAAGAGTATGATGATGCATATTGGCAACGAAGAAATAGAGGAAGACAATAATAATAATTCGACTATTATCCAGATATTGAAAATGATGCCTATTAAATGAAGACTAGTGTCTCTAAAGAAAAAAGGAGAAAATCAAAAGTCTAAGAATCTCCTAAACCAAAATATAAGATAACTGAACAATATGAATCACAGAAAAAAAAAAAAACTAACAAATCCAAAGGTCCCAAAGAAATAGTCATTAGTCATGCAACACCCTCATATATTAATATGACAACAACCTAAATTCCCTAATAGTATTAGCCTTAACAGACAACTACATAACAAGTGTAACCTACCTATTAGGCTCTTTAAACGGCCAATATTTTATTACCAACGAACACCTAATTGGACTTGACTCAAAAAGCACCTTCGGGAATGACTAAGTCAAAAATTACAAACTAAGCCTATAAAAATTTATGATTATTTATTATTCAAAATATAATTTATAATTCTTTAAAATCAATAATTATATAGATATTAATTATACAACTTTGCTAATATAATAATAAATAAATTTTTATCAATCATTTAATAAAAAACTTAACAAATTGTCCTTTAATGATTATTGTTATTACTCTTGTTTTTATTGAATATCTTATTAATTTAACTTTTGTATTTGAATACCTTAAAATAAATAAGAGTAATACCTATTTTTGCTGCCTCTTATTCTGTCATTGTCAAAATGCAACACAATTATTGTAGGATAGATTGTCTAATTTTTTAAGGTGCCCTGTTATCAAAATAATTCAATAATGCCTCCTTTATTATTCTTTTATCAATTAAATTTTATTAACTCTGAGAAATCATCTAAAATTTCTTATTACAATTCTCAAGAATTTATTCCTTTTCATGCTACAATTACACTATTATTTCTTCTTTCTTTCTTATCTTTTGAGACAACTCTTGAATTTAAACCTAGACTCCTTCATCTAACTGTCTTTCTGCCAATTGCTTATTTAATTAATTGATATTTTCCTTATATTCCTTAATCTTGTTTTCATATTCTTCCTCTTTGATATCAAACTTTTACTAAGCAGTTTCATTAACAAATTAAAAGTTTATAATGCTCTAATTCAATGTCTCTATAGTCTCCTCATATGACTATATTTTTTTTGTTAATTATTGAATTTCGCAATTCTTATTTACAATTACTTTATTTTATTCATTTAATTTTTGTATATCCTATTATTAACTAGATAATTAAGTCTATAAAGTATTAATCTATAATATTTCTAATAAAAATTACTTCACTTTGTTTTTTATTAATTGAGTTTTTCAAATTCTCTATTTCACTCTATTTCGATTTTATCTCTTCCAATTAATCCTTTCTGATTTTGTCTGAATCTTATACCTATTTTTCTAAATCCTTCTTCTTTTATTCAACCTTTTACAATTAATTGAATATTTGGTTAGCCTTTTCAACTTGCTCATTGAACTTTGTCTAAGTCTACTACAATTCTTAATTGATCTACTATTCCTTCTTTGAATACTCTGTGCCGCATAAAATTAATTTCTACTAATAATCCCCTAATTATTGTTTAGCCTCTTGGCATGCCTTTTACGACTACTTAAGTTACTAGGTCAGGTTTTCAATTTCTTTTTTAAATGACTCTCTAATTTGATTGATATTATTTAAAATATTAGACTTAATTTTATCTAAAGAGTTAACATCCAAGCTTTAAATTGATTCTTAGGATAGATTTGAATAGATCTCTGTTAGTGCAATTTCTATTTACTTTATAAATGCATTTTGATCTTCATTCTACTTTTGTAAAATCTAGATTTGATGCTATTTCCCTTTGACTTAATCATTCAAATTGTTAGATTCTTCATACAAAGCGATATATTGCTCATTTTTCTATATATAGTTTTTTTCTAAATGAGAAATTTTATCCTTAATTTGTAAATACTCTTTCTCCATCTCGTTCCTTTAATATACAGCCTTCTCAAACTTACTTTCTAATTCAACGATCATATCTGCATTACTTTAGTTCTCTTATTCTTCTTTCTATAACAAGGATTGCAACTCTTCTTTCTCTTACTTTAATTTACCGTCCTATTCTCTTAAAATTTCTTAGTTTCTTTTAATTTCATCATTATTTAAGTTCAGTTCATCTACTTGTTTTTACAAAACTTAAATTTCTTATTTTAGATTTAAGATTTCCTTCTCCTTCTATGATAATTGCTCATTCAATCCATCGATCTCTTCAGATGATTGCTATTCTAATTTAACTAAGGTTTAAGATATATGTTAATAATCTTATTAAATTAGCTAAACCTTGACCTCATTTTCTTTGTTGATTTCAATTATCTTTTGATTTTTCAGTTATTCTTCATTGAGCTCAGAGGTTAATTATTGATATTCATTTTAAAGTTAATTTAGCGTTGACTAAAGTTATTCTATTTATTAAGTGTAATTTTAAGATTATTTTTCGTATTGCTCAATTTAAATCTATAGAAGCTTGTCTTTTTCAGATAACTCTTTTATACTATTCTCCAATTAATTTTTCTCCTCTTAATTATTTTCTATTGTAGATTCAAGTTATGAGATTTTCTTAAAGCTATTTTCAAGTTCTAAGCTAGTGGTTTGTAATTCTAGTTAAGCCTCTTATAATGCAGTCTAATGTTGATGGTTTTTTTCTTCATTTTACTAAACAAGATCCTTAAGTTGTTTTAACTCTTCCTCATAGCCAGTTTGTAAACATTCAGATTATTATTATTTTGTCAATTAGGATTCAGAATTTTTCAAAGCTTCAACCAAATTCTAGATTTATAAATTCAAATCATTTATTTCTTATGATTTCGAATTTTAAAAATCACTCAAATTGTGTTCCTAATCTTAATTTTATTTAAGTAATGAATTAATCTATTAACTTAATTCTTCTTCTTTTAATTGATTTAGGCTCAATTGTGATTTTAAGTCATCCAATTGCAATTCCAAGTTCTAATTTCTTGCCTCCTTTTCTTGTAGTATCTCTCTAAGTTCTTACTCGCTTTATTTATTTTTTTAGATTAAATCTTACAATTATTAGATTTCTTCTATTTTCTATTCGATCATTTAATGTGTCGAATTTAATAGTGTATTCTATAAGTTGGTTATTTTATTATTATCGATTTCACTCTATTACTCTTATTAATCTTGGAAATTTTATTATTCGTCAGTTTCTGATTTAAATTATACATTTTCAATCTCTCCTTCCTTTTATTTCTGAGACAGATCTATAAATTCGTCAGATTTATTAGTTATATTTACTTTCTTTATCTCTGTCTCATTTGTAATATTAGAGCTTGTAAGATCAACTTCTATTTATTTTTCATTATCTTCAGTATTGTCTCTCTACTCAATTATTTCGTTTTATTCTTCTTAAACTGATTTTTGGAGTTCATCATTATTTTAAACTTATTCTATTTCTTCTTATTACAATTCTTATTGATCTAATTTCAATTTGAATCCATCTTATTCATTCATAGAAGTTGATTTATTAAACATTTATGATTTATTTTCTGTCTGGGTGTTTTCTGATAATTCTTGGGATTCTGCAAATAAATTTTATAATTCTTTAATTTTTATCTAAGATTATGCGAATATTTATTCGAGATATTCATAATCTGATTATAACTTCTCTGACTCATTAAATTTGTTTTCGAACTCTTCCACTTGAGATAAAATTTATTGATTTTTGAATTTTAATTCTTAATTTTCAGAAATAATCTAATCAATATCTTATTTGTCATTTGATAAATTAGATAATTTTGATTATAAAATTTCAATATCATTTTATAAACTTTAATTTTTCTCTTAAAATTCTGTGATTATTTAATTTTATTAATTGTTTTACTACTTTAATTCTTAATTGATACTCATCTATTCTTGGAATTTTTGCATAATATCCTCCACTTATGAAAGTAATAATTCTACTTTTTATTCAATTTATTTATTTTATGTATCCTTCTGAAGTAAATGATCTTAATAAGTAATAATATCCTTTTTTTAATCTTCAACCCTAACTAATTACTCATATAATTATGCTTATAAATCCTCAATTAGCATATTACTTTAATTACACTAGGAGGAATCCTCTCCTTATTATTTGTCTATTTACATTAACAAGTTATTCAATAACTATGATTATTGATCTTTTTATTCAGATATAAATTAAACCTATTAATGTAAATTTTCAATTTCACGCATTTAATCTAACCTTTTTTCATTCTCCATTTAAGCTGCTTATTACTATTGATTAATTTAATCCTTTAGTTTCTCAATCTCCTAATTTAATTATTCCAAAATGAATGCTTGATTCTTTTGGTTACTCTCATCTTAATCTTAGGAGCATTCAACAGTTTGAATTTCTTAATCTTCTTAGATTAATTATTTTTTGATTTCATCATTCTCATCAAATGACATTTAGGTATTCTGATCAGCTGTTTCAATAATATTTTATTGTTCAATTGTTTAAGTGTTTTAATTTTCCTATGATGTAACATATTATGTATTCTAATCTTCTGTTTCTATTTAAACTTAAATCTCTTAAGTCTCCTATTGATTAATAGTTTAAATTCTTTTTTCTCCCGTCTCTACGGTTATTTGAGTATCTTAATTTTGATGATTAAGTTCATGCTAGGTAAATTATGTGTTTGTTTCTACTTGATTGTTAATTTAAGTCTCCTAATTTTCAGTATTTATTTAAATTTGAGTATTTTAATCACTCTAATCTATATTAGTTTATTATTATTAATCATTCAAATTGATTTATTTTTCATCATCAATTTCTGATTAAGTTTATGTATTTTAATCTTCTTAGGCTGCTGTATATTGAGTAGTCTGATGATCTGTATCGATTTATGCTTAGGTTTCTTAGGTTCCTTATTCAGTTATTACTTATATCTTTTTATCGTCTGTTTATACATTAATTTAAGTGTCTTAATTCTCTTGGCTAATTTCATGCTAAGTAAATTAGGTGGTTGTTTCAACTACTTGTGAGATTTAATTCTTTTGATTTTCTGTTTCTAACAGAATTTAAGTTGTTTGATCGCATTATTCGATTGCTGTCTATATGGATTGATCATTTTAATTAAATTATTTTTCATCATCATTATCAGTTTTGATTACTTCTTGAATGAGATTATTCTATTGGCCATCATCATTTACTTGAGTTTCTTATGGAGGTGAATTGATTTTAAGTTCTTTTTCATCCTATTAATCTTCAATTTATTTAATTTAAGACTCGTCTTCAATTAGTTATACTGTTTATGTTTCTTAATTTTGAAATGCTTTCTCATCTTAATTGCCTTTGTTTTAATTCTCCTAAAGTTACTTTTGTATTTCATCATTTTTAGCTGACTTTTCTAGATTTTAATTGGTCAAATCTTCTATTTGTATATTTAAGGCTTCTATTTATGCCTTAGATTCTGCAAATTCAGCTTAAACCTTGTATAATTCATTGCTTGTTTAGTTCAATTATTACTACAACTCCAAAGTAATTACATCTTAATTTTATTCACTAGAAGTATGATTTTATTAATAAGACCAGGTTGGCTGTTCCCTTAATACTTCTAATTCGTTTTGTAAATGTTAGATGTATTTTAATAGTCTAGGTAACAATTCTTATTTATTTTAGATGATATCTTTATCTCCTGATTCAGATTATTTTCTATTATAAATTCTAATTAATTGTTAGACTGATTTCATGTCTTCATCGGTTAATTCATCTTCATATTCTTACTATTCAATTTTTTGATTGTCTTACTATTTTTAGTTTTGGATAAAGTTAATTAGTTGTGTTTCTATTAAACTTTAAATGTTTTAGAATTGATTTCTCAAGTCTTCAATATCAATTTAATTTGTTTTTAAATCTTTAATTTATTTTACAATATTTAATAAAGCAGACTATTTCTATTTGTTGTTTTGCATCGAATTGATCTACTGGATGTATTCGTCAATATCTCTATTCAATTATTACTTTTCTAAAGCAAATAAATCTCTTTGGGAAACCATTTCTTGATTTAATCTTTAAATTTGCTCTTGAAATTGAATTTCTAGTTGATTATAATCTCCTTGGAATTGTTTCTTTGAATATTCTTTCTCTTCCTTCAGGGTTTCAATAATTTTTTACAATTCTAGAACTTTCTAATCTTGATTTTATGATGATAATTTGGCCTTCAATTGTTTATTTTCTTTAACCAAAGGTGCATATTTGATTTGACTTAGCTATTTGATGTCAGCTGACAATTTGTTTAATTTCTCATTAAACTAATTCCATGTGATGATCTATTGAAACTCATTTGAAATTTGTAATTAATCTAATACTTTTAAGATGAATTCAATTTTTTATCTCTCCACAATTTATGCACCGTCCCACAAATCCTGTGAGTATTGCTCCAACTATTGGTTGAAGTCGGCTCTGATTCCCAGGATTTTGCTTTTCAATAGTTAATATTAATTTTCCTAATTCTTCCATGACTCGAATTGTTATTACAAACACACGCAATCATTCTATTAGAATTTTTAAATCAACTCTGCAATAGTCATTTCTTATGTAATTTGATCATCCAATTCTAAAAGATTTACATCCTATTATTTTTAGGTTTAAGTTTATGTCTATTCCTATTTCTTATCAGAATCTGTTTGCTTTTCTTACAAGAGATTCGAAGTGACATTTTTTACTGTTCCCGCAGCATTTTTAATTTTCTATCCCAGCCACATTTTCCTGATTGTCTATTATATATTATGAATATAAATTTTTAATTTTGCACATGTTAATTGCTCAATAAGAATCCCAATACTGCAATTAATAATACTAATAATAATAAAATATAAAAACTATTGTTTATGAATATAAAGCTTATTCAATACTCCATCGCCTTGTCCTTACAACAACTTGAATCTGATGGTTCACAACTTTATTAGCTCCAATGGAAAATAGGTTTATTTCAATTCATACTTAGATAACAATGTAATCAACATCCCCTTAACAAATGATGCCTTTAATAAGCCATTATGCACATAATCAAATCTCATTTTAGATTAAAACAGGGTGTTAGAAGAAAAGAGCACATCAATCATTTTTAGAGTTAATGAAGATATACTTAAAGAGTACAAAATTAATTTAAGTAAATACCTAAACTCTAAATTAAAATGTATAATCAAATGTCTAAAATAGAGATAGATGATATATTACAAATAAATGAGACTACTAAATTACATATCTAATGGAAATTCGAAAAACTCTATGCAATAGATTTGGGGTATTTAGACCAATTATTCTACTAGGGATAATTAGGAAAAGCAAGTCAATTTCAGCCCAACTAACACTCAAAGAAAATCTCAAGTCATAACCAAGAAATCTGTTTCAATTATCTCCCCTCATGATTCAAAAAATAATGAATAACCTATTGAAATAGAAAAAAAGACAGTAGAAGAAACTAATACTACTATTCTTAAATTGATTGCTGAAAATAAGAAATTAAAAGCTTAAGTAATAGAGTTAAAAAGGTAAATAGATTCGCTTTCTTAATCAAAACCAATCTTTATTTAAGCAGAAGTTGAAGGCTTTTTAAGAGAGTATCAAATGGAAAATGAGAAGTTAAGAAAGCTATTGAAACTCTAAGTTGAGAAAAATCAATCTTTACAAGAGGAATTAAAAATTCTCAATTCCACTTATCTCCAAAATACAAAAAGATTTTAATTACACATCCAACAATTGGAAGAGAGATTTTAAGAGATATAAATTAGTTGTGATAATTATATTGAGAATATCAATAATTTTGAATAATCAACTCTTTAAGATCTGTAAAAACTATAGGACCTAGAGGATCAAGAAGTAGAGAGAAAAAAAGAACTTTAGAAACTATTCAAAGGTAAAATAATCAACAACATTTCTGAAATTCAAAATGGCTAATCAAATAATGCATCAATTTATTCATCTTAATAAGACAATCAAGAAAAGCAATAAGCTAATTCATAAACTAAAGAAATTTATGAATTATTGGATAATGATTGACATTTATTATTAAATTTTGTTTATATAAATAATTGTATATGAAAAGCAAAAGTGATGCAATAGTTGTTGTACCAACACCCTTTAGTAATAGCAATTAATATTGGATTAGACTCTATTAAAGCTTTTGCCCTTTTCAAAAAATATTGGATTATTGCAGATTTAAAATACCTTTACTAAATGTCTAAAAATGCATAAAAATTGATCAATAAATTAGAAATCGAAGAAACATAATACATATATACAACCTCAGATAAAATAATCGTTTAAACAAAAGAAGGATGGATTCATGTAATAAATGAAGATTTCTCAAGATTGAATTAGTTCCATTTGAATATATTTAGTTTCTGTAGATTATGCTTACATCAAGGTCTTCTTTTTTCCATTAACTCTAATTTATTAGAAGCCAGAAACATCAACAGTCTTGATATAGAATTTTATGAATATTAAGCTGAAATATTTTGTACATCTATTAAAGTAATTGATTCAGAATTTGACTAATTTATAGTAATAGTGTTAGACAATGGAATCATTGATGTCTTAAAAAATAAAACATCAATACATAGATATTAATTAAGTTAAAATAAATAAAATCCTATTTTTGTTTATGATTGCATTCCAGTAATGCAGAATAATGAATTAGTTATTGCAGCTTCAACAAATTAACAATCAATTATCATTTTGAAAAATTAAGTCTAATAGTAAACCTTAGAATTGAGTTTCAATCCAACAACTATTTTCTCATATTCTAAAACAGATTTAAGTCCATTAATAGCATTTAATAAAAATAGGTTTGCTCTTATTGCAAATAAAGAAATATGTAAATTTAATTTTACAGATATAACAAACTATTACTATGAAAAATATTGTTATTTGAGCACAAATGAGTAAATTATTATGATTGATTTTGATTATTTAAAGAAATGAGTTAATATAAGAATATTATTTATTTACTTGTTTCTTCCTATAGATGAATTGAATTTTAAGAATATAAGATTAATTAGTAATTCTTAATTTTTCAACATTACATTATAAATCCATTTTACAATTAAATTCTACATACCCCAATTATTCAAAACTAAAGGTTTTCAACCCACAATTTCAAATCTAAATGTCTGTATTAATTATTTTATTTATTTCAATTTTATAATTCAAAGTTTTTGATGCCTTTAATCTAATAACAAAATCAATGTATTTTTCAGTATAAATAAGCAATATTATTTATGCATTTTATTAAGGTGTTTTTGTTATATAATAGTTACCTTATAAGGATTTTGATGATATACAATTTAGCAGATCAAACTCATTTTTTATATTAATTATTTTCAAATAAATCATTTTTCAGCACTCTAAATAGCTTGTTAAGTTTAGTATTACAGTGGCAAATGATTATTTTTTTAAGGTAACGGTACTACATGACTTTAATCATAAAATTGTTTTAAGGATCTATGTCCAAGACTATTATATTAAAAAAAGGGATTTACATTTTTCCACTTGGTAATTACAATTCTCCATTTGGCAATACCTTTGCTTTATTTTAATTAATGATTTCTAAGTAATGCATTAATTATGCTCTTCTTGCTTATTATTCTGGAGTTTATTCTACGATTTCAAATTCAGAAACCCTTGAATCTGATTTTAAGGAATCTAATTCAAGAATTTCTTCGAATGATAGTTCATTCAACTCAGGAATTTCATCAAGTTGTAGCAATTTCTTAATTTTTTCTGTAAAATCATAAAAATGGCACAGTTCGTCATAGTGCTCATTGGGCATAAAGCAATGACCTAAAGGGATAATGATTTCATATATACCTTTGTCTAGCATGTGTTATTTAGCTGCCTCTGATGAAGAGAAGATAGATGGACAAGATAAGCAATAAAATTATTTCTCGATAACGTTCCTTAAACATTAGATCAAACCCTTCATGTCAACTAGAGATTCTTTTTCACGAATGAAAAATCCATGATCAGTGTTCATATGATTGTAAGATTCATCCACTGTTTCGAATGTGTCATCACAGAATAAGCATTACTCAGGTAGATTTTAAACTTATTTTTTTTCTAAGGAATCTGAATTTTTTCTATTGTCCTTCAACACTTATTTATGTTTGGCTGAATTCAAGTGTTGGGAATAGGTACCTGAGGAGAAAAAGCTTTTCCTAAAGAATGAAGGTTGATTAATACTTGCAAGTATTACAAGAATATGTTTATGCTTGGCTTGAGGAACAGGAAGTATTACTTTGTGATTCAAGAAATTCTATTGTGAAATAGAGATAATACTTTTCTAAAAAATTTCAAACGAAACAGACTCTAGATTCATCAGTCTTCTTCTGATATTATATCTGTGAAAATCAGACCTATAATGAGCCTAGTACTCTTGATCATTTGGTATTGTGATTTGACAGTTCGAGCAATAATGTGTATTTCTTTCTTGCATATTTATTATTATATAACAACAATAAAGATAATTCTTATATAAATATTTGATTCATCAGATAAAATCAGTATTTATAAATAGGAAAATAAAAATAATCTCGCTACTTGAACACGTGGCAGATGGATAATTACTAAATGTGATATATGGTTGGGACATACGTCAAAAGCACAGAGGAACCATTAAATTATGATTTTAAATTTTTGCTCATTTATTGAAATTTATTTAATTGATCTGATTGGATATTTTATAATTAAGAATAATATATAAAATATATTGTAGATTATGAATATAATATTATGGAATTAATAAAATAAATTATTAATTAGAATATTTAAATAGATGGGTTTGGAATTTCAATCTCTATTTATTATTAATCCTCGGGGGGGAGAAATTATCCTTTAATATAATATATAAACATAATGATTGTTCAAATTGCAGTTGGTTGTTATTTTTCAGTGTCATTTTCGTATGCAATACTAATTGGTTTATTTGTTTTGGAGCAACAATTTGCTAATCTTTTAAGGACGAAATCAATTTTAGCTTCCCAATAGCATACCATATTGAAGAAGTAATGGGAAAAAATGTATCCTCCTGGTACCTATGATTTAATTGAGTAATTACATCAATAGTATAATGGATGGCAAACGATATAACAATGAAGGCTTGGAAGATCGAGCATATGAAAAAAAACAAGGCCATGTACCTTTTTCCTACTTTCCTCATTTCCAGTGCACAGATAGTTAAAAAGCCAACATGTCCCTAAGATTAATGAAATCTTTGTACTGAATAAAAGAAATCTGAATATTTTCCGTATTTAACTACTAAACTTGGCACCAATGGATCTTCCCAATAATAGTTAGGTGAATATTCCAATTTGAATATATTCAAGTGAACTGCTCTGATTGCATAGAATAGGATAAGAACTGCAAACAATCTAAAATTTCTCTCGTACAAAACCCAATAAAGTGAGACATAAAAAAATGCAAAATCTAAAATTAGTGCTGAGGATATTTGCATCATGGCAGAGAACCTAAGATAATTTAATTTTTATATACCATCTATGTTCTTGATATAATTGATTTATTGGAGTAGTCAAAAGATGTCCCCAATCCCATACACCATTAATATTATCACTTGGAGTACCGAAGATTTCGCCGAGCTGAGTAACAACAATATAAGTAAAGAAAATAAAGATTCTAAATCTAAAGTTATAACATGGATTTCCAGGAACAGCACTTTATCGATGATCAAATTTGTTTGGAAAATAAAATGATTTTAAATCTTCACCATTATATTGAACAGCTTCATCACTTTTCGTTGCCATATTAAATAAATTAAATAAATGTATTTATTTCATTTTTATTCATTTTTTTTTTTTAAGTATGCTTAAAAAAATAACTTATTGAATTTTTATCTCTCAAAGTGACTTTTCAATCTGTAATAACTACAATTCATCTAGGTAAAAGTCATTCTTAAATTGTCCTAAGCTTCGTTTTCCTCCGTCTTCAATTTATTATATCTGTCTTCTAACACTTTTATGTATTATGATTTCTCTTCTAAGTCATAGATTCTGGAGTATCTATACTAAACACCATGAGGGAGGTTCTTCTCAAATTTCTTCTGATATTGACTATCTTAGACCCATTCCTCATTGTTCTAACTTCTAATGATGGTCCCAATCTTGACAGGAGTAATCTTTCGACTTTAAAACCCAGAGATTCTCATCTTAACTTGTTGTTCCTCTAAACTCTCTTGAAATTGCTTGTCATATTCTTGTTGAAGATTGTGTGCCTTCTTGATTCGTACATTTAATAGCTTCTTAATTTCAATCTATAAAAAGGATCTATATTTATAATTTGATTACTTAAAACAACTATCTAGTTAATTAGTCATAAAATCTATCTTCAATAGTGCTTACTTTTAGAAAATAGATACTGACATGATTCGAATAACAGACAGCTTCATAAATCCCTTTGTTTTTTTAGCTTGCTTGAATAAATTCTTTGGTTTCTGGTTCTGCTGCACTCTTCACGTATGGCTTATTATATTTATTGATCATAAACTTTAAGTTCCCTTCCTCATCCAAAAAGTTTAATTCTCCTATTATTTTTTATTCATCCAAGATTTCAACCGATAATTGATGTTTCATCAACTTTGAAATCTTCATTGGATGATCTTGAATCCCTCTCTTCTCTATCACTCTTTTCAATTCAACCTATCCATTATTGATCATCCCTATGTGATTTTTCAAAATTATCTTGTCTCCATAATCATATAGTTTTTCATTCAGTTCATAAGCTAACATCTTCATTTCTCTCAATGACCATTGTTAAAACCAAGGGTATTTTGAAAGAAACGCTATTTTTTAATCTAACTGATTTTTATTATAATCTCCAATTAATTGCTTATAAGTTGTTTTATCAATTGTAGCAAAATGACAATCAGTAACTGAAATGCTTGTGGCCGTCCTTGCTTAACTACTTTACAATGCCAATTCTCCAAAAGAACCCCCTTCTGTTATTGTGGCCACCTCTTTTGGCACAAATACATCCTCTTATGGAATATTTATTTAAATTGAAACAGTTCCTAGAGAGTTTGAGAGATTATAATACCTTAGAGCACTATGTAGAACATATCACCTTAGTCACCTTACTTAAAGATTATTTCATTTTGATGAACAAACTTATATTGAAGAGCGTCGGCAATATCATAAATTAGTTATTACTTTGATTGAAATAATTGGGCAAAATATTTGATGGTGCTAAGTAATTCTTATAATTTAATTGCTTATACAATGTAGCAGGAATTTATCATTCTAGCTTCTAGATATTAGAGGTTTTCGAATAATTTTGATAGATTTTACTAAAATTTATTCCCGGGTTAAGTCTTCGTATTTTTCATTTTAAAGAGTCTTGCTTCTTATCTTATTCTCTAATTTCGGAGAAGAACATCTTCGATCAATTAATTTGGAAGCCATTTGAGTAAGCTCAAATAAATAAATAATTATAATATTAAGTTATTATGATTGTTAGAAATTCTGTTGTTCTTTTTCCTATAAGTTTTACAATTAAAAATACATAAAATATAATGAATATTTAATTGACTGATATATTGACTGCTTATGAAGCAGAGCATTACTTAGAGAATCTACAAATATTTGAAATTACAGACTTGGGATGTAAAAAGTATACTATTTCAATAATTAGATGGTTTGCATAAGATGAGATTTTATAAAAACTCAATTTCTAAGCACACATAAATGCCATAACTAGATCTGATGAATTCATTATGGAAGCCTTCTGTACCTTCGAAAAATCAAACCATTAATTTATGATCTAATAATGACTGAAATGTGGAAGCAATATGTGTATCCTTATTTGAAATCTCATTTTACTGAATTACCATCAGTTAGATCTTACACAGTACTTTAACATGAAGCTATTGCCTGTAATTTATTGCAAATTTGCTTATTTCACAGAACTTCAATTGAATCATCAGAAGGTTATCTTCTTGAGATAGTGGATTATTGTTCTAGAAAATTGGCAGATTTACTATAAAAGTACTGAATTGTAAAAAAGATTTAGGCCACCTGCAAAAAAAATTGAGAAAAAAAGCATTGAATATTATAAGAATAGAACGAAAGAAGATGAAATAGATGAACAATTTTAGAATGTTGAATTCTAAATTCAAATGATGTGTTTAAGCATCATCAGATTCATAACTGATCATATTAAGCGTTTGCCTATTAATATACTACACCAAATTATTGTTGAAAATGACTTTTTCTTTTTGCTTGTTCCTTTGATTGAACAGAAACCTTGGTTAAGAATTAATCCAAATAATGAAAGAGAAGTACTTGAATAATCAAAGTGGGTTACTTTAAATAAGGAAGATTACAGTAAATTGCCTAAATTGAAGCTTAATTGTGGATTACAATATACAATTTATTCATGGATCCTGAAAGTCGAAGGAAATATGAATTGAATGATTTCAAAAAGAGCAACTTATTAAGATTGAGAAAATTTATGAATGAATTATTACTAGATTAGATTCCCCAACTTGTTGATATGTTGAGATCTTTGGAAGAGTTATCCCTTATGCAAGTACAGGCATAGAGTAAAAGTACTATAGAGGTTCAACAATTGCCAGAATTACGTTTGGCAATATGCAAAGATAAAAATTGGAGTTCAATTGTTTAAAAGTAAAAAGAAGAGTATTTCTAAATAAATGATCCAAGTATAAGAGAAGGTATAATATATCAATAATATAATAGACATCAAAAGAATGGCAGAACTCTACTCAAATACAGTGTTTGAAGGTATTATTGATGGATTTAAATGTGAGAAATGCATGAAGGAAGCTACCAAAAGATTTTCTCGTTGCAAATAAGTATTGTATTGTAGTAAAGATTGCTAAGTTGGTGATTGGCCAAAACATAAAGTGTATTGCAGGACAACTACTACACAAAAATAGGAGGACTCCAAATAAGTTGATAAATAATCAGATAAATAATTAGATCAAATTGATTGAGTATATTAATTTAATAAATGAATAATACTTAAAATATTGAGAATCTTAAAAACTTAGTTGCAAAAAAAATAGAAGCTGGAGGTTTCTTGAACTCATTAAGAGCCTAACTAAAAGTAGAAGTTTATAAAGTAATGACTATAATACTAATTTAAAAAGATTATTGAATCTTAAGATTAACGATTAAAAGAAAATGTTGGTTTTTAATGGGAACATCCTTTATTGAATTAAATCAAAGGAATGACAGAGGGAATAAAAAGTCTTGAATTAATTTTGGAATATCTTGAATTTTTCAAATTTGATTATACTGCATAAGTTTTAAGAAAAGAAGCTAACTTTAATGATCCTATTATTAAGGAATCTTTGGCTCGAAAATTAGGATTAAATTCATCCCTTGATAGTATGAGACCTCTATTAATGATTTTGGTTTCTGAGTTTTCAAAGGGAGGTTCTACTATCAATATTCAAAGTCCTGTCAATAATGCAGCTCCCCCTGAAACAAACATAACTAGAAACTAATAGAATAAAAAATAACAAGAAGAGGAATAAAAAAGAAAGCAAGAGGAAGAACAAAAGAAAAAGGACTAAGAAGAGAAGAAAAAGCTTGAAGAAAAGTAAAAGAAAGAATAAGCCGACTCAAAAAAAGCTACCAAAAAAGAAGGCAAAGATAGGCCTTAAACTGCACCACCTAAACCTGAATAACCAGCTCCTAATGTGAATAAGATTAGAGGAGGATAAACAAAATAAAATGCTCTAACTTCCATGTTTGGACTCGATCTAGGAGGTAACTAAAATTAGTTTGAAGAAGATGATATCTTTTCTAATAAACCAAAATAATAATAATAATAACAACAAAAACCTTAATAAAATACAAAGGTGAATAATTAAATTAAAAACAATAATGCTTATGCTTATGATGTAGGAGCTGATTCTCAATCTAAAAATTAAAAAGCTCAAAATGTAAAGGGAAATGCAGGAAAATAGGTATCATCTGACCCTTATGCCTTTGATTTAGATGAGTAACCAAAATAATCTTAAAAGAAATATGATTATGATCCCAATTAGACAATAGGAAAGAAATTTAATAATCCTTATGCCATAGGAGATCCCTAAAAAGGATAGCCTTAAAAAGGATAAAAAAATGACGAAATCGAAGAGGACATTGATGATTTCCAGTAGTCTAGAGATGATAGGGCTAAATAATCAGTAATTAAAATTATTATCTTAGAATTAATTATTTACATCCGATGACGATTATTAAAGAGCGACCTAATCATTGGGTGTTGACGAAAGTGTAGACTCATTAGCATTAGAAGAGTACGATTATTATGAAGATGTATTTCGCAAGAGATGATTATCTATGCTTTAAATAATTTTATATAATCTTTATAAAAACATTGTTAGTTAATAATTCAGTAGTTTTTAATTTTAGATTGAAATCTGTGACGAAAATATAATTTTAAAATGTTAAGCAATTTTTATTCACTAAAAATATAAGAAAAATAATGATTATGATGTCCATATTTATACGTATACTTAAAAACTCATTATTATTTATTAGTGTTATCATTTGGCTCTACAATTGCTTCTTGTTCTGCTTATTTCTTTTTATGTATTATTTTTGTTTTCTTCTCAACAGGTTTTTCCACCAATAATGGATCTTCGATCAATTTAAGCATTGAAATAGAGGTTCTTGATCTTGAACTTCTCTTACGAATTGGATCATCCCTTCTTCTGACAGGTTTTCCTTTTTTCATGAGTGGAGTAATTAATTGTTGCTTAGATAACTTCTTTTTAAATATGGACATTTTATTTCTAATATTACCTGTTCCCTTCTTCAGAATAGAAACTTCTTTTAGATAAGGTGAGTTTTGTTTGACATTCATGAAAACCTCCACACCACAATATCTGAAGATAAATTTGAATGAAGCATCTAATGAGTTTGATCTTCTTTTTCCAACGCATAAACCTTAGTAAGTATTCATAGTAGGTTCACTCATATTATGAATCCATTTCACTTGAATTACATCACCCACTCTAAAATCAGGGAATGTCATAGGCTTTAATTATTGAATGGAATTACTTTAATAATTTGTAGTCTTTCAAATTCTTCATTTTCTAATTATTATAACAACTTTTTTCTTGGTAGAATGGGTGATGGAGGGATGACTGGCCAAATTGTTTATTCATCATCCCATTATGGTAATCTAGGTCTTCTTGATTTTGGGAAGGCAATTTATCTAGGTATATAATTCTCAATGTAATGAGTCTTATCAAAAGGAGACCTTTTAGGTACATAGCCATAAACTATGTTGAATCTAGGAATGGTATTTACTAGTGATCTGTAAATTCCAATCATATATTTATATTAAATTATATTTATGCAAAAAATTCAAAACTTTATCGAAAACAACAAAGCAGCTGTTGCCATAGCTGCAGTAGCTGCTGCTATTGGTATTGTTGGAATAAAAGTACTAAATTAGGAAAATAGAGGGAGTGGTAATAGTTTTTCTATGTTTTAGCTAAGATTTTGGATGCAAGTATATAAAAAGTTCCTTTAATTGAAAGATTGGGAGGAGAGTAAGCAGTTTAACCCATGATATCATTATTGTTTGAACGTATCTCAAATAATAAGGATTTAAAGTCCCTTTTCTAGAATGTTGAAAAGAGTGTAAGTGAATTTCATATAATTATATAGAAAGCTTCATAGCATTTTAGTGCTGTGGTTCTACATCTATTTGGAGGAAAATCAACATAATCATAATCAGATCATTGCAAACTTAATATAACAGAAGCTTAATTTGAAATAATTCTAAATCTTTTAGATCAAGTTCTTAAAATGTTAGGAGTTGACGACAGAGAAATCAATGATGCAAGAGAAGCATTTTTAACCAAGAAATACTAAATTGTTATTCCAAATAAAAATGCTTGATAATTTTAAAATCAATATATAATAAAATATATTTATATCCATTCAATCAATATGATAAAATAACTAATATAATTAGTTAAATTTGATTTATCATTCATAAAAAAGAGGTAGATTTGACTATTTAGTCGTAAAACTTGATTTTATGAGAGTCCGAAATTATTATATATTTACATTTTTACTTTTATTAAAATCCTATGAAGTTATGTAATTCAAAAATCTTTAAGTTTTATTTAACAAAATTGGTTAATAAATTAATTGTATACAGTTTTAATTGCTCATAAATGTTTGATTTATTTACGATAACCATAAATCTATCAATTTGATCGAATTACTACCATTTTTGAGAATTATATATCATATAATTTACAAATTACTTAATTATTAATAGTTAAACCTTTTGTAAAAATTAAGTAGATAATAATAGGTAATCTCAAAATCAGAAGCACGAGAGACATTCATTAATTTAAAGCATAGAGCACTACTTTTATAGTCCAAATTTAACCTAAATATCCTAAGTTTAATAGGGAGAGAAGAATAAAAAAAGATAATTAATTTAAATTTAATGAAACAATCTAATTGGACTAAATTCATTGAAGAATTAGGAGAATCCGTGAATGAAGAGTTGAATGAAGAACTTCTATCGTAGGTTGTCAAGTGGCCTGATGAAAAAATGTCATTTCCTGAATTATAACATTATTTAAGCAATGAATTTTGGGTGCATTTTGATGAAGAAACCACACGAAGCAAACTGCATGATAAAGATAAATATTTGTAATATGGTGTGTTGCCAATTTGGCAAAAAAAAGAAACATAAAATTCAATGACCTGGTATTTATAAAGTCTATGTTTGTACCTTAGATTAAAAAGGGTGTTTTTAAAGAGTTGTCAAGCATACTAGGACCGCCCGAGAAGTTCTTAAGATAAAGATGGCTGAGTCTCTTAAAGCAAAAATTAAATCAACTTCCTTGGTCAGAAGAAGAAGACAAAATATTAGTTGACTTAAAGATGTATTGATTTACATTTAAGAAAGTAAATATCCATAAGAAAGTTGGTCGTTTATAGTTGAATAATTTAATAACAAAGCAGGATGTATAAGATATTCTAAGTAGATACGCGAAAGGTTTAATAATGTTATAGACCCTAATATAAATAAGTAAATCTTTTTTATATACAAAGAAATCCATTTTCAGATGAAGAGATAAAATTCATTCTGCGGAAAGCCTATGAATTGAAGAAAAAATGGGCAAGTATCGCTAAACTAATGCCTGGGCGCACCGATAATAAAATTAAAAACTGCTATAATTCAAAAATGAACAAAATCAAAAAGAAAATGCCAATTGTACTTCTAAAATATATCTTAGAATAAAGCCGACAGGAAAAAAGAACAAAAAATCTTGTAATACATTTAAAAATATGATACTTTTGATCCTGATGAGTTGGTAAATCAGATAGAACTAGATGAAAAAAATCAAAGTTCTATTAAAATAGAATGTGCAAATGAAAACTCCAATACTTCAAACAATCAGAATTACATCCCTCCTATTATCCCAAGTTATCCCCCAATACTATTCATGTAAGGCCCTGTAATGTAGAGCTAATATTAAACTTAATATATTGGCATTCCAATGCTTGTTTTGAAAAAGATAGATGAAACAAGCCAAATTTGAACTATTAATGTATATTTAATGTCTATGCATTCAATAAATAATTTTTGTAAATAGACCTTTTTAGATTATTGAAATTTTCTATAAAAATTTCATTAACAGATCTTAAAAGTACTATTCATATGCTCAATGAATCTAAATCTGGCTTCTAAAGTATAACCAATAAAATAATATCATTCTCCTTGAATGATTCCTTCAAAGAATATTTAAAAAAATTTAATTCTATTTCAAATATCTCTTGAAAATTCATGATACTAAAATTTTAATACTTACTAATATATTCTTAGCTGTAGCTGTTGAAAAAGAGCAAGTTCAGAATTATTTTGGACTATTTTTGAGATCTCTGAAATTGTTTTTATTTGGCTTATAAAACAATTATTTCCTTATTATTTTTTTATCTCAGGAACATTAAGTGTATTTTAGAGTGGATCCAATAGGGGCTATTATGAAAAAATAAAATAGTAATCTCATTTTAATTAATTATAATTATAATTCAACATAATTTCTACAAAAATATTATGACATAATAATTAATAAATTTTCATTCAAACATTAATTTTTTCCATTCTTTTTTCTTCATGTAAAGAGATGCTGCACCTACGTGACCTCCTCCTCCAAATGACTCTGCAAGTACATCACATCTAAATCTATTGAGTAGAACTCCATTTTCATCATGATGAGCTGATCTCAAATGAATTTTATACTAAGTAGAATTACTTTTATCATCATGATAAACAGCACCTAAATTTTGATCACCTGACCTCATAGCCAAAATACCTAAGGCATTACCTAATGGATTCATTATGCTTAAATCATCGCAATATAATGAATAGCCCACTGCATCCTTTCCAAATACCACTGTTTTACGATTCTTTACTAAATTTTCAACTTTCTTATTTCTTTAAATAGCTAACTGTTTTCCTTCCTTAACTAAAAAGTCAAAGTCAAATTCTAATAATTTATAAAAGATTGCTGGATTTTAACGAACATCGAATTACAATCTTCTTCTCATTATGGCCATCTGCAAAGGTTCTGTTTCAGGATATTATAACACAAATAAATCATTATCTGAAATGTATTTTGTAAATAATGTAAATTTGGTTCCAATATTTGGAGGAAGTAATGATGTATATTTAGTTTAAAATATTTATTCATGAAAGTCTTACACTAAGAGACATGCAGCTTTTTCTATGCTTACTAGCATAAATAGATTGTCAACTCCTGACACTTTATTTAAGACTTAATATTTTTCTATTTTAAAATCTGGAATAGCATTTACACATGTTTAGTGATGATCAACTACAACCACATATTAAAACTTTTTTGTTAATAATAATAAATTATCCCAAGTTCTTCCAAAATAATCAACAATTATCAAAATTGAGGATTTAGAGTCATCATTTAAAAATTTGATTATTTTCTAAACTTCATTAGAATCTTCGCTCAATCTAATGGGCATATAACAGAGATCCTAAATAGTTGGATAGAAAAATCCCATATTCTGATTCTCAATTGGCTCATCTTGATAATTAATTTCTTGCTTATACTCTTATGGTTTTTGGATTTCTTTTGATATTTTAGAAAGTTCAGATTTGAGTAATTCAAGGTATTATTGGATTGTCCAGTTATCCTTTCTGATTTTAACAAGAATAGGTAATACAAGACCTGTTAGAGAGTAAATTCCATCTAAACAAGGATCATGATATATGACATATAGTTTGCTTGAGGGTTCTTTATTTTACATAATTAAATAATGAAATTTATTTGAATGATTCCTCTTTGAAATTGATTTTGGCAAGGTATTATTTGTTAAATTATTAAATTAATGGAATCGAAACTTAATGAATTTGAAATTTTGAATAAATTAGGCGAAGGTAGTTTTGGATAAGTGTATAAAGTGAGACGTAAGGCTGATAAGTAGACTTATGTTATGAAACAAATCAACATTTCAAAAATGAATGCTAGAATGAAAAATGAAGCTTTAAACGAAGCGAGTATCTTAGCTAAATTGGACAGTTCATATATTGTGAAATATTATGAATCCTTTATAGATAAGTAATTGCTATGCATAGTAATGGAATTTTGTGAAGGTGGAGATTTGCATAAACTATTAAAAATGTAAATGGGAAGACCATTGCCAGAAAATTAAGTTTGGAGATTTTTCATCCAAATAACATTAGGTTTAGCCTTCCTTCATAAAAATAAAGTTCTACATAGAGATATTAAATCAATGAATATTTTTCTTTCAAAAGATCAGGTTCGGATTGGAGACCTTGGAGTCGCTAAACTATTGAATGATCAAAATAACTTTGCGAATACAATGGTAGGAACCCCCTACTACCTATCCCCAGAAATGTGTGAGGAAAAACCCTATAATGAGAAAAGTGATATTTGGGCTTTGGGTTGTGTGATATACGAACTCTGCACTTTTAAACATCCCTTTGAAGCCAATAGCCAAGGTGCTTTGGTACTTAAAATAATAAGAGGAAGATATGAGCCAATTGGATAAATGTATTCCTAAGCATTAGCATAATTGATCGATTAATGTTTATAAAAGGATTACAGACAAAGGCCTGATGCTTTCTAATTATTACAACAGTCAAGTAATTATAAATATCAAATTAGACAGGCCTGATTTAATAAGCATAGAACTTGAGGATGCAATTAAACTTAAATTAGCCTCATCCAAACTCAAAACAGACCTCCTCAATATAACCTTAATAGACTCCTCTAATCAGCAAACCTAAAGAAGTTTAGCCTCCTTTAGCCACTCCAGTCCCAGTATCTATAAAAAGTACTCCCCAAGGAAAACCTTTGAAAACAAAAGCTCCTCAATCATCTTAGAATTTATAATTAGAAGTAAAAGGAAAGCAGGAACCTGTGAGAGATACTCCTATTGTGTAAAAAAAAATAGTATAAGTCCCACCTCCATCTGCTCCAAATCTAGTCCAAAATTAAAAAAATGATGACTTTTATAAGGACTGGAGAGATAAGGTTTCAGAATTGCAAAAACAAAAATAAGATGATCGGATAGTTGTCACGAGACCTGAATTATTAAAGGCAGAATTTCAACCAAATAAAATTACTATAATTTCATCTCAATCTAATAATAATCCATACAATTAGGAATAAAATATTTTCTCAAGCTAGTAAGTATAACCTACGAAGAAACCAATAGTGTAAGTAAGATCGAAGGTGTCAAATCCTAACATAGAAGAAGTTGATAAAAAAAGAATTCGAAAAGGACCTCCAAAGGAACCTGCGAGATAAGTCAAAGAACCTTTAAGGAAGGCTGAAAATATTGAATTAACAAAAGAAACACCTAAATAAAATAAAACTAAAAACACAAAATAATAAATTTGTTCATAGGAAGAAGTTGATATGGTATTGAATTTACCTGAATTTGTATCTAAAGATGAAAGCAATATCAAAGTCATTTAACCTGAAAAGGAAATCATAGACATTGCTTCATTTGCTGATGAAATTCCAACCACTTTTGTTGAATCTTAAGATGACATGGAATCTAATCATTATGTTTAAGTACAATTTAAATCAGAACCAAACACAGTAAATAATAAGAATAATTAAAATAATGATGAAAATTAATAGGATTCAGACAAAGGAGTAATTATCATTTTTAATTTCTAGGCTTACACAGATCCTGAGGATTGTGAATAGGAAAATGAAGAATAAGGAAAGGATGATACTGCTGATTATGGAGATGAAGCTCCAATTTAAAATAGAAACATATAAACAATTTAAGAGGAAGCTTTTGAAGATACAAACTAATGCAATCAGTTTATTGAACTCTGTGTTGATAATAAGAAAATGGATCTAAATAAATAATTGTTGGAAGCTGAATAAAGAAAAATGGAATTAGAATAGTTCCTTCAAATCAAACGAAAAGAATGTATTCAGGATTTAGGATAAAGATTATTTGAAGAAGTCATCAATTTCTTAAGGGCTAAATTAAATGTAATATATACGTTAAAGATTCTTAGTCTCAAGAAGAATTGAATGATAGAGATTAAGAAGAAATAGACGACTTGATCCAAAATAAGTTGCTAAATACAAAGAACCCATAAATTATTTATGTAATCTACAAAATTTTGCACTTTGAGATAGAAATCACAAAAAGTATTGATAAAATTAAGGATCTATCTGAATAATTAATTAACTTATGATAATCATTTAAATAAAGCCAACTATTTTTTATCATCAATCCACATGCAAAAAAATACCATCAACAATTTTTATTTTATTTTCAAAGGACCTTGTAGAAAATTTATGAAAACTAAGCATCAACAACAACTCTTAAAATGTAAATTTCTTATCTTAGATATAACTCTATTTTTTCTATACTTCTTTAGTATTATAAATGTTTTATCATTCAAAAAAATTAATCTAACTCATCTGAACCATAATAATATGTTATCCTTTATTTGTTATTTAACTTTCAAAGTAAAATTCTCCGCCTATCCCAATATGGTTGTTCTTATGATCATGATTGCTCAATTCATAAATAATAAATCTTGGGGTAAAGTCATATTCAAATTGAGCGTATTCAATTGAGTTAGATTAGTAAAGAATATAAGAATCTTTTAACAAATAAAAATTTTCTAAATAATTACTTAACATTATTATGAGCCTTGAACATCCTAAAAATGGATCAAATCCGAAATTAAATTCAGGAGGATATATTTCATTTTATCGTTGAGTTAGATCATGGAACAATAGTTTTTCTAGATATTATCATCCCAAGAATAATGAGACTTCTTTTATTATATAATAATAAAATTAACAAATTAATCACTGAATGGGAATAATTCAACCAAAACTAAATAACTTTTTCAACTTACAGATTAAATATCATTTATAGAATTTTGAATCTTATACAATAAAATTAAGTGACATCTTGGAAGGTTAAGATTTGAATCCATAGTATAAGGAAGATCTCACAAAATTATTCAAATTACTATAAATTTAATACAATGAAGAATTAGAGATTGATAGATATGAGTTTAGTATTATTATTGTAATGATTAAAATATAATAACAAGATATTATTTACTAAAATTACTTTGGAACATAAATTGGAACAAATATTTTGCTTGATAACTGAGACAGGAATTTTGAGTTTCTAGGAATTTTTTTGGTTAACACAATCATTTGCAAGAGCCACATGCAAAGTCAATTTATTGCCCATTCCGATTTTTGATTAAATCCTGAAACTTGCGCAGAAGATGTATTAATAAATGAGAAAGGATATTGATGAAAACTTAATGCTCATTGAAGTGATAGACTATGTCAAAAGTAATTCTGAGATTTCACAATTCTTTCTGTAGTTCTATAAAATCTAAACTTATGAAAATGCCATTCGTTAATAGGAAATGCAATTACAATCCTATACAAAATTATTTGTTTAATCAATAGGTTTGACAAGAAAATATGTTAATGTTGATTAATTGACCAAGAATTGGAATATGGGAAATCTTGATAAATAGCATCAGCAATATTTAATATCTCTTATGTTGAAACAAAAGTAGAACAAGTAAAAATAAACAAATTTTATCAAATTATCTTAATTTTTACATGTAATTTCAAACTACTTGGCTTATATTGTTAATGATATAGAAAATACTAATAGTTTATCAATTGATTTTATTACATATTTGGTTTATGCCTAAGAAGAGATTATTATAACTGCTGATAGGTTCGAAAAAATTAAATAGGCCCTTTGCAAAGACCGCTAATTTATTACTTTACATATGTGGATGGATTATCAATGTATCCAGGAGTGTAATAGGTTTGAATCCCAATTGAGATCATTAATCAGGTATTATGAACAAATCTATTCAAATATAGATTTCAATCAACTTATCTAAAAAATTAAAAAGTTGGTTAAAAAAAATGAAAAAAGCAACCAAATATAAAGTCAATATATAAATAAATTTTTATAAAATTGGTTACAAAGTCCAGAACTATATAATGTAGGTAGCATTGAATTGAAATTAAAGATTGAATAACTTCTTAACAAATGAATTATTTAATTTCATATAGAATAGCTTTCTTAATTAAAAATTCAATTATAAAATTAATCAAAAGTGGGATTAAATTGTGGAAACTACTCTTTAAATTATACTCTAGCTTATTGAACTATTTTAGTTCTTATCTTTTAGATTTTTAAGAAACCTAAATAAGCTTAATTGATATCCTCATTTAGTTCTTCAAATAACTAATCCAAATCCAAATTTTTATGCAATATTGAATGATATCTTGAAGTAAAAATTCTTAAAGGCTCTACTTAAGGTTAAGACTCTAAAGGCTTAATTAAATGATAAGTATCATTTTCGATTTATTTTATAATTTCTACAATTAAATCTTAATTTTTTGTTAAAATAAATTCAATGATATTGACATCACATATATCAGTAATTTAGGATTTTAGCTGTTTTAAATAATCTCCGCTAATTTTAATTTACTAAAGAGAACCCTATGCAAATTCCTCAATTCTATTTATTTGATTCCTTGTGGCTATTTAAACTTTGACATCTAGATCATGTATCACAGATCGATATTTGGCTTCGCCTAAAGACTCTTAAATACTCCTTATCCAATATTGAAAGTCAATTTCTTTTAGTGCTTAGAAAAAGTATAATTTTCTTTCATTTTCAATTTAGAAATCAAATTTAGTGCTATTCTACCAAGTGAAAAGTTTAACATTATCTAAACTGCTTAATTTTATTTTCTCTAAATAGTCTTAGCATTTGTACCTTTTTTTTCGTTCTTAAATCCAAAGTATGTTTGAGACAAATAAACTTATGTTGCAACATATACGCCTAATTTATTCTTTTTTAAAAGTTTTCCATAGGCCTTAAAATTATCATCTTTATTAATTCAATATCAATACCAAAATATCTAGGATACTTTTGCCCTTATGTTTGTTATTTTTTCGAAAAATTGCAGAAAACAAACTTGCTATTATTATTATGCAAAACGTCTTCTACTTTCTCATAATCCCATAGTCTTCTTTATACAGAAGAATAGATCAAAACAAGATGTAAGTCTTATTTATCATCATCCCCATGAATGTATTACAAAAGATCACCTACAAGCATGTTTTATTTGATGTCAATTGTAATTTAACTTGTATAGCTAGTATCTACGTAGATTGATACAGAACGTTTTTCAGAAGTTTGTTGAAGCTTTGAGGGAATCCATTAAGTGAAAAAGCCTTAATTCATATAATATTAGTTTCCGTAAATTATATTAATAGTGACTCATTATTGCTTTTTTCGTATTTAATCAAAGAAATATAGAGAAGGGATGTCTCTCCATTAGTAAATTGTTAAAATGAACACTCCTTTATTAAATGGGTAGTTTAAAATTATTATTATATCTCTAAACACTTCAATAAATATATATGGAAAATGAACTTGAACAGTTTAATCAAAGAAATTATATTTGATTAATGCATGCGTATTTTTATTACAATAATAAATAAATAAATTTATAATTTAGAGAAATCTTGCACTAAGCCTTTTACAATTAATTGATAGTATACTTTAAAACATAAGTAGAAATTAAAAAATATAAATATATTTATTATTAACGGATACTTGGGAAACAGAAATGTTAAACCAAAAAACCATATAAAAGATTCCACAAAATTGTAATATGATAGTTAAAGTTCTTTCTTTTATCAATAATGATGAAGGTATTATTTTCAACAAATATATTAGAAGATTAATCTCAAGAGGAAATAGAAAAGAAGCAAAAAGGTAAATTATTATCAATAATATTCAGTATTTGAAATTCTAAGAACCAGTATGCAATTATAGGAAGTTGAAGACTAAGAAAATGATTATGAATCTGATTATATTCCTGTTCCATGTGAAGAAGCTTGCTTTTCTTAATAAAGCACTCAAAAATCTCAGCAATCTCAATACTTAAGATCACCTTTGTAAACGTTTACTCAACATTTTTAAAATTAAAATAAAGGATTTGTAGGAAAACTTTTTACTCTTACTGATGAAACAGAATATACAGTTGATGATCGCAAACCAACTCATACTAGAGGTCCAAGCAAAATCTAAGAAATTTTATAGGATTTATAAGCAAATGTTGCTGATGACATTATGAAAATGGCAAACGATATCATTAAATTTACTGAAAATAGTTCAAATACAAATGGAAGTGCTTAATTTATTCAAAGCGATTCAAAATTAAAACCACACATAAGTTAATACAAAGCAAATTAACAACCAAGAGAAACAAAGGCTAATAATCTTAGAGATGGATTCAAATTATTTGAAAAGCAAAATAGTTAAAAATAACTTAAATCTGACACATAATTAGACAAATAAAGTTTAAAATCTAATTGTTAAAATGAACCATAAAAATATATATAGTAATTGCCAAAGACTAACTATTAAACGAACGCAAACAATTACAATTCAAACAATACTAATTACAATTCTCATTATAATACTAATGCATCTGTTTAAAAAAATTAATAAAAGTCAGAGAGAAATTCTTAAGAATATACAAAAAATAATTCTAATCGAAATAGTTATTCTTAACAAATTATAAATACTAGAACTAGTTAGGAATAAATTAATTGCAACTCTTCATAAAATTCGCTCCAACAAAATTCTCCAAATCAGGATGATCAAAGGCATCAATATTAATTCTATTCCAAAAAGCAAAACTCAAATAACAATAGTAATCGAGATTCTGTCTTTAGCAAAAAAAGTAAGTAGCATGAATTAGATGAATTTGATGAGAATTTCATATAAATTACGATAGTTTCAAAATAAATTCAAATAATAACCAGATTAGTTAAAATTTTTATGACACTGTTTAGAAATAATTCAACTTCTATCAAAATTCAGATGATGAAAATTAAGGTAAATAATCAATTGAAAATTAAACTCCTAATTTAAATATTAGTAAGAAACTAGAAAAAGATAACTTAAGCATTAATAATAGTAGTACTCTAAACTTATTAAGTGATAAAAAATCATATCAAGAATTTTGCGAACCTTGTTAAAATACATAAGAAAGTGATAAAAAATAAAATAGTTCTATTTAGAAAAAGAAAGTTAAACGAAGAAAAAGGTCTAGAATTCCTAAAAATATTAAATATTTTTTAGATATAATTGAGGAATAATCAAACGATTACTTCACTCCAGATAAATCATTATTGGAATCAAGTGAATGTCTTGATACGATATAATCAGTGCCTAATTTCGGAGAAAGTGAGCATGATAATATGAGCTACAGATCGGATCGTAAAAACTTTACAATCAGTGAAGGTAATAAAATTAAAATCAGAACTCCTAACACCTAAGAAATCAAGGAAGAATTATAATCTTCTGATTCATTTGATCGTCCCAATAGCTAGTTAATTAATCAAACCTTAGTGAATTTTGAGGATATCGACTAAATTTTGAACCAAGTCCAAGGTTATAAGGCTTTACGATGCAAAAATTAAGAAGAAGAAGCCATTCTTGCTTCTTGGAATCGAGTATGCAACGAAATAATAAGAAAATAATTTACTTCCGGTGACTTTGGATCTCGAGAGGGTACTTTATTTAACTAAACATTAGATATAAAATTAACTGGAAATTTAACAATAAAATTAGCATTGTTAAAAAAGATATTAACTATTTAATGCCCTCAATAGAAATTACTTTAATCATAATCAAAAAACAGATTAAAATTCATTTGTAGAAAATTCTTGTTTCATTGAAACTGATTAATAACATTTGGAAAAGAGTGAATCAGAAATTCAAGGAGATGATAATAATGACGCTGAAGTTGGAATGCTGAATAAATAATTTAGTCCCAATTTCAGTGATGTTTGCAAAAGGATATAATTCACTGGTCTTGAGGAACCAAAAATACTATTTGGAAAAGCAACATCTTCTAAAGATTTGCCAAATGTCTAAATATACAATACTAAATATGAATAATAATTATTGAATTATTAATTTTGAGTAATTATCTTAAACAGTGTTTCCTTATGGTTGGAAGTCAATGGAATAATAATATTTTATTTATAGGAATTCATTCCAAAAATAATGATTTGGCACACATGAAAGAGTCAAGATTTTGTAATTATGTCTTATGATATTTATTATTATATTTCATATTTATCAACCAATCAATCGAAAGTAGTTTCGCCATTAGCTGACTATTTGCATAAATAATATTATTACTTTCAATCTTAATGCATTGAAATAATATCTAGCTACTGCATAGACTCCAATCAATGTATTTAATCCAACATACTTCATTCTTACTCCAAAAGGAATGGCTGTAATTTTGGTTGTTTTGGATCAAGAAATATGCTTAAGTGTAGACCTTCTTTCTCATCAATATAAATTAATTAAATTATTAAAAATATTTTGAAGATAAAAATATTATCATTTACAAAACTTATACTAAATAAACAATTTCATTTGTGGATTTCTAAATCTCCCTTCATCTAATTATATTATATATCATTACATTAATACTTAAAAAAACTAATTTAATGTATGGAGGTGCATTATATGTTATTTAAGAATGATATTAGACTGACTCTAAATATTTATATTATAATTATCCATAATCTCAACAGTTTTATGAGGAAATTTATAGAATTGTATATTATATCTAAATCACAATTTATGCTATCTGTTTTTTTGAAGTCTGCAAATTCCTTTGCTAAAAGAAATAATCAAAGATTGAATTAAAAATAGTTTTTATTCAAAGGAGAAAATAAAATAACTAAATTTTAATAATTCTAAGAAGATAGAAAAAAAAATAATATATAGTATTTTTTTTTTAAGAAATTTTCTTTGACTTGATAATCTGAGATGTTGTTGTATTTTGTGTAATCAAGGTCTTGCACAATTATTTTATTGACAATAAGCATTATAGTTATTCAATACTGCCATTAGTTGCAAATAGAATTTTAGAAATAAAAATATTAAAAAGATGGATTTTCCCCGCTAATATAAAAGAATCTATTCAGATTTCATAAATATACCAAATGACTTCCTCAAAACCATAATTTGAGACTTTCTTATTTCTTGGTTACAAGACAATATAAATCTTCAATATTTGGAATTGATTTAAAAATGAATTAATTCTAATTTTTGTATCAAAAACTTGTCAAACAAAATTAATTTTATTATCTCTCAACGTCTTAAAATATTATTTTTGGTCATAATAGTATTGAGATATTTACTTTCAATAATAATTTAGAATTAAATAGTATTTGTTAAACAAAGGTTTAATTAAATGTATATGAATAAATTCAACTTTACTATCTTTGAGGGTGGCAAAAAAAGCATTAAACATTTTCATTTATACCATCATCGAAATCAACTCCTGGAAATTGTTTTTTTTTTTCTAACATATCTGTTTTCATCAACTCAAAAAATTGATCAAATGTCAATGTTTCTCTATCACCGATCTTATTATTTAACTATGGGGCATCATATGAGTCTCTATACAGTTTTCGAAGTGTTCCTGTCTATATTAAGCCATCCTAACATTTTGAATTTTATAATTACTTTTGGATCCAAAGAATCAAAAACATTTTTAATTCCCTCAACTTCTTTAATAGATAATCCAGAATTTTGTTAATAATGTTGAGCATTAAAATCATTTTAAGATGTGCTGTTACCCATTCAAATATTTATATTAAAAATAATATAAACAAGTATATTTAATATTAAAATCAAAAACATGATTATCAATATATATGAAAAATATGCTTTCGATCAACTTAGCATTTCTATATATATAATTTTTTTTTTTCAGATCGAAATCTAAAGGTATTATTGGAATTATTATCCAATCTTTTCATTCAAAGCATTTATGTTGATATCTTCTTTAATCTTTCAAATATTCATTATTCTTTTTGCTCTATTAAACAATTCAAGGATATGCAATTTAGTTTATATACGTTGAACTGATCCTTTAGCTATTTCTCTACTATTAAATCATGAAATTTGTGATTTTTTACCAAAATCTTATAAGTAGATCAATATTACTAATCTTTTAAATTTAATTCCTTCAAAAAGTTATTGAGAATGAATTGAATCAAAATCTCAATGGTTGTAAATTATGTTAATCGCTCCTTACACTTCCAGATTCATGAAAAACGACAATTTTAAATCAGTAAGATAATAAAATGTTTTTATAAGGATTCTGTTATTAATTTAGCATATTAAAAATAAAGATGGAAAACTAAAATATATATCTTTTAATTTTCTGATCACACAGCAAAATTATCCTTAAAGACTTAATTAATAATATTATTCTTAAAGGCATTCAGTATTGTTTTTAAACAAAATTACAAGAATATGAATTTAGCAACAATAAACAAAAACTCTAGTTCCATAATTTAATTAGATATTTTTCAGAAAGATTTATTATAAATACTAAATTGATTTTGATTTTTGGGTTGTTAATTATTTGTTCAATTTGAAATGGAAAAATCCTATATATTTTGCCTAATATTAAGATATTTAAAAAAATGTGTTTAATAACTGCATTAAGCAAATATTAATTTTTAATAAATTAATTTTTCAGAAAAATTTATTTTGTACCCTAACTTAGTTTTACTAAAGCCTACAATTTCTAGATTGTACGGTGAGTGGCACAATTCTTATTAAAT